CCAAACCAATGGTAATTTTCGACATCCTGTCCGGGAACCCTGACATTCATTCCAAAAAGACCCGTCACCAAGTTCAAAGGCACAAGAATGGTACCCAACAAAGTCACCTTCGAGAGCAGCTCAGTTACCTTATTGTTAGAGTAGAAGGATTCAACTTGCAATTGGGCCAGGTAATTGGAATGAGAGCGACTGAAAATCTTTTCGTAGGATAACAGCGATTGAAACATGGTAATAATATGATCCTGAATATCACCCAAGAACAGAGCAATGTCTCCGCGTGGCTGTGCTGCGTTTTGCGAAGTCAAGGCTTCGTCCTGGCACCGTTTGGCAAACATCTTGATAACGTCGGCTTTGCCCTGTAACAACCTCATCAATGTCATGACCTTGCGTCTGCTCTCTCCGATTTTGAACAGCATTGTTCCAAATTCTCTTTCACGGGACAGGAACACAGAATCCTCAATGGCGTCTGCCTCGTACTCGATGGCATGGATTACAGGAGCAAATCCATCAGTGATGTCATCGATCAAGGCATAACAGAGCCAGTCGGGGCTCACATTGACATAATCTTTCAGCTGTCTCACTCTTCTTCTAACGTTTGCCGGATGAGATATAGGAGAGAAGTGGAACGTGAGTATACCATTGCGGAACACAACGATATACACATTGATAGGTTCAAGGAAATCTTCACTCTCGCTATCAGTCTCAAACGTATGGAAACAGACGAAATAGTAGTTCTTGAAAAGCTCCACTTTTTCACGGGTCTCCTGCATCCGGATATCTTCTGCAGTCAAGGGGTGAATGCCAAAAGCCTTGGCCAGCATTTTCATCTCATTGTCTGTCGGACAAACGCAATCCAGCCACCAAATTGCATCCTCCTTCTGGAATAGGCTTTGGAAAGGAGTTCCAGGAGGAACCAGGGAGGGAATATCTGGAGCGTGAATTGTCTCCTCGTCCTCAGACGAGAAAAAGCTAAATCTGTCTGGAGGAGCAGACTCCTTGGTAGGGAACTGTTTCTCAAAAGTGACACCGTTGCCTTCGCTGTCACTGCTATCAGTGACAGCGTAAGTGTCCTTGCTTCCCGAAGAATCCTTTTCATCAGGACGTGGAATATATTTCAGCGCTGCGGTGCTGAATTTTTCAGAACCAGTTGTCCTGGATGCGTAGTTGTCTTGTTTAAGATCCTCTTCTCTCTTCATGAAAGTCTCATTTTCTTCCCTCTGCTCTTTGATGAATTCCTCGATCTCGTCAAAGTCAATTCCACGGATGCGAATGTGTTCGGGGACCATCGGAAAACACACATCTTCCTCTGTCTCTTGCGAGTCATTGGAGGCATGCGAGTCTCTGTCGCTGTCATTGTCGCTGTCCTTTTCTTTGATGTTGCTATTACTAGGACGTCTTCTAGATCTGTCGCTTCTGGTGCTAGCCTTGGAGATAGTACGAGCGAGGTTGCTGTTGGAAGAAATGGTGATGTTCTTGTCCGTGTTTGGATGGTTGGCAGGTAACAAAATACCCCCAGAGAAGGATTCCTCGCGTGGCTTGATAAGCGATTTAACATGCTCACCAAACGAGCGGGAACGGGTAGACCGCCGGCGTTGCTGGACCGGAGGCATTTGAGAGGGAATCTTGATGGCGAAATCATCTTCGTCATCATCGACGGCTACCATTCTGTCCCTCAATTCACTAGAGTCCAGTAACTGGTCTGGCTTTCTTGCCACAGGCTCGTTTAGACCTGGTCTTTCCACAACGCTGGAGCGATGTGGCGCAACATGGGTGGGCCGTGAGCCCTCCGCGTGGTAATGTTTGGAATCTTGTTTAACTGGAAGAGTCATGTTCTGATGCCTGTGATCGTTCAAACGCGAATCACCACTAATGCTGGAATGCATGGACGCAACATCCTTAGAAGAGGTCACAGACATCGCTGGAGAATGGGATCTGGAAGAACCGCGGTCAGACATGTTGATATAATATTCTCTGATACGACTAGCTTATGGAGGCTCCTTTTTTGACATGCAGTATAAGCTTATCACCCGGAATTTCACAGTTGAAGATTTCGTATTCGCTGGCGGTCTTGGCCACTAGCTGTCAATGCTCATCTATTACCAAGTGCTGAATCTTTTCTTAAAATTTTTTTCTTGAGCGCACGTGGAAGAGAATGGCAGTTACACTACAAGGAGAAAATTTCATGGCTATTTATATCTAATACAAGTCCTCACTGTTTTTGATAGTGCATCCAGGCAAGTCTTTGCGCTCAACAAGCTTTCCAATGGTGTACACGGTTTCTCCAGCCTCCTTAAGGACCTTGATAACCTCTTCCACATTCTCTGGCTTCACAATGGCCACCATACCAATACCCATGTTCAAAGTCTTCAATATATCGTTGATTGGCACACCTCCGGTCTTTCCCAGCCACTTGAATATCTCAGGAACGTTCCAAGTGGTCATGTCAACCTCTGCACTCAAATTATCAGGGATTGCTCTTGGAATATTCTCAACAAGTCCTCCTCCAGTTATGTGAGCAAGTCCAAGAATGAGGCCCCTTCTGGTAGCAGGAAGCAGTTGCTTGACGTAAATTCTGGTTGGGATCAAAACCTCCTCGCCGATAGTCGATTTCGGGTTCCATGGTGCAGGGTCTGTGTAACTGTAGTCGGTAGTCTCAATGATCTTTCTGATCAGCGAGAATCCGTTTGAGTGCACACCATCTGAGGCAATTCCGAGAAGAACGTCACCGGCGTTCATCTTGTCCTTCTTGGGCAATATATTCTCTTTGAGAACTGCTCCGACGGCAGTTCCGTTGGTGTCGTAATGACCAGGTGCGTACATTCCAGGCATCTCACTGGTCTCGCCGCCAACAAGGGCACAGCCCGATAATTTGCAACCGTCAGCGACACCTTCCACAAAATCTGCCGCAACCTTGATATCCAAATGAGCGGTTGCAAAGTAGTCCAAGAACATCAGTGGTTCAGCACCCTGAACAACCAAGTCGTTGACATTCATTGCCACGAGGTCGATACCAACTGTGTTATGGATATCCATGATCTGGGCGACTCTAAGCTTCGTCCCAACACCGTCTGTAGCCGCCACAAGAAGAGTGTTGTTAATGTCCGTGTATCCTGCTCTCTGCAGGTCGAATAAACCTCCGAACCCGCCAATTTCCGAGTCCGCACCAGGTCTTTTGGTGGATTTGACGCTCTTTTTAATTTTCTCCACCAGTTGGTTTCCAGCATCAACAGAAACACCAGCATCCTCGTAAGTAAGCGACACCTTGTTTTTTGGCTTTTCCTTAAACGCACGATGAGCAATGTCAGTTCTGTTGTATTTATCCTTGAACGAGATATGGTCGACACCAACGTAGGCTTTCTTGACAGCCTCTTCCAAAGTGTCAGCAATGGCAGTTGCAGCAATTACACGGCCACCTGCAGTGACAACTTTGCCGTTCTCTTCTTTGGTACCGGCATGGAAGATAAACGTGTTTTCTGGCAACGGCTCCTTAACGGTGATCTCATCTCCCTTCCTATAAGACTCGGGATATCCACCAGCAGCAACAACAACGGTGGTGCTGTACTTGTCAGCGTGGACCTGGAAGTCGACACTATCAAGACGATGTTCAACAGTGGCCAACATCAGTTCTAGAAGATCAGACTTTAGTAACGGCAGCACAGTCTGGGTCTCCGGGTCCCCGAACCGCACATTGTATTCAAGGACTTTTGGATCACCATCAGGAGTCACCATGACACCAACGAACAAACATCCTACCATTGGGTAGCCGTCTTTTCTCATTCCGTCGATTGTTGGTTTCAAAATGTTCTTTCTGATCTTCTCCAGCAGCGATGGGGTGCCAATAGGGGCAGGAGAGTAGGCACCCATTCCTCCGGTATTGAGGCCAGTGTCTCCATCGCCTATACGTTTGTGATCTTGAGCAGGAGGAAGATCAACAAAGGAGTAGCCATCGCTGATACATAGAATGGACAGCTCGTCCCCCTCAAGGAATTCCTCGATGACAACTTCATCACCCGCAGAGCCAAATTGTTTGTTTACCATGATTTCTTTAATGGCCTCATAAGCTTCTTGTTTGTTAGCTGGGATCAAGACACCTTTCCCAGCTGCGATTCCTGAAGCTTTGATAACTAGGTTATGACTGGAATTGGCGATATACTGTTTGGCAGCCTCATAATCGGTAAAGTTCTCATACCTGGCAGTAGGAATGTTGTGCTTTTTCATGAAATCTTTAGAAAAGGTCTTGGATCCTTCCATTCTGGCAGCTTTTGCACTAGGGCCAAAAACTGGAATACCAGCCTTCTGAAACCACGTAGTGATGCCATCAACCAGTGGCTGCTCTGGGCCAGGTATAACAAGGCCAACGTTGTGCTTGGTGGCAAAGTCAACCAATGAACCAAAGTCAGAAGGGGAAGATCCGATAGGGACAGAGGTGACATTTTCAAGTTTCGAAAAGCCACCATTTCCAGGGGCGACAAATATGTGCTTGGCCCATGGCGATTGGGCCAGTTTCCACACCAGAGCATGTTCACGACCTCCGTTTCCCACGACAAGGACGTTAATTTTTTCCATAACAGCAGTAGAGCTAATTAAAAAATTTATCAACTAATTAATTTAATCTTGATTTTTTGACTTCTTCATATTTATCTATCGATGCGGAAAAAACTTTTTTTTTTCATTGCTTACATCCTCATTGTGCGAATGACAGACCCTGCAGGCTGTTTTTTCGGTTGCACTTTTGCTCTTCTGTAATTACCTCGAGAGCCGGGTTTACCAGATCGGCGCAGTCCTCCTCTTGATCCACCTGTCGATCCACCTCTGCGGTACGAACGGCCTCCTCTCTGACTTGAAGTCTTGCTTCGTGAAGCATTATTTGATTTCCGTGTAGTGTTTTGGCTTTCTGGATAGAACAGCTGCGAAAGTTGATTAACTACTTTGTGATCCTGCTGAGACGGGAGTGATGACGATACGACTTCTAGCTCAGGGCTCTTTGAGCCCAGCAAAGCATCTCGTTCTTGCCTTAGGGCCCCTAAAACGCGCTCAAACTTCTGGAAGTACTGTGTTTGGTTTTTCTCCATACCATCAAGCCTTTCGTACTCCGTTTTCGTAGTTGGCAATTTCATGGCCATGTCTTTCAATGTCGTATCTGACGCCATAGTCGAGTCTCTTGAATGATTCAGGTGCGTAGAGCACAGCGACCGGTGCTCTCGCAATTTCAGATAGCTTTTGTTAATGTGGTCGGCCAACTTGGGATCCAACTGCTCCACAGGGATTTTGCTGGCATTTGGAGGCCCAACAGCGAAAAACTTACTTGCAGAAAGGAATTGGGGGGCCTTATTCTCTTTATTAGCTGTTCCAGACAATGATGGCGTCTCCAATCGGGTAGTCTTGCTTCTGGTGAATGGTATAACCACTTTTTTGCCGCGAGAGAGCACATCGTTAGCTTTAGGCCCAAGGACAAGATAGTTCGTGGCAAAGCCAGCAGCGTTCATCACAGATTTCTCCTCTAGGAAGCCTTCCCTCAAGAGATGGAAGAACAATCGCTCGATTTCCATCTTGGGCAGTTCCCGACCATTTCCATGGTACTCGTTTAGATGTAATCCCGAGTTGACAATTTTAGCTGTTTTGGATCCTCTAAAAACGTCCTGACATTGGATTACAGTCAAGTTTTCGCCGTTGAGAGTCTTGACGAGATTTATCACATTTTTGGCAAACGCTGTCATGTCGCGGTGCTCGACTTCGAAGTTTTCGCCATTAATGCAGTTGTCACATTGCTTATGACAATCTTTGCGGTTGAAAGTTTCGTTGAAATATTGCAGCACCTGTTGACGACGACAATCTGTAGTGTTCTCGCAATACTGTGTCACCTGGCGTAATTTGTTCACGTGTTGTTCCTTGTTGAACCGGTCGAGCTCCTTGTCGCGCAGAATCATTCCTTGCAAAGTACGCGCATCTCTCATACTGTAGTACATGATGCAGTCAGAATGTTTTCCGTCTCTCCCTGCCCTTCCAGTCTCCTGGTAGTATCCCTCAAGATTACGAGGAAGAGTAAGGTGGATGACGAATCGAACATCGGGTTTATCGATTCCCATACCAAACGCAATGGTGGCACAGATTACCTGAATTTCGTTGGTCTGCCAGCCCAGCTGCACTCTTTGACGGTCGTCCTGGGTCATTCCTGCGTGGTAAAAGTCACATTTGATACCATAGTCCGCGAGTCGTGTTGCTGTTTGCTCACACGAGTTTTTCGAGTGACAGTAGATTATGCCCGTCATATTTTTATATTTGCGGTTGATCAGTTGTGCGATCTCTTCCACCACGGTCTTCTTCTTCGGTAGCACTTCGTAGAACAAGTTGGACCTGTTGAAACTCTGCTTGAAGAATTTCGGATGCTTCAGATTGAGATTGTGGATGATGTCCATCCGAACATGTTCGTTCGCTGTTGCCGTGAGGGCCATCATAGGAATTTCCGGATACTCGGTTTTGAAATAGCTCAGAGCTTTGTAGTCCGGACGGAAATCATGGCCCCAAGAGGAAACACAGTGAGCCTCGTCCACAACAACTCTTGCCAGCATCTTTTTCTTGTGAAGTGCGGCGATGGCATTTCTCACCATTCCGCTGGCACTGATCATTTCGGGAGATAAATACACCAGATCGAGAAACCCGTTGACAAAAAGGTCGAATGTCTGTTTCCTCTGCGAAGCAGAAGATTTTGAGTTGATCATTGCCGCTTTGATTTGGTTCTGTAGTAAATGATGCACCTGGTCTTGCATCAAGGAAATCAAAGGCGAAATAACGATAGTGGTACCGCTTGTGATTCCAGACTTGACAAGCGCGGGCAATTGGTAGCAAAGGGATTTTCCACCCCCTGTTGGCATCAGAACAAATACATCCTCTCCGCTCAATGTGGCATTTATGGCTTCAAGTTGATTTTCTCGGAAAGATGGCAGCTTGAAAGTATTTCTCAACACAGAGTACACTTCTGTAGTCCATTCAAACTTGCCCATAAACTTTTTGTACGCATCGGGATTCACATTTGTTAGCTCTTCAATATCAGAATCGGAATGCTGCGAGCTTTGCTGCTGTGGCTCTGACCTTTTCGACTGCTCATTGCGCCTATCGAAAATCTCATTCTCCGCGTCGCTGTCCCAAAATTGTTCGTCCTCTAGGTCTATAACGTCAATCTCTCGCTCCTCGTTCAGCTGTGTGAAATAGTCGTTCCCTGTCTCTTCTTCCGAAAACTCATCCTGCGGCGAGTCTAGAAGAATAGCGTTATCCTGAACAATTTCCATGTGTTCAATACCCTCCTCAACGTCTTCTATCTCTAACGAGCCCTGAATACCGCCAAGCTCGGTGGTGTCAATATCCTCTATGTCATCCTCTTTGTAGGACTCGTCGTCGCCGGAAATCTCGTCGTTCACAATGAACTGGTCCAGCTCTGCTTTTTCCTGTGTTGATATCACATCAGGCTCGTCACTGTCGCAATTGAAAGAATCTTCAATATCCAGTTGCAAGTTGTGCCGCTCCTCACGCTCAGAAATGGCTGTGGATGGTGCAGGGGGGACCTTGAATGATGGACTCGGAAAAGTGGACTGGTTGGTCGCATTTATGGTTGAAGGTGTCTGATTGATTTCTTCTCGTGTGGGAATAAGCTGTGTGGTAGTTTTTGCTGTGTATGCTGTGCTGGTAAAAGGCAGGGCTGTGGTATCTATCTCTGAGCTGATATCACCGTCAAGCCTTCTGCCTACTTTATCAATGCAAAATTGTTGTATTTGGAGCCGGGTTTCATTACAGACTGCCTGTAATCGCTGGATATCATTCGCCAGCTCGCCTCTTCTGCGCCGCTTGTCGTCTTCGCTGATAGACGTAGACTCGTCAACTGATATATTTTGACGCAGAAGCGACGATAACGAATCCATTTGCGCCATCAATGAAAATTGTAGCTTGATCAGTTCTCGCGCGTCCGTGCTCATGAGGTTGACATTTTCAACCATCTTGGATAGGTCAGTAAAGGACAATTTTTCCTCTCGTGATACGCTTTTCGTGGTGGAGTTGCTGGAATGGCGATTAGCCAATATAGCTTCTATGTCGTCGTCGTCAGAAAATTCATCATCATCATTAATTCGCGGTTTCTTGCTGAACGAGCTGCCGGCAGCTTCATTTGCCCTTTTGCGCGCTGCAGCGACCCGTTCGTTCGTCAGATCGATCACACACTGGCTGCTCTGCGACGATCCTAAACTCCGTTGCCGCACAGAGTCGGCTTTGCGTGCCATGATTCCGCTCATTTCACTAATTGTTTCCGGAGTAACTGTACTTGCACGCACCAGAACTCTCGACTGGGTCTGATTGCTGATCCGTGGAGGGAGGGCCACCGATTCACGGGCGACATCCGGAGGAGCAGGCTTTTTGATGTGTTCTTGCAACTGGTCTGTAGTCAACAGCGGAAACTCGGGAACAGGGGGAATCTGAGGCCTCGTTTGGGACAGCCATTTCAAATGGTCTGTGATGTTGAGGAGCATCAAATATTTATATTTTATTCTTCGCGTTGTTTATATTGAAAGCATTTTTTTACGTTAGTATTACATAAGCTAATTTAAAGCATACACCGCAAGTACCTCGCTCTGCAAACACAACCAAGCCTTTGGCAGTGCTCATAGAGCGTCAGAAGCCAACAGTGTAAGGGCAACGACACAACGCCAGTCGACAAGTCAGATAAATCTGAACCTGTCGGGTTGGCAATCATATTCCAAAAAGTGAAAGTAACAATAAAACCCTCATGGCGAGGGAATTCCAGTTGTTACACTGAAAAGAACAGATACTACACTTGATCTAAGCCAAAAGGCAAAGAGATCTTGAAGAAAAAAAATTTTGGGCCGGAATGGCTCAATTTATACTTTGACAAAAAAAAAATGGACAAACCGGGTAACATGTTTACTTTTCAGCCCCCCCGCCCGCAAAATCTTAGTATTTTTACGCGAGATCTAAACAAAAATAGCACAATTTTTGCCAAAGCCCAGTTTTCGGTTATTTTAATCCCTATCTTTTTTCTGGGACCCGATCTGGTGTTTTGCAGCTTGCCTTTGAGCACACACCACGAATCATGTTCAAGGCTTTCTTTCCAAGGAAGAAGCTGTTGAGTGTACTTGTGTGCTTTTTATTTCTTTTCTTCGTCTTTCTGCCCGCGACCCATTCAGCACCGGTTGAGTCCGTCATCTCCGATTCCACAACCGCGGCGGGGCCTATCCGAAGACATCAACCGCATGAGTACGTGAGACCAAGGGTGTCTCGTCCGAACGGAGATCACGATCCCATCAGAGAGAACTCCAACGAGAAGGCTCTCAACAAGCTTTTAAATTCTCAGTTTAACAAGGCCTTGTTACAAACGCAACAAAATGACATCCAAGATACTGGTCCGCATACTATGGACATGGCAAAACTCCCATTGGGGGCTGGAGCCAAAATAAAATCCGCGATTCATGTGGATCAAATTGCTGCTCCCACAATTACGCCAGCCACAATGGCTGTGGTAGAAAAGCCGGAAGCCCATGGAGCTCGGCAAAACCCTCTTATAGATGGGGGTCTAGTGTCAAAGGGCTCTTCGCTAAAGTTGGTGGCTGGTGATCTGATTATAGCCGGCCCTGTAGAAGAGGTCACACTGGATTTCAACGCCAAAGAGTATCCCGTTCACGCTCGACTGCTACGCATGTATGGAAAAACGTTTGAGGATAAGTCTTTGGATTACAAGTGCGAAAAATACTTTGCCGAGCTGTACTCATTGGACCCTGATTGGAGTGTTTCTCCCCACAAGCAGGTTTACGACGAAGATCAGCTTGCACAGATGGTCCATCGCGCAAGGCACTTGACAACTTACGGTCACTGTTATCTAAACCACAGTGACGAAAACAGGATCCGTTCTTACGAAAAATTAATTGAAACAGGCCACCAGGACATTGAGTCGCGTGTATTCCCTTATTTGAGCCGGAAAATGCCTGTTTTTGTGAGATGGACGGGTGAGCAAGTTCTGGATCCCCCACAAATAAGCAGATACCTGGACGGAGCTTTAAACGACCCGGATCTCTCGCAAATCAGCAAATCAAAGCTGCAAGTTACAGACGAATCGGGGCCAGCGTTGTCTCACGAGTACCCCTTTTTTCTGCACTACAAAAATCTGGTCAACGGGAAAGGCGTGGTGATTTCGTGCTCAGACAGGTTCCTGAACGACACGCTGGCGCTGATTCGCAATCTGCGCGCTCTGGGAACAAAACTGCCGGTGCAGATAGTACACCGCGGGGACCTGTCGCTCGACTCTCAATGGGCGCTGGTCAACGAGGCGAGAAAAACCGACATTTACTATCCTCGAGAACAATTCGATCAGCTGAAACAGCTGGTTCACGAAGAGTTTGACGCAACTTTCCCAAAGTTGGAGCTCTGGTTTGTGGATGTGTCGCGTGCGCTGACTCCTCAGTACGCCTCTGAGTTTCCTAATTTTTACAACAAGCTTCTGGCGTATCTGTTCAATTCGTTCGACGACATAGTGCTGCTAGACTGCGATGTTGTGTTGTTCCGGAAGCCTGAGCAGCTATTCCAGCTTTCGCAATACAAACGCTCGCAAAGTGTATTCTTCAAGGACAGAAGCCTCAATCTTAAAGTGAACCATGGATTCATCGACTTCCTCAAACGTCTGTTGCCAACGGCTACCGATAACTCTTTTTTCGGGATCAACAGGGCTTCGTATAAGACTCTGGGAACACGCTATTTTGTTCTAGAGTACGGACATTATATGGAGTCAGGTGTGGTGGCTATCAAAAGAACAAGATACTGGCAAGGTCTTTTCGTGACGCTCTATCTCAGTCTAATAAAGCCAATTCATGAGAACGTGTGGGGAGACAAGGAGCTGTTTTGGCTCGGTCAATCTGTGGCGGGCAATGAAGAGTACATGTTCAATGACTATTGGTCTGCAGCGATCGGCACATTGACAGATCCCGACAGAAGGGCGCCGTTTAAATCCCAGGAGCTCTGCTCAACGCACCCAGGACATTTATCTTCCGACGACGATCGATTGTTGTGGATCAATTCGGGAATTCTCACATGCAGGAGAACTGAGACTTTCGAGAATGATTTTGACGTGTACAACGCAACTCTAGGCTTTGAGACTAAACAACAGCTGCATGAGTACTATAAATCTCCTTTGAAAATTGAGCACGCAATAATTCCTCCAGACGCCATGTACTGGGTCGACAGCTTCGACACACCGCGGGAGCCAAGACAGGGCTATATCAAGCAGTACAATTGTGCGGCCTACTTATGGTGTGCCTACGACAAGATCGGTGGCTCAGAGTTCCCTGAACACCAAGGGAAAGTGTTCAGGTTCGAAGCGTCCGATACCTTGCTGTTTGACTACGTGGGCCAGGTCTATTTGGGTCAAACATAGAAGCAAAACTGGATTCGGCATTGTTTCACTGTTTGTAAGAAAACGGGCAACGGGTAGGGGATCGTCATGCATGAGAAAATAGTAGTGGTTTTACCGTTACAACCAAAGAGGAACACATCGTCGCTGTACTTGTGCGAGGCTGAGTCATCTTGGGGCGTGTTTAAAAACCGACAACTTTGTGATTACGTAAGCAGTAGACACCGCTATTGTCTGGATAAAAAGACCAGGTTGTGAATGTATACTCCCGCTCCAAACGAATTTCTCGTTTAGGTAATGTATCTGGAGAGCAATAAACGTTGAGATGGCCAGACCGAGAATCATTAGATTTGGATATCTTGCACGTTGACGATTGTGGCGGTTGCTTTATCACACGCCTTGAAGGCAACTCACCAACGATTGCCATGGTCCGCATGTCATTCTTGATTCTGATGGTATTAGTTCGCTGCAGGGCAGATTTTACAGCTAGTTGGCTTTTCGGCCAAAAATATGCAGCATCTTGATGTGAGACTTGCATCGTGCATAATTTTGGGTTTAGGCAAACAATAGGCCCAAGCCCTTATCTATCACTTTGAACTAAATAGCAACTGGCTGCACCGTACCTTAAACGCAGAAACGCAGATCCTAACTTTTGAGACTTTTGGGTTCTTGCTCCTGGACGATCTCTAGTGCCTCTCCGTCCACTGTGAGGCTATAAAAAGCCTCAGATTTCCATAGTGTATGTATCCGTAAATGAAGATTCAAAACCTAGCTGCCTCCCTCTTGTCTCTCGCTGCTACCGTCTGGGCGCATGATTCTCATCATGAGGCCCATCACGACGACCCTCATTGGCCTCCACACCCTGGTTACCATCACAACACCACCCTGAGTACGCACAGCAAGCCTGTGCCTAGCCACTTGCCGAAGCCTTCACCAATTGCTGGCGGCTCCTTCAATGATACCCATATTATATTCAACCTCACCGTTCCATGCTCGCTTGGCTCTGGCGGTATGGACTGGTTCAGCGATATTTCCGACACTAAATACTACGGCTACCATTTCTTACCAGAACACTTCAAGGGATACCACGACCGGGAAGGCAGTTTCTCAGAGATCGAAATTGATGTCGACGGGTCAGGTCCTACAAGATTGGAGGTGATAATCGGCGAGAAATGCAAAAGTCCTGATGACGCCATCCATGTGGAAATCGACGCTACAATCGTAAACTCGAAGCCAGGTTATATTGGATACTTCTTCCTCTACACGGAGGAGAAGTCTGGGAGTCACGAAAAGATCTCCACTCACCTTATCACTGGAGTGGCCACCGCTGCCAAGCAGACCCCGACGGCGCTACCTCCAAAGCCTACAGAGTCGCCTAGTCACGAAGACACTACGCTGCCACATGGAATTAAGTTCACAACGGTGCCAACCCCAACCTTCAAGCCACATTTCAAAGAGGACCATTAATGTTTCGAACGAATGAATAGCCACAGTGAACTTCTTGCTCGCTCTAGACTCCGTATTTATGAACCTACAAGAGTCCAGATCGCGGATTCAAGATGTTGCGCATGACTTCGTGCCAGCATATTTTGTTTAATTATAGACCTTATCTGCAGTAGACGAATCTGACTCGCTGTCAGAGTCGCCCGAGTACTCCGAAACCGACTCCTGGTCGCTGGAGTCTGGCTCGTAGTCAGCAGGCTCGCCGTCGAACACCCGCACAAACTCGACGCGCTCTCCGCACCGCAAACACAGCCACGGATCTCCGTCCTCAAGCTTTGCCATCAGACACACATAGCAGTAGACGTGGCCGCAACTAGTCTCGAATGGGTTTGTGATGAGGTGTTCGTCGATCGACGCGTCGGCCACACCAGCTCGCGTGGTGTTTTGATAGCAGATTGCGCAGCACCGTTCGGGAAGAAACCGGTAGATGGTTTCCTTTTCATCCTGTTTCTGATCCGTCTGCAGCAGCCGCACAACTGACTTGGACAACTTGGACATTGAGAGAATCGGCATTATAAACACGAGGAATTCCGTCAGTGTGTTCCAGACCAGCTGTCTGTCTTGGAACTCGTACGAGATGGTCTCCGGGTTCGACGCAAACGAGACTTGTGTGGATACGAGTGGCTTGTACCTAATGCGGAGAACTCTATTGACAAGATTTGGGTATTGTCCATGGATCAGGAAGGCAAGAAAGTTGGCAAGCGAAAGGCCGGCATACCATTTCTGGAGCGTAGGCAGAACCCTCTGTAACCTGGCCATAATCATGTGCACATATTGATGCCATTTGGTGCGGTCTTCCTCATCGTCAGCATCTAGGCTGTACAGATGTGACTCCAGCTTTTTGTACAGATAAGACAGGATCAGATACGACAAGAGGGCGGTCTTCTTAAGTCTGGAAAGCTCCGACTTGGTATTTCTGCGTCGATCGCCACCGTCCGACATCACCAGATTCTGAAGCAGCAGACCATAGCTGCTACTTTTGTTCCATATTGTCACCTTGAAAACACACAGTTCCAAAGCTAGTCGCAGCTCATCAGAGTATCTGGAGTTGAGAAGCTGGAAAAATCGCGGCAGCTTCGGGTTGGAGATGGCCTCGTTCAGCTGCTTCGCGAGAATATCAAAAATCTCATTATCTAATAGCTTGGCATCCACTTGAAGAACCCTGTTCGGAGGGTTCACCAAAGGAAACATGGAGACTAATGATTAGGCTATAGAATTATTTTTATTTTCAGCGACGATCGTCCGCGACGATTAATCATACCTCAAGCTGAGAATAATTTGTCCGCTGTCAAACTTTAAACTGTCAATCAGGGATCGTGGTGTTCCTGCAATGTGGGCTATAGACAGTGTCCGGTGAATTATTAATTTCGAAAAACTACGCCGTTAACGACTTAACTATCTGAAGATCGAGGAAACAAGCAAAGACACTTAGTTGTTGATGGATAATTTGTCCGTTAAGACCAAGAAACGCAAGTACTCAAAAGAGGGCTGTGTGGAATGCAAACGACGCAAAATCAAGGTAAGTATGCGGCTTGTATCTAGACTAATTCCAGTGCGACGAGGCCAAGCCTATTTGTTGGCACTGCAAACGGCTCGACAAAATATGTGTTTATCAGCCTCCCAGGTCATCGAAGCTTAAGGACATACCTTTAACCAATGTTTCTCCCGTGGGATACTATCCCACGCCATGTCGTGCGCCTGTCCCCGTTCAACCAAACGATCTTCGTTTATTCTCCGTGAATCGAATGGGGCCACCAATACTAGGAGTTCACGAAAACACTCACGCTTCGCCATCCGCGACCGCCATACCGTATCCCTCTGAATCCTCGGGAATGAACGAACAGTCGCAGTCTCCACAGAGCAACTTCCCCCTGCACTCTTTGGGAGCATCAGCGAACAACCTGGCACACAGTCTCAACGATTTGCTGGAAAGCAAGATAGACGAGATCGGCGTTCCCAACGACGACAGTGAAATGGAGAGCATGTTCCGTATGTTCAAGCGCACAGAATACCAATGTCCAGACTTGACTACATCTTTGGACTCCGTCAACGGCTGGGGAATTCCTGATTTCCTTACCAAACGTATTTCCATAGATTCTCTGCAGTTCCCCGGAGAACACAGAAAATACCTCGAGCTTTTCGACCACGACTACGTCCGAGTGATTATGCCTTTTCAGCCCTTGCCCCATTACAACCCAGCAAGGGAGATTCTTTTAACATACGCAAACAAAAACAATTATCTTATGGCTGCCATCTTATCATGCGGTGCTCTGCAGAGTTTCCGCAGAACTCAAGACCAACAAGACGAGAAGAATTATTGCTCGTATTTGTCAACTTGTCTACAGCTGTTGTCCACTGTTCTTGCTGAGCAAGATAAGATCAGCAGCAATGTGGAGCCCATGCTACTCACCATCCTCCTACTCACGTCGTACACCGCGATGTCTCTTGTACAACAATGGAGACCGCATCTCTGTGCTGCAAAGGACCTGCTTTCCACATATGCTCCATTCAGTGAGGATCCGCGTCTTCGGCAGAGAAACTCCTATGTCGTGGCATTCTGCCGCAACTGGTATCTGTCGATAGAGAATATTGCCGGTCTCACGGCTCCGCTAGGTGGAGTGCTCAAAAACGATAGAGAGCTCGACCTTGCCATGTACGACCTCCCATATACTCGTGCCTACTGGGAGAGTATGATGTGCTGTCGCAGGGATGGTTTCAATTATCTTTATGGCTATTCCAATACACTTGGAGTGTCGCTTCAAAAACTTATCAAGTCGATAAAAATCATGCGCAGCAAGAACCATTCCTCACCACAGTCACCCAACCTTTCCGCGTTTACAATTTTTGAGCTCACAGCCGATTTTCACAGAGAGTCCCAGTTTGAGATCATCAGCAAAACCGGAATTGTGCCTAGAACTCACTTTATGCATCCTGATAACAGTCATGCCCCACCACTGGGGTTTGAACCGCTTTCACCAGAAGCAATCGAAAAAGTCGAGTATTCTGATGGCACTTACGACTACATTTCATGGTATGACGTGTGTCACCAGTCTTTTGTGATCACTGCGTTCCTGATCATTACGTCTGATCTAGGTCGGATCCCTAAAAGACACCCGATAATCCAAGAACTGGTCCATCGGGCACTACATCTCCTCCGATTTCTGGACTCTGAGAAAGTAATGAGAAACTATTGTGTCCTCATGCTCCAGGTGGCCGTATTCTATGTTGGCCTAAATTGCGTGTACGATCGCGACCGTGAATTCGTCACTCGCTTCTTCACCCAAATGAATAATTTGCACACGGCGTCGGCCTCCATTACACTCAAAAGACTCAAACGGAAGTGGGAGCGCTATGACAAGATACATGATGGCGACACAGGGACTTTTGCTTTTGAGCCGGACCTCGAGGACGACGACTTCGAGGACGTGATGAATTATTAGGGCGCGTCGATCGGCCCATATCGGCGCAAATATTGATTAATCTTCAAATTTTTAATTTTTAGTGTATTTTCTGCAAATACAGTCGTCATGAATGCCCAGGACGTTAAAAGGCGAAAGACGGATTCAGGCACGTATTCGTCATTTCTGATAAATATTCCTCTTGAGCTCATCCGCTACATGCAGCTGTCTCGGCAGGATTTGATCAACATATCACTTTTGGACAGCTCCCACAGAGCAAAGTTTTATCCTCTTGTTTACGAAAGGGCGAAACTGACATGGCGTGACTTCAAAGCTTTTAATGAGAACTTTAAGTCCAAGGATCTCGTTCGCGCAATTCGCATTTTCAGCGACCTCAAAGACCGAAAATCTACCACCTATGGCGAATGGAACATATCGCTCAAGGGGATACTGGAGAAGTCTTCCAATCTTAAGGAGCTGGTGATTGAAGTTATGTCGTCGGCTAGGTGTCTAAAATACCAGGATAAGTTTGATACCGATTTGAGCGCCAAGATCGAGAAACTGAAACTAATTAGTCATTCCGTGGCGCCCAACGATGAGTCCCTTTTTGAATTGACTCAGCTGCAAAGATTCCATAACATCAAGCAGCTCACTCTCAACGGGTTTCTTCTTGCCAAGGACCAATACTTCTATCCCAAATTCAAAACCGATTTTAGCGACCTTAAAGAACGGAGCAGGGATGGCCGTCTCGTGTTTTTGAACGATCTGACCTTGATCAACTGCAAATGGGACCATCCATTCAGTCTCAGTGATGTCTTTTCGCCTGTCTACCCTTTGCCGAATCCGCTTCTTAAGTTGGAGAGCAACGAGTTTACGTCACCAGAACGCCTCTCTCTGTTCTATAGCAAGGACTCGTCTTCCTTTGTGGCTGCCGAACGGTTCAGATCTTTTATTGACAACGATGCAAACGAGCTTTTTCTTTTTGAGACACGTTTCTATTACAATTTGAAACACCTTTCGATTGTAATTCTCAATGAAGACTATAATGACAACAAATACAACTACTACTACCCATGGCTTAACTGGTTAAATTTGAAAAGGATATTTCAGACACAGAATGAAGAAACGCATGAGATCGAGAATAAATCGATTTTGACCAACCTTGAGTCTCTCAAACTTGTTGGTTGGAGAATGGCTACAATGAGCGAACTACGCAAGGTGTTTGAAATTGGGAAGGAGCTCAAATACAATATGAAACACCTGGCTTTGTACCTCGTTAGACCTGTTCCACACTTCCAGGAGGTCAGCGAGAAGGAGAAGCTGGAATTGCGCAAGGTTGAAGAACAACTGGAAATAATCTTCAACAGCGGCCGAAACAAGCACACATGTATTTTTGAGGTTGGCTACGTGGAAGACTGTTTTACTGACGAGAGATATGTAAAAGAGTACTCGAAAAATAATGATTAACGAATACAACAAGTACGGAAACAGCACCCCCCACATTCGTCCCGCGCTCCAAAAAGCGGGTCATGTAGTTTTTTTCCCCAGGTGCGAAAGTACTAAACTTCGCGGCCGTGTTGTCATCTCGTGCAATTTTATTGGCCAGTTGACAGGGTGCGTCAGCATAATATCACGCGCATGAGGGGATGACCTGTAACGAGTTCCGAGTCGCATAGTAACAAGTCTTTAAAAGATGGTAGTACTTAGTCTCAAATAACGGTTCGAAGCCACTTCCCAGTTCTCGCAAGTCAGAGACCCGAAGCCTATCGGTTTGAGGACCGGATATAGGCCATATCGGTTCTCTCCACCAACTATTCATCGGTGCTATTTTTTGTAAAGTCTACATTGTTGGCGCACCCCATGCCGGAAAGTTATAAACCGGATCCAAGAAAACCGGAAATAACACGATTTGTATATATAAATATTTCCTCTCCGAATTTCCCTTCCGTCTTGTAACCATTCTTTTTTATCATGTCTGCCATTCTCAAGCAAAGAGTCCGTTACGCTCCATATCTCAAGAAGCTTAGAACCGCTGAAGAGTGCATTCCTTTATTCCAGCACGGTCAATATCTCGGATGGTCGGGCTTCACTGGAGTGGGAGCCCCTAAGGTCGTTCCTCAAGCTCTTGTGGATCACGTTGAAAAGAACAGTTTGCAGGGCAAATTGGCCTTCAACTTGTTCGTGGGTGCCTCTGCCGGTCCAGAAGAATCGCAATGGGCTCAAAATGACATGATTTTGAGACGTGCGCCTCACCAAGTCGGTAAACCGATCGCCGCTGCGATCAACTCCAACAGAACCCAATTTTTCGACAAACATTTGTCCATGTTCCCTCAAGACCTCACTTACGGTTACTACACCATGGACAAATCCAATGATCTTTTGGATTACACCATCATCGAGGCAACTGCCATCACCGAGGATGGCGCTATCGTGCCAGGTCCAGCTGTCGGTGCCTCTCCTGAGATGTTGAGCTGCTCCGACAAGATCATCATCGAGGTCAACACCGCTACTCCATCCTTCGAGGGATTGCACGACATTGACATGCCAGAACACCCACCTTTCAGAAAACCATACCCCTACACCTCTGTTGATCAAAAGAACGGTTTGCATGCCATTCCGGTTGATCCATCTAGAGTCGTGGCCATCGTCGAGTCCACCACTCCAGACAGAGTCCCAGACCCAGCACCTTCTGATGAAATGTCAAGACGGATTGCCAGCCATTTGATTGAGTTTTTCGAACACGAGGTCAATGCTGGTAGAATGCCAGACAACCTGCACCCATTGCAGTCTGGTATTGGTAACGTTGCTAATGCCATCATCGGGGGACTGGCAGACTCTTCGTTCAAGAACCTGACTGTTTGGACAGAGGTTTTGCAGGACTCGTTTTTGCCATTCTTTGAGACAGGAGCCATGGAGTATGCTACTGCCACATCCATCAGACTGTCGAAGGACGGATTCAAGAAGTTTTTCGACAACTGGGACCTCTTTTCGAAAAAATTGTGTCTGAGATCGCAGGTTGTGTCGAATTCCCCAGAATTGATCAGAAGACTCGGTGTCATTGCTATGAACACACCAGTCGAGGTGGACATCTACGCGCACGCCAACTCGACCAACGTCAATGGATCCAGAATGCTGAATGGACTGGGAGGATCGGCTGATTTCCTGAGAAACGCCAAGCTTTCGATCATGCACACTCCAGCAGCCAGACCTACCAAGACAGACCCTACCGGAATTTCGTGTGTTGTTCCATTTGCGTCACACATTGACCAAACCGAGCACGACTTGGACGTGATTGTGACGGATTACGGTCTTGCCGACCTCAGAGGATGCTCGCCAAAGGAGAGGGTCAGCAAGATCATCAACAAGTGTGCTCACCCAGATTACAGAGCACAGTTGCAAGACTACTATGACAGAGCCCTGTTTTACTGCGAGAAAAAGAAGACGATGCACGAGCCACACATTTTGAAGGACGCTTTCAAGATGCACATTAATTTGCAGGAGAATGGTACCATGAAGTTGGACAGCTGGGACGTCAAGTTTTAGAGCTGTTTGCGCGAGCTAGGATTTTAGAATGAAATCTTGTATAACGTATTCTCCAATCATAAAAAAAAGTTGGATCCGATAGTAATCCTTACACCTGCTTTGCACCGAGTTTTCAGTGTTGACGAAAAAACGTTTCCCCAACAACCTCCTTATGTCTGTGGAAGAACTGAAAGAGTCGGTCGAGAAGCTCGAAAACAGAATCAGAGCCTTGGAATCCAAGGCTGGTCTGACCACCAAGTTGCCAGCTGCCCTTAGAATGGTACTCATCGGACCACCGGGAGCAGGAAAGGGTACCCAGGCACCAAACCTCAAAGAGAAATTCTGTGCTTGCCACCTGGCCACAGGTGACATGCTGCGTTCACAAGTCGCGCAGAAGACTCCCTTGGGATTGGAGGCCAAGAAAATCATGGACCAGGGTAAGCTTGTGTCCGACGAGATCATGGTCAACATGATCAAGGACGAGCTGGCCAACAACCAGGAGTGCAAGAACGGCTTCATTCTTGATGGCTTCCCTAGAACCATTCCTCAGGCTGAGAAGCTCGATCAGATGCTGGCCGAGAACAAAACTCCTTTGCAAAAGGCCATTGAGCTCAAGATTGACGACGAGCTGCTTGTTGCCAGAATCACTGGTAGACTTGTCCACCCAGCTTCGGGAAGATCTTACCACAAGATCTTTAACCCTCCTAAGGAGGCCATGAAGGATGATGTCACTGGGGAGCCTTTGATCCAGAGATCCGACGACAACGTCGAGGCCCTGAAAAAGAGACTGGTCACCTACCACGAGCAAACCGAGCCAATTGTCGAGTACTACAAGAAAGCTGGTATCTGGTCCGGGATCGACGCCTCACAGCCTCCGAAAACCGTATGGGCTGACATCCTGAAATGTCTGGGTCAGTAAAGTTGCCCGTAATTTGGCAGAGTGTAAAAACAAGTTGTCTATATAAAAATACAACCTCTATTTTGCCATGTCTTTCATATTCAAGTCGCCGCTGGACATACAGCTTCGTCTTGACGGAGAGGACTCGCGTGAGACAGTGGAACAGAAGGGCGTCAAGGGACGCAAGGAAAAGCTCCCGTTGTACAAGGACGGCGAGACCGTTAAGGGCCAGGTGACCATAAGAACTAGAGACAACAAGAGGGTGGAGCACACAGGAATCAAGATTCAGCTTTTAGGCACGATAGAGACCAACAATGATGGCCTGGTGACCGACAATTTCCTGTCAATGGCGCACGAGCTTGCCAGTCCCGGGGAACTGAGGCATCCAGAGACGTTTCCGTTCGAGTTCAGAAACGTCGAGAAACAGTACGAAAGTTACCGCGGCATCAATGTACGTTTGCGATACTATCTCAAAGTGACTGTTTCGCGCAAGTCAGCAGATGTGATCAGAGAGAAAGAGCTTTGGGTGTACCAGTACCAGGACCCCGAGAGCGCAGATTCCGAGAGCGTGGTGCCCACGAGCTCGGTGAAAATGGATGTCGGAATTGAGGATTGTTTGCATATTGAGTTCGAGTACTCCAAGAATAAATACTCCCTGAAAGACGTGATTGTGGGAAGAATATACTTTCTGCTGGTGCGGCTCAAAATCAAGCACATGGAGCTCTCACTCATACGAAGAGAGTCGTGTGGAGCGCCTCCAAACCAGATGAATGAGAGCGAGACCGTTGTCAAGTTTGAAATTATGGATGGGGCCCCTGTCAGAGGAGAGACGATTCCAATAAGATTGTTCCTTGGTGGATTCGACCTAACGCCGACGTACAGAGACGTCAACAAGAAGTTCTCCACGAGAACATTCCTCAGCCTGGTCCTGATAGACGAGGATGCTCGTCGGTACTTTAAACAGAGCGAAATCATACTGTATAGGGAAAAGAACGAATAGCCCCCGTTGATCAAGGCTGTGCACCAGCCTTAATTATTTTTCCGCACTGTATGCTAACGGCTGTGTAGAAAGATCTTGAACATGTTCAGTTTTGCGTGCGTAGAAAAGTCCACCGCCATTCCCGTCCATTCCGACAAAATCGATCTGCCCGCATCTGTGCTGGAGTTTCTGGTGAAGCAGCACGATCCACTGCCGCATCCCCTGACGTTTCGGCTTGCCACCGCCACCAACGTGTGCTACGCCGGCGTACGCGAGTTCAGTGCTCCAGAAAACACCATACTTGTTTCAGGCGATTTATATGAGGCTTTGAAAGGAGAAGGTGGGTTCCCAGTTCAGGCAGAGCTGGTTGAGCTGCCAAAGGCCACTGATCTGAGCATCAAGCCGCTAAAATTATACAAGAACATTTTGAACTGGAAATGGTTTTTGGAGGCAAAGCTCACCAAATATTATTGCTCGCTCACCCGAGGGCAGACTTTGCACCTTGAAGATGAGTTTGGCTCGTATGAGCTTCTCATTGACAAACTCGAACCGGCGCCTACAGTTTGCATCATAGACACAGACATCAACTTGGACGTTGTTCCTTTGAACGACGAAATGGCCAAGCAATTTTTGCACAGGGAGACTATCGACGCTATTCGCGTCAACCAAAGTGCGCAGACCGATAAGTTGCTCAAGCTTGAGCTAGAAGACCACGAGCGTGTGCTCATCACTGCTGATACAGACTATGTCGTTTCCAACTTACCCAATGTAAGCGACCATTCTTTTATATGGCATACGTTGAACGGTGACAACAAGCTGATGCTCCAGAATACGTTTCCTTACTTTGAAAAAACGCTGTACCTGCTGCCCTTTGGGCCCACGCTGGTTCAACTGTCGGCATACTCGTCTGAAACAGTCAATCCCGTGTCCTCAGATAATGTGTGCAGCAACTGTGGAGCCACGGTAGCTGCTACCTCTAAAATCATGCACGAGAATTTTTGTCTGCGCAACAATGTCAAGTGTCCGCACGGCTGTGGCAAGGTGTTCCTTAGAACTGTGCCTGAAAATCATTGGCACTGTTGCGAAGCGTACGGAGACGACGAAGCATCTTTCAACAGACACCGAAAATACTATCACGAGCCTGTAACACTGGAATGCTCGCGATGTTCACAGGTGGTCTCAACCAGATTGGTGGACCATTGTGTGCATGTTGCTACAAGCTGTCCTTATACGTTGCATGAGTGTAGATTTTGTCATTTGATGGTGCCCAAGATGGAGGCCTCTACGGATGCTCTCCTTTCTGGTATGTCACAGCACGAGCTCGAATGTGGATCAAAAACTACAGAATGTCCAAGATGCAAGCGAAATGTCAGACTTAGAGACTTGGAGTCGCATATGAAGCTTCACGAGCTCAACAGAGTGTCAAAGCCTAAACCCGTGATCTGCTCGAATGTCAATTGCATTCGAGAAGCAGCTACTTCAAACGAACTGAAATTATGTGATTTTTGTTTTGGGCCACTATATTCACCTGTCAATGATCCAACTGGCCAAAAATTGCGCAGCCGTGTCGAACGACGGTACATCCTGCAACTGAACTCTGGCTGCGGAAACACGTGGTGCAAAAACAAGGAGTGCAAATCTAGCGGGATGGTGTCCTTCAAGAACTTCGGCGAAATTCTAAACCATATTAAAACACAGCTAATGAGCTCGCCTGTATTTTATTTCTGCGTGGACCTAGCAACTACCAAAAAAATGTTGATGGTCTCGCTGCTCTTGGATGAACACGAATATGATAGAGCTTGGATCTGCAAAGCGGTCCAAGCAAATGTCAATCTTGACGACGTCAGATCCTGGCTGAGTAATAATGCAGTGAGAATCGACGAGGCGTAAACTTACTTGAATAGCTTGGTAATAGAAACTGCACCTTCCTCATTCTTGTTCATGACTTTTGCAACGGCAAGTTCAAAATCTTCCTGTGTAACATGTATTCTTCTTTCCCTTAGTGCGTACATTCCGGCCTCTGTGCAAACTCCCTTGATCTCAGCACCAGAGCAGCCGTTCATCTTCTCTGCGATTTTCATAAGATCTATTCCTCTCGTCAGGTTCATCGACCTCGAGTGAATCTTAAGAATATCAGTTCTAGCGTTCAGTGTTGGTGGTGGGAATTCAATCTTTCTGTCAATTCTTCCCGGTCTTAGAAGAGCAGGGTCTAGAATGTCCAACCTGTTGGTAGCCATGATGATTTTGATGTCTTTCGACGATTCAAAACCGTCCAGCTGATTTAACAACTCCAGCATGGTTCTCTGCACTTCAGAGTCGCCTCCACCCGAAGAACTCTCCACTCTGGAGGATCCAATAGAGTCGATCTCGTCCATAAAAATAATGGAAGGGGCGTGTTCCCTGGCCATCACAAACAATTCTCTAACCATTCTTGATCCCTCACCAATGTACTTCTGAACCAGCTCCGATCCTGAGACTCTAATGAATTTACAGTCTGTGTGGTGGGCCACCGCCCTTGCCAACAATGTTTTTCCTGTTCCGGGTGGTCCATACAAGATCACACCCTTTGGCTGAGCAATACCCAAACTCTCAAATAGTTCAGGGTGCTTCACCGGAAGCTCAATCACCTCCTTGATTTCTTTGATCTGCTTGTCAAGACCACCAACCATGTCGTAGGTGGAGTCAGGAACTTTTTCAACCATCATGAGGGAGACCAATGGGTCCACTTTGTTAGGCAAAATTTGGTGCAATTCATAGGTGTCACTTCTAAGACAGACCCGCAAACTTGGGGTGATCTTCTTGATGTCGATGTCATTCGCCACATTCACGACATACTTTCCCTCTGGGTGAACTTTCACTAAAACTTTCTTCTTTCCCATAACCTTCACAACCTCCCCCACATAGGATCCCGGCTCTTGTAAAAGCTTCAACTCGTCTTTTAATGCCCTGACTTTGGCGTTCAATGCATTTCTTTGTGCCTCCAGTCTTCTCAGATTTTGTGTCTTGTCGTTGACTTGAATCTCAAAATCCTGTATCTTCTGTTTGAAAAATGGCTTAATGCCTGCTTCGTGTGATGCTGCGGTCGCCATTTTGCAATTGATTATGTTTTCAAAAAGAATCTCTCTTTACAATCGTTAATTTTACTTTGGTGGCGAATGGAAAAATACAGGTTGGTGTAAAGGTGCAGCCAGCAACTGCTGATAAAATATACATACATGCTTTTCCGTTTGTGGCTCTCAGGTCTCGTGTTCACCGGCCTCGCAACATGCTTCCAATCGTATTGTAAGTGCGATTGCGAGGTGAATTACGAGATCCTCGAGCTGGAAACGGCTCATGGCTGTAGTCAGTGCACAGTGCAGTACTGTCTGGATCAAAAAATTGACATGTGCAGAGATCCAGAGAACCGCGACTTGATGACGGCGTACTGTTTCCGTAAGTGCAGAAACCTAGATCCATACGGCTAACCGCACAGAACGGGAATCTTACAAAGACAAGGTGATAATTTACGGATTCTGCTTAATTGTATTGGCGTCGCTGGGAGCCATGGGAGCAAAATTGATAGTTAGCAAACTTGGGTTTCAATGAGGGTAAAGCTAGGCACGCTGAGCAAAACCACATACAATGCTCACTACAATAGATATGGCTCTGCCGAACCCTTAAAATTGTGGATCGAAAATGACTTTCCGGGTAACGGTGAAAATTTATTGAAAGCGAACAAAACCAAAAAAAATCTTTCTCTTGTAAAAAAGGTAATTGTACCAATATATATCTTATTTTAGATATATATATCAGGAACTTCCTATTCGTAGTTCCTTAGAAACGTGTTTGCTCACGTGGAATCCGTTCGGTACCTTTTTCTTCTATCGGGATCAATACTCCCTTGGGAATTTTTCATCAACCCATTGACAATTTGATCATGTCGAACCCAAATAGCGTTCCACCTACAGGGAATGCGCATCACCATTACAACTCCAATTACCACAAGAACAGGAGAAATAATGGCAGCTACAGTAATTACAGCCAGTCACATCCGCAACCTCCATATTATCAGCAGCAAGGTTGGACAGGATATATGACCCAGCCATATCAGGCGGCCGCACCTGGTTATGCTTACAGTTACTACGCGCCATCTCCGCAAGGAGTTTCAGGAGGAGCCTACTACGCGCCGCCGCCACCCGGTGCTATTGCTATCAGCCCTACGCTGCCGAACTCAGCGACCCACACCCCGGTGACAAAACCCGTCAACCTGAGTATCAAAAATAAGAACGGTGAGGCTGTCCAATTCAATAAAGGCCACTCCAAAACTGCATCTTTGTCATCTTCATCGTCGTCCTCCACGCCCGTTCTGTCCAAAGTTAACGCCTCATTGCCTGCCGTTCCGCCGTCAACTAGCTCAACAGCGTCTGTGCCGATGTCACCAAGCAAAAAGGATTCTTCCCCAGCAAAGCCGGCTCAGCCAGAGGTGAAGAAGGCAAACGAGGAATTTAAGGCCAAGTTCCTGGAGCAACTGAGGCTCAAGAACTCCAAAGCTACTTCAGAGAAGAAGGAGGAGAAGTCGCAACCGACAAAAGAAGTCGAAAAAGAATCAAAGCCTGATGCAAGCTCCAAAAAAAGTGAACCTCCTAAGGAACTACCTCAAGAGATTTCCAAGGAGGCTCCAAAACCTGCCGAGAAACCTGAAACTTCCAAAGAAGAGCCAAAGGAGCCTGCTGAATCTGCTAAGCCTGCTAAGCCTGCCGTGCCAAGTGCATCTATTGAGCAACAAAAGGAGGAGACCAAGGAGATCGAGAAGACTCAACCAAATTCCAAGCAAGCTGAGAAACCTGAGGAACTTCAGGCTGTTCCAGAATCTCCTGTTGAATCAATTCAGCCTAAACCTGTTGCAGCAAGTGCCCCCTCTGTAGACGAGGTAAAAGAAGAGGCACAACCTACACCCGTGAAGGAAGAACCAATAAATGCTGATTCTGAACAAACAGAAGGCCCCAAGTCTTCTCCTGTTGCAGACAGCCAAGAAGATACCAAAGATGAGACTGCTGAGCCATTAGAAGCTGCTTCTCCAGGTATAGACAAGACATTCGATATGACCCGCTTTTTCGCTCAAATTTCAAAAGCTACTCCAATCAAGGACATTTATGCCTTCCCCTACAAGGAAGGACAAGAGAAGCCTGATCTTAGATTGCAAAATTCTCCTAAGAATAAGTACAGTCCGCCATTCTTACTTCAGTTCCAGCCGGTCTGTCAGTTTCCTGTTGATGACGAATGGGATGCCAAAGTGAGGTCGATCATTGATTTGGTGGGTGCCAAGAAAGAATCACGCGATCGCGGATTCTCTAGATCTGGAAGTCAGTTTGGAAGAGGCGGGGCAGGTTCGTCGAATGCTATGCCAAGAAGTGCCACCCTCAGAGGTGAATTTGGATCCAGAAACGGTTCAAGAGGCGGTTCTAAAAAGAAGATGGGTCTAGGGTCTCGTGAAAAGAGTCAAAGACAAGGATCAAAGAAGCCTAGAAGATTGGATGATGAAAAGGACAACAAAGACGAGGAGACCGAAGCTCCTAAGCAAGTTGTTGAGGTCAAACCGTTGGAAAAGTCTGCTAATAGGTGGGTTCCAAGATCACAAAGAAACAAAGAAAAAGAGGTTCGTTACGCTCCAGATGGTGTCACTGTGATACTAGAAGAAGATGATGTGGAGGCCAAGGTCAAATCGCACTTAAACAAGTTGACGTTGGATAACTTCGATACTATTTCCGCAGAAATCATCCAGATCGCCAACCAAGCGCGATGGGAAGATGACGTCAAGACACTGAAGCAAGTCATTGAACTCACTTTTGCCAAGGCTTGTGACGAGCACTTGTGGTCTTCTGTTTACGCAAAACTGTGTTTGACGCTTTGTACAGATATTTCTGAAGACGTTGAGGATAAATCACAGCCTCGGCCAGAACAAGTTCCAAAACGGGTCTACTCCTCTGGATTGGTTCGGAAGTTGTTGTTGTCCAGATGTCAAGCAGAATACGAAAAGGGCTGGTCTGATAAATTGCCAACCAACGAGGACGGCACTCCTTTAGAGCCAGAGATGATGTCTGATGAATATTATAAGTTGGCAGCCGCCAAGAGAAGAGGTTTGGGTCTTGTCAGGTTCATTGGTGAGCTGTACTATCTTAACTTGCTCTCGGAAAAGATTATTATCAAGTGCCTTGTTGATCAGCTTTCCGACTCTGACTCTCCAAGCGAGGACACTTTAGAGACTTTGACACAACTGTTGACGACAACTGGTGCCAAGCTTGACTCTAGCAATAGAGGCCCACTGGACTTTGCATTCGAAAAAATCAACCACATCATTAATAACTGTCAGCTGTCATCTAGAATCAAGTTCAAGCTTATGGATCTTTGTGATTTGAGGGCAAACAGATGGGCAGATGCTAAGATAAATGCTGGCCCAAAGACCATTGCCGAAATTCACCAAGAGGCCGAGGCTAAGCGTTTACAAGAGGAAAGAGATGCCATCAGAAGGCGTAAAGCTGACCCAAGATCTGGCTCTTCGAGATCCAACAGCTCGAGATCCAATTCAAAATGGGGAAACAGCAATCAAATTTCCTCCAATGACATATCCAAAGTTGGTGTTGTGAGAAACTCATCGGAAAGATCTCTCGGGCCTTTCAACAAGCAGAAAAGTAAGCTGTCCTCTTCTAAACTGAGCCAGCAGCAATTCACCACGGTGCCGTCTGCTGGTTCTGCTAACTCTTCTGGCGCCTCAAGTGGACAGAAACGTGCGGGCACTCCTCCTGACGAGCCAAGAGAGGCATCCAGGAATATATTTGCTGCTTTGGGCGACCATGAAGACGAGGATAGTGATAGAGAAGCAGAACACCACGAACCGGAACCAGAGCATGAAGGAGCTGATATCTCTTCCGCACATCACGAAGGTGTCTCTGCTGTGGCAGATTCAGAGTCACAAGCTTGAAACCGGAAATGAGAGCGAGCGTAGGCGCTTAGCTTCACGTCCAGTTTTTTTCCATTTCAGGGTGAGCTCTACGGTTCACGTTTGTAATGTCGGCATCTTTAACGACCACCTGTCAAACATATTATTTGTACAATCAATCTATGCTCAAAAGCCATGGTAGATTACTTTACGTTTATAAACCTTTAGTGTTGGCTTTCAACCATGAGCTGAACGAACTCGTCTGCCGGGTTGCTGCCAAATTTAGCTGTGTCGATGTTGAAGAGAACCTTTTTGATTGACACGTTGATTTCCTCGCTGCCAAATGCAGACTTGAGCTTGTAGATGATATCTTTTCTTTCTTCGGAATCTTTTCCAAAAGATGTCAGTTCCATAACGGAGTACAGCTCCCGGAGAGTAGTGAGGTTGTTGACAAGAATCTCGTCATTGAAACAATTGAGCGCATCGAGGCTCTTGAGCAGTTCGTGATTGGAAGAAGTGGCCAACACAATGAGTCTGTGGCCCTCTGGCGGTGACTTTTTCAGTCTCGACATCAGAGCTCTTAGGATCACAGAGGAGAATCTAGGCCCGATCGGCACAAAGTCAATGAGCGCCTCGATGTCGTCAACAATCAACACATTCAATGGCGATTTGTACGCATCTCTGAATGTATTATCAATGAACTGGACCTTAGCAGATTCCGACATGCCAATCATTTCATCAGCAGTGATAATTCTAATAAATGGGAACTTTGAGTTGAGCCCAAGATAGGAAGCCAAAGCAGTCTTACCCGATCCAGGGGGGCCATATAGCAAGAGGGACGAGAAGTTGAACTTTTCGGAGCTCTGCGTCTGCTCCAGGGCCCTTTGAACACGGTGAATGATATGGTCGATTTTAGGGGAGTACTTGAGAATGCCCCCCTTGATGCAGTCGTGCAGATCCTCTTCATGGACACCAAATGCAGGCTTGACCTCATCCAAGGCACTTAGGAAACAGCTCATATCTAGAACAGTGTTCTCCAGATCGCCGGTAATCTCTCCAACAGTGCCCACTTTGATGTGCTGGTTCAAGGCAAACGAGGTGGCCGACTTGATCAAACCTTCTAGTTCTGCTCCGGAGAAGTTCTTAGTCAACTCTGCCAGCTTCTCGAGGTCAACGTCTTTACCCAAAGATCCGTTCTCCTTCATTTTCTTAGTCTTGATTTCCAGGATCTGTTTTCTGCCCGCGGCGTCCGGCAGGTGGATCTCCACTTGAACTTCGAATCTGCCCGGTCTAAGCAGTGCCTCGTCAATCAAATCTCTTCTGTTGGTCATGCCAATGACCAAGATATTGTTCAGCTGGTCCACACCGTCCATCTTAGCAAGCAGTTGGTTCACCACATTGTCGGCCACTCCAGTGCCGTCTCCACGCGAGCCACGCTGCTTGAAAACAGAGTCCAGCTCGTCAAAAATGATGATGTGAAGAGAAGAGCTGTCGCCTTTCTGTTTGTACTCGGCCTCTGCATCCTTGAACAGGTTTCTGATGTTCTCCTCCGAGGAGCCAACATATTTCGACAATATCTCTGGACCATTAACAATTTTGGGCTCTTTAGCGTTCAGCATCTTTCCAATTTGACGTGCAATTAAAGTTTTACCAGTACCTGGAGGACCGTACAACAACATACCCTTGACGTGCTGGATTCCTAGCTTCTCAATTAAACCGGGAGGGAATATACGCGAAGCAAAGGCTCTGCGGAAAATTGAGGTGAACTCTTTGTCAAGACCTCCAATGCCCATGTCCTCGAACTTAAAGTCTGGGCGGATGATAGCATCAGAGTTGGGGCGCGTGCTGGAGGCCTTCAAATTGACTAATCCGTCCGAGCCTTTGAAGAAATTCACTTTCGTCTGTTTCACGCAGATACCCTTGTTCATTATGTCTGTGGAAGTCGGCACATCTTGCAGCTGAACTTCTCCCAAATCGATGACCTGCGAGGAAAGGATCTTGATCTCAAAATAGTTGCCTTTGAACTCGAACAAAAGGATCTGCGACGGCTGCAAAATCTGGGTGTCAAATCGGTGCACAAATGCTTCGCTCATCTCATCGGGGTCAAACTGTATGTTGTTTGCGCGATTTCTGTTCCAAAAGTTGATCTCCACATTCAATGTGCCTAGATAGGCCCCCTTCTTACCATTAGATTGGAACAGGTCGTATGGAGCCACCGTGATCGTTTGGTCTGTGGACCAGGACCCCCAAAATCTTTGGTTTCCGCTGAGTCCTATGGTGCCGGGCATGCATTTGGTGGTGGCGACGCAACTGAACACGAATTTGCCGTCGCAGATTACATAGCTACCGTCCTGGAAATCCTGTGGGGACACGGCCACGCAATTGGACTTGGCAATCTCGTTGTCGGGCGAGTTCTTGACCACGAGGCTGCGCGCGGCAGGCGCAGCGTGTCTTCTAAAGGGTAGTTTTTCCATTCTACTAAAAGACACAATATTATTTGAATATAATACAAATATAAATAGCTTGATTTTTTTGGTGCAGAGATGGAAAATAGGCATATCCACGAGAATATGCTCTTCTCCAGTACAAACCGTTCTATTGTATTAACGTTGCTGGAACATCTGTCCAAACTGTGAGGCCATTCCCCCGGACTGTTGGTACTCGGTCATAACGCTTTCCAAGAGTGTCAGAGCGCACAACAAGCCAATCAGGGCTCCAACAGCAAGGCCAGAGGAAAATCCAAGAGCCTCGACGGCGCACACAACTGCCGACACAATCAAAGCACCCGTGGTGGAAGCCACCGGAATAATTTTTCCGAGCTCTTTTCCAACTGCTGTGTCTCTGTGGCCAATGAGAGTTATATCCTGCTCCTTAAACTGTTTGGCAATGTCTTTGCCGGAGGAGCCTGAAATGTTGCTCCACAATTTAGAGAAAACCGTAGACACAACAATCACAAATAGAGAGAACGTGACCGGTCTAACAAGATAGTGCAATGGCGAAGCGCCCTTAGGAGAGGCAGAAACAAAGTACAGCAGGCCCGAAGTCAAATTGTAGGTGGAGAAGTTGAACTCGTCCAATTTCCAGTTGCCAATATATTGCACATACTGCACGGAGCTGAAGATTCTGGTAAGGGCAAACCCAATAATGTTGAGGTTGTAAAGCACAGCGTAGGTGAACAGCAGAGGCAGTGCTCCGCAGTATAGCAGCTTGATTGGGTACACCGAGGCCATGGATCTGACTTTAGCGGACTTGATAGGCACCTCAACTCTGAAGTTGCCAAAGTACACACCTGCAGCCAGAGCCGCTAGAGTGGCGTAAATCTGGGTCAGGTTGGCCAGATTGTCTCTGGTGAACGCGTCGTAGATGGCCAGTCCGAAAGGCTTATTTTTAAGGTTTCTGATCAATTGAATCAATGCACCGTGAGACTCAAAGCCTCTGGCGGTGAGAGTGGTGGTGAATCCAAGGAAAGAGGTGACGAACTGGGTGGAGGACGAGACAGTAATAATTGCCAGAATCCCAGGGCCAAAGCCATACCCCTTGTCCAGAAGTTCCACCAAAAGAGCAGTGATAAGTGCCATAAACGTCAACTGGACAATGTAGGTCAGCTTGCTCCAAATGGACAACGTTGCTTGGGAGGTAAATTGGTCGACAGGGTCGAAGTAGCCAGCAAACGAGAGCAACACAGCGTAGACCAAGGCGATCAACACCGCGGTCAGTTTCTGCCAAGACTGAAAGAGCTCTCTATCAGACCTGGACTCGAAGTTGATTTTGATGATTTTGAATCCCGCAAGAGTCTGCCACAGGAAACCGGCCGTGACGATAGGCAATAGCCCAAACTCCAGTGCTGTTCCCGCTTGAGAAGCAAATGGAACCCGCAGCCAGCCAAATGGGTCGGCAATGCGGTCCTGGGCCACGTTGCTCAGTGGAAGGCCAGCAAGCAAGTATACAGCGACCGAGGCGATGGTGTAAACGATTTTCTCGTCAAACTCGATTTTCTGATAGGGATACTCGACTTCAGGAAGAAGCGAGACAAAAGGTTTAGCAAGGTCCAATAAACGGACTGCGGTTAGTCAAAATTGGATACACATGTTATACTTACTGCCACTCATTATCACTTGTCCAATTTGTTTAGGATGCTTAGTTTTTCAACGAGTGAAAAAAAATTGGAGTCGATCGTCGCTACTGAAAACATGGAACCCGATCAAACTAATATTGACGCTCAGATAGATTACGACGCCGCTATTCGGTACTGGAGCGGGGTGGAACCGTCTGTGGATGGTGTGCTGGGCGGCTTTGGAGAGTCCACGAGCGTGCCCAAGGCCGACATAGTCGGTTCGATGACTTTCATCCGCAAACTCAAGTCGCGCTTTTCCACAGAACCCGGTAAGATCAGCTACGGGCTAGATTTCGGTGCAGGCATTGGACGAGTCACAAGAGATTTCCTGCACAAGGTTTGCAACAAGGTAGATCTGCTGGAGCCCGTGAAGCCATTTGTGGACCAGATGTACAGAGAACTGGCTCCACTGGCAGAACAGGGTAAGATCGGCGAAATCTACCAGATCCCAATGCAGGAGTGGGTTCCACAGGAACACGGTAAGTACTCTCTTCTGTGGTGTCAATGGTGTTGCGGCCATCTGCCGGACGATGCGTTCCTCCTTTGGCTTGATCGGTGTAAGGATGCATTGCAGGAGGACGGATTACTGGTGATCAAAGAAAACAACGTGAATGGAGACGAGGACGTGTACGACCCGGAGGATTCGAGCAAGACTCGCTCCGACAAGAATTTCCGGCGGCTGTTTGAAAAGGCCGGCTGGAAGCTGATAGCTACGGATCTACAGAAAGGAGTGCCTAAAGAATTATATCCGATCAGAATGTATGCATTAAAGAAATAAATACCAAGGCTAGTGGTCAGTAAATCCGCTCTCAGATAGGGGTGAAAGACTTTTGATGGAAAGTTTTTATCTTCATGCTATTCAGTTGAACTATGCATTCATAAGTCATCATTAAGCGATTTACTTACCTTTTCGCTGGAAAGGTGAAAAATATTTCAGAGAAAAAAATTATTTTCCCGGTATACACTGTTCTGGAATATATTCATGAATGTTCCTCTGGAGCACGGGAATATTCTGAAGCACAAAAACGACCAGATCAGGTCCAGTCTGGCGAAGATAGAGCGTATCCATATATACGAGTTTGACAATGCTCTATTTCGCACGCCACTGCCTAATGCGCATTTGTTTAATGCTGAGTCCATAGATCTCATGACTAAAAATCCAGACCCTCTTTCCAAATTCAACTGGTTTTCCAGCGTGCGTGTATTGAAGGAGGTGGGGAAAACGCGGGTGGACGAAATGTCACTCAACACAGAAGGACTGTGGAATGAAATACTCAGACAACTGATAGCAGAGTCGAACACAGACAAAAACACCCTCACAGTACTTTCAGTTACACGCATTCCCGAGCTGTTCACCAGTATGATTTTACGTCTCTTGAAGACGGCTCAGCTTGATGATTGTTTCGATTGTATTTTGATGAACGAAGACCCCAATTATCTCGATCTCATTGTGTCTGCTACCACGCCTTTATGCCATGAGCTGAAGGAGATTACATGTTATGCGGCGAACAAACAGCTACAGGTGGACGGGATTGGTTGTTTAAACATTTCTGTGCCGTTCGAGTCTTCCTACCTGCTGCCGCAGCTCGAGGTAGCTATTGTCCAGGAGATGCTGCTGGGAGAGCCTTTCGAGCTACGTCGCAGTATTTTTTCGTCCTACTACATGCTCAGTCCAGCTTCACGCCAAGAGCTTCTGCGGAGGACCGTTACGGAAGACTTTATACCCCTAGAGGATCGACCAGGGTTGTTTTTTGAGGGCGAAGGAGTGCTTATTGGAAAGAACCAGCTTTCTCAAAGTAAGTTGGACGAGCTTGGGGGTATATCGAAGAAAGTCATCATTGGCGCTGTTAGTCTTGGCAGCATCAAGGGCCGAATTTATGCCATGAGGGTGATCATCAACGACGAGAACGCACAGACATATTTGCAGCCACCAGTCATTGTGATTGCGCGAAAACCAGACGCACTGCTAAAAGAGATAGAGGACATTCAAAACTGGCAGACAACGCGCGAGTTGTTCAGTTTGGAGGCGCGAATCGAGTACAAGCAAATATTCAAGATCCAGAGCGAGAAAAAATAGACTGTATAGTACGCGAAAAATAAATAAATAATCTGAATTGTCATATCGATATGGGTCGCGGCGCCCGCATACTGGATAGAGCATGGGCCCGGTTTACCGACACCGACCGCATAGCAATAACTGATACCGGGGCATTGATTGAGGAGATTGAGCAGATCTGGGGACGGGCGCTTCTATCTCCGGACTACAAGGCATTCTGGATCGACACCATTCTGGAGCATCCTAGCCGAAGTCTCACCAAGCACGAGTTTTTGGTGCTGTTCAAAATGCTTTTTGAGGTTGAGTTTGAAGATTTATTTGATACAGACACAGATCTCACGAGGCGAACAGACACGCGAACTATAAAACGAAAAGCTCCTGCAGCATTGTCTTTGGTAGAACAGAAACAGAGGTTGTTTCAGAAAATTAGCATACTGAAAGGCACGCTAAATGCGCAGCGGAAGCGGTCGGTCGACGAAGACCGCACAATGGAGTTGCAATTGAATAGACGACTTGTGGACTGCTACGAGACATTAATCCAAGTCTATGAGCAGCTGGCGGCCGAGCCCGCGGACTCAGCACTAGTGCTGGCGGTGAAGCGCCAGGACGAGCTGCTAGCCCAGTTTCAGCGGAAACTGAATCGTACGGCCAAGATAAAACTCTGGCGTTCTTATTTGACGCTGCTGGTGGCTGGACTGCTGGCATTTTGCATCGTTTCGTACGCAATGGGACTCATCGCTGACCTTCCGGAAACCAATGATGACGATATAGCACCGACGGGCTACCGACGGCTGCCGAACAGGTTTTTCGACTCGTTGAACCCGATCGACAGGCTTTTCTATAGCGGCCTGGAATGGCTTGGATATGTGTAGTTAATACTCCCAAGTTTTGCAGTCGATGCATGTGTCCTCGTGGCCGGGCTCAGGCGACTGTTGAGTGACGAGCTTGCCTCCGTGTTTATTTGGCTTGTCTATGTGACTGAGCTTGAGCTCTGGGTAAAGATGATCTCTGATGCGCTGTTTGAGGAGCTTGGAGTCCGGGAACCCATCCTCCTCCTTCCTGTCCCAGATTATAGTCCAATCCGCGTTCTCCTCCCTCTTCACCGCCACTTGGAACGTCCCTGCAACCAGTGAGGGAGACAAGATGGCGCAGTTCACAGTCAGCGTAGTCTCGTTCTCGTCAATCGCTTTCGAGGAAAACGTCTGCAGAATCTCCTGTTGGTACCACGCGGCACGGAGCATCCACTTGCACTTGACACAATAGGAAATGTTGACTGCCGGATACGCAATGGACATTGTGCTAACTTTGTAAACTAAATAGGCTATTTTTTTTGCGGGGCCCTTGCTCAGAAAATCAAGTGCGCGCGAAAGTGCGGGTGATAATCCGCAAATATATATACCAACTCGGGACAGACAGACAGTTATCCATGGTTTGCGACACGATAACATATCATCCGACTCTCACGAAACTCATCAACTTCCTCGAGACAAACAACGGCCGTGACAAGCTGCTCAGAACGCTGCAATATGTGACGAAGTTGCTGGCTTACTATCTACTTAGGACAGGCTCCAGCGTGAACCATTACTATCTGGTGAGAAGACTGCAGGATTTGTTCACGCTCAGTAGAAAGCCATTGAGAGCCCTGAAGCCACTGAAACACCTCAAGGCGCTCTCGGTGACTGTGGACAACGAGCTCGGCGATGGATATACGAAGCTGTTTGAGAGCGTCAAGCAAGCCAGCTACTCCTTGTACTACGGGTTCGATACTGTGCATTGGCTCAAGTTGCTAGGATTGCTGCGGAACAGAAACGGCAAACTGCTCGTGAAGGTTGAGCAAGTGTGTAGCTTCTTCTGGCTAGTGGCTCTGGTTTCGGGTCTTTTGCAGAATGTCAGACAACTCAGAGTGTCGTATCTGAGAAAACAAGAGCTGCTCAAAGAGCTGGCCTCGGATGACGACCAGAACCCACTGGACAAGAGAGGCAACCTTGAGAAGCAGAAAGAGACCCTCGACACCCAGAATGTCCAGCTCTACAGGGCAAAGAGAGACCTGGTGATCCATGCGCTCAATAGTCTGGTGGCGATCAACGGTCTCAGCCAGAAACGTGTCAACAATGGTGTTGCAGGCGGCGCTGGCGTGATCACTAGTATTTTGCAGCTCCAAGACCTTTGGAACGCCACTAGCACGACCGAGTCTTCTGTGCTATGATTTAACGCGAAATGACTTCTTTTATTAATTGATATATTTACACTTCGATCTTGATTTTGCGACGCGCGTTCTTCTTGTCCTTCAGTTTGCGCTTCGCTTGTACTCGCGCCTCCTTCTCCTTTTTACGCAAGTCCTCCCACCGCTCCAGCGTCGCCTCGTCGGTCTCCTTCCTTGGTTCTCCGCACCTTTGCACTGCGCTCACAAATTTCTCCAGGCATTCCATCACGTTCTTCTGTCTGTATCTGGTGGAATCGCTCATAATGAGCACATCGCCCGCATTAGTAAAGTAGGGAAACCGTTTGGATTCTGGGCAGCTTTTGTCCTTGTAATTAGCCATCAGTTGGTCAAAAAGGGCCGGATCGACCCACGTCCCTCGAGCACTCTGCCACGCCTTAGCAGAAAGACGAAGAACAGCCTTCGACTCCGTCCTATTCACATGCTGGCCACCTGGCCCTGACGACCGGGCGTATGTCACATTGAAATACTTCAGCAGGCCTGAATCAGCTCGAAGCGGAGGCCAGATACTTCGGCTGTAAAAGCGCACGAACCTCACAAACATCCTGAAAAGTATTTTAAAGGCTGTGTTTCCGATGGAAAAAAAATATCAGAACTATCTGAGAAAAAAATTGGGGTCGACAGGGAATTGAACCCTGGACCTCCTGCTCCCAAAGCAGGAATCATACCACTAGACTACCGACCCTTTTACGTTACGTTCAGTGTAACACGACTACCTATAGTGCTCGTGAGTCCTTGATAACATTATACAGTGCAAACCAGGCAAATGCATCTTGCCGAATCAGTCGCTGAATTTATGATCTTTCGGGGATTTGTGAGCTTCAAGCCTCCGGGCCTTTACGGTAATACCTAACGCGATTCTTATGCATGTTCTTTATGCCGTTGCTACAGGTTTTCATCGAGCACAGCATCAAGTATCACAGTTGACAGTATCTCTTAGTCCGTTGTCCTCTACTCAGTCTCAATCTGGAGCCAATACAGAGCATAACGTCAATCTAGCCCAATATAATAGATGCTATATATCATTCCAACTTAAATAACACCTTTAAGTTCTCGTACATCAGGTAGCTGATTGACACCGCAGGAGCCACCTTGGCGAGGTTCGGAACCAGACCCTTAAAAAGTCCAGGAACACCTTCCCGGGTTATTGTCTGCTTAAACACATCGAAGAAGCCATCGTAAGTATAAGGATGCGCAAATGTTCCCTGAGCCTGCAATCTCGTTCGAAGCAGGTTGATCGGGTACACCATAGTGGCTCCAAAGGTGCCGCTAACAGCACCCAGGGTGAGCACCAGATAGTTCGGAAGTACCACGTCATCGACGGAACAGTGCTGTTTTTCTGCTGTTTTTTTAATGTACCATTTTTTCACAGTGGAGAAAGTGCCGAGGTCTAAAGCCGCGTACGGGAACATTCCGCCCAGTCCCAGCGGTAGTCCTCTGTAAAATATCCTCACTCCCCCTTCCTTAAACATGTCTTTGGCGGTTTTCACGAGCAACTGGTTACCTTTTTCCTTGGAATCCAACGATGCGCATTGGATTCGATATTTGAGCGTATCTATTGGATAAACAGTAATCTGTGCAATAACTCCACCAACACCCCCTGAAACGAAGGTGGACACTTTCGAAAGCTTTGACACATCGTCCACTCCTTCAATGCCACACAGAAACTTCTTGGTGGCCTCAAAGGACCCGAACTTCATCGCGCTCTCGGGGAACACCTTGAGGACGTTGAGTCCATTTCCAACGTAGAATGCACGAAGGCCACCTTGTTTGTACAAAGTCTTCGCGGCGCGGACCAGTGGCGACTGGATCTTCTTCTTGGACACAGGGTGATGCACTTTCTCCTCAATTTTGCTCTGTAACTCTTGTCTGTTGTTTAGAAGCGTCGACGCAAGGTCGGTTCTTGCAATCAGGAACACCTTAACTCGATCGAAGGGCGCCGTGCAGGTTCTGGAAACAACACCAGATAATCCTCCCGCAAGGAAATAACCCACGCTTTTGAGGACGTCGTCGCTCACGGTGACATCTCCTTCAGACGATATGTTCTCCATCTCATCGTTGAGGAATTTGAAGGCCGTACGGACTCGCGATCCTTCCAGCCGCGGAATGAACAGCAGGCCATCACGGAACATCTCGAAAGTGACAAACCCGCGGTCTTCGAAATCCAGCTTTCTAAAAAAGGTGTCGACTTCGGATGGGGTGGGTTTTAAACCCAGCTTGAACAGGTACGACTCCACATCCTTCTTTGTGACCTTGCCATCGTGGTCACGGTCGACGTTCTCGAAGCCCTTGGCCAATTGGGCCTCTGCTTGGATAAGGTACTGGTTAAACTTCTCAAAGCTGATCCAGTCACTAGCTGCTTCTTGGCCAGCAAGAGACTTGTAGATCTGAGAAATTGCGAAATGAGAGTCTTTGAGTGGATGGTCTGTAAATTGCAGCGCTCGCTCAAAATCCTCGAGCGTGAACTTCCCGTTGTTTTTTGTATCGATCTCATCAAACAGCTTCTTGTGGCGCTGCAGCCGCTCTGTCAGGCTTTCTTCAGGCATGAACTAAACAAGTCTAGGAAGTTATTTTTTTTATTGGTACTTCGACGCGTCGAAAAACTTCGTTATTTTTCTTCCATTTTTCTCTTCTCATGTCGGTCAACATATTTGGCGACCAAGTCACTGAAGAGCGTGCCGAAAACGCGCGTCTGTCATCGTTTGTGGGCGCGATCGCTGTTGGCGACCTTGTCAAGACCACATTGGGCCCTAAAGGAATGGACAAACTACTGCAATCCTCCTCTTCGGGCGACTCGATGGTCACCAACGACGGGGCCACGATCCTCAAAGCTATCCCTTTCGATAATCCTGCTGCCAAGGTGCTTGTCAACATTGCTAAAGTGCAGGATGATGAGGTTGGAGATGGCACCACGTCGGTAACTGTGTTTGGCTCAGAGCTCCTGCGGGAGGCGGAAAAACTCGTTGACCAGAAGATCCACCCACAGACTATCATTGAGGGCTACAGAATCGCGTGCCGCGCAGCGCTGGCCGAACTGGAGAGCCTGGCAGTGAACAACGTTGATGATGAAGCCAAATTCAGAGAAGACCTGATCAACATCGCCAAGACTACACTTTCGTCCAAGATTCTATCCCAGGACAAAGAGTATTTTGCCAAGCTGGCTGTCGACGCTGTTTTAAGATTGGGCGGGTCGACGAATCTTGATCGGATCCAGATCATCAAAAAAGCAGGCGGCAAGTTGTCAGACTCATTCCTGGACGAAGGATTCATTCTTGACAAAAGAATTGGCGTTGGCCAGCCAAAGACGCTCAAGAAGGCGAAAATTCTGATTGCAAACACCTCCATGGACACAGACAAGGTCAAGATTTTTGGTGCAAAGTTCAAGGTGGACGCCACCAGCAAGCTCGCGGAGCTGGAGCGTGCCGAGAAGGAAAAAATGAAGGCCAAGGTGGAAAAAATCCAGAAATTCGGTATCAACTGTTTTGTCAACAGACAACTGATCTACGACTGGCCCGAGCAGCTGTTGAGCGATGCCGGTATCACCACTATAGAACATGCAGATTTCGAGGGTGTCGAGAGACTGGCCCTCGTCACCGGCGGGGAGGTTGCGTCCACGTTTGACAACCCAGAGAAGGTGAAGCTTGGCTACTGCGACTCGATAGAGGAAGTTATCATTGGAGAAGATATCATGACAAAGTTTTCGGGCGTGGCTGCAGGCCAGGCTTGCACCATCGTGCTTCGAGGAGCCACCGAGCAGGTCATTGATGAGGCAGACAGGTCTCTGCACGACGCCTTGTCAGTGCTTTCACAGACCACCAGGGAAACCAGAACAGTTCTGGGCGGAGGCTGCTCAGAGATGAATATGGCTCGTGCCGTGGAACAAGCTGCTCAGAAGGAGAATGGCAAGAAGTCGCTTGCCATTGAAGCATATGCTCGTGCTCTGAGGCAACTGCCAACCATTCTTTGCGACAACGCCGGTTACGACTCCAGCGAATTGGTTTCGAGATTGCGCTCATCCATATACAATGGAATGAGTAGCTCGGGATTGAATCTGAACGAGGGAACAGTGGACGACATGAGACGGTTGGGTATCTTGGAGAGCTACAAGTTGAAGAGAGCTGTGGTGTCGTCTGCTTCTGAGGCGGCCGAGGTGCTGCTGCGTGTAGACAACATCATCCGTGCCAAGCCTAGAACGGCGGACCGCGGAATGCACTAGTAATACATAGCTGGAATAACATAATCGAGAATGTTGTAGAGAGTGGTGGGTCAGAAGTAATTATTGGATTTTAAGGCTCAGCTTCCCGGTTAGCGTCAAGTTTGGCTGGTTACGATATAAACACAAGAAATGGGTCGGTAGTCTAGTGGTATGATTCCTGCTTTGGGAGCAGGAGGTCCAGGGTTCAATTCCCTGTCGACCCCTTCTTACTTTTTTTTTGAAAAAGTTATAGACCTGGATTGCAACATGCTCACGTGTCGTGCCAAAGTTACTCGCCTCAAAAGCTGTTATTTTTTGCACCGCACTTCACTGTAAAACCGTCCCGCCCCCCAACATCGATCATTCTCTAGCATTGAAGAATTTCTTCAATTTAATAACTCCCCAAATTTAATTTAATAAAATTTGATAGCATATATTCCGTGCTTATCTAGTACACTTCAAGAACGTATCTACCATCCTCCTTCAGTTCCTCAACCTCCTTGGCGCTGTCGATCTGCACACCCTTCTTGACCGCATCCGCCTCCAAAATATCCTGCAAACAGGCGGTGATGTCTGGCACGGGCCAGGTAGGACCACACAGGTAGAAGTGGCCCTTCTTGGCCATCATGAGGTCGGTCAGCTCCTCCAAGTTCTCTCTAATCTTGTCCTGGATGTACACCTTCTTCGGCTGATCTCTGGAGAAGGCTGCTCCTATGTATGTCATGATGCCAGAGTTTAGATAAGCCTCCCAGTACTCACCGTACAGATACTCCTGTCTCTTGTGCCTGGAGCCAAGGTATAGGTATATCTCGCCAATCTCGTGGCCCTGGGTCTGCTGGTAATATCTTTCCTCCACAAACGCCTTGAACGGAGCCAAACCGGTTCCGAGACCAGCCATGATGATCGGCTGGGTGGTCAATGGGGGCAGTTTCATGATCGACGTCTTGACCGACACCACGAGCTCCTCGCCAATACGCAGGTCGCTCAGGTATTTGGAACACTGACCGTATCTGGTTCTGCCCTTCTTGTCCTTCCAGTCAACCACAACAACCAGCAGATGCACCTCGTTTGGATGCAGCTTCTGAGACGACGCGATCGAGTACTCTCTTCTCTTAAGCGCTGGAATCAGCTGCACGAGCTCCTCGGCAGAAGGTCTGGCACTTGGGAACAGCTCGAAAATGTCCACGTAATTGTAGAACTCTTCCTCCTGATACGTCTTGAGCAGCTCTGCACCGTCTGCACTGCCAAGTTTTGTGAGGGTGGCTTTTTCGTCAGCATTGGTAGCATATGCTGCAAGAGACTCGTAGAATCGTTTTGGCGGTTTTCCGAGCACGTCTAGGTTCTCAATGAGCGCCTGTCTGACGGTGCGCACCTCGAAGACGGTCTCGTCCTCCTTCGAGGCCACCTCGACTAAGGCGTCTGGCTCCAGACCGTACATCTGTATGAACTGATCGACGATCTCCGGGTTGTTCCTGCCGTGAATGCCGAGAGCCTCTCCAATGTTGTACTTGAGACCAGTACCACTCACGTCGAACTCAATGTGGAAAATGTTCCGGTCGTAATCGGTAGGCGTCAACCGTTTGTTCTCCTTCACTCTGACCACGAAGTTCTTCACCGGCAGGTCTGGTCGCAGCGCCTTGGACACGCCGTAGGCCTCCTTGAACATCAGCTTGCGCACCAGTTCCGAGCGTGGCTCTACCTTGATGCTCGTGGTATCCACAAGTTTTTCCCTAGGGTTAGGCTCGAACGAGGTCTCGACAAGGTCGACAAACTTAGTCTCTTGCTCGTCTTCCCCGGCGTCCTTGACCACGACCTCCAAAACGTGTTGCTCAACCTTCTCTACCAGTTCGGCAATCACTGATGCCAGCAGCTCGGCCTCGCTACCGAAAGCTTGCAAAATCTTGGTCACAATGGCTCCCGTGTCTAGTTCTGGATAGGCGTGCTTCCAAAATGCGACCTGGATTGCAATCGACGCGGTACGGCCCTTGGTGGCCTCCTGCTCGCCCACGGCGTTGAGGTCAATCACCTTTAGAGTGCGTTGTTCAGATAGCAGTCGCTTCTTGAATCTCGCCGACAATGTCTTCTCAACAAACTTAACTTCGTCAAATTTCTGTTCCGGGCCGTTCACCACAAGCAGAGAGCCGTTCTTCTTAAGAGTCTTGATCACGTCAACTTCGTTCAAGATCTGTGCATCCTCAACAACAAGGACATCGAGCAAGTCGCTCGAAACGCAGCCGGTACGGATGTCGGCAGAAAACACACCAGAGTTCACCATGTTGTCGAACTTCGGCCGGTACTGAATGTCCATGTCCGGCACCAGCGACAGCGCGTGGGTGACTTTGGAAGGAACGTCCACAAATGGTGAGTTGTCTGCGGTGAGGAACTGGAAATGAGAGCCCGCCTCGGCCACTGATGTTGCCAGCCGCTCCAACTGTGCCACCGTCTCATCCACAACCTTCAAAAAGCGTTGCTTCACGTACAGAGCGGCCTGGACGTCCAGCTTGAGCAGATTGACGCCGTGGAACCTCTCGCCAATGACGACCACCTGCTTCGTGCTGGCCGGGACCAGATCAACAAACTTGGCCACCTCAAAAGGAAGCGCCGTTCTCACGTGCACGAACGCCACGTTTAACCGCTTCAGCATGGCAATCTCCTTCGAGCCGTACGCAACGTAGACGGTCTCAGCCCCCTGGAGTCCGTGGTACTCAAACGGGGCATAGTTGGTGCCCAGGACCTCATTCAGCACTGAAAGCGCAAACGATAGCTTCGACGAAGCTGGCAGCAGCTGGATCTTGCCGTTCAGCTTCTCGTACAGCTCGTCTGCAGCAGCCCGGATTCGCTCGTTCGACAGCGAGCCTGAGATGGTCTGATTGGTTTTAAGGAAGCTCAGACCATCAAAGAGATGGACCGTAGTGATCTTCAGCTTGGCCAGAGCGTTCGTTAGAATGACAAAATGCTGGGCCTCGACTGCGTCCAGAGAGTGCAAAACGGGCAGCTTCAAGTTCTTCGCAACAGACAGAACCTTGGAATATTGCGAAACCAGTTGGCGGCTCTTGAAGTCGTACTCTAAGCTGGCAACGTTCAGCGATAGAGCCAGATTGTGGTGATTCTGATTTTGCTGCAGCAAAACAGGCTCCATGTACTCCAGCCCAGAGCTTGGAACAATCACAGACACAGGCTCACCGTCAATACTCTCGTTCAAATATCCCAGAATAAGGTTTCCGCAGCCTGATCTCACCTCTAAGTTGTACAGATTAGGGACCTTGTTGTTGAGGTTTTTTCTGTTCAGCTTGTTCCACAAGCCCAGCAATGAGCGTCTGTCAGGGACATCATGGTGGCCCAGCAGCTCGTAGCTGAAAATCTTGTCGTTCAGCAGGTAGACGGCTGATAACAGGACGTTAAAGGGGGACGTCAAAACACGACCCTTGAGCTCATAGGGGTCGAGCGGAAGCCCAAAAGGTGAGCTGATTGTTGCCGACGAAAGAGCCACGGACGTTGAGATGGAAGGTTCTCCTTCGGAAATCGATGGCATACTCTATCTCTAAAACTAATTAGGCCCCACATTTTTTTTTTTTCAAACACCGACTGTTGAAAATTCACGTGACCTCCTACGAGCCTTATTTCAAATGCTACCTACAAATTCAACCACCCCCCGAGCCCGCGTTCAAGCCGTTGTTTCTTCCACATAAGTAGCTCCTGTTTCTCCAGCAGCCCCTCGCTCTTCTCGCCGCTCTGCAGACTGCCGTCCACGAAATAAAGCTCGTCCTTGTAAGTCTCCAGCAATTCCTGCGGGTCCGCCAATTTCCGCTCGATCTCGGCCAAACCTGTTTTGACGCTCCATATCTGCGATAGTTTTGCCGTTCCCAACTTGTATACATACGGTGCCTTTAACTCCGGCTCCTTGTCCAAATGTTCGTCCAATTTGCGCTTTCTGTCGTTCGAAAGCGCTTTCAGATCCTCCAGATTCTCGTGGTTGAACTGCTTGAGTTTCATGGACCTCCATCTGATCTCCGTGTTGTCGACAACATGTTTCAAAATACGGTGGAATGTAGGAAAGTAGCTCGCGTAGTGTCGCTCTATTTCCGTGAGTACCTCGACCAATTGGCTCTTGACGCCATCGTTGGCCAGCATCGCGTCAAACTCGGGCTTGCGAAACTTCTTATACTTGGCGTTGATGTCGCCAAGCACCTTTGTCCACTTGGCGTCTGTGAGGTCGTAGATGAACGAGACCATCACGTAGATCTGAAATATCACAGCCCAGCGACGACTAGGCTGTCTGAGTTGGAGATCAAACTCATCAGCGTTCAGCAGCCAGTCGCATTCGTACTCCTTTGCCGCAAAGCTGTCGACCAGCTGGCTGTATTCCCCCGCTGTCAGGTCGTGGGTGCTTCCAATCTTTGGAGCAGGTTCTTGTGCGTCCATTTCCTTGACAGTCTTGAGGATTTTCTTGCAATTGTCTATTAGCGGCAGGCCTGATTTGGAATATCTGCCTCCTCTGTATGCATTGAGCTCTTCCACCAGTCTCTTGAAGTCTGTCGTGAAATACAGCGCCAGAACCATGTACTCCTGGAAGACGTCGTTTGTGCGGCGGCCTGGGTTTCTGCTGGCGTTAGACGGCCACTTGCGAGACTTGGAGAACTCGAGGTATGTTTTATTAAAGTCGTTCATCTTCCAGTCGCTGGTCAGCAGCAATTTGTCGTTGATATCAAATGCATTAGTGATGAAAACCATCAGCTGCGTAGCAAAGACATCGTGTGACTCCAGTTGTCCAAGCAGTCGCGGGAGCAGAACGTTGCCAATCTGCAGCAGAGTTGAGCCTGGCTTGGCTTTTCCAACTAGCGTATTGTGAAGAGTCAGTCTAAGCCGTCTGTCGACAGACCTGTGCGAAAAAAAAACAGGGCCAAAAGTATCCACAACAAACTCTGTAGGACTCAGTATCATGATAGAGTTCAGGGTCTGCATGGGTACAGGGTTGAGGCCAGAGTATTTCACAAAGGATAGGTAGATTGAGGAATCCAGAAGAAGAAGCATCTTTGCCAAATACAACTTTGGGTCTTTGGAGCCATTTTGCTCTGAACCATCAAGTTTCAAATGACATTTGGTGAAGATCCCGTTGAAGAGTAAGATCTTGTCCACTATAAGAGTATCCATGTTTAGCGTGCTGAACAAGGCATCCAGTGCGTCGGTGAACTCAGGATTCTCGTAATACAGGCTCTCTCTTATGTCATTGGAGTCGAGCCTGCCAGCAAATGACAAAATGGCTTCTTCTAAACCACTTGCGTACTGCTCAACAAGGGCGTCCATGCAATAAATTACAAAATAAAATCTGCGTCGACCGACGCCAAAATATACATCTACTTTTCATGTCGTCGTCAATCTTAGCTATGCTAAAAACCACAGCAAAATTATGCATGTGACCATGACACCGGCGATAATCAGCGAATCACGCTTTCTGCGAGTGTTGATCTTGGAAAGCAGCACTTTCAGCCCTGGCATCGTGCTTAGTGACCGCTGAAGCCGGTTCCCAACACTACCCAAAACATTGCGCTGTCTGAGGATCTCGTCTCTAGTCTCGAACACCTGGCTCAGCAGGGTATCCATGGCGCTATGTTGCTGATTCAGCCGCAGACGCTCATTCAGCATGTAGCCATCCTCGCCGTCCGAAACACCGGAACTGTCGACGCGTCTCTGGTGGTCCTCTATGTCTGTGCGAACGAAAGAGAGTAAATTTATTTTATCACGTTCCTGTTTGATTGTAGACTTAATTCGATTGAAATCGACCGTGCACTGGTTGAGGTTCTCCCTGTGACGCGCCAATTGCTGCATCTTCGATGCGGAAATAGTGTTATTGAGAGATTGCGAGTCCACCACCCGATTAAGCTCCTTAACCAACGCCGAGAGATTAGTGAATGTGTCGTTGATTTTGCGCTCGAGCTGTTCCTCGTCAGCACTTGGCTCCGGTCCCGGCGCGGATGCAAACGAGCTGTAGCTTGCCAGAAGACCAGCCAACTGGTTTTCCACACCAACAATCTGCGTTCGTGTTTGGTTGAAAGAAGATGCCATGCTGGGGCGAGTTATAAAAATCAGCAATAATTTATTTATCACGGCCAATCATATCAGCACCGACGAATAGAAATTCCACCAAAATTCGAGCGACTCTGGGCCCTGCAAAGCAACATCTTCCAACAACTGAGCACTCTGACACGGATGCAGCTGGTAGAACGGTTTCCCCAGGACTGGATGGTCCACTAGCGTGATCGCAGGGTCCACGCGTCGATCGACCCTTAGTGACCCATTGCGGGTGACAAGCTTGTCTATCAGCGTCTGATCGAAAACGAGACGGCGAGTCTCGATGTCGTCCGAAACTTGCAGCTGCCAGATGCGGAACGTCAGCAAGGGGGCCGCGTACGTCTGGTGGTAAAAAACGACAATCTCGAGCTGTATATTGTCTCGGCACGCCAGAGCAAAGATCACCGTCTGCTGTTAGCATGGACATCGGAGTCCGCTTTTTGAACTTCTTTATAACGTACCTTGCCATCTACTCGTTCAGTGCGAACATTGGTACACTTATGGCGGATATAGTGCGCCAATTGCGCAACATTGTTCTCGAATACGTTCTCTTTCATATAAATATTTAATTTAAATATTTCAGTCAAATGCTAATTGTTTCTTAATCTCCGCGATCGCCTTACCCGGATTCAGACCCTTAGGACAGGTACGCGCACAGTTCATGATGGTGTGGCATCTGTACAGGGACATAGAATTTTGCAACATCTCCTTTCTGCTCTTGGTGGCCTCGTCTCTGGAATCCACGAGCCATCTGTAGGCTTGCATCAGCACAGCAGGTCCGAGATACTCTTGCTGGTTCCACCAGTAGGAAGGACACGAGGTACTGCAGCAAGCACACAAAATACACTCGTACAATCCATCCAACTTCTTTCTGTCCTCCTCGCTTTGCAGGTTTTCCTTGCCATCAGCCGGCTTGCTCTTGGTCTGCAGGTATGGCTGAATCGACTTGTACTGTTTGTAAAAGTGTGTGAGGTCCGGCACCAAGTCTCTCACAATGTACATGTGTGGAAGTGGATATATTTTAGTCTCCTTGGAGGTGTCTTGGTCGATTTTGCACAGACAGGCCAGGGTGTTCTGGCCGCCAATATTCATGGCACACGAGCCGCAAATTCCTTCTCTGCAGCTTCTTCTGAAAGTGAGCGTGGCATCCTGCTCGTTCTTGATTTTGATGATGGCATCCAACACCATCGGACCGCACTGGTTCAGATCAATCTTGTACTCTTGCATGTATGGCTTCTTGTCTGGAGTGTCTGGAGACCATCTGTAGATCTTGAACGTTTTAAGTCTTTGAGCAGTAGCCTGGGTGGCCATGCCACGGGAACGAATTATGGATTTGAACATGACGAAGAAACAACTGGGGAGATGGTCACTTTTATTCTTATTTATTACAAAAAACTATTTGTTGATTGGCTGTGAATTTCTGTGTTCGCGCGACCGGAAGCGATTGCGGAGGGTCTCGACGGAAAAAAACCTGGCTGATCCGATGACTGCACACCCGTACACCAGAAACAATTTAGTTCCTTACGACAAACATTTAATCCCCGCGAATTTCTGTTCCCGAGCAATTTTACCGAGGGATTCCGAAACATCCTTTTTCCGAATCGTAAATCGTAACGCGTTGGCAATCTCTATATACATGACTCATATACACTCATATACACTCGACTAAATTTCTCCGTAGGCTCATCAGGTTATGCGCAGCCTCAATCTTCTCTCTGTCAGCATGCTCAACGTGCTGCACACGAACGTGGTCCGCCTCCTCATCGCTATCGTATTCAGACTCGCTTTCGCTCGAACAGCTCGAGAGGGAGGGCACATCATCTTCCTCATCGGAATCCACGCATTCTGTCGTTATCGTCACTGTCGATCCATTCAGCTCATGGTTCATGTATAATGGGCTGTCCTCGTCGTCGCTCACTTCGTAGTAGTCGTAGTCTTCATCAGAATCACTATCGCTGCCGCTATAGAAATCGTCCTCGTATTCTTGAGGATTCGTGAGTTCGGGCTTAATAGGCTCCACCAATTGCACACGCTTCTCACTGGTAATGTTGTCGAAAGACACCCTACGGCCTTTGTTTTCTTCTGCAGCGTTCAGCTTGTCGATTAGGTTGTCTAGGAGGTTTGCCTGGCACACAAGTCTGTGAAGGTTGATGTCGTTCTTGACGGCTTCTTTGGTGAGCTTGGCTTTCACCTTGGAAGCCAGATAGTATGTGTCTGCCTTGCTGGCGTAGTCAAGTGGATAGATTTGAGTCATGGTGCCGACCCCGATGGGGATACTACGTTTTTTATACTTGCCACTTAATAATTTAATACCGGCTTAATCCCGTCTGCTTGCGCTATATTCGGGATCGGAGCTAAAAAAAAATTTATAAGCACGCGCGAACCGAGCCGAGAAGAAATTGCTGGACGGGTGTGGAACGGCTCGGGTTCTAGTCTCACCAAGGGTGCCTAACTGGCATCATTAAGCTTTGTACGTTTCTGTTATCCAGGCCGAAACTTGAAGAGGCCGAGCGAGCTATCTTACGTATGACAACGTTGTGTCTTTAACTCCGGTGACAATTTGTCACCATATCCACCATGTTGCTTGCTTACATATTGCTCCGCGCATCTAGAAAAAAAATAAATTACTAATGCCTAAATCCGTGTCACATTGTCTCACCAGGCAGCCGCGTCCCATTTTTTTAGCTCCTCCGCTTGATTCAAAACGTCTTTCTGACACTTCTTCCGCATGTAGAAGATCGGACAATCCTTGTTGGAACACAAAACTTCCTGGTGGAGCGAGCCCTGGCAACGCTGACACTCGGTCCAAAGCCGACTGAACTTGGTCTCCAGGTTGTTCATTTTAGCTAGTTCGCGTCCATACAGCTCCCCCGCCATACCCTGACAGTTGCGGCACAGAGCCTTGCCCTCAGGAATTGGCGACTTGCAGTTTTTACACGTGTTGCTCTTTCGGGCAAATTTCATCAACCCTCCCGTCTTTGCCGCGCTCACGGCAACCGTCCGCGTGTGGGAGCCGTGGAGCAGTTCTTTGGTACGACGCTCGCCCAGAATTGGCTCGAAAATCCGCGTCAGTGGATTTGCCAGCTGGTTCTCCAAGTAGTACTTGGTGTCGATTGGCAGCGAGTTTTCTAGCACGTACAGCGGGTCCTCGCTCTTCTCGTAATTCTTATCTCCGGCAGTCTTGATGATGACATAAGCAACACGGTCACCGAGCGTAGGGGCCGAACCAGCGTCTCTCTTGCGCATCCGTTCCGCAAGTTCCACGTGCGGCTGTTTGGCAGCGTAGTCTTGACGTGACAAAGCCTTACTGATAACCAGTTGCGACAGGTCGACGCGGTTCTGGAGCAGGTCCGCGATGGTTTTCTTAACAAACTGCTCTGCAGCTTCCACGTCTCGCTCCTCCAGAATCAACTCCAGGACCCGGGTAATAACGTTCTGAACCAATCGGCAGTTGTCACGACGCACCGTTTCAATACCCTTGGTGTCCATCTTATCGAACTTGTGCGGGTTGGTCCAGAACAGCCCCGCGTAACGTTTTTTATTAATGAGCAGGTACGGGAAGTACACCTTCTCGAACTCAAGCTTGATAGGGTGTTTGAACTTGGTCGAGACGTAGGCCGCCGCCTCTTCGCCGAGCCGCATGCACGTCTCCATGTCGCTGTGGCCGAACTTGACCATCACCGAGTCGGTGTCACCGTAGATGACCTGGGCGTCATACTCGTAGCCGTTTTCGATGCTGTAATGGCGCTGAACCTCAGCCTTGGTTTGCTCGATCATGACACGGCCGAACGCTGTCACGGACGACGAGATGGCCAAACAGGGCAGTTTGCCGATTGTCGCGCCCGTAAACCCGTACACCGAGTTTGCCGAGATTTTCAGTGCAAGCTGCCGTCCATTCAACACCTGTTTCTTGAACGGGTCTGTCTCCTTTTTCAGATCCTGTTTGGCTTTCTTCCGTGCTGCCAGCAGTTCCTGCAAAATTGTTGGCAAAATGCCCTTTCTCAGGTGCGGGTGCACGAACATGTCGCCGTTCGGCGTGACTATGTAGTCCTCGTCCTGCTTCAGACCCAGCCGTTCAACTGTCTGCTTGTTCAGCAGCGTCGTGTAGCACAGGTTATGCGCCATCATGATCGATGGGTACAGCGAGGCAAAGTCGAGCGTTGCGATCGGCACGTCGTAGTAGCCACGCACAGGCTCGATCACGGTGGCTCCCTCGTACTCTTCGTTCACGCCCTCCGACTTGATGTTCGGGATCACGATGTCCAGATCCAGACACTTGCGGAACAGCTGCGAGATGACCTTAATCTGCTGGCCACGCGAGAGCAGGAAACTGAACGGCACGCCGGTCACCCTGGCCATCTCTGTGTAGTTGACCAGACACATGAGTTTTTCGGCAAGTCGCAACGGCAGGTACGCGTCTTTCAGACAGTACACTGCCAGCCGTCTTCTGGTCTCCTGGTTGCCGTTCTGGAGATCTGTGATGATCGAGTGCTGCACATCTTCTTTTTGTTCGTTAAGAAAATGTGCCGACACGGCGTTCAGCGTGTACGAGCGCAGCTTGTACTCGCGCTGGATGAATTGGAGCAGGTCCAGCTGCATGCGGCCCTCAATGTTGACCACCTTGTTTTCGCGGCTGCCGTACGCGCGCGAGCTGAAAAACGTCTCTTTGATCTCCTGCTTGCTATTCTTCAGACGCGCAAAGTACGGGAAGTCGTGGACGCCGAGCGCCCGGGCCCTGTTGATCAGGTACGGGAAGTCGAAGTTGGCAATGTTGTACCCGATGATCACGTCTGGATCCACCTTGACGATGAATTCCTTCCATTTGAGCAGCATCTCCTCCTCAGACTCGTACGAAAACGTCTCTGACCCCACGATCGGCGCACACGACTTGACAGTGAACACATTGCGCACAAATGGCACCGGATCACCCGCCTTAGCCACCACGTTCGCGATCTGGATCACCGGGTCGTGTTCCGCCTCGGGGAAAATGCCCTTGCGGCCCGCACACTCAATGTCAAATGACAGAATCCGCAATGGAGCCATGTTCAGGTACTTGCCCTCCGAAGCATGCGACACAAGGTCCTTGTAGTGGATGGTAAACTCGAGCTGGCACGTTGAAACAACCTCCTCTGGCGGAACTGGCGTGTAAGTTCCCGCCGGCGCCCGCAGCCAGCCCATACCTGTGATACGACAATCCACCATCATCCGCAGCAGAAACTGGATATTGTCAAACGTCATTGATCCAGTGGGCGGAAACAGGCCCTTGTACTCAATCTCGCCGCGCTCAAATGCCGAGCGTACCTTACCGATGTGCTTAATGCCGTCCACCACCACTTTAAGAAACGGCAGCTTTGTGTTATTATTGTAGCCCCAGATGCTCTCCTTAAGCGCAATCTCCAGCCCTTGCACACCCTGGTAGTTTGTGCGCAGATACTTGTGGAAGTCGTCCAGATCATCCTGCGTCAGGCCCTTTGGCACTGGCACGTAAAAATAGTGTCTAAACCCTACAACGTTGCACAGCACCGAGTACCCTTCCTCAGTGACTCCAAAAAACCGCACTGCGGCCTCGTCATTGATCAGCGTCTCCTCCGCATCCAGCTGCTGGAAGTCCACGTCGTACGTGGCCGGATCGTACCCCACCACCGCGGGACGATCCCATCTCTGTCTGTCGCTCTGAACACTGGCCTCCGACTCCTTCTTGGACATCGAAACGAGCTCTTTCTCAAAAGTGCTCGCCTCGTTTTCAAACTGTCCGCCCGTCAGCTTGTTATGGAGCTTTTGACGGTCGAACTTGCCGTGCACCGGCAAATGGTACCCGTGGGGGGTGATCGACTGGTTTGCTGTCGGCAGCGAGTGCGCCGTGGCCGTGCCAACCCCGTCGTCGAGAGAAATGTCCAGGTGCTGGCGCTTGTTGGGCCCCTCCAAACGCGCGTCACCTGCGTGTTTCGACGTAGTTGCACTCATGATTAGAAATACAATGATTCTAAAACGCGTCTCTAAAAAAAAATCAGGGAATAATTCTGAAATAATTAGTGGTCGTGCAGGCTCCAGCTTTCTTATCCAAAGGCAAAATACCAGCAGTTCTTGTACATGAACACAAACTTTACTGGATCGACCAGAAAGCGACAAGTCAACCTCGGCAACAGGAGCCTCTTTGCAAAGAATAAACAGTCGTTTTTGCAAACCACCCAACTCGAGCGCCAGCGCCGCGAGAGGGCCCGCACAGAGGCTCGGGCCGCAACCACGATCCAGTCGTATGCACGCTCGTATCTCGACCTCCAGCACGCGCGACGTAAACTGGGAAGCAATTGGGATGGTACCAGTGTGGCAGAGTTTAACTTCTTTTGGCCCGAATTCGCTGGTACTCGCGATCACACCTATATCGATAGACTCGAGCACCTTATCCAGACCCAACAGCTGTCCGCCTCCACGGCCTGCAAAACCGTTCGAACGCTGATACAGACGATTCCTCGGTCGCCAGACATTGAATTGGTAAAAAAGTCTCTTCAAGTGGTCATAAGTCTCGCCCAGAAGTACCCTATATCCGTTGACTGGAACCCCTTAGTGAAATATCTACTTACCGTGTACACCAAGGACCCGCTATTTTTGGCAACCATCTTTGAACTGTCGAGCTACGCCACCGAGGAAATCTTGCGGTTTCTCACTGTCCCACAACCGGAGTTTGTGGGCTTTGCATTGTCTCACAACTACGCTCTTCTGCGGAAGTCCATCGAACTGCAATTTGAGTGGATCTGCGCTCATAGACCCCGGTTTGAAAGCCTCACAGATACGGAGAAATTTGACTACCTGGTGAATGTGGTCACGATTTTATCCCATAGCTCCATCGCCATTAACAAGCTGTCAATCGAGTCGTTCTCCATCATCATAGGCGGAATCTCGGCCAAACTGCAGTTTGAGGACGAACCGAGCGGACATGCAATATATGTTTCTCTTGAGGCACGCAAACAGATTGAAAAACTCTACGCCTCAGACTTCACCAAGTCGGTGATTAGACAGTGCGAGGTCCTGCAGGTCGAAACAGACCTGTTTGTCTCGTTCTTCTTCGCATTGCTCCATCTAGTGTCCACCAAAGGCAACGTAAACCAGCTTCTAAAGAACGAGCTGCTGGTGAACCTGATTGTGGCATCGTCCTCCATGGACTTTATGAATCAGTTTTTCATAAACCTCAGCAATGAACGCCTATTTCGTCAAGTATTTGTTCTGGCCGAGCAGAGAGCACATTTTGCCATCAATAACGAGTTCAGACAAACGTTGTTGGACCCACATAAAGAAAACTGGTGGAAGACACTGTTTCTGTTAGAGGAACTTTACAGCTACTTGCTTTGCGTGTCCAATGATGCCGATTTGTTCAACCAGGGAAGACTCGACAAGGACAACTATCTCTATTTCGTGAAATTCCTCCGATCTTTTTCTCTTTTCTATGTGCTGGGACGACGTATTGTGCAATTTGAGGATCTTTCAGTATCGGAGGCCAGAATACTTGCATTCTTCAAAAACATCGGCGTCACAACACTGAAACTCCTAAAGCAGACTTATCTACGCGATCTTCGGATGAACCTCACGGACGAAGACTTTTGGTTGCTCAGAGACCCCGAGTTTTCGATTCGTAACGTTTCCAAGCTTGTTCCATTGCTCGAACTGGACGATGATGGCGAAGAAGCCGAAGACGACGGAGAATTCTCCCTTCCGACAGGCGTTTCACAAGCCTCTAATACGCAGCTGCAGGACAATCTGCTGATTCTCATATACCTCCCGTTCATGATCCCTTTTGACACTCGAGCGGAGCTGTTCCGACAGCTGATTGAAAAAGACAAGTCACAGATCACAGGGATATTCAGCCCAAAGATACAAGGTGTTGTATCGCGGGAAAACGTTCTTTTTGACGCCTTTGAGCAGTTTGGAGAGCTGCGTGGCCAACAGTTCAAACTGCCTCTATCTGTGGAGTTTATCAACCAGTTTGGAGAAAAAGAGGCCGGCATTGACGGGGGAGGACTCACAAAAGAGTTGCTCACAAGTATTGTGGATAGCGCATTTTACGTTTCGAACTCCAATGCAGACAAGAGAGGCGGGATGAGGTTCTTCAATGCGACCTCCAACTTCCAGCTATACCCCAACCCTGACTACTTTTTGAAGTTGAAGCTACAACAGCAGAATCCTTCCTACGACTTTAGCTCCGAGGAAAAGACTTTCCATCTACAAATGCTCAGGTTTCTGGGCATGGTAATCGGTAAGTGTCTCTACGAGAATGTGTTGACAGATATTCAGTTTGCACCGTTTTTCCTTAGTCGGTGGACCACGACACCCTCGTTTCAACAGAGAATTTCGTTTGATGATCTAAAAATATACGATAGTGAGCTGCATGAAAACCTCTCCAAACTGCTGAAACTGACAGAGCACGAGATTGACGAGTTGGACCTGAACTTCACCATCAGCGAGAAGTTACAGGATTCCCCAGAGGTTGTCACGATTGACCTGCTTCCTGGCGGAAGAAAGATGAAGGTGAATCAACAGAACAAGTTGCAGTACGTTTACTGCGTAGCAAAGTTCAAGATGGACCAGTCGATTGCAATCCAGTCGAAATATTTCATAGAAGGATTGTCCCAGATCATTAAGCCCAGATGGCTCTTGTTCTTCAATGCGTACGAGCTGGCCAAACTAATCTCTGGCGGAGAGAAAGAGATTGATGTTGAGGATTTGCGGCGCAATACCGCACTGGGTGGTTACACGATGCATGACCCGACAATTGTTTACCTGTTTGAGCTCCTTGAAGAGTTTGACAACGACCTGCGGTCCAAATTTCTTAAATTTGTCACCTCCAGCTCGCGCGAACCACTGCTGGGCTTCAAAGAGCTCAATCCAAAATTTGGAATCCGCAACTCGGGACCAGACACTTCAAGACTACCCACAGCGTCCACGTGCGTGAACCTGCTCAAATTGCCTGACTACAGAGACAAAAAGCTACTGAAGGAAAAGCTGCTGTATTCCATCAACTCGCACGCAGGTTTCGATCTTTCCTAGATAACGCATTGTAGCATAAAATAAAACAATACAACTTATGTCATAGCCGCGTCAATTTCCTCTTCTGAGAGCTCTCTGATCTTCTGTTCGCCCTGCGCGGCGTCTGAACCGTTCTTGTGGTGAATGTCAGTCTTGACAAAGCCGTTTTTCAGGTGCTTGGCAAAGTTAGACCCGCGAGCGTTCTGATTTTTCGAAATCTCCTTGAGCTGGTTCATGTTGTGAATACATTTGGAGATTGTTTGAAGCAGAAGCGACGGCTTTAGAGGCTTCGATAAGTACTCGTCCATCTGTGCCTTCAAACAGCGCTCACGGTCTCCCAGCATAGCGTGAGCAGTCAGGGCCACGATTGGCGTGCGGAAAGCCATAAAGTCGACGTATTTCTTCTTCTCCCACTCTCTGATCTTGGCCGTTGCCTCGAAACCTCCCATGATCGGCATCTGGACATCCATCAGAATAACGTCGTAATGGTTCTTCTTCACGGCCTCCACGGCCTCTTGACCGTTCTCGACAACCTCGACGCTGTGGCCGTGGTTTTCCAGAATCTTGACGGCGAGTTTCTGGTTCACGAGATTGTCTTCTGCCAGCAAAATCTTGTACGAGGTGGAGCCGTCGCTATTAGGAGGAGCCGCACGGCTTTCCAGTGCAGGTTTGAGGATCGATGCCAGGTCGGTGACTGAACATGGCGTGTTTCCATATGAGCTGATACCAAGGTCCAGACACAGTCTCATGTTCAGCGCTGGAATCGATGGATGCAGCAGAACCAGAGGAACGTACTTGATTTCTGGTAGCAGCCGCAGTCTTCTGCCTGTGTCTATAGAGTCGATGATGATCGTGTCGTAGGACACCGGGTCGTCGATCTTCACCTCGTCAACATCATGGACCACGACCGGCTCAAGATTGAGCAATTTGATGTTCTCCTTGATCTCCTCAATGGCCTGCTCGTCGTGTTCGCAAGCAACAAATAAAACCTGATGGTTTCTAAACGGATACAGGATTTCCAGTTGTCTTGACAGATCAACCTTGGCCGGCGAAACAAGAATGGTGAAGTAGAAATTAGAGCCTTCTCCGTAATTTGACGTGACCCATATCTCACCGCCCATCAAATGGATGAGCTGTTTAGAAATGGAGAGTCCTAAACCTGTACCACCAAACTTACGTGTGGTGGAGCCATCTGCCTGACAGAACGTATCGAAAATCACACCCAGCTTGTCCTTCTCAATGCCGATACCGGTGTCGCTCACACAGAACTCCAGCAGCAGCTTGTCCGTATTGTTAATCACGCGCGACGTCTTCTTGACGCTGACAGTCACCTTGCCGCGACTCGTGAATTTGATGGCATTACCAGTAAGGTTCAAAATCACTTGTCTCAGTCTGAACGAGTCTCCAACAAGATTATCCGGGAATGAGTTGTCCACCTTGTAGATCAAATCGAGCTGCTTTTCTATCGCCTTGACGGCCAGCGTCTTGAGCGCGCCAAAAACAGTGCCTCTGAGTGAGAAGTCGATCTCCTCGATCGTCATTCTATTGGCCTCAATCTTCGAAATGTCCAAAATGTCGTCAATGATCGTCAGCAGCGAGTTAGCCAGATTATGCACAATCGAGAGCATTTCGCGCTGGTATTGCGTCAGCTGCGTCTCGAGAGTCAGCTGCGTCATACCGATGATACCGTTCATCGGAGTACGGATTTCGTGCGACGTGTTGGCCAAGAACTCCGACTTGGCACGGTTTGCAAGCTCAGCCGCCTCTCTGGCAGCCGTGTTCCTCTGAATAGACTCCCTCAGGTTCAGCACCATCTGGTTGATCTTGGTCTTCAAAGCGTCCATCTCTCCCGACGCCTCCACAGTGATGAAACGCGTGAAATCACCGTCCGTGGCTGCGGCTGTGATCTGCGCAAATGCTCTCACCTGGGTTGTCAAGTTGGCTGCCATGATGTTCACGTTCGTGGTGATCTCCTTCCACAGCCCGTCCACGTCGTTCACCTCGGCCTGAACACCGAGCTTACCGTCAATTCCCACGTCCTTGGCAACTCGTGTCACTTCCTTGGCGAAAACCTGCAACGAGTCCACCATCTTGTTAATCGTGCTTTTCAGCTGCAGAATCTCTCCCTGGGCCTCGACTTTGATCTTCTGCGATAGATCTCCGTGGGCAACGGCCGTAGTCACCGTCGCAATCGATCTCACCTGGTTCGTCAAATTATTAGCCATCACGTTGACCTTCTCGGTGACTTCCTTCCACGCTCCGTCGACGTCTGTCACGTTGGCCTGGCCTCCAAGAATACCTTTTGTTCCAACCTCAGTAGCGAGCGTTCTAACCTCCTCGACGAAAGTCCGCAACCGATCCACCATCTTGTTGATTGTGATTTTGAGCTCCAAGATTTCTCCCTTACAGTCTGCCGTCACCTTGGTCGAAAGATCACCCTTGGCGACGGCAGTCGTCACGTTCGCGATGTTTCTGACCTGTGTGGTCAAATTAAGCGCCATGGCATTAACGTTGTCGGTCAGCTCCAACCAGATACCAAAAACATTTTCGATTTGGGCCTGTCCTCCAAGACGGCCCTCCACACCTGTCTCTCTGGCGACTCGTGTGACCTCGAAGGCGAATTTACGCAGCTGGTCCACCATCTTATTCACTGTGTTTTGTAGCTGCAAAATCTCTCCCTGGGCATAAACATTGGTTTTACGAGACAAGTCTCCGGCAGCGACTGCAGACGTTACCTCCGATATTTCTCTGACCTGATTCGTAAGGTTCAACGCCATCGCGTTCACATTGTCAATTAGAGAGCGCCAAACGCCGCTCGCTTGGATTTCGTGGGTGTTCACCTGGCCACCCAATTTTCCGTTAGCCACCTCGGTGGCCAGGTTTGTCACTTCATGCGCGAACGTTTGCAGCTGGTCCATCATAGTGTTGATGGTAATCTTGACCTTCAGGATCTCAGGATCGCTCTCCAGCTCGTGGATCTGGACTTTCTTCGAGAGATCGCCTCTAGCCACAGAGTTGAGGACCGTGCCTAACTCGCCCAGGGCGGTTTGGAATGCTTCGTTTTTGGTCTTGAGGCGGCAGTTTTCGTTTTGCTGTTTCGTCACGTACGCGAGCAGATCTTCGCGCAGCTGTGGCCCATATTGTCCAAACAGCACTGGATCCGACAATATGGTTATAATGTCGGGCATCTGTTGAGAGTCTTGTTTGCAATATAAATTTAAAACTTTAATCGTCGCCAATGCGCCGCTGAGCTAATCAAAAATTATAGATGGCAGTATCCAAAAATAAAATATTGCACCACGATGAATTTCGAGGAAACACAGCTCTATGGTGGCGCCATCACCACGCAGATCCCGGCCGGATTGATTGATGCATCGACACTGAGACAAATCCCTGATACACAGGAGGTGTTTGTGGCAGGGCCAGACACCCAGCTCGGCCCAGAGGACGCCATCATCTTTGATCTCCTGGAGTCGGTCGACGTCGCTGACAATGCTGCGGCCGAGTACCATTTCCAAGAGTTGGCCAAGCTCAATGGCGCTGAGGACGCCAAAATTTTGGAGGTGGCAAACGTTCAGTGTCCGAATTTTGCCCAGGACCCGGCCTACGTCTTGGTTGGCTCGCAGGAGGCAAAGAAATGGGGGAGGGACCAAACGCAATTGGTAGTTTTACTCGGACTGATCCGGCTCCAGAAGGTGCAGACCGACCTTCTGATTACGTATAACCTCCCGGGTAGCGATTTCGGTCCCCGGATTCCAGCCGCAAAGCAAGTGATTCAGCATGTCCTGGAATCACTCCGGGTGCAAGACTGGTCACTTTTTGGCTGAGGCGCGAGGTGTGGGTATCTGCCTGGAGTCGTCATTTTTTTTTCCGTTAGACCTTCTCCGATGCCCCGCGAAAAAATCTGGGGAGATGGTAGCTGACAATATAAAGGGTTTGGCAATTTCACCAATGTTGCAGTGTACCTATCCAAGATGAGTGCTTCTGCGAATTCTAACAAGAGGCCAAAGAACACTGCTATTGATCTCATTGCCGGAGGAACGGCGGGCCTGTTCGAGGCTCTGTGTTGTCATCCTCTCGATACCATCAAAGTGCGTATGCAGCTGTTTAAGAAAAGCATTGGACTGAAGTCCGCAAAGCCCCCGGGTCTTATCAAGACAGGTGTAAACATCGTTCGAAACGAGGGCTTTTTCGCTCTCTACAGAGGCCTGGGAGCCGTTTGCATAGGTATTGTGCCGAAAATGGCCATCCGTTTCTCGTCCTACGAGTTCTATAAGTCGCTCTTTATCAACAAGGAAACTGGCCAGGTTGCCACCTCCTCCAACTTTATCAGTGGTGTGATGGCTGGAGTCACCGAGGCCGTGCTTGTCGTCAACCCTATGGAGGTGGTCAAGATCAGACTTCAGGCTCAGCACAACTCGCTTAAGGACCCTCTGCAGGTGCCTAAGTACCGTTCTGCCCCACAAGCTGCCCTGATGATTGTTCGCGAGGAAGGTCTGAAAACTCTCTACAGAGGTGTGTCTCTGACTGCTGCTCGGCAGGCTATCAACCAGGGTGCCAACTTTACCACCTACTCGTTCCTCAAATCGTTTTTGCAGGACTATCAAAACGCTGAGGTCTTGCCCTCCTACCAAACAGCCGTGATAGGATTCACCTCAGGAGCCATTGGACCTCTCTGCAACAATCCTCTCGACACGATCAAAACTAGAATGCAAAAGGAAACAGGACACTCGAACGAGTCCAATTTCGCCCGCGGCGTGCGTATCGGAGCCAACCTGTTCAAGGAGAGCGGTGTGAAGGCATTCTATAAAGGTATCCTTCCGAGAGTCATGCGTGTTGCCTCAGGACAGTGTGTTGTTTTCCCCGTCTACGAGTTCTTCAAGGGCTTTTTATACGACGTGAGCGGTGTCTCGGGCAAACAGAAACTGGAGGATTAGATGTGTACAATACATGTGTAATGTCTAACCAAAATAGTCATGAGCAATGGATTGTAGCTAGATTAAAATTTCCGCATTTTTAAATATGGCAGATCAAATAATGAGCCTGAAAGTAATTGAATTCATGTTTCTAGTATGCTCGAACCAGCGCAAGCGTACTGTTTACTGATTATAACTCCAATCTTCATGTATTAATACTGTATGCTTAGTCAAACAAACCGAAGCCCATGTCGTCATCCTCTTCCTCCTCAGCTTCTTCCTCCTTCTCCTCAGCAGCAGCAGCCTCGGAACCAGCAGCAGCGGAGCCGGCAGCAGCAGGAGCAGCAGCAGGAGCAGCAGCAGCCATGGCGAAAAGCTTTTCCTTCAAGTTTTGTCCCTCGAGAGCCTTGGCGAACACCTCAGTCCAGATGCTGTCAACGGAAGCGCCAGCAGCAGTGATCAAAGATTGCAGGTTGGCAGAAGAGATCTCCAACTCAGCATCAGCCAAGATGAGAGCAGCGTAAGAAACCAAAGCGTCAGACATAGTTGTAGTTGGTTAAAATGAAGGTTTTAATTTTTTTTGTCGATGAAAAAAACTGTGACTGTGAAAAAATTATGGTCGTCGCGTCTATCGACGCGCACACGCCTCAACATTATTCTCTATATACAGGGGGGCCCCATCATGGAGAGCTCAAACGAAGCTCTGCAGCTTTTCGAGCCAGTCAATGTACATGTTGTTTTCCTTCCAGGTAGCATAGGCAACCAAAAGCTCACCAAGCTCCTCGTCCACTCCCCTCTCCCTCAGCAGGTCATAGAACATGTCTTGCATTTCCAGTGAAAGATTTTCAAACAAAGGTCCGCTGTACAGGAGGTCCTTCTGGTCCACACTGTTGCTAGAATAGTCAAGAGCTAGATCGACGGTGTCAAAAGTTCTGACTCCATTGATGATGAAGTGGTACTCATCTGGGCTCAGATCCAAATCGAACTGCAAAGCCTTACCGTTCTTCTCCAAAACAACAGAAAGATCCGCAGTCTCGGTCATTCCCGCAGAAAACACCTCGCTTTGATCCTCCTCGCTGCCGATTTCCTCGTTGATCTGCTTATTAGCGTGGGTAGCAAACGTGATTTTCTGGATGTCAAACAGAACATGAACCTTCTCATCGTTCCATTCCTTAATCATGTGAGAAAAAGCATGCTCGTTTGGCTCAATGGCTTTGATATTTTCGTTCTTCATGTAGGCCACAAAGCTTGGATCCAGATCGAAAGCGTCATTCTTCTCGTAGTCCAGCTCCTGCTGGACAAGGGTCTTGGCATCTGGTGCGTTCATCCTAGAGATGCTGGTCGAGAATTGAGCCATCATTGGCCCCAAAATAAAAGGCCTAGCAGCGCTTCTGGCAAAAGAGAACTTGGAAACAGTAGGAACAACTTTAAGTGCTTGACGGAACATCATGGATTAGAGAATTACTTTTTTATTTTTTTTGCCATTATATACTGTAATTAAATTATACGTAAACTTCAGAATTCTGCCAATTTCCAACGGGCCCATGTAATATGCTAGTCAATATTGTAGCGACTCTCTCAAATACTCTTGGACAAAGATCGCACTGCGCTTGAATCGTCTTTCCGAGTATTTGTCGAAGATCGCCTTGTGGTTGTTTTTGTAGTCGATGCAATTGTCAATGAGCACATCGGCCAAGGGCCTCAATTGTGCTTCTGAATATCCACTGTAGAAAACGTGCTCCTCGGTCCATTTACCCTGGTGCAACATCTTGCGGGCAAGATAGTGCGCACCTGCCGCTAGCCAGCTGGGAGGGGACGCCACAAATCTCGGATCCATGATGGTAATCTCTAGAAAATATTTGGCCAGAGTTCTGGTCTCACTGTCGTAGTCGTCAGCCTTGGAAGTACGTCTAAGGAACGACATAGGGCCGGGGTAGCCCATCTCAAACTTGAGTTCGTTGATCATAAACCTCTCTGCCTTAAGCAGCTCTTCGATGGAATAATCGTTAGAGACCATGTATGCCATCTGCTGCACAGAAGGGCAGTTGATCTCCTCGTATTTTGCAGCAATGAATAAAGCAATGGCTCCGCATAGTTGGAACCGCGAAAGCGAAATGGCCCGCTTCGAAAGAAACCGGTCGATCAGATTAACAGCGAGAAACAATGTTTCCGGTAGCAAGTTGAAACGAGCGTGTACTTGGACGATCCAGTTCATCAGAGTGGCTCGGTTATCCCACGTGATCTCTGACTGGATATCGGGCACGTAGTGAGAATATGGAGCGTACTTTATCTCGAGATCGCGCATGTGGTTGAAAATTTCCGGGCCATATTCAGCCACCATGGACACGTCCCATGTGTCTTCGTCTTTTGGATCCGGATCTTCTCGGAAAAACTTCCTCACCACAGCCGTGAGCTCGGCCTCAATACTTGCATCCCATTTGGGTGACATCGGCTCAATTTTCTCCTCCAACACCTGGAACCCTTCGTCTTCTTCGTCTTCAGCATCTGTTAAATTCTGCTGGTAGTGCTTCACCTCCTCGTCTTCTAGAACCATGTCATCCTCTGTTTCGTCATCGTAATCGTCGACCGTGGAAACCCCGTCTGTTTTGATCAACTCTGTCTTTAGCTGAGCTTCTTTGGTGGAAAAAGAACGCACCTGTTTATTCACCTCACTGCTGGACACAACCCTAAGTGCCCTTCGAGGGCCGGTCGAACTTCTTTTGGACTTGACTATATTCTCATTTTCGTTTGATCCCAATGAGCGAACAACTTGCAGCCCCATTTTGAGTGGTGTAACGAATGACTGTAGCTAAAATATAATAAGGGTTGAAAAATTGCGATGTATCAAATGAATGTATATGTGGGAGAATGTAATTAAGCAAGTTTATAGCGAGTGAAATATCTACTGCACGAGCAGTCAGAAAGGGCAGAAATGCAGTGGCCTTAGATACAGACCTCAAAAACAGATGGCTAAATTCTTGAAAGTAAAATTGGTATGTTTACATTATCTAGGGGGCTGTCAGAAACAAAACGGGTCACCAGGAATGTAAACAAATACCACGGTTTTATTTAACCTGAAACGAGGGGGGGCATCAGGGGCTGCACCTCGAAGTATGTTCGTAGTGCGTTTCGAGGTGATTTTGGCAAGGTCTTGGACCGGCAACTGCATTCTATCGTTGTGGGCAACGCAAAAATTGAAAACGCGTAAATCCACTAATGAAAAAAAATTACGAACGACCTCGGTGAGGATCGAACTCACGATCTTGCGATTAACAGTCGCATGCCTTAAACCAGCTTGGCCACGAAGTCTTATTCGTCATCTTGCTTAACGTACTCTGATATAACCCACCAAACAGCCTCCCCAAGATTTTTTGGCCAATATAATTTTCGTGAACCGAAAACTTTCCAGCACGAACAAAATGGTCCTGGACTCTGTGCCTTTTTCGTATCAGCTAGACGATATAAACAACACTATCGCGTTGACGGCGAAGTACCAGTCTGAACAGGCTAGACTGGGCCTCCAGAAGCACAAGATACAGAGAAACAAGCAGGCCCAGCAGATGATCAACTACGCTCCGTCTCAGGGGTTCAACAGACCAAGACACGCTCCACAAGGATTCCAGTCCTCGTTCGAGAAAATGAATCCGCTGGTGGGATCTTCGACGACGCCATCGCCGGTTTCAGGTTCTAACTCTGATTTGTTGTTCATGTCGCTGGCTGATCAGCAGCAACTTGCGCAGCTCGGTCCTGTGGCCCCTCAGCTCGCTCATTCGAGCACGGTTTCCTCTCTTTCGTCGGGGAAGGATCAAGTCTCGTCACCGATGAGGGCAGGGTCGACTGGTTCCACGATATCGTCGGGGTCTTCTAATTCTCCGTGGAACACCTCGTTGCTGGATACAAACACAAAAAGTAGCATTCCTTTCAGTTCAACATGGTCACAGGTTTGGTAAGGTACGGTAGAAGGATGGTTTAGGATGTACGGATAAGAAGTAATGGAATTGTACAATTAGAAAATATATTAGGCATTCAGCTGCCACGCCGGTATGCCTCTTTTAGGTTCTTTCTGTTCGTCTCCCGCCACGCCCGACGTCGTGGAGCTTCCTCCGTTGCTGGCAGAAAGCTGCCAAGCTGGGATGGAGCGCTCGACATCTTTTTCGTTAGCTGTGCGCTGCTCGTACTGCGCAATACTGTCAGAATTCACGTCTTTATCCTTTTCTCTGGACAACACGTCTCTGAGCGACGGAATGGACGTCGTAGGCGGTATATTCAGATTGATTTTGGGTTTTGCTTCCGCAGCAGGCGACTGCCTAGACGTCGACTCACTTGGAGGCGTGCTTAGCTGCGGAGCCACGGCGATGCCAGAGGTCTTGATGTCGAACTTAATGTCCTGCAGCTGCTTCTCCATGGCCGACAGCTCTGCGTTGAGCGTGGCTTTTTGACTGTCGAGTGTTTTAAGTAGCGTGGTCTTAATGTTTTCGATCTCGAGCTTGAGGTACTTGAGCGTCTCCTCGTTGTTGAGGTTCTTTTCGTTTGTTTTGTTGATAATTTCGTCGACTTCCTGCAACGTTTCGTCGATTTTTTTGGACTTTGCCTCCTGCTTTTGGTAGAACTCTTTCTGGTCCGCCTCGAACTTCTCCAGTAGGCTTTCGACACGCTGAAACTCGTGATCGATCGCAGCCTTGTCCTGCTCCAATTGTGTCTTTGATGGAGGCAAAATTTTCGGAACAACGTACCGTTTCACAAACTGGTACACCCCATACGAAATTCCTGCCGTTGCTGTTGCCATGATAAAGTAGTCCTTCCAATCACGCTCAGGCAGTGGAGGTGCGCTAGGGTAATAATCGGGCACTGGTGGGCGAGGCGGTACAACGGACTGCTGTGATGGCGATGCCTGAACTGTGCCCGTACGAGCCTTTTGTAACGCCTCCTCGATTTCCTGCTGGGTAAGGCCTTTAGATTCTAGAAATTCGACCTTTTTGGCGAGCGGCGAGTCCGCAATGCTCTGGTCCAAAAGAAACTCAACTGCGCTGGATACCAGCTCTGCACGGCTGGTCGTTGCTGGCTGTTGAGACATGGTGAGGAAGAAAAAGAGACAACAAAGTGGGGGTCGGCAAAAATTCCTGATTTGCGCTCGCAGGAATAAAAATACTAAAAGCCGATCGACGGGTCGGACAACAGGGGTGGGCAGTGAGCTGTACTAGAAAACCGAGCGTCGGGTGTTCACGGCTACTTCCAAGTGCTGCAACGCTCTTTATACAGCAAAAGACCCCTCAAACTGTCCTACTGTGCCCTCCAGATCGCTATAATTAAATCCCGTTCTACGGCCCTTTTTCCGTTCAATGAAAACGAATAACGAATCAACCAGCACGAGAGAAAAATTTAAATCGAGCAACACCAACACACAAACTAAGCGTCAGGTGGCAAATAATTCCCGTGGAGCTTTTTAAAACTTATTTGTTAGTTCGCCATCGCCGATTGTCATGAACACCAACGATGAGCACACCGAGACAGGACCTCCGTCCGCGTCCAACGGCCATAGTCGCGTACTCACCGCTGCTGTGCCTCCTGCCGACCGCCAGATGTCGATTTCTGCGATGCTCTCGTCGCCCAGCACAGATCAACCGAGCACAGAGACCGTTGCAAACGGGACCGTGCCCTCATGCACAGAACTGATGAACTCGTTCGAACGGCGTGTGCGGGCTTTGGTGAAACTGGATGCACTTTCCACCAACGAGATCAACCAGGTGCAGCTCCTGGACAACGAACTGAGGCTTCTCAGGGCCCAGGATGGCATCTATGTGGACCCAGGGCTGATCGAAGATCTCAAGACTAAGGTTTTGGAGCTTGATCCCAAGATCTACGACAAGCTGACGAGGCGCAACAAGCTAGCCGAGCAAGAGTCGGAGGATTTGCGCGACCTCAAGACAGACCAGCTCAAGCTGCTCGCCGACGTGCAACGCGAGGAGCAGAACAAGCTCCACAAGACCACTGACAGAGCCAAGCCGCAAGAAGAAACGGCCAGCCAGCCGCTTATGAATATTGCGCCGAAAAAGGTGGACGAATTGCAGGTGGAAGAGCCGGCGGAGCCGGCAGAGTCGCTGAGCGACGTTGGAGACACGAACGGCGACGGTCGTCGCAAGCGGAAGCGCAAGACTAGAATCGACCCGTCTAAGCTTGTGGACGAGGAGCAGGATGAGACCAAGACAAAGAAACGGAAAAAGAAGACCGACGACGAGACAGCTGCGAACATGAATAACATGGCAGGCTCGGACGATCTGGATATGGAGGACGAAGACAGCAGGGTCTCTAAGAGCAGCGTTTCCGTGAAGGAGCAGAAAGCCATAGACAAACAGTATGACAATGTGTACATCTCGATCTGGAAAGACTTGGCTCGAAAAGACGGCCCGAAGGCGTACAGGATGTACTACCAGATGGTGCAGGCCAAGCAGATGAATCTGAAGAAGACGTCGATGTTGGCGGCCCGAGAGTCGCGCAAATGGGTCGGCAAGGCCACGAGGTCCCAGAAAGACCTGATGACCAAGGCCAGACGGTCGATGAGAGAAATGCTGAATTTCTGGAAAAAGCACGAGCGCGAGGAGAGAAACATGCGCACACGGGCAGAACAGGAGGCCGTGGCGAAGGCCAAGAAGGAAGAAGAAGAGAGAGAGGCGCGGCGGCAGTCGAGAAAGCTCAATTTCCTCATCAACCAGACCGAGTTGTACTCGCATTTCATTGGCAAGAAAATTAAGACCGATGAGGTGGAAGGCGATATGGGCGACAAGTCTCTGCTTGCCGGAGCGAAGCCCGAGAACACGGGGCTGGACAGCGTGGATTTAGCAGCCGCTAAGCGCGATTTGAGCGAGATCGACTTTGAATCGCACAGCGACGAAGTGCTCCAGAAGACAGCTGCTGCCAACGCACACTCTGCGCTTCTCGCGGCGCAGCAGCGTGCTAAGGAGTTCAACGGCGAGGCTTCAGAGCCGGATAATGAGGGCGAGATGAACTTCCAGAACCCAAGCAGTATCGGCGACATGAACCTCACCCAGCCAAAGCTGCTCAACTGCACTTTGAAGGAGTACCAAATGAAGGGATTGAATTGGCTGGCCAATTTGTACGAGCAGGGCATCAATGGCATACTGGCCGACGAGATGGGCCTGGGAAAAACCGTGCAGAGTATATCTGTGCTGGCGTATCTTGCCGAGACACATAATATCTGGGGGCCATTTCTCGTGGTGACGCCGGCATCGACGCTGCACAACTGGCAGCAGGAAATCACTAAGTTTGTGCCCGACTTTAAAGTGCTGCCGTACTGGGGTAGTGCCAAGGACAGGAAAGTGCTGCGGAAGTTCTGGGACAGAAAGAGCATTGTATACCACAAAGAGTCGCCGTTCCACGTGGTGGTGACTTCGTATCAGCTTGTGGTGGCGGACGTGCAGTATTTCCAGAAGATGAAGTGGCAGTACATGATTTTGGATGAGGCGCAAGCCATCAAGTCGTCCAATACGTCGAGATGGAAGTCTCTGCTGAGCTTCCAATGCCGCAACCGACTGCTGCTGACGGGAACCCCGATCCAGAACTCGATGCAAGAGCTGTGGGCGCTGCTGCATTTCATCATGCCGTCGCTGTTCGACTCGCACGACGAGTTCAGTGAGTGGTTTTCCAAGGATATCGAGGCGCACGCCCAGTCGAACACGCAGCTAAACGAGCAGCAGTTGCGGCGGCTGCACGTGATTTTGAAGCCGTTCATGCTGCGGCGGATCAAGAAGAACGTCCAGAGCGAGCTTGGTGACAAGATCGAGATTGATGTGTTCTGCGACCTCACCAACAGACAGAAGAAGCTGTATCGTATGCTTCGGTCGCAGATCAACATCATGGACCTGATAGACAGCAACAAGAAGATCAACAGCAGCAACGACGACGAGGCCCAGGGAGACTCGTTGATGAATGTGGTGATGCAGTTCCGCAAGGTGTGCAACCATCCGGACCTCTTTGAGCGAGCCGACACTAAGTCCGCGTTTAGTATGAGCAGGTTTGCGGAGACGACGTCTTTGGCGAGCGAGATCAACGAGAACCTATTGGAGCTCAACTATACGACGCGCAACCAGATAGAATACAAGCTGCCCAAGCTGTTGCTGGAAGATCTGTTTTCTCCGCAGTACGAAAAATCTGTTGCCGACAAGGCCAACGTGCTGAACAAACTGAGCATATGGAATCCAGAAAACCTACATGAGAGCGACAATTTTGCATTTTTGCGCTTCATCAACGAGAACCCGTCCAGTGCACGGCGGGCAGCATACCAAAACGTTGTGCAGAACGCCATTGATCTGCGCTCATATTCGGGTATTTCCAAACACGACCGTGCCGAGCTGCTCAGGGAGATATACGACGGACAGGTGCCTGTCCACAGCATGTTTTACGTCCGCAAACAGCACAAGCAGCACGCAACGGTGCCAGACAAGGTGTACAAGGACATGTATTTGAACGTGGCCCGTTTGGGAGCGTTCCCTGCTGCGTCGGCTCCCCCTATTGAATTCTCGTGTTCGAAGCAGAGATTTAATTTCATCAAGAAGGACGCGCTCTTCGACCCGGTTATTCGGCAGGCGATGGGACCACTCAGTCTCAACGTCCAATGGGACTTGATGCAGCGCAAGGTGCCGCTGGAACTGTGGCCGAAGGCAGAGATGAACGTGGAGCCGCTCAACGCTAGAAACGGCTTTTCGTCGATCAGGCTGCCGTCGATGAATCGGTTTGTGATCGAGTCCGGCAAGCTAGCGAAGCTGGACGAGATGCTCGTGGACCTCAAGAAGAATGGCCACAAGTGTTTGATCTACTTCCAGATGACCAAGATGATGGATTTGATGGAGGAGTTCCTCACGTATCGCCAGTACAAGTACATCCGGCTGGACGGGTCTTCGAAACTGAGCGACCGTCGAGACCTGGTGCACGACTGGCAGACGAAACCAGAGCTATTCATCTTCCTGCTCAGCACGCGCGCGGGTGGATTGGGTATCAACCTCACTGCTGCGGACACGGTGATTTTCTACGACTCAGATTGGAACCCGACGATCGACTCGCAGGCCATGGACCGCGCGCACCGGCTCGGCCAGACGCGGCAGGTGACCGTGTACCGGCTGCTGGTGCGTGGCACGATCGAGGAGCGGATGAGAGACCGTGCGAAGCAGAAGGAGCATGTGCAGCAGGTGGTGATGGAAGGCAAGTCGACGATCGTTCCGGACAAGAAGGACGCGAACGACAAGAACAAAGACAAGAAGGAGATGGCAATGTGGCTGCTGGAGGACGGCGAGGATGAACACAAGAGATAGAGGCGTATATAGCGGTGATGTATTCAAGTTGGAAACCGAATTTCTAGAAAGCTGAGCTGGGCTGTGGAAAATAATATTTTTTTAAAAAACCACGACTTCTCAAGCATCAAACACCATGGCCGAATTCACGGCAGATCAGAAAGAGGTGGTCGAGCGGATTCTGAGTATAGACAGAACAGACTACTACAAGATTCTGGACGTGGACAAGAAGTCGAGTGATGTGGAGATCAAAAAATCGTATCGTAAGCTCGCCATCAAGCTTCACCCGGACAAGAACAAGCACCCGCAGTCGGCGGAGGCGTTTAAGAAGCTGGCGAAGGCATTTGAGGTGCTGAGCGATTCCGCCAAGCGCAGCGTGTACGATCAGACGGGAACTGATCCAGACTCGCGGGGCGGCCCTAGTATGTCGTCCAGCGGGGCAGGATTTGGCGGAGCCAATCCGAGAATGAACCCATTCATGAACATGAACGGAGGCATGCCGCAAGGGTTTATGTTTGACGACGACATTCTGAATATGTTTTTTGGCGGGCCTGGAGGCGGTTTTGGCGGCAACACGTTCACGTTCCACTTTGGTGGGCCCGGAGGCGCAACATTCCAGGCCCCGCGCGGATTTGGCCAGAGACCGCAAAGACCACGCCCCGGAACGCGTGCGGGTGGCCAGCACGGAGAGGGTAACAAGTTGTGGGACATAATCAGCCAACTGGGGCCCCTGCTGGTGGTCCTGATCCCGGTGATCCTGGGAACGCTGTTTGGGGACAGCTCGTCAAACTACTCCAAACTGCCGAAATTCGCTTTTGAAACGTCGCCCGGGTTCAGCGCCGAGCGGCTCACCCCGACGCACAAAATACCGTATTACGTGAATCCGGCCTCGCTAGAGGCGTATAGCGGAGGGTCGGAACGAAAGCTCCGGAATCTGGACCAATCTGTGGAAAACTACTACATCAACGACCTTCGAAACAAGTGCCAGCGGGAAGAAGCGTACAGGGACCGCATGATTGAGGACAGCTACGGATGGTTTTTCGTCGATAAAGATAAGCTCGAGCTCGCGCAGCAACTAGAACTCAAGAGCTGCAACAGGTTACGGGATCTGAACTTAATCTAAGGCTGGACTACACAGCATGCATAATTGTCTGGGTCAGATAGTCTATTGTGTCATACCCACCCAGAGGACCCCTGTTGCGATGCTCCAATCATATACACGTATATGTCGATGCACAGTAATTCTTTTGGCAGATTGGTTAAGCCATTTTTTTTTCACGCACCATTTTCTGCAGCTAGTAGTTCCCCTTACAAATTATTAGCAATTGTAGGCAAACATACCAAAACGGCGCATCTCCACAGTGGTTTGACGTGTTTGTGTACAATTTGATCAAATTCGCGTTCGGATTCGATGTTTAAATACCATGGACTTCCCTAATAATAGACAGCCCACGCCGCAGTATTTGCAACAACAACAACAACACCAGTTGCCTGCACATATAAAAAACCTCACCCCTGATCAGCTGCAAAACATATACAAGCGGCTCCAACTGCTTCGATCCCAGCACGGAGAAAATGCTAAGCAACTGCCTGAATTTGCAGAGCTCGCCTCGGTTCTGACCCAGTACTCCCAATTCCAGAGACAGCTCAAGGCCCAGAGTCAGATGTCGCAGTTTCAAAACAAACAAGGCTTCTCGCAATTCCCCCAGCAGCCTCCGCAACAGCATCAGGAACAGCACCAGCCGCAGTCGCAACCGCAGCCGCAGTCGCAACAGGCCAATAGGTCCGGCTCTTTCGGGCCTTCCAATATTTTTTCTCCTCCTCAGTCGCAACTGCTCAAATACCAGATTGCCGCGTTCAAGAAGTTCATCCAGAACCAGCCAATCGAGCCCGAGCTTGCCAATGTGATCAATATCTCGTTCCAGCAGTATAACAGGCAATTTGGCGACCCCAACGCGTCGATCGTCTCGCAAAACAATGCATTCCTCAAACAACAGCAGCACAAGCAAAAGCTCCAAAAGGAGCCACCCAAACAATCAATGCAGCCTATACAGTCTCACAAGACACCGCAAATGCCGCATCCACAGCCCATGCTCAATAACCAGCACATGATGATGTCGCAGCAACAACAGCCTCAGCAGCACGCCAATCAGACACCAGTTCCTCCGACTCAGCAATTTCCGATCCCCCCTCAGCATCCGATAATGAAACAGGAGCCACCAAAGCAGCAAGCAGCTAAAATGCTGCCTCCACATCCACCCATGCCTCTTGACAAGATGACAGAAAAATACCCAGACGTGTCGAATATCATACCTACCCACGACCCGCATTTGGTCGTCGATAGCTTTTCGGTACCGGAGGTTTCAGAAGATCTTCCTTATGAGTATTTGAGCGACCCAAAGTCGAGAATCATCATTCCTTCCCTTTATCCAAAGCCTTTGGACGTTGTCAAAGCTGCAGAGATCAAGAAATTGGTGGACCAGCTACGTTTGGAACAAGAATTGGATAACCTAAAGAAACTGAAGGAAGAGGATGTATCTTACACCTTTGAGTATACCCTGATGTCATTATTGCCATACCAAAAAGCTGTTCGAGGCCACGTCGTCAGCACAGTTTTCCATCAAAACTCACTGCTCACAAATCATTTACCTAATTTTTCCGCGAGGGTACGTTCGATCAACACGCATGATGCATCGGTGGCCCATGCTTTATACAATCAGCAGCGAACAGTCACAGCTCTTTCGCAAAAGAATAAACTACAGGAGAGACAGGCCAACATACTTAGTGTTTCTGACGATTTCAAAAAGTATCTCTCCACAAGAAAGGATCGTCTTTCAAGAATCGCCAGAGGAGTGAATAGTTATCACGCCCAAACAGAGAAAGAGGAACAGCGTCGTATTGAAAGAAATGCCAAACAGAGATTGCAAGCTCTTAAGGCAAACGATGAGGAAGCGTATATCAAGCTTCTTGACCAAACTAAGGATACTAGAATTACTCACATTTTGAAACAAACCACAGGATTCCTGCGTACCTTAATCCAGTCAGTCAAAGTTCAACAAAGAGATACCCAGGAACACATGGTTCATGCACATCACATTGATCCGCAATACACTAATACAGAGGAGGAGGACGACGAGGAGAAAGAAAATGCAGATTACTATTCTGTTGCGCACAGGATTCAAGAGAAGATTGAAAAACAGCCTTCAATTCTTGTTGGCGGAACTTTGAAGGAGTACCAGCTCAGGGGATTGGAATGGATGGTTTCCTTGTTCAATAACCATTTGAATGGTATTTTGGCTGACGAAATGGGACTGGGGAAAACTATCCAGACAATCTCTCTCTTGACTTATATCATGGAAGTGAAGAAGATTCCAGGTCCATTTCTCGTCATTGTGCCTCTCTCAACATTGCCGAACTGGAACCTAGAGTTTGACAAATGGGCCCCAAGTTTGAAAAAGATCAGTTACAAAGGATCTCCGCAAATGCGTAAAGAGCTTGCGTATGATGTCAGAGCAGGCAACTTCAACGTTCTCTTGACAACCTACGAGTATGTGATCAAGGACAAATACCTATTGTCGAAGATAAAATGGGTGCATATGATCATTGATGAAGGTCACCGTATGAAAAATACCAAATCTAAGCTATCATCTACTTTAACAGAATTTTATCATTCGGATTACAGGCTTATCTTGACAGGTACGCCTCTTCAAAACAACCTTCCTGAGTTGTGGGCTTTGCTCAATTTTGTGCTTCCTAAAATTTTCAACTCTGACAAGTCATTTGACGATTGGTTCAACACGCCGTTTGCCAACACCGGCAGTCAGGATAAGTTGGAGCTATCTGAAGAAGAGACGCTTCTTGTCATCAGAAGATTGCATAAGGTTTTGAGACCATTTTTGCTGCGGAGATTGAAAAAAGATGTCGAAAAGAGTCTGCCTAATAAAATAGAGAGAGTCATCAAGTGCCGCAAATCTGGCTTACAAACCAAACTATATCATCAAATGTTGAAGTACAATCAGTTGTTTATTGGTGACTCGGACAGCAAGGCCCCCGTTGGTATCAAGGGTATGAACAACAAACTCATGCAACTGAGAAAAATCTGTAATCATCCATATGTGTTCCCTGCAATTGAAGACATGATAAATCCTTCTCATGAAAACAACGATACAATTTGGAGGGTGAGTGGAAAGTTTGAACTTTTGGACAGGATTTTGCCCAAGTTCCGTGCCAGCGGTCACAGAGTGTTGATGTTTTTCCAGATGACTCAGATTATGGACATCATGGAGGACTTCCTCAGATTCAGAGGAATGCATTACATGAGGCTGGATGGAGACACTCGAGCTGATGACCGTACTGCACTGCTGAAGGATTTCAACTCGGAGGATTCTCCATACTTTGTTTTCCTTCTTTCGACTAGAGCGGGTGGTTTGGGATTGAACTTGCAGACTGCCGACACGGTTATTATCTTTGACACTGACTGGAATCCGCATCAAGACCTTCAGGCCCAAGATAGGGCGCACCGTATTGGTCAGAAGAACGAGGTTCGGATTCTGAGACTAATTACCAGTGATTCGATTGAGGAATACATATTAGAGAGAGCTCACCAAAAGTTGGACATTGACGGTAAAGTTATTCAGGCCGGAAAATTTGACCAGAAATCTACATCCGAAGAACAAGAAGCGCTTCTAAGACAGCTTCTTGAAGCTGAAGAGAATGACAGGGATGAGGATGAGGTTTTAGAAGATAAGGAGCTCAATGAAATTCTTGCGAGAAACGAAGAAGAATTACAGCTTTTCAATAAGATTGACGAGGAGCGCAATGACAGCTCCTTGGGCTACCCAAGATTGATAACCGAGTCGGAATTGCCTGAGATTTATAACCAAGAGCCAGAAACTACCGATGAGGTGGCGGAAATGCTTCATTACGGTCGTGGAGCCAGAGAGCGCAAGATTGCTCATTACGATGAGAATATCACCGAAGAGCAATGGTTGAAAGAAATCGATGGCTATGCTTCTGATGACGACGACGAGTCAAGACCAAAGAAGAGCCGCAAGAGAGGCCGCAAGCCGAAGACGGATACTGAAACCTTGGACAGCTCCATGGATCCAAACGGCGATTTAGCTGATTTCATTGATGACGAGGAGGAGGGCGTTTCCAAGAAAAAACCGAAGACCGCGAAACGCAAGCAAAGGAGTGGATCTGCCCGGAACACTATTTCTCCTCCTGAGTTAGGAGATTCTGCGCCACAGACGCCGTCAGGGGGAGGATCAGGAAGGAAAAAGAGGTCTCGAGGTATACCCATTTCGGCTCCAATATGCCGTAAAGAGAATGCCATTCCTCCTGAAATGACCATGGAAGAACGCCATACCTTACAGTTGCAATTAAATGAGATCCTTGACCGCTTATTGACTATGTCCATTGATGGCCGGAAACTCTCGACAATATTTCTCACCAAACCTATCAAACGTGTCTATCCTGATTACTATGTGATTATCAAGAACCCTATAGCATTCGATGGAATTAAGCGCAGGGTTCAGGGAGAAGTATATTGGAGTTTGGAAGAATTCATTTACGACCTTCACCTAATGTTTGCGAATGCAAGAATATACAACCAAGAGGGCTCCATGGTTTATAACGATTCCCAACTCATGGAGGATGAAGCTCTAAAGATGTACAAGAATATGAAGGATGGTGCTGAAATTGATTTCACTGAATTTGACGAGCGCTTTGGTTTGAAGCGCAATCCGCCATCAGTCGTTGCAGGCCAACAGATTAACGGATCCGTACAGATACCAGGCATGGTCCAATAATTCAGATATAATTATTTACGTGTATTTTAATCAAATAGGGATGCTACAGCTACACATGAGTCGCCTAATAAATGTCCATTTCTAATCACTATTGTCTCTGCCATGATCCTCCTTTTCCTGAGTGTGTTCAAAACTTTCAGATGCTGCTGTGGAGATTCTTGTTGTTGAATGCTCGGCATCTCGATTATCGACTGACAACTCATCGACATCTCTTGATTTTGGCAACAAAGGTTGAACGGCAGGCTCTTTTTTGAGACTGGGGACCGAGTGTTTGGAAGTGGTCTGTTCTTCATCTTTTTCACTTGAACGACTAGAGTCTGCATCGTAAGATTTTTCACTATCAGCGCCTGAGTCGTTTCCATCTTTCTGTTCAGACTCAACAGCCTTAGAGTCGGTGACTACATCTTCAACAAAAACCCCTTGCGGTTTAGAAGGAACTCTCACGATTTCAATATCTGTGATATTCCCAGATTTTCCAGGCTCTCCTGCCTCCTCGGTACCGTTGTTGTAAAGCATAGCAAGGCGGCCACGCGAAGATTTCAAACTTCTGTTATCATCCTGTTTAGGGCTTCCTGGCTGTTGTTGCAAAGCTGTTGTGAATGGATCTCGATCATTGATTGTAGCAACTCCCAGAGAGCGAATTGAGCGCGCAGATCGTATAGAGCGGAGTGAATGGCCCGGTATCGCGTTAAACTCAGAGCCCAGATTATTTGCACTAGACTCCCGGTGCAAATTCTCAGTATAAAGATGGGGACTTAAAAGCTTGTCCAAATCCTGTTTGTTCGATCCCTCAGCGCTAGAGTTTTTTTGACTTTCCGTGGCGCTCAAAGTCAAGGTGAAACGTCTCTTGATACTTCCAAAGCTCAATGGTCTAATTCCAAACCCACCAAGACTGTGCCGATGCCCGCCTTGAGTCTCCAATTCTCTGGATTTGTCAGATGACGGATACTTGTTCTCGAGGTACACTTTCCAAATCCAGTTTTTGGTTTGGAACGCAAGAAAGACAAGCCAAAATAGCTGGATAAATCCCATAAGCGTGCTTACGACGCCGAGATCGTTGGATTCTTTGCCAACAAGAATCAGGTTAAGGACAATATTCACAGACATCAGCATAAAGCAGCTGACACAACAAATGATTGCCAACACAAATAGGGCTTGGTTCACCCTGGGGACGGAGAAAACCCGATAGTACTTGAGCGAATATGGCACCACAACAGAGAGCGCCTCGATGAAGAATATAAGTGAGATAAGAAACACCCCGAAATTGATGTATTTGAGGACAAACGAGTAGTCTAAAAGTGAATCCAAGCTATAATCGGTTCTGTCATAGCCGCTAGATTCATAAATGGGATAGACTATTTTGTGGAGGAAGTCATTAGTGTCCTGGTGGTGTTCATGTAGACGAAAAGAGAATGGCATCGCAGGGCGGCGCAAGGCTCTAAGGGGCGTCAGTTTGCGGCCAAAAACACGTTTGAACTCTAGAATTGGAATTGTACTGTTTTTGAACTCAAAGCTTTTATTCTTGAAGTAGTACTTCATCGGATGGAATTTAATCCTGACCTCAGCTTCATCCAGAATGAAAAGTGGGTTCAGTATCAGTGCGTACTCATCGTAGCTTCTGAGATACGAATTTTTTTGCATTTCGAATATTTTGCTTAATGAGTTGTACAGCTCGATATTCTCCTTTCTGACCTCGTTGTAGTTGTCTTTAAAGTATAGCTTTCCAGAGTCAATGAACTTGTCTCCGTTGTTGAGCACTCGCACGAGGTTTACTGCCGGGAGCTGGCACATGAACGTCGTTTGCTGGAAGATGCTGATAAAATTGAAGATCACAAACACAGCTAAACAGCTGAGAAACCATTTGGTTGAGAACTGGACTCGTTCTGGTGTTTTCTCTTTTTTGGGAAGCATGTGAACTGCACTGAAGGCTCCTGAGAGCTTACTCCAGCCAGTAGATAGCATTTGTATAAGTTATTTCAAAACGCTGAAACACAAGTTGTTTAAAAATGCTTAAGGGGGTTGCATCCTTTTTTTTTTTAATCCGCTACCGCCCATTTTCACTGATGGTGGCAGGAGTACACATTAAATTTGCTTACGTCAAATTCATAGCGATATCTATCATCAATATTCAATCGTAATAGTATGGTCACGCACACTGTTTACCACCAAAATATCAACGACAGCATACGTGTGGAGCTTGTATACGAGAATTATCCTGTGATTGCAGGGACCGATGAGCTTTCGTTGGTTCTGAGGTTTCGATATATCGGGCCATTGAACAATAACCCTGTCGCGAAGAGTTCCAAGCAAGCGGAGCAAGACCCCCCCTCGCAAAACGATGGCTGGTTTGGCAGCCGCCTATCTTCTCAATTTTCTAATGCCACACGAGCTCTGTTTTTACAGCAATTGGACACCATGCCGGAGGAGGAGAACGATGTTTTGCAAGATATTTCGATTTATTTGGGTTATGTTCAACTTTTCGGATACTACTCGATAAACGACCGAATTGTGGATGCCTCAATATTTGAAGAACTCCAGAAATCAGCCACGTTTGAAGGCCGGCTAGCTGGAATCAACGGGCTCGAAATCACCTTTGATCAACACAAAAGAGGCCTGTTGACCGGCCTGACCACGTTATTTCAGCCAGATATGAACGACGAGCATACTCATATCATTCCGCATTACTCGACAACACAGTCCATTTTATTTAGCGATTTGACTTTCAAGCCCACCCAGCTGAACAGCAACTCAACCTCGACTAAACTAACGCGAAGCTTCTATGTGAATATGAAGCTGCCTATGGATCTCGCTCCATCGTTCCGGTCGGAGGCAGTCCAGATACACTACAACGTCATTCTTGGCTACCAACTGAAGGAGACAAATGGCACTTTCTCTAACAAAACCATGTTTTTCCCCCTCAAAATACAGCCATACATCGATAGGTTTGGAAGACAGCCGCTTTTTCATCTTGAAAGACAGCGGATGAACCAACGACCAAGTGCTCTGAAAAATGTTGACTTGAACATTGCAGGGTCCTCTGAGATACCTGCACAGCCCAGACATGTGCGGAAGTACTCAGAGCCGGATATAAATGGAAAGTCCACTCGACGGTCGTCCAATGCGTCCTCCCTTCCCAACAACTTGTCAAAAAAGCCCTCGACGATAAATATGGAGCTTCTTCGGCGTAGTCTGGCGACCGCAGACTCCACAAGAAGATCTTCGTCAGAGGACCTGCCAGCAACATTTGATCTCAGTAAAGACCTCGAGACCAAGCAGTTTCTTGCACTTCTAAACGAGCTGAACGAGAGCGACGTGATGGATGCAATCAAGTTACAGGAAAAGTTTGAAAAACAATATCATCACGGACAGGATGCGGAATCGAATCCGCGCCAAAACCTATTCAACATAATCCAGGACTACCACAGTGTTCAGAAGCAGGAGTTTTACTCAGCAGATGACGTGGCCGACATGGAAGGCCAAGTTCCTGTCCATCAGCAAACAAAGTACATTGTCAAGCAGGATCATCTGCAGCTGGCAAACCTGACTCTGAGCAAGAACATTGTAAGAGTCGGAGATGACATCACCATTAGCATGTCATTCGCGGATGCCCAGCTGGAGACCAAGGGCGTCGAAGTGCGTTTGATAAAGGACCAGATATTTTACAGAGACGAGTACTTAAGGCGCTACGAGTACAATGAAGTATATAAAGGCATCAAACACGGGAACAGCATGGAGACCACCGTTTTCCACAAGCCGGCGAGCACGTTCGACGCCGAGCAGCTCAACGTGAATGTACAAGTACCTGCGACTGTGGAGCCGCAGTTCAAGACAAATTTCTTTCAACTGAAATACTTAGTGCAGATAAAGTTTGTTCTGGTGGATGCTTACAAGCTTACACGGTCGCCAGAGGAGAGCACGCAGAAAAAGCGAGAGGTTTTTGATCTGACCTCGATCTTCACCGACAACAAGGGCTCTGTGCTTTACAAGGCGGTGGAAGGCATTAGCAACGGTCTCGAGTTCACGGTCCGCCTGCCAATTGTTGTGCTTCCAAGCTATGAATACGATATAGCTCCCTGAAGTATTCTATTGCACTGCCAACTTGGCGTGCGGTTAGGTTGTACGCGTAAAAAATAAAAAAAATGCCTGCTTGAAAAAATTGTACGTGTATAAAGGTGAGGAACGGCAGGAGATAAATAAAGCACTGCGCTCGTCAACTAGGAATCCACACGACCGCATCTCCTGGGTTTGCAGAATCACACACCCGTTAGTAACTGTCCTGCATTTACCCACCAGAAGCCATGAGTGCTAATGACAACGACACGGGAAGAACGAGCCCCACGGTCATTGTGGCTCCCACTACTAGTGGCAGAGATAAGGCAGACCGCTTGGGCAAGAAGTTCGCCGACGCGAAACGAAACAATCGGTCACGGTTTGCGCCTTCGAGGAGTGCAGAATCACCATACAACGTACTGACATCTCCGTCCAGAAATGATCCCGTCAAGCTGAGCAGGTTGTATTCGATAATGAATTCCAAACGGACCTCAAACAACAAATCAAGGCGGCAGCGCGAAGAGCCCGCATTACAGCGCGCGGCCTCTGACATTTCGCAGGCGAAGGTTAGTCCGGATGAAAATGTTGGGAGTCCACACAACGCGTTGGTCACTCGGTCACAGCCAGCAATTGCGACTCCGATAGTCCTCGATGACCCTTCGACAACCAGCCTTCTAGCCGACGAACAGTCGGGATCATCGCCGAACAAGTCGGTGGTATCTACACCTCAGTCACAGAGCAAAGCTCCTCAGACAGCACGCAACGGGAGCTCCCAGCCGTCTCCAACTCAATTTGCCTCTAATGACACCCATCTGGCGCCTGGACAGCACCACACGTGCATCAGCAAACAAGCATTTGAAAAGAACATAGCTCAAATAAGCGACACTATCTCGACCTTCCAAGCCGTCGTGAGAAACCCAGCGCGTACCTCGCACGCAGACCAGCAGCCGTCGGCGCAAAACCCACCCAAGGAGCCAACAGCGCCTACTCCGCAAACACCAACCCGGCAGGCTGTTTTTCAGGACAGGAATGGCAACCAGACAGGATCAGATAAAAAGGTTTTGTTTTCTAGCAACGTTGATAAATCACCAATTGCGTCGTCTCCAATCAAGGAGCCTAGCGAGCCTCGGTCAATCTTGAAAGTGAGTCCGCCTAAGACAGATTTACCCAGATCTGTTGTGGGCGATATAGAGGAAGAGTTCCCGGCAGGTTCCTTGATGCAGAGGGAGCCAAACGATCCAACGTCGATAGAGCTGATCAGAAAATGCTATCGGCTTCTACAGAAAGAGGACGACCCTAGAAGGTTTGAAATCCTTGCCACTCTTCATAACACGCTCAAGATCAACAGCGTAGAGTTTAATACTCGCGAGCTGAACAAAGCTGACGCGTCGAGCATCGCAAAGGTGGCCTGTGCTGAGATTGCAAGGGCGTGCGTATCACCGGATATGGATTTCGATGCAGTGGAGTCCCGAACGACCATGTTAGGGGTGAAGCTGATCACCACGGTCATGTCGATGTTTGAGGTTTCGCAGACCGCAGAGGTAGTCGAGATGTTGTGCACGTTGGTGTTGAGAAAACGCATATCCAAAGCTTTGGCGTCCGCATTCGTTCAGTTCTGCAAAGAGCAGTCCTGTATTCTCCCTGGGAGTTCGAGTGAGATGGCTATCAATGCGCTTATGACCATGCCGTTTTATCCTAGCGGAACCATTGTTCACGAGAAGATTCTTGCTTTGAAGAAAATAGGTTCGAATGCTCCAGCAAGCATGCTCAAGACTTGTAGCAAGTGGTTTCCGTTTATTCTGGCCAGCATCATGAGTATTGATCTGGGCTCACACCAGAGAATTCTTCAAGCTGTGGTTGCCCTTTTGAACGAATGGACTTCGAACTGCAATCCCAAAATTCGCGAGGACGTTCTGACTTTAATGAGCGAGGACGCCGCGACCTTTGTGAGCATGCACACCGTGGAGGCGAGTCAAAATCTACTAGAACCTGGACTATCTGTTTGCGATGTTCTGGTCAAGACACTTATCATTAGCCTCAGACGGGGTGCATATGTGGAAGTAATGAAAATATGGGCCCTGGTCACGTACTCGATTTCTGCGTTCACCTGGAATAAGGGGATCGAAGATTGGCCGCATCTAGAAGCCTGGGTCTCGGTATTCACCGAGTGCTTCAATGCAGAAGGTCTTGCTCCCAAAATTGCAGCCTTGGAGGCATGGAAAGGCGTCATCTTTGCGTACCAGAGCTCAATGGTGTACCGAGCATCTCTATCTCCAAAGACAGAGAGCGAAGAAGAGCTGATCGAAGTCAAGTTTCATGTACTGGCTCACCCATTTTTCGGCCTAGCGCTAGAGCTCAATGAGACGTTGTTTGTCGAATACCAAAAACTCTTTGTGAGAATATACCATAGTCTGTACAAGTTTCTCACTAGAAATCCACAGGACGAAGGAGCATCTGTGAAAAATGGTGCCATTAAATGGATCTGTACGATCCTGGGCCAATTCTTTCTGGCAGAATCAAGAAGTGCTGAGCAATTGGAGTTTGCCATCAATTTCCTCGAGCAGATGCTTACATCAAGCCCTTCGAAACCAGACTTAGCGCAAACCAAATTGCAGAAAGACTGTTTTGCCGATGACATCGTGATAGAGCCTCTTTCGGTACCACCAATCAACACACTCTGGGTGGTTTCCTCGCCAGATCCCTTTGTTGAGCTTCTGAAGATTGCATGTAAAGGCAGAATCCCTGTTGCAAGGAAGCTCAAACTAATCACACTATTTGTCCGTGGATTGAGAACGGGGCTGTCGCCAAGTTCCGTTGCTTTTACACGGTTGACAGAGCCTGTCATCGCGATGTTCCTCGATACCTTTTCTGAAGTGGAGCAGGATTGCTCAGACCTAGGTGACCTGGAGGAAATTGAGGGTATTCTCTCTGACTTCTTCCAGGCCATTGACATTCTCAATAGTTTGGACCTATGGGGAGAAAATAAGTCCGTTTTCACTGTTGTCTCTCAATGGCTACGGAAATTAGACACCAAGGACGCTCAACGTGGATCCAACTTGGTAGCGGGCTATCTAGACAAAATCTTTTCACTAGATGTGAACCGTTATGTGCAAGCATGCAACGAATTGCTAACTCATTGCCAGGGCTTCGAGAAAATAGTTACAGACTCGCTGGTTGCACACTTATGCTCGGCTTATTTCAATGTTTCACCAGTTGTGTGGACGTCTATTTTTGAAAAATTGGGTGAGAGCCGGCACATTGACATTCTGTCTCGGCTTGTCTTGAACGAGGTGGGCCACGATAGCGCTATAGACGCGCAGAAGCACGTTCAGTTCTGGCAGGCTACAAATCTCAAAATGGTATCAGATGAACAACTCTATGTTCTCTACGACGCCTTGCTATCGTGCTCAGGAACAGAGCTCCTGCGCTATCAAATTAGCAATTGTCTTCTCAACGAGAAGCCCACCATTTATCTTCCTGTGGTGAATCGAGTACTGAAACGTATTATAGATCAAGGTCATTGTCCCCAAGAGGAGCTACAGCTATTTCTCAGAAAAAGAGGTAGCTTAGTTCATCACAACGCAGCAGATAGCAACATGTTGCTGGGAAAGACATTCAAATTGGTCTCCCGGTTGCAAAGTATGATCGAAGGGGTGCCAGAAACTAAAAACTCGCCACACTCTTCGAACGCTAATGGCGAAGCAGAAAAAATTCACAAGAGTCCTGCGAAGGAGACACCTATACCATCCGTCCAGCAGCAACTTGAGCCAGAACCGAATAGATCACAGAAAGATGCGGTGCAGGGAGCTCAAATAAAACAGTCTGAACCAGAAAAGCCTGAGCAACAGGATTCCTTGGATAACGGAACAAGCACAGAACTTAGCACGTTTATCATACGCTCGGACGACGAAGCAGAGGAAAAACAGCCTAATGACAAGTCCGGCACGACACCTGAGCAACCGGTTGCTACTTCCTCGCCTCAAAGACCTGCGGACCAGCCTGCTACCAAACCTGTCATTTCTCAAACTTCTCAGGTGAGTTCTCCTATGGCTAGAATCTCCTCGACTCAGGCGCTGTCGAATGATGGCGAAATCAGCGAGAAACAGCCAAGCATTTCGGGCACCCAGGCGTCTCCTCCAGCAGTCGGGCAGTCCAGCATACCCCCTGCTGAGAGAAGCTTCTTTGGTCAGGATACCAGCCAGTTTTTGCCACCATTTCCACCAATGCCTTACTACGGCTATCCATACTACCCAATGATGCCACCTGCTACAGGAATTGCCGAAAAACCTTCACCAATGCATCACATGCCAATGTACTATCCTATGCCTTATCCATGGCCTGCACCGTTATCTGGACCAGAAAAAACTCTAGATGCCAAAGACCCCGAGAGTTGGGTCAAGCTGGAAGAACTGGTCACAAGGCTTGTCCGCGAGAATTCTGACGGAGTGGACGACTTGGAGGAAACCAAAAAACGGAAACTTGAAGATGACCTATTTACGCTACTGACGTGCTTGAAAAAAAGACGCTAATTGGACGCGAAACGTACATGCGCGGCCAGCAGCTCGACGCCAATTTTCACCGAGTCCACAAACTCAGTATCTGGGAAGTCTTGCTTGAATTTGCGATCGAGACTGCTGAGCCCAGCGCAACCCAACAGGATAATTTTTGCGTTTTGGGCAATCAACACCCCAATCTTTTTCTTAATCTTGGCATAATTCTCGGGATCAGTCAGCTTGAGCACGTTCACATCGGCGGCCAGCGTCGGAGTCATGAACTTGGGGATACTTTTGGAATCGAAAAAATCCAGCAGCGAGTCGTCGAGTATTTGCTCCCAGCTTTTATTTGACGTCAAAATACCGACTTTTGTCGCTTCTGTAGCATAATTCAGCGAGTAGAGCAGGGAAGCCTGGAAAATGCCCATCACCGGCACGCTGACAAGCTTCCGTAGTCCACCAACCAACGGGTGGTCTGAGTAGCAGCAGACAAGGTATCCGTCGTATTTGAGATACGCAGAGTCTGATTTCAGCTTTTCGAGACAGGCTTTGGCAGACACTTCACCGTCGTGGGAGTTGTTGATGGAAGATGGCGCAGAGGGAGGCCCAGTGAAAAAGTCAAACTTGAACTCTGGAATTGGCCGCACAACGTTTTTCAAGTTGTCGGTGATTGACTGTGACGAGTTGGGGTTTATGACTAAAAGCTTCATAAGAAATAATTTCAAAAAGTTGTATGTACATTTTTGCGCTCTATATATTTATCAGTGCCGATATTTTGCGGTGCATCTCGCGGGAGACGTAGTGGTTGTGTGTTTTGTATTCGTCGTAGTAGCGTCGGAGCAGCTCCACACGTCCTGTCTTTATAAGCATGTCAAACATCAGATGGTACGACTTGGCAGTGGGCCGTATGTCGAAGCTGTCGAGGAGCGACGTGAAAAGGTCCACGTTGATCGTCTCACTAGCGGTGGAAATCTTCAACATGTAGTAGAGAGACTCTTCGTTGAGCTCGCATCGTCTTTTGCGAATCATGGAGTTCACCAGCTCCATCGCAAGCCGGAAGTTGTTGCTCGACTCGCTGATAGTCTTGAGCATGATATTCAAGGGTAGCACGCTGAACGGCTTGGACGATATTGCCTTGCGCATTCTGTATTTGTGCGATTTGCGGTTTGGTTTCCCCACACTAGACATGTGTTGAGAATAGTCGCCCTTTAAGTCTTCAAACTTGATTTCGGGATCACTCTTGTGCTTCATCATGCGGTACAGTTGGTGATCGGGGTGCAGTGCTGGCGAGTACCGTTCATGGTGCTCTTTGAGATGGTATCCGTTCATTTGCTCGATGAGAATAATTGCCTGATGAAGATTCAGGTGGCTGCCGATGGTCTGGGCCAAATCGTGTGTCAGCGTTGGGAAGTCTGTAACCTGACACTCGCTTTCCAGAAATCGCAGGTTGAAAAAAATACCGCTCTCGATGACACGCTCTGCGCCGAGTTTCGCAACGTATCCTTTAAATCTCAGCAGCTCCATCTGGTGTCTTAACTGCGTTGCGCCGGTTTTGTCGGTCAGCATGAGTCTTTTGGTTTGGTAGTCGACGGTTTTCGCAAACGTAGCAAAATCGAGTCTCTCGATGCTCAGCCGTGCAAGACGTCCTGCAAGCTCATCAGAAAGGTTCATCAGCGGACGGTCAAACAGGAAAACAAAGCCAACTACGAATTTCGACACCAGCTCGATCCGCCCGTCGTCCAGTGAGCTTTTTACCAGCAACTCTAAAATCTGCTGGTTGAGTATTTGCGGATACCGTTTGGTGTAAAGCAGGTCTACCAGTTGAAAAGCTTTGTCGAATTGTTTGTTGACTATTAGATGGTACGCAAGCAGCTCGCACGGGAACCTGTCGACCACAAGCGGGCTTTTTTGAATGGCATCCAGAGCAAGCTCGTATTCTCCTTTCAGTGTATACGACTGAACGAGCATGCTTGTGAGCTCCTTCGACTGACCTCCGTCCAGCAAGCAGCTCTGTACTTCCTTATCGCGGAAAAAAGGCAGCCATAGGCCAAAAAGCGAGTTGATTAGCGGCTGAGACAGCACAGACTGGCCGTTCCTGAGGTTTCGCAGAAGTACCAGCAGCGTCTTCCGTTTCAGGTCTTTGGTGAGAGTAGGGTTTTGCAAGCTCGCAACCAGAGATTCAGCATATGATTGGCTGGTGTACGGCGCCTTCGAGACCGTTCTTCGCGAAGCGGCAGGCACCGCTCTGCGAAGGACAGGGAACATGGAAATATAGTGCGAAAAATATTTTCAATTTTTTCACCATGATTCCTATCTTTCGCCAGTCAGCAAGACCGTTGGTGAGCGTTCGCGCAAGAACCCTTGTCGGACGGCGCGCCGCATTGGCCGCCACGGGGGTGCGTTTCAACAGCACAGAGACACCAGAGCCGAAATTCGACACCTCGCTAGGTTTTGACGCAGAGACAGTGTCGAATGTGTCGAACGTGCTTACCTCTGATCAGTGGGGGTACATGAAAAGTGTCGGGCTGAGCGACGGCTGGTGGCCCTCCGACCTGATACAGACCACTCTCGAGGCGGTGCACGTGACCACGGGTCTGCCCTGGTGGGCCACCATCGCCGCCACAACGCTGGGCATTAGGTTCGCTTTGCTGCCGCTTTTCATGGCCTCGTCGGACGCCATGGCGCGTTCTCAGGCTGCCGCGCCAGAGACAAAGGTGTTGCGCAAAGAACTGAACAGCGCAATGGCCAGAGGAGACCGCATGACGCAGCAGCTGAAAATGCAGGAAATTAAAAAACTGAATAAGAAGTACGGTGTCAAGTACTCGAGAATGTTTCTTTCGCCGGGAATCCAGCTTACGTACGGTATTGGCTCGTTCTTTGGTATCAGGGAAATGGCCAACCTGCCCGTGCAAGGCTTTGACAACCAGGGTTTGTACTGGTTCAACGACCTGACTGCTCCAGATCCCTACATTGGGTTGCAGTTGATTTCTGCCTGTCTGTATGCTGTCTCGTTCAGATTTGGCGGCGAGACGGCAGTCAGCCAGTTTGGTGCTAAAACCCAGAAGGCCTTCATGGCATTGCCGTTCCTGTCCATTGTCTTCACCTGGAACATGTCTGCGGCCGTGCTGGTGTATTTCACGGCCAACGGCCTGTTTTCAATCATACAGGCCCGTCTTCTGAGGTCTGCCAAGTTCAGAAAAATGTGTGGCATGTACCCGATGCAGAAACCGGCCAAGGACAGCAAAGGTCTGGTGGAGAACTTCTCGGAAACCTGGAAGGAGATGCAAGAGAACACAGAGGTGAGAGAAAAGGCCGATGAGAAGGCCAGAAATGCTGCGCTACGCCAGATGGTGAAGGCAAAGTCCCAAAGAGCTATCATTGAGCAACGTGATAAATAAATAGTATATAGTAAGTCCTGTAAATGGACGTCATAGACCGTGTTACGAATCGCCTTTCAGCACCTCTGAGATCTCAGGCTCGCTCAGACTCGTCAGCTCCTTGCGAATCTCTCTGCCATTGGCCACACGCATAACCACCGCAGGCGACACGTTCGAGCACTCTCGGATCAGTATAGGGACGTCCGGATTGGCATTTTTGATCGTCTTGTACTGTTTGACGAGAAACGAGCTAGGTGTTAGGACAGAAAGTCGCAACTTACCGTAATGGACGACTCGTTTCCCCCGTCTGCGACAGAATAAAGCGCAGCTCCTTGACTCCCTTGGATAAAGACATGCCCAATTTAGTGTGCTACTCCACTTTTTATCCAATACGGCTGCTGACGTAAGCCGCTTTCCCAGGGTTGCCGTTTCACTTGCACCGGGCTAGCGAGCCCTAGGGCGGCCACTGTCTGCTGGTCGTTAGCGAGATGTTCCGTGTCGTGTCCGAGCTGGGCGTACAGCTGAAACTCGAGCACGCTGAGCCCGAGTTTCCGCGAGATCTTTCCACGCAGCTTTCCTACCGTTGCAGAGGAGAACAGCGTAGCAGAGAAGCGAGAATCATTGAACACCACTTCGACGCGCGTGGGTGTGGGCAGATGACGAGCCGGGGTGCTTTCCTCCGGGGGAAGGCCATGTTTTGCACATAAACTCATCCACAGTGGCTGCGGACATTTCCACTCCTTGGACCTGACCTTGCTGATGAAGTAGAGCTCAAAGTTGTCACGGTGTTTGGTGGTATACACTGTTCCGTCAAGTTTTACGAGAGACGGAATTCTTGCAAAAATCTGGCTCATTGCAGAGTCGTAGTCGATAGAGTCGAGCAGGGGGGTGTTCAATATTCTGAGAGAGGTGAGGCTGCGTAGCTGTGCCAGATTGTCAATTTCTGACCACTCAGAAACCGCTGTATTGCAAAGGTCTAGTTCCTCAATTATCTGGAGGGAGCTGTCGGTGAGAGAGGGGATGTGGAGGTCGTTGTATGAGAGGTTGAGTCGTTTGGCTCGCGGCGCGTCGGTGAGCAACGCAAAGCTGTTATCTGACAGATCGAGCAATTCCAGCCTGCATACCTCTATGTGACTCAGGTTATTTGAAGCGACATGGAGATGTTGCAGTCTCGGAAAGCAGGAGAGCAGTTTGGGGGTGTATTCACAATTTCCAAGGTCGCAAGCGGAAAGATGCAGCGTATGTACCGACAAACACGGCTCACAGCTCTGGAATCGCGTCCAGCGGTTTCCGTTTGCCTTGAGAGTATGCAGATTCGGGAGCTGGAGCACGATTTGCATCAGATTGGGCCAATCCAGTAAATTGAAGCCCAGATCGAGCACCTGCAAGTTGTGGAGCGAAGAGTCGATCGGAGACGAAACCGCCACGTTCAGTCGCTCGAGCGTAACTGTCTCGAGGTTCCGGAAGTCTGCTTGTAGTCGACTCAGCTTCTCGAACCCGTAGCTCTCGACCTTTTTTGTGCCGATGGTGAGATCGAAATGGTCGATCAGAGACGCAGATTCGTTGGCAAGTGACTCATCGCTCGCGTACCGGTACACCATTGCGTCCATGAATGACCGCCTGGGCTGCAGCTTCGAGAGCTTGACAAAACTGGCCGACTTCGCTCCGTGCAGTGTGCTGAAATAGCGCGTCCCGTTGATTGAGCCGTCGTTCTTGCCGCGTTCGGGAACGTCCCACTCGATGCCGATGGCGGTCTCGTTGGGCCAGTTCGGGATCTCGCCCACAAAGCGCACCGTGGCCAAAAACCCATCCACGGCGACACGGTCTCCAGGAACAAGCATGAAATAATTAAACACCTTTGCACATGTTTGTTTTTTATATCAAATCGCAGCATGAACAAGGTGCGCAAGATCCAGCAGCTGAACGAGCGCGAGCTGGAACTGGGCACACCCATCAAGGCTTCATGGCACTATGAGTATGCCGACACATCGTACATTTTCATCGGGAACTTGCCGCCGGAAATGAACGAGATGGACCTCTTGATTGTGTTTTCCCAGTACGGAGTGCCTACGCACCTCAAGCTGATGAGAGACAAGAGCACGGGCCAGTCGCGCAGGTTTGCATTTTTGAAGTACGAGCAGTTTGAGTCGACCATTCTCGCCGTCGACAACCTCAACGGGTACTCCTTTGGCGACGAGTACGTGCTTCGTGTCGACCACGTGAGATACAAGCCATACCAGTACGATAAGGAGTTCGACGCCAACAAGGAGTGGGACGAGGCTCTGGCGAAGGAGATGGAGAAAGATTTTGGGGAGGAGAAAGAGGAGGAAGCAAAACTAATAGATAACGAATTGGAGGAGGAGGACCCTATGGCTCAATACCTGAAAAATAAAAAAGCCAGGACGAAATAACGAGTGATGATTTAAACAAATTTACATATACTGTACACTTACACTGTCTGCATGCGTGACTGTTGGAGCAAGAGGAACGGCAGGAGACGTGGCGGTGGGTAAAGAGAACGTGGAGGTGTGGTCTGGCTGCTGCTGCTGCTCGGGAGCGTCTGCCGAGGCCTCGTCGCGTGAGGTGACCACAGGCGGCGAGAAGAACGAGTCGGTTGTTCTGTTGGCCTCGTCGGCCTCGTCGGCCTCGTCGTGAGAGTCTGCAGGCTCGGAATGGTGAGAGTTGTCAGAGCGGATCGACTGCGCAGTCACAGAAGACGGCCGCGAGGCCTCCAGCGTGCGGGTCTCGGAGTTGGTATCGATTTCTGGTGTCGGCGACGGTTCCTGTGCCAGCAACTTGTCGAGGCCGCCACCTGAGTGGGCCTTGTTGGCGATGCTCTCGTACATCTGCGTTTCCATGGCGATCACAGAGCTGGTTTTCGCGAGGATACTGGTGAAGGTGGCCTGTGTCTGGTCGTAGGACGACACATAGTAGTCGTGTTTGGCGCGGTCGATCTCGTCCAACTGCGACGCCAATTGCAGCAGATTCGACTTGTATGCAATGATATTTCGCGTCTTCTTGCGGCTCAGCTTATTGTTGGTAGCTTCCTTCTGTCTAAGTTGCAGCACCTTCTCTCTGATTTCTTTCTTGAAAGTGGCGTCGTTGGCCTTGTACGAGCGCTCAAAATCGGATATTATGTTGAGGATGGGCTTTTCGAAGCCATCGGAAAGGCTGTGTGCCAGTATCTGCTGATGATTTGCTATCTGGTGGTGAAAACCGCTGGCTGTCATCAGTCCCTCAGAAGCGCTTCCTGCCCCCTTACAACGCGCACAGTCTTCCAACGAGCGCCCAAATTCGCTGGCAGCTATGCTCACAGCATTCAACGCCTCTCTATACGCGGCTGCCGTGCGAGCAAGGTCGCGGCAGCTGACGATGGTGTCGTTGACGTCCTTTTTGGTAATTAGGGTCTCCAGATCCAGCGTCGACGGCGTCATGGAGGGCTGCAGAGAGAGCAAGGACTCTGTTCGTGACGAGTCCGCGCGAAGTTTGCGCTGGACTTCACCCAATGAGAGCCCGGCAATGTCGTAGAGGGAGTCCTCCTGGAATGGGTCTTTAGAGCCGCTCTGGAGCGTGGAGGTCTCCAATTGCGGCTGGGACTCAGCAGACGAGCCGTTGACAAATGAGTAGAACTCAGAAAGATGCGGAGGTGGCGGCTTGCGCACGGGCGACTTGCGAGGGGCCGTGTTGTCCATAGGCAAAATAACAAAATGCTATAATTGAGCAAGAGTTTTTGGCGGACGATCGGCGCAGGTAATTTCTCCAACCCGAGACGATCTGCGACATAATAGTTTTTCAAAATTTTCCACCCTCATCGCAGCATGTTCGCTCTTGCAAGAATTGGGCTACAAACTCCAAAGGTGGGCATCTTGGGACTCACACGGGGGCTTGCCAGCTCTGCCTTGGCTGCATCGGAAAAGAGAAACACAACCAAGCCGCAAAACGGAAGAAAAACATACCTCTTGGATGTGTACAAGCATTTCGATAAAAACAACCAAATCATGCTGTTTGCGCACCACAACAATCTCACAGCACACGATAACTTGAAAATCAAGCTGCAGATCGAGGAGGCTGGTGCGCAAATAAGAAAACTCAAGGTGTCGCTCTTCAGGCACTACCTCAGAGCATCTCACCACAAGGACCCTGCTTCTAAGGCTGCCTACCGACAGGTGAAGAAACGTAAAATAAGACATCCTTTGGAGCCGCTTTTGAAGGGACCTACAGCTGCCATCTTGATAAAAGACCTAAATCCTAAAGTGGTGAAGAACGTCGTCAAGGTCCTCAAAACACACAACGAGCGCTTATTCATTGTTGGCGGCCGGATTGGTAACGACGTGGTTGACATTGCGGACATCGACCAGTTCAAGGAGATGCCAACAATGGACGAGCTCCGGTCTCAGCTGGTTGGAATGTTGACTGTTCTCTCTGGAGCGGGCCTGGTCAGAACTCTGGAGAGCGCTGCCAACACTCTGTACTTGACCATGGACACCCATAGACAGGAGATGGAGAAGAAGACTAACCCAGAAAAGGACGAGAAGCAGGAGTGAATAGTTGTATATAGACGATCCGCAAACAGCAAGGCTGTGCAAATCTGGATTAATTCAAAGACTAAATTTTTATTTGGAGAAAAAAATACTGCTGAAAATGATGTCTGATTCGCTGTCTAAAAGAAAACAATATCGCGAGGCGAAGGAGGAAACCCGAAAAGTACTCAAGCACGCGCGGTTCGAGGATAGCCAGGAGGTCAGTCTCCCGAAAAAACGGTTTTATAGACAACGCGCACACTCTAATCCGTTTTCAGACCACAAGCTAGAGTACCCAAAGAGTCCCGACTCGATGGATTGGAGCAAGTACTATCCAGGGTTTGTGGATAGCGACACAGGAAAGCTGGATCGGAAGGTTGAGATCGCAGACATTGGCTGCGGATTTGGGGGTCTTTTGGTTGATCTGGCCCCACATTTCCCAGACAGCCTGATTCTGGGTATGGAGATCAGAGTGCAAGTCACACAGTACGTTGAGGACCGGATCATTGCACTGAGAGTGAAACACAAAGACACGAATGAATATCAAAACATCAGCGTGATCCGCGCGAACGCCATGAAGTTCCTTCCTAATTTCTTCCACAAGGGGCAGCTGTCGAAGATGTTCTTCTGTTTCCCGGACCCACACTTCAAGCAGAGAAAGCACAAGGCGCGCATTATTACGAAGACACTGCTGAGCGAGTATGCGTACGTGTTGCGCGAGGGAGGAGTTGTGTATACCATCACTGACGTCAAGGACCTGCATGAGTGGATGGTGAGCCATTTGGACGAACACCCTCTTTTTGAACGCCTTTCCAAAGAATGGGAGGATCAAGACCCTTGTGTGGCCATCATGCGCGAGTCGACCGAGGAAGGAAAGAAAGTGGCACGCAACAATGGTGACAAATTTGTCGCATGTTATAGACGGGTAGCAGCGTAATCAATGTGAAGTATTTATAAACCTTTCGGACACCGCGTCGGACGCCATGCTTGCTTCGTCATTGTTGGATCTATTGAATCGGAAAATGGACGAGACCGCCTCTGATCCCTTGCGCAGCGAGCCGCGCAGAGAGTGCGAGTCGTCTGTTTTGAACTTGTAGATGGTAGCCAGGTCTGGTGGCTCGATATCCTGAGGCAAGATGAACGGCTTGTTGTTTGGCAGCAGTGGGTTTGACTCCTGAGCGCCGGGGTGTCTTGCAGCCTGCGGAGCGTGGCCCGTGATCATTCCCGACCTGCTGCTCCAGGCCTCCAAGTCGTTGGTGGATCCAAAGCCGGAGAGATTGCCGGAGTGCGTTGAGTACACCGACGACCTGTCGTCAAAAATGCTATCCATTTCTTCGAGACTCAGGCCTTTGGTTTCTGGAAACACAAGCCACACAGTGACGACTGAGATGAAGCACGAGGTGGCGTGGATGAGGTAAAGCCTCCACTTAATTTTTTCGAGCAGGATCGGTGCAAGCTCCCCGACAATGAAGTTGCACAGCCAGTTTGTGGCCGTGGCCATGGCAGCTCCGGAGGCACGGGCCTTAGTAGGCAGCACCTCAACGTTCAGCCAGCCGACGGGGCCCCAACTGCAGCCGAAGAACGAGTTGTAGATCATGACGAAAACGACAACCATGGTAGCGCTATTGGATGTCTCAGACTTGCTAAAGTACGAGACTGCACACAAGCTGACCCCCATAACCAGTCCTCCCATGATCAGTACCGGCTTGCGGCCCCATGCCTCTGTCAGATACCATGGCGGAATGCTGCTGAGAACATACAAAATGGCATTGATACCGGTGAGCAAGATGGCATTTCTGCCAACTCAGCCGGCATGCTCAAACACCAGCGGAGCGTAATATGATATCACGTTGATACCATTGAACTGCGCAAACATCTGCGAACTCATAGCCATGAATATCCGTCTAGGGTATTTTCTAAAGACATCGAGATAGCTGAGACTCCCCTCTAGACGGCCTATCAGAACAGACTCTTTGATGGCCTTGTACTCCTCACGTGCTCTGTCGCTGTGCACGTGACCACCTGAAAACAGATCGGCAATGACAACGAGCCCCTCTGCGTCGTGGTCGTGCTCTAGCAGCCATCTAGGACTTTCCACCAGCGCAAAGGTACCGAAAAATAGGATCGAACCAAAGACGACTTGCAACATGAGTGGGATTCGGAAGGAAAGGTTGTTTTCGATGAAGCTGCAGCCGTAGTCGATCCAGATCGACGAGGCATAGCCCATGATGTTGCCAGTAAACTGTGCAGACCCCAGTAGGCCACGGTTCTCGGGAGCAGAGATCTCTGCTTGGAACGAGGGTGCTGTGCCGGACAGAAACCCAACGCCAATGCCAGAGATGAAACGGCCAATGGCAAGATGGAACACCGACTTGGAACACGACTGGACCGTGCCTCCAATGCAGAATACCAGAGCACCGAGCCGGGTGGTTTTTCTGCGTCCGAGCTTATCAGAAATGGGGCCCAGACTCAGCGATGAAATCAGAGCGCCAATTTCCAGAATTGCCACGACAGTACCGATTTCCACAGCCGTTGGATAGTTGAAATACTCTTTGAAATAGTGATTGGTCAAAATCGAGCTGAAATAACCCTGATCGTATCCGAAAAGAAAGACACAGAGACTCACAAAGCCGGTGGTGAAGTAGAGCAGCGGGTTGCCCACCAAGACTGCCTTTGGAATATCATCGACAGTAATTTGTCGTGACATGTTTACATAAAATTCTATCTAATTCCTGGTCTACCCCGTATTATTTTATTTATATGCACGATACACCGAAACACCCTTACACCACGTGCTACTTAGCTAGCGAGGTTTGCACGTTGAAGGAGACCGCTGGGAGCCGGTTCTCTATGACTTCTGCTTTCACAACGGCACTGATACCTAGACTGGCAAGAATGCCGCGGATAAGCCCGCACGGCAGTTGCAAGTACGGCTGGATTTTGCTTATGGTGTCTGCGTCGCCATGTGCGCTGGAAACGTTGATCAACGGACGAAAGTTGTTGTCCACAAGCACAAATGTGCCGATATGGTTTGTGCGCAGGTTGTCCATTTGCTTTAGGTAAAACATACGCCACACATCGCGGCATATAAATTTCATCACTTCCAGCACCTCCAGCAGCTGGATGTTGACTCCTTCCTGAACGGTTTTCTTGTAAATGATGCAGTCGGTGATCTTGTATCCAATTTCGTAGCCGTATTGCTCCAGACGGTACAGGTTGTTGAGGCCCACAAACTTGGGGTTTGAGGCAAAGTCCACCGTGCCTGGTTTGTCCTCTTTAAGGTTGAGCCCGGCAACGTCTCCCGCAAGCGTACCAGGCGCACTGTCGCTGGCCAGCAGCTCATCTACGCGCACAGACAGTGCCACACACTCATTGACCAGATAGTCCAGCGCCATGGCGCTGACCTCCTTGGAGAAGAATTCTTCGGGCATGGAAATAAAATTATACTGTACTTTAGTTTTTTATTTTTCTAGTACATGATGCTCGATAATGGTTTGCGGGTCCGAGTGCAGTCGCTGCCACGTGGTGATCTGGCCGGTCAACGCGTCTACCTCGAACACACGCACTCGCCGTTCTGTGCCGCCGTATCCACCGTAGCCACCCTCGCCAGTGGCCCCTCCGTAGCACAGCCACATATCCGATTTCAGACAGAAATCGTTGCAATGGTCGTGGCCCACAGATACCACGGAAACGCCCATCTCTTTGAGCGTCTGTGCCATGCCTGTGTTGATCTGCGGAGCCATGACGGCCTCTTTGTAGTTTCCAAACACTATCGCGTCGGTATCTCTGTACTCCGGCAGAGGTATGTGGAAGAAAGCCATGGCCACGGCAGCAGGGACCTTGGAGCTCTTAATCCACTCAATTTGATCCTCCTTCAAATAGTCGTACCCGCGCACTTTTGGGTTGAGCGAGTATTTGTGCGAGTCGAGGAAATAGAGAGCGAGCTTGTTCTGGACTTGAAGCACGTAGTTGCCGACTCCAGACACGTTTGCAGGCCCAACTGACGAGAGAGAATACGGCAGCTCTTCGACAATCTCCATAATCTGGTCGCGCTGTAAGGAACCCTCGTCGTCGTGGTTACCAAAGACCATTGCGTAGGGGACTTTGTGACGCTCAAAAATATCGCACACCTTGAGAATCGTAGTTTCCGTGTCAGGAGAGTCGTCACCATATATTTGGTCGCCCGTCATGACGACAAGATCCGGCTTATCGATATCAAGCACAGTCTCGACGAAATGTGTGGTTTTCGGGTCTGCCTGGCATTTTTCGCCCGGAGCAAGCTGGGGCCACGGATCACGGCACACACCGTCGAGCGTGGCAAAGTGCAGGTCTGCAACCTGCAATATTCTAAACTTGTTATTTTTGAAAGACAGCTGCGGCCGGGTCGGAGCTGTGGTTGGCCGTCTGTAGCTGATGTATACATGGTGATCTGTTTCTGTGTGTAGTGGCTCTGTGAGTATCGTCCATCCGGGACGGGGATCTGAGGGTTGGAAAAGCACCGTCGCATCGATGATTGCTTTTTTGGCCGGGCCATATTTCACCCAGACGCCCTGGCCTTTAGATTTCCACAGGTTGCCAGGCTTGTACTCTGGTTTTCCCACGGCAACGTCCACGACGGCAGTATCCTCACTGTGTCCCAGCTTTTTATGCAAATACGTTCTTTTAAACAGCGCCTTTCCCAGTCCGAGATCCTTGTCCACTCTGACATAGTCAGACCCTTTGCAGAAGGGTCGATAACAAGTATAGAACTCCAGGTCCAGCACCAGGGGAGAGTCTGTGTCGACTGGTTTTGGACGGGCAAGAAGAAACAAAACCGCCAGGGTCAACACCACCAAAAGGTAAATGCTGCCTCTGAGGGCCTGTTTTGTGAGACCCACCTGTCTAGGCACAAACATAACGAGAAAAAACATTTTTGCATTTGACATGGCGAATAGCCGTGGCGGTATTTTAGCAAATGGCTGTTTGGGCGGAGCCAGAGGACAGTTAGATCTGATCGATAATCATCGCTTCGCCAGACACTTGACGCTCGCTGAAATGCTAACCTTGTCTCTCGTAAATACATACAACTATATAGCTATACCTGCTAAAAAGGTGCGGGAGCTTCCCAGGACGCTCAATGCTTGTTCTTGCCCCCCTCAAGTATCTCCTTTTGTTTCTTCTTCAGATCAATCGCCTCCTGAACCAAATCCTCATCCCTGCCATCCGGGCCCTTTGGTCGCTTGTCAGTGCGCAACAGACCCCCGTGCCCCGCTTCTTCGTGGCCCGGCAGACCGTGCACCACACGGCTATGTGGATGTCTCAAGTGCTCAACGTCCACGGTCTTGTCGCCAATTTTAAATCCCTTGATCTCCTCGCCTTCCAAAGGATCCATAATTATTAATATTCAAGTTATTTTCCCCCATGAATTATATCCTGCTGGGAGTACTGCTCTCTGTTTCGGGCAACATACTCATTTCCATCTCCCTGAACATTCAGAAACAGGCCCATCTCCACTTGGGCTCCGAGCATTACGCCCGCAACCTGAAATGGCAGCTTGGCTTCATGCTCATGTCTCTAGGAGAGGTGGGTAATTTTGTCAGCTACGGTCTGACCCCCGTCAGCATCGTGGCGCCTCTCGGCGTCGTGACCATCATTTCGAATTCCACCTTTATTGCGCCTGTTCTGTTCCACGAAAAGATCCGGCGCAGAGACCTCTACGGTACCTTCTCCAGCGCGATCGGCGTGGTCTTCATGATACTGTCCTCGGTCAGCGATTCCGCAGCACCGCCTATCCAAGACCCTTTTTCGTACATAGACTCCATGGTGCTTTCGTCGCCAACACTCATCTATCTTGCAAGCACACTCGTCACCATCGTCGTTCTCATGCTCCGGCTGCGCAACTTGGAACGGTCCATGACATACATCCTCCTGCATCTGTCGCTAGTGGCACTTTTCGGCACCTACACCGCGATCTCCACAAAACTGCTGGCTTCGGTAGTTGAGTTTGTGCCTTTCCGCGATATATTCGTCAATTGGCGGCCTTACGTGCTGTTTCTGGTCATAATCGGCACCTCCGGGTTCCAGGTCCACTATCTAAACTCTTGTCTCAGAATCGCCAATGCCACCACAGTGGTGCCCATCCATTTTGTGTTTTTCACCACGGCTGTTCTGCTCTGCTCGATTGTTGTTTTCAACGACTTTGCGGACAAATCTGCCGCACAGTGCATAGTCTTCTTGGCCGGGGCTTTGCTCACGTTCTCAGGCGTGTTTCTGATATGCGGAGCCAAAACCAGCGAGAATGAGCACGATCTCGTTGGGTCAGAGCCGCCATCACACATTCCTGCACACCAGCCTGTGTCAGAAACGGCTTCCATGGTTTCGACTGACGAGGAGTTGCCACCAAGACCACAGGGACTCATCCAGACATCAAAATCAACACCAGAACTCAACAATTTTATAGAAAGCGAGCACTTCTACAACACTACCAATAGAAGAAACAGCCTGTTAGAAATAAATAGGCATCCTAGAGATATAAAGCACTTGCGGGACCTTGGCCACGGCTATTTTGTTCTCGGCGGAGGAAGCGCACTCATGAATGCAATTTTGAAAGACCATTCGCAGACCCCAGAAACCCGCAGTCTGGCCTAGCGCTTTGTCGTCAACAACGGCGTGATAAATGGGTGTTTCAGAAGCCTGGCGGCATTGCAACGTTTTTTGTAATCGGTCTCAAAAGTCATCGTGAGGAAGTCGCGACAGTCGTCCGTGATGCCGTCTGGAATGTTGGGCACCGTCAACGTGCCAATGCGGAAAATCGCCTGCATCTGCGAAAATCCCGGATACGGGTGCTTGCCGGTCAGCATCTCCACAATCAGACACCCTAAAGACCAGATGTCGGCTTTGTCTGTATAGGCAATCTGCTTGACCACCTCGGGGGCCATCCAGTACACGGACCCTTGCAAAGACGCGCGTTTCTGCTGCTTGGTGGTGCCAGTATCCTCCAGCTCTCTATCATTGATGTCAATTTTTTTCGAGATACCGAAATCACTGATTTTCACCGTCCCGTCAATGTCTATCAGAATATTTGCTCCTTTGATGTCTCGATGAATAATGTCCTCGCCGTGTAAATATTTAAGCCCTATGAGCACCTGTGTGACAAAGTTTCGCACCAATGGCTCTTCAAAAGGCCCGTAGGTCGATAACATCGAACTCACCGACCCCCCAGGAATGTACTCCAAAAATATGTAAATATTGTCAGAATCGGCGGATGATCCGAGATAGCGCACAATATTTTCGTGGTTCATGACCCTGAGCAGCGAAAGTTCCTGCTTCAAAGCATTCACCATCTTCTGTTTGGAATCCTCAGACGACCGAGGAAGGCTAACCTGTTTCACGGCCATTAGCTCTCCTGTCAGTCCATTGAGTCCTAAATACACGGTACCAAAAGAGCCCTGGCCAATTTTAGTTCCCTTGTGCCAGACAGATGGACCGTCATTGTTTTCCAGTGAGAAACTGAGTTGCTCAGACGAATCAAACGACTCGTCGTCGTCCTCGTCGTCAAAAAGCTTGATTACCGTCGAATCTCTGTTTTCTCGCATAGAGACCGCAACAGACATGCGCGCCCGTTGCTTCGAATCCAAACTGCCGTTCTTTTCCAGAGACACATTTCGCGTTGAAGCACGAATGGTTCCCTCACCTTCTAAATGCGGCGGCTGGTCGGCACGGATTGTGTCCATAGCAGCTGAGTGGTTTAGAATAACATCTCCAACAGTATGTTTGACAGGAACTGCAACACCATAGCTGAACACAGAGCTGGCAATAGACTGCGGCCTTCCAGAGTAGATCGACTCGCGCGTGGATTGCTGTGTGCTCATTTTAGAGCTGTACATCGAAAATCGCACACTATTGCGCATCACCTCCCGTAACTCGGTGGCCCCAGTGTCAGGGAAGTATTCTCCAAGGTTGGTGGAGATTAGCTGTGAAGGCGGTCTCTGTCCAAGGAAATTCTTCAAAGTCTTGGTTTCCGTACCCCCACTTGCCAAGATGGACTTCGAGGTTGCCAAAGCTGCTTCCGACGGTGACTCGCTCGCATGACATAGAATAATACGTTTTTTTTCTGGACGGTCAGGAGAGTGGCACAGTGCCGTGAACTCTGCATCAAACATCATGTGCAGATTATTATCTTCATCAACGTAGTACGCTTTCCACTCTTCGACGTGTGTGGCTGAAATGCCCATCTTTCTGACAGCTTTTCTCTTGATCGAGGTTGAGCTGAAGCACCCTGTCACGTTGACCTCGTTCTTGTGGCCGTCCGGCCCAATGATTGTGACACAGTTCTTGTACTCGTTTTCAACCTTGAAAGTGGCTGACGACCGCCGGGCTTTGTCGTTATACGTGACTGTCTTATCAACGCTGTTCAATGTGGCAGAAGCGTTTGAAACAACCTCTGCCAGATCACTCACATTTACTCGTGACTTGAGTCTCTCAGTATTTAAAAGATGGATCAAAACCTGCAGTCGCAATCTGTCTCCAACTTTGGTGATGCCGATTTCTTTCAAAGCGTGTCTATCGAGCTGGGGAAGCAGATCAATCTTGATGTCATTCGCAACAAATAGATCAATGTACTCCTCGCACTCCACGGTCTTCAAATATTGCAAGAGTTCATATCTATCACTCATTGTTAGCCTGCTAACTTCCATAATACATACCTCTCTGTCATTGACCCACGCCGCATCTGAACATTCATGTGGTCAGGCCTAAATTTAGATCTAGGTTTCAAGAAAAACTTGGCCCCGACCCCTAGAGCTGACGTAACATATTATTTCAGCTCTTGGTAGCCCTTGAAGAATATATCGGGCCCCTTAATGATAAAGCTTGCGCACAACTTTGGTCAACGCGAGTGATTTGTTGAATGGCAGGTCCCCACAAGACATAATGGCCTGTTTGTTCTGCTGTCGCATCTCCACAAATTGCTCAATAATGCGCTCTGCCGACTCTGTCCGTCCTTGGTATATCTGTAGGAAAGATCTGACATGTTGGTCATACGTTCTCGTGATGAGTCCAATTGCATATTTGAAAAGTCCGTTGAGCTTCTGAAGCTTTATTAACTTGTCAACTTTGGTATCCTTGTCCAGTTTGCTGAATGCTCGCTGCATTTTTGACAGTTTTTGTTCCACGAAATCGAGCATGATGCTTATTTCCTCCACAACGGGACCCAGCTCATACTCAAACCGCGATATCAATTTATTGGCATGATCGTTCTGGTTTCGGAGTTTTTCCAAGTAAAGCTCATAGCTGGAAGAAATAAAGTTTTCTTTAAAGAAGAGCGACTTGGGCGTAAGCTGTGGTTCTTTTCTGTTGTAGCTACTAGGAAGGTTCTGGGAGAATTGGAAAAATGAAAGCCCTATATTGTATTTGAATTCCATTGACTGTTTTTGGAGCTTTAAGCACTTGTCCAGTGTCCGGACGGTCGTGTCAAACATATTGTGGATATTCTTGAACTCGTGCTGGAAGTAGGCAAGCTGTTGATATTCAAACGGCTCCTTTGCGATATCCTTCCATTTCTGCTTGTTTTTTCGCTTCCAACTCTCTGGGACACTTAGTATCACTGTTGGTGATGCCAACGGGGAGGGCAGGCTACTCTCGATTTCGACAAGTCTGCTGAGTTTAGGGCATTCCTCCAAGAGCCCCAGTGTTGCCAGTGTGTCTCGCAGCGCACAAAGTCGGTTTGCGGGCACCTTGAGCAATTTCTCAATCTTGAGGCCGTTCAGACTGGAAAACCAGTCGTCAAATCGTTGGTCATCTTTCACGGAGTCTAAGATCTCTAATCTCCGTCCCTGCAACGCAAAAAAAGACGGGTACACCTGAGAAAGTCTGGTGAAATGATCGTTCAAAGTCTGCACAAGGGAATGACCACTAGCTAAATTCTTAACCAATAGCTCGCTTAGACTGATCATTAGACTGACGTTGCCAAATAACAAGATAACATCTGTGGACTTGATGGGGATACCTCGTTCGTTTATGTAGCTGGCAAACGACACCGCCACGGCATTTAGCAGATCCAGGTCCAGCAGATACTGCCGTTCTGTGCTAATTACCAGATGGCTATTTGCGTCGCGAAAGTTCGATATTTCTGGCGTCGGGAAGTCTTGCAACAGTTTAGGGGGGATCGGGGGCAGTGATTTATCTCTTGTGGGAATGCTGAGTTCCTGCAATTGTCTAGCTTTTTGCCGAAACCGGCTTGGTTCTTCGGTTCGTTTTTGCATCTCTTTGATCTCCTCTCCCTGGTTGCCCCTTGACAAGAACCATAGGCTTTGCGAGTAGGGGTTGATGAAGCTCCAGCTACGCTTGGGCTCGATGTTCTCCTTATTTTCGATGTCTGAGTAAACGGACGACGATGTCAAAACGGAAACAAAGCTCACAGTCATAACAAAGAAACAGTAATATCACAAAAACATCTTTTTTTTCGTCTGCTCCCGTTCTTTGTTGGTATCTTTCCCCTGCCCTCTTCCTCAAAAACGTTTCAACACCGCCACAGGTGGCTTAATATATTTATATTTATTCTCTCTTGTTTTATGTCTCTTACAAATTGGAGACAGTTCCCGTTCTTTGAATGTGTCCCGATCCAGGATCCAAATTATGGCGCCGCAAATGCGCTCTACTCTGCTGCTGATGTCAGTGCCATTGCTGGGACGCCGGACCTTCTTGTTCTCGCCTCGTCGCAGGCTTCCATTAAGTTGGTCAACAGACAGTACGAGCCGGTATTCGAGTTCCAGGCGTACGATTTGGGTTGGGACATCACACGCTTGGCATTTTTACCGTTTGGAGGAGCCCGCAAATCGGGCTTTTTATGTTCAATTGCCGAAAAACGGGGGTTTCCAGTGACTCTCAAGCTGTGGGACCTCGCGAAGCTCGAGCATCTCAAAAAAATAGACTACAACAGCGACTACCACTCACTATGCCAGGTGACGAATGGCACGAACGACTTTCCACTGACCTGTTTTGATGCCACAGCAGACTTCACTGTGCTTGTGTTTGGGTTCGCCAACGGAACGGTTATTGTGGTCAGAGGCGACCTGCTCCACGATAGGGGATCTCGACAACGAGTCGTGTACGAGTCGCGGGATCCGATCACAGGCGTGCTCTTCCGTGACGAAGGTGTGCTCTACGTGTCGAACGTGTCGACAATACTGACAATCCCGACCACAGGCAGAAACCAGGGCCGGCCAGACCGGATTCTGGACGAGTCCATGGGCGTTGACATCAACTGCAGCGCCATGCTTGAGGACAAGAAACGCAATTTGGTGGTTGCCCGCGACCAGAGTCTGCAATTTTACAACCTTCGCGGAAAAACACACAATATTCTACTAGACATACCCAAAAAACGCATTTTCGCATACAAAGACAGATACGTGGTGATTGAGTCCAGTGTCAGCTCAAACCTGACGTCCGCTTCGTCTATTGTCACAAATAAGCTTGTTATCGTGGATGTGATCAACAAGTTCATTGCCTTGAATCAGACGATCTCCAGTTCAGTGGTTGATATATTCACTTTGTGGGACGATCTGTACGTGTTCACATCTGACGGATTGCTATTCCAATTGAAGGAAAAGGACCTCACCGAAAAGCTGAACATTCTGGTACAACACGAGCTTTTCAATCTAGCCATTGCTCTCGCAGAAAACGAGAACTATGACACACAGAAGCTACTTGAAATCCACAGGCAGTACGGCAACCATCTTTACGAGAAGGGAGAATTTGAAGAGGCAATCAAACACTACATCGACAGCATCGATCTTGGAAAGACTAGTGAGGTGATACAGAAGTACAAGGAAAGCTCGAAGATTCCCTACTTGGTTGAATATCTTGAGAAACTGATACAGCTAGGGAAGTCGACGATCGACCACACGACTCTTTTGCTCTGTTGTTACTGCAAACTCAAACGGCCAGAGAAAGTGCTCCTCTACATTGAAAACTTGCCTATCAACGAGGACTTTGAGATAAGTGACCCCTCCAAACAGTTTGACATGCCGACCGTCATCAGCACATGCAGGGAAAGCAGGTACTACGTTCTGGCTGCCAACATCGCGAAGAAATTCAACGATCCATCCGCAGTGGTGGATATACAGCTGCACGACATGAAGAACCCAAGCTTGACAATGAAATACATCCGCACCTTGCCCGTTGACGATCTCCTCCGCGTTTTGATCGATAAGGTGAAGTGGTTTCTAGACAGTCTTCCAAACGAATGCAATTTGCTCTTGATTGATGTTTTCACTGGAAAATATAGACCAGAGCCAGAGTTTGACCTTGCAGACCTCGCAGTGGTTCCAAAATCAAACACAAACCACCCTATCCTGACTTCATACAAGCAGTTTGTGGCATTTATGAATTTGGCCGATAACGACGAACCGCAGGTAACACAACCAACATATCTTCCTCCACGGCCGCGAATCATCTTCCAGTCGTTTGTGGACCATCCCAACGAGTTTGTAATTTTTTTGGAAGCTTGCATCGAGAGCTACGACAAGTTTGGTGGTGACGAAAAGGACAAGAAGGATATTATGGTGACGCTCTACGAGATGTACCTCACCATGTCCAAGAACGGCGACGAAGATACCAAAGTCAGATGGCAATTAAAGGCCAAGGCTTTGCTAGAAAACATTCAGAAAAGCAAATGGGACCTTGAGGACCAGACCAATCTGTTACTACTCTCAAATCTTGGAGACTACGCAGAGGCGGAAATCGCCATCAGAGAGGCCACTGACGACTCGGCTCAAGGGTTTGAGCTCGACATGTTCAGGTCAACTATCCTGACAGGTAATTATCAGAGGTCGTTGGAAGTCATTGAGAAATACGGCGACAAAGAGCCCGATCTATACAAGTTGGCACTATCAGTATACACATCATCTGAGGAGATATTTAACCGCGTTGGGGAAGAAAAAGTGGCCGAATTGATATGGAAGATCGACTCGCTTAAACTGATGACCCCGTTGGAAGTGGTGAAACTCCTTGGTATGACCTCGTTTGTTAAGCTCGGGCTTATTAAAAACTATCTCATCGAGCAGATCCGCCGGCAAAAGCGTGATATAGAGAACAATGAGAAGCTGATCGACTCGTATCAAAAGGAGGCGTCTGCAGTCGCAGAACAACTCTCAAAACAGAATACGGAGCCACAGGTCATCAATCGATCAAAGTGTTCCTCCTGCAACAGGCCATTATCCTTCCCATTGGTGCACTTCAGATGCTCTCATTCCTACCATGAGAGTTGTTTGACAAACGAGTTCTCCCAATCTTCATCTAGCGACCAAACCTGTCCAAAATGCTCGGGAGAGCTGGACACAATGACCATTCTCACTAAACAGCACGAGGAGGTGGGAAAACGCAACGATCTCTTCAAAGCCAGCTTGTTGGATAGCACCGACAGATTCAAGGTAATGATGGGATTTTTCGGTCGCGGGGCAATGCAGGAAACCAGAACAATATGGCATGGTAAATAGACTGTATTTCTAATCAAAAATGTTTGGATGCTCGCTGCACACTGCGGAGCATCTGGCAAGGATGTCCTTCGTTTTCAGCTCGCCTTGGCACTTGCTGAACCCTCCAAGCTCGAAAAGCTGCAAAATATCTTTTGGAACGATGCTGAACTCGTCCTGCGTTTCAATCAGCGTGTTGATTACCTCGATGGCCAAAAAGTGGTTTTCTCCCTGCGGCACTAGCTCCACAGAGCTTGTAGGGATGTCTTTGGGATCCGTCTTGGGCCTTTCGTACAAAATGTTGGGCGTAATCACGGTGGCTAAATTGTGGACGTCCATCTTAGACCCATTTTCTTCATCAATCAGACAGAACGATGCAACCCAGTTGAAGAAAGAGAGCAACACCTCTGCCAAGTCTCTGTGAGCTTTCGGAAGCATGCAGTAGGCAAGCTTCAGGATCCTGTCCTTTTTATTGGCGTCGTCTCCAAACTTCTGTGACAAGATAAACAGATCGTACAGCTTGAAAGTGAGCAATGGGTCAGGCATTTCTCTGGTAAACTTTTTAAGCAACGCGGCCAGTTGGATAGGCGTCTCCTTGGAGAAATCAGGAACCTGCTGTGGATTTGAGTCTATCTCCTCCGTTAGTTGTCTGAGACGTTTGATGTTACCGTTTATGCGGAACACACCCTCCACAGAAAGATCCATTGTGTGCATAACGTTGATGAGCTCGTCAACAAGCATCGGCACTTTGAGCTTCTGCGGACCAATTCCCAGATCACTCTCAACGCCACATTTCTCGACCAACTCTTCCAACGGACAGCCAAATACTTTGTTGGTAGATTTTTTAGAGTTTCCTGATCCTCCAAACATCCTCTCCCAGAACGAGGTACTTTTTTTCACAGAAATAAACGAGACACAGTCTTCCAGAGACAGAGTGTCTCCCATGAGCTTGTGCAATGCAAATGCTGCAATGTGTTGCAGGTATTCGTTGTCTTTTTTAGAAAATTCAGAGTAGCGAACGGCAGAAGTTGGCGCGGAAGAAGCGCTTTCCTGCGTCCGTTGCGATTTGGCGACGGTCTGAGACGGCGTCTTAAATTGCGGTAGAGGAGACGACGGAGCGCCAGAAACGCTTCGTGTGGCTGAAGTTATCTGACCCGAGTCGGAACCTTTGTTCCTAACAGCTTTCGGAGCAGGAATCGTCGAGCTAGCCGGCGTGTAGGCTCTTTTCTGGAACCTGAACGCGTTGGGACGGTGCTCGCGTGCCTGCTCCGACGAAACAATCCGGGGAATGTCGTCCAACGTGAGGCCTTTCTCGTTTTTCAGCAAATTCGAGGTCACGTCGAGATTCGTGGACTGCGGCTTCGTCTTCATAGGAACGTCCTCAATCCGAAGTCTTTTCGAGCCTTTGCGACCCAAAGACCGCTCTTTCTTCAAAAACTTCGACGCCGTGAGGGACGATAGCGATTTCCCAGACTCCGGGTCCACGTTCTCCATGCCCGCAGATGATGCCTCGGGAGCCTCCAAAATAATCGACTTTCTTGCCTCGGCAGATGCAGTGCCTATCCGCTGTTTCTGACGCTTCGAGCGCATCCGCTTGATATCGGTCACATGCTGGTCGTAGGAGTCGGAGGACAGAAGCACCTGCGGTGGTGTCTTGGCGATGATACCGCGTTTGAGCATGGCATGTCTGGATCTGATCAAGGCAATTTTCAGCAGATAGATCAGCTGCATGTATCGAGAGACTTTCTTAAAGCCTGCCTGGGCGTCCACATCGTCTGATGAGCAGCTGGCACACAGGATCTGTTGTTTTTTAGGGTTGAAATTAAACTCGCTCAGACTGGTGTGTGTGCTGCTGCGTCTGGAGCAGTTGGAGCACTCAAAACATTCGATATGCCAGATGAGATCTCCGAAACGGAAACAATCCTCCTCGATACTCTTCTGGCACCGGAAACACAGGTCTTTAGCGTTTGGTGGGATCCCGAGCACCGAAAACACGTCCTGGGGGATCGAGTCGTGGCTCGAGATCTCGCGAAGGTATCTGTCGGTGGCAAGCGAGGAACGGCTGATTTTGTTGTATTCGAGAGCGTGTAGGAGGGTATTTCTGGAGATCAGCTTGATGTAGTGTGCCAAGGTGGAAATTAAGGAGAGCAGCTGCTGTGTGTGGGTGTTTGACAGCAGCTTTGTTTTGTCGGTGTCGCGTAAAAAAGTCAGATACGACATAATTTTTGAGGACATACTGCGGGGCTCCTTGCTGAGCGGCGTGAGCTTGTGGTTCGCCGAGTAGTCGAGCCGGATTCTGGAAGACTCAAACAGATCGTTGAGGATGTCGACGCCTCGGAAAAGGTATTCGATCTTGAGCACCAGCTGGCCGGTAACCAAAAGTCCGCCCAGTTGGTTGCCTGTCGATGCGGAGTGCAGCATATCGGAGATGCACGATGCACAGCCTTCCTCAAACTCCGATAGCGTGAGCCAGATCGACATGGTCATGCGCTCGAGTTTTTTCTCGAGGTCGAACAGCTCTTGAGGCGTGAGTGATTTTTTCGCTTCTGTGTCGCTCAGGGTCTTCGCTCCCAGTTCGGACATCCCGACACATTCGGCAGTGACATCGACACCCCAAAACTTGTGCACCATAAAACACTCCGGATGCCACTGCTGCTCGCGGCCACCTCTGTAGAGTTCGACGTACTGTTTCAATATTGCAGATTTGCACGCCTCGCATTGTGCTGCGTAAAGGATGGAGTAGTGGTAATGGCAATATATCTTGTTCTGGTGTTCATAGTAGTCCTCCGAGTCAAACACTCTGTGGCAGATGTCGCAAAAGAAGTGCTCTGGGTGGAACTTGCGTCCCACAGCAGTTATGTAGGAGCCTCTGATGGCCTTGTCGCAGGTGGAGCAGATAAGATCAATGCGCTTGAAATAGTCATATTCACAGAGCGGCACCTGAACCGCGTGGCCCCCAACCTGCACGTCAGCGGCAAAGAACTTGTTGGAACAAGGGTTGCCGCAGTCGTGGCAGCGGAAACAGTCGACATGGTAGATTCTGTCCATGGCGCGCACGAGCGTGCCGATGATGGTTTTGCCGCACTGGTAGCACAGTTTAGGGGGTTTCCGAGACACCACACCGTCTGTAGAGCTGTTTTTGCGCGAACCATTAGCAGAAGTTCCAGGAACACGCCTAGCATCTCCAATGTCCAAATTATTCAGCCCTGGGACCAGGTTGGCGTCAGAAACCTCCGCACCGTTGGCTGCTCTGTTGCCATTGGCTGGATGAGACATTTGAACGCGATGAAGGAGGGACAGGGCGCAAAACGAGTGTGGAAGGGTATTCGGGACACTGAGGCGCTGTGGTTGGGTTACCGCTAGTTGTGGTTTTTCTTGTTTATTTTTAATTTTCGTCGTCCTCAAACATTCCGCGTCGATCGGCGGGTCGACTAGCCGGCACATTGTGGTTTGAGGGCCGAGCATTGTTTCGTGGCTGATGACGTATGTTCTTATTCACGTGGAAAAAAAGTTTTCAGCTGTCCGCGCGCGCGTGGCAGATCCGCGGATGTCCATCCAGCACACCCGTGCACCACCAGCCGGAAAAAACTTCCCAATCCACTCCTATCTCTGATCAAACGGTCATTCCATCGCCTATGAGCGAGAGCCAGCGCAAGAAGAGACAGTACTCGCGCAATGGCTGCAAGGAGTGCAAGCGACGGAAGCTCAAGTGCGACGAAGGCAAGCCCCAGTGCTGGAATTGCGCACATCTGCACAAGGAGTGTGTCTACGAACGTACCATCAAATTCACCAGCTCGCGCACTTTCACAATCGAATCGCAGAATACCAGATTAGTGAATCTAGGCGAGACGTCTGGCGCCGCTTCTTCGTCGTTGGCAGCGCCCAGCGCCGGTGGTAGCAAGCCTGTGACGCCAGAGGGAGACATGGCTCCGCTCACGTTTGCACAGCCGCCAGCGATGGTGCAGAACCCGCCACTCGCGCCTGCTGTTGCCGAGGTCGACCGCCTCCCGTCGGTGGGGCCGCATCTGCGGGGGAAACGGCGAGGATCGTTCGAGCAGGAGATGCGCCAGCAGCTCGCGTTCGAGCCACCTACACCCTTACACCAGTCCAAGGAGCTGGATAACAATCTATTTACCGGGGCAAGCCACCTGATTTCGGACCTGAACGACCTGATCCAGAGCTTCAGTACCGACTTTGAGCAGCCCGATCTCAGCCCGTCGTACAATTTCTATATTAGGCGCCTAACAAACACGCTCGAGACAGACTTCGACCACAGCGAGTCGGCTGTCAAGTCTGTTGGCTCCGGGTCCAAGCTGTCAGCGTTTCCGCCGCCGAGCCCGACCGTTTTGATGTCTGGTGTGCACGAGAGGTTTGACTTTCTCGCATCGCTGAACAATTCTATAAGTTCGCAGGATCTGAGCGATCTGGCTGCGTATTTCGGGTGGTCTTTTGAGTCGCCGCATTTGAATTATCTCAACGTGCTCATCACCAAACTTCATCTCAACATTCTACCCTTCACGACCAACCTGCTGCACAACTCGTTCATCAAGTGTTTCCTGCTTGAAGCTAAAAGCTCGCCGCACTTGCTGTATGCTTTATTGGCCATCTCTGCCCGGTACGAGAGCTACCAGCTGAAACCCAAGGACGGCAACGAGGACTCGCGGAAAAAACAGGAATCGCACCAGAAACTGCGCTCGTATTATCTCTCGTCGTGCTTGAAGTCGCTGGACGCCATTTTGCATTCGAAACCAAAAATCCTCAACAACATCCAGTCGCTGCTGCTGACAATTTTGATTCTGGCCTCAGACTACTCTGCATCCACAGGGTCGCAATGGCGGGCCCATCTGCGCGGGGCCAAAGACCTTCTGATCAAATATTGCAAATACATGCCCATTTCGCTGGAATTGGGGATCATTTGGACGTGGTTCTACTCCATGGAGACGCTGGCTGCGCTCACGTCCCCGAGCGGCGGCACAATCCACGACTTCAAGGAGCTGACCGAGTTTCTCGACGTGATGAAGAGCGGCGGCCCCGTGGGAGCCACCCTGGCAAAATTTGGATTCTACGCGGCAGGAAACTACCACGTCCCGGCCCCCGTGCACAACACGTTCAATTTGTACCACGGCTACAACGACGACGTGCAGGAGCTTTTCAAAGAGATCGTGCTAACGCTGGAGGCACGCCGCCATTTTTCCCGCGAGACGAAGCTGAACGAGGACATTGGCCGATATTTGAATAAGGACGGCCAGGTGCTCAGCTCTCAGGTGCTCAAAATGATGGGGCTGGTGGAAAAAGCAAGGCTCTTCAAATGCATCGCAACAGGCCCACCATACCGCATTCCAATAGACTCGCCAAACCATCCTCTGAATCTCAACGGCATCCATTATAATAACCCAGACGGGAAGGGCATTGTCATGTGCGCATACATGCACAATACCAACCCGCTCACCTCTGATCTTGACGACACGAAAAATTGGTACAGCTGGCTCGACCTGAGCCAGCAGCTGTACACGGATGCGTGCTATTTGAAGATTCTCACCATGAAGCACTGTATGGGTCGCAACGGACTGGCCATCACCAACGAGCTTGTCCAGGACGTGGTGAATCGCATGCTATTGGGTCTGGAGCCGCTGGTGAGGTTCAAAAATAACCTGAAAGAGGAAGACATTGCCCGACTGACAACGTACTATTCAGAGCTCTCGGATGTGACCGAGGCGACTGCCAGCATGGATTTCGATCAGTACCTGTATTACCAATTCGACCACCGGCTGATCATGGTCCAATGGCCGCTGTTTGTGTGTGGACTCTGCAGCGTGCTGCCGCAGCAAAAGTGTATAATAGAGTGCTGTTTCAAGGCCCTGATGGATCTCGGAGTCGGCTCGGGCGAAATCTCGCTCATGAAGCTAAAACGGCTGTGGAAACTGGAGAAGGGGGGTTTCGATTATGAGAACTGCGATATTTTTGGCGGCGACAACGACTCGGTTCCGTTCGTGTAGATAGTAAATAATATACTATTAGTCCACCTGTTCGCCTACTCTGGCTTGGTCCTTGGTATTGAGCCAGTACCGCTTCTCCTCTAAATGTGAGTCGTACTCAGACTCCCTGTTGATTCTGTCCAGTATTTCCTGCTCCTCATCGGTTGTCATGTTCTGCAAGTCGGGAGGAATCTCCTGCATTTCGACAGACGGCGCTCCACGGAGGTAGCGCAGGTTTTCAAGCAATTCGTTTCGCAGGTTTTCCAGGTATTTTTTCGAATTTTTGTTGTCGTAGCGGTCGCCCAAGTTGGGATGCAAAGAGTAATCTGGCTGGAAAAAAGTGCGGAAGGGTAGCACCTCCGGCAGCCGCGAGTTCAGCTTCACGTTGGTCAAGACGCCTGTCTCATAGCACCACAGCCGGCTCACGTTTCGCGGCGTATAACCTCCTCCGCCCAAAACGAGCATCGGAATGCCAAAACTCTTGATAAACTTGACACACTCGCCGTGCGCTCTGATGTTGAGATTGAAGCTTCCAAGACGATCACAGCCAAGCGAGTCGGCCCCGCACTGCTGCACAATGGCTGTTGGTCGGAAATTCGTTATCACCGGCTCCATGATCGACTTGAACAGCGAAATATACGACTCGTCGTCGATTCCGTCGTGCAACGGCACGTTCAGCGCAAAATGCTTTCCATTGCCCAAACCAACCTCATCGTAGTTGCCTGTGCCGGGGAAAAACTCGCCATCGTACTTGTGGAAGGAAACCGTCATCACACGGTCCGTAAGGTAAAATGCTTCCTGGACACCATCTCCATGGTGCAAATCAATATCGATGTACAGCACACGCGGGTGCACTCTTAGCAGGTTCAAAATTGAAAGCACGATGTCATTCACGTAGCAAAAGCCACTAGGCTCGTGTTTTTTTGCGTGATGCAGGCCGCCAGACCAGTTGATGGCGATGTCGCTCATTCCGGCAATAAGCTTGCGCGACGCGTCGAGCGACGCTCCCGCATATATTTGCGAATAGTCGTACATACCATCAAACACAGGACAGTCGTCTCCGATGTTGAACTGGCGCAAAAGTTGGGCGTACTTCTTGGCGTTGTCGGGGGTCACCGACTCGAGAAACTTGATATAGTCCTCGGAATGGAACTCTAGGAGCTCTTCCTTGGTCGCCCGTCGCGGCTGATAAATATCCATTTGCTCGTACAGCTTGTACGCTATCACCAAATGGTCCGTCAGCATCAGACGAAACGGCTTCATGGGGTGTCTGACTCCGTAGTGGTATTTAGAAACGTCTGGGTTGTAATGGTACGAGACGTTTGGATTATACCCGCCATTTTTGAACGTGTTGACAATCGGCTCGTAGAACGGCGTCTTCTGATTGGCGCGCCGATCCAGTGAGATCGTGCTGTCCTCGTCTAGCCAGCTGTAAGACATGGTGGAGCGAAGGAAAATAAAATTAAATTTTTACGTCGATCGTCCCTTTCTTTGTTTTTCGGTTCATCATGGCCTCTCCAGTGACAGTGTCATTAAAGGACATTCCGACTGACAAATTGATCGATGCTTTTGGAAAGGACTCTCTGGGCATCCTTTTGGTTAAGGATCTTCCAAAGGAATACCATGATCTGCGCAAAAAAGTTCTCACACAGGTCTCTTATCTGACTCGTCTTGATAAACAAAGCCTGCAAGATCTCGAGTGTCCAGAAGGGTATTATCTGACAGGATGGTCGCTGGGCAAAGAGAAACTGGCAAACGGTGTGGCTGACGAGCTAAAGGGCTCATTCTATATCAACTGCTCGTTCTTCAAGAACCCTGCTCTAGAAGGCCCGCCGCCAGAAGAAAGCAGGGGCTACGAAAATTACAAAGCATACACTACGTGGAACAGATGGCCCAAGGAAACTTTGGACGAGCTCAAAGGGTTCCAGCACAACTGTAAGGCGCTCATCTCTCTCATGATCGAAATCAGTCTCCAAATCTGCGAGAAAATTGACTCCTATTGCGAAAGCCACCTCCAGAACTACCATCCGGGCTATTTGGAATCTATTATCAGAGAAAGCACCACGTCCAAGGCCAGACTGCTCCACTACCTGCCCAATACCTCCAGCTCGCAATCCGACTGGTGCGGTGAACACTGCGACCACTCGTGCATCACTGCGCTTACGTCAGCGCTCTTCTTCGACGGCGACTCAGAGCTGACAACTAGTCCCGACCCCAGCGCCGGACTGTACATCAAGGACCGCCGCGGCAAGGTCGTCAAGGTGAACATCCCGCCCGACTGTCTGGCATTCCAGAGCGGCTCCGCGTTGGAGGAGGTGTCCGGCCACCAGTTCAAGGCAGTGCCACACTACGTGAAGGGCACGGCGATGCCGGGGATCAGCCGCAACACGCTGGCCGTGTTTCTGCAGCCCTCGCTGCATGCGATGGTGAACGAGAATGAGACGTTTGCACAGTTTGCAGACCGTATCCTGCGGCGCAACCACTAGCCGGTGCAGGGGTGTTTTTCGTTTGGAGCTGAGTATTTACTTTAATGTAATAGTGGCAAAAAAGCTAAAATAATAAATCCACCATGTCTGGTAAGTGGGCTCAATTTGCATTCTCTAACCATAGGCTCCGCAGGATTTGACCGTCACATTACTGTGTTCTCGCCTGAGGGCCGTTTGTACCAAGTTGAATACGCCTTCAAGGCTGTGAACTCGTCCAACATCACTTGTCTAGGACTTGTTGGCGAGGACTCCTCGGTCGTTGTTTCGCAGAAGAAGATTCCCGACAAGCTTCTGGATCCAAGCACCATCAGCTACATTTTTCAAGTGTCCGACTCGATTGGAATGCTGGCCACAGGGGCCATTGCCGATGCGCGGTCGCTGGCCATGAGGGCTCGGGCAGAGGCGGCAGAGTTCAAGTATAAATACGGCTACGAGATGCCGGTGGACGCCCTGGCCAAGAGAATGGCGAATCTGGCGCAGCTGTACACACAGAAAGCATACATGAGGCCGATGGGGGTGGCGTTGACGTTTGTGTCCGTGGACGATGAACTAGGGCCGAGCCTGTTCAAGACGGACCCTGCCGGGTACTATTTCCGTGCGATTGGGACGTCGACGGGTCCAAAGCAGCAGGAGGTAACTACGGCTTTGGAACGCGCGCACAAGAAAAAGAAGGACGGTGTTTTGGTGAAAGGCGACTGGACCAAGGTGGTTGAGTTTGCCATCATCACTTTGAGTAACGCGCTGAGCACAGAGTTTAGAAAGAACGACCTGGAGGTCGGGGTTGCTACAAAAGACGGTTTCAGGAGCCTGACACCGGACGAGATCGATGAGAGATTGATTGCCATTGCTGAGCAGGATTGAGTCTAGAAAACATATGGAATGAACACGTACGGGCACTCCTTGACGTACTTGTCCCAGTCGGCGCCGTACTTCTTTCTGCACTTTCTAATATCTCGGTGACATCTGTGGACAAGAACCACGAAGAAGAACACGGGGAAGAACCAGGGAAACACAGAGTTGAAGCCGCAGATCAGCCCCCATGACAGCGACTGGCACCAGTCGGCCGTATAGTGTAACTTTCTAGCATACTTGTACCATCCGTCGGTGAGCAGAACAGAGCCGTTGGCACATTTGATATATTTAGGGTTTTTGAGCACCTGATACGGCAGATATGGGAACGACTTCCGTATCTTGGTGTCTCCGGCCATGATTTTGCGGAACGAGTTTTTCTGGCCGTTGCACGTGTCAAAGAAGTAATAGGCCGTCAGCAGCAGGACAAAACAGAAGGTGTTGTACGCCGCAGACCATTGGTATTCCTGCGGGTTGTGGTAGTACAGGTATAGTGTTCCGTGGCAGTACGTGTATGGCACGCCGGCGATGTTCCAGAAAATGAGCATAAAGCCGAATTTTTCGTACGCCATGTCCCAGGTCGGCACAATGAGTTCTTCTCCCTTGGAGCACGCGTTGGCGTACAGATAGTGGGCCAACAGCATGAACAGAGCTTGTGGAGACACAGAGCCATATTGCTCGTACTGCTTGAGACACATGCCGTAGGTGAGGAAGAACAGCGTGTACCATGGCAGTCTGACCTCAAAGAACATTTTCAGGTCGATGAGGCCGATTCGAGGATTGAGAGAAGCACCCATGAAGATGTCGTACAAGTGGTTGCCGGTCATTCTGAGATAGTCCTTGGTCACAAACAGCGACCACATATAGAGGCCGATGGAGAATCCGAAGCCGGCGACGATGGCACAGGTCATGATTTCGCCAAAATTGTCGAGGATGTAGTAGATCTTGAAAATGTCCAGATAGTGCAGCAGCGACGCCAGCACAAAGTTGACGTAGAACGTGGCATAGGCGTTGCAGAAGTATGGCAGCTGTTCACCGTTTCTGTGAGCCAGCGGCTGTCCTTTGGTCCAGACTCCTGGCAACGTGACGTAGAACACGGCCTGGACGAGAATGTATGCGACAAACACAAAGATGGACGTTGGGCCCGGCGACGCGTAGGACCTCACGTAGTTTGCCATTTCGCCGAGGAATTGGGCCCACGACTGGCCGTCGACAGGCCAGGCGGGGCTGCCGTGGTAGAAGCGGGCCGAGATCCACATGTAGTACATCAGCGACGGAAAGCCCAGCATCATGGCAACAACGCCCGGAGGCCCGCCAAACTCCCACTCGATGTCCTTCTTTGCCAGATACTGGGGTTCTTTGGCCGCGGCAGCCGGCACAGAGGCCTGCGACGCGGCCTGGTAGTCCGGTTTCGTCGAAACGGGTGATTTCTTCGCCATACGAGCGGAACGAAAAAAATAAATAAAATACAGAAAAATGGAAAATAGTTGCTCGCGCGGATTTATATAGGTTCCAAGACCCCGTTTGGCGAATGCACGAAATTGGGCCTCGCATAAATAGGCCTGTTTAATATGCTTCCATTCATGCTGTTATACATTTCTGGCTTTGCCCAGCTAAAATACAAAGAAAGATGCATCACAATGAGTAGCCGTTGCGATCGAACGGAGAAACCTGGACCGTGGAGCCGCCCCTGGAAGCCAGCTTGGAAACGATGCGGCGGCCGTGCGGAGTGTTTCTGACGTCACCCAGGTACGGCCTGAGCATCTCGCTCAGGTCTCGGAAGCTGGAGTCGTCGGCCACGTCCAGGGCCGTCTGCAGCACGTAGTTACCGTACGCGTCGTGGAGCAGCACCCGCAGATTCGTGTCCTCCTTGAGCAGCTGGCCGATCAGCAGCGGAGCCAGCGTCGGGATCCGCAGGCTCTTCTCGATCACGTTCGAGCCGAACTTGTGCGTGGAAAGCCGGATCAGGCTGGACTGCAGCGCGGCAACCACGAGCTGGATCGCACGCACGGTGTTGGGCAGCCTGGCGCTCGCGTCCGGATCGTTCTTCACACGCAATCGGTTCTCCTCCATGCTCAGCACGTACTGCACCACGTAGTTGCCGTACGGGTCCGTGCTGAGCTCGACGCAGTTCTGGCCCACCTCCAGCGCCAGCCGCTCACACTGCTGCGCAGACCCGTGGTCGAAGCACCGTTGCAGGACGCAGCAGCCGTGTCTATGCTTGGCGATCTTCACGCAGTTCTCGCAAGCAGCGTCAAAGATGAAGTCGCACGCCGAGGACGGCAGCTTCTGTAGACACTTCTGGACAACGTGGTTGCCGTTCAGATCTCTGCTCAAAAGAACCACGTACGAAGCCAGCGATCGGACGATGATGTCGCTTTCAGCCTGTGTCTTGGTGCACTCGACGAGCTTCTGCAATGCCCGGGTTCCGTGCGCGTCGAGCGCAATCCTCACAAACTGCGACGAGGCGTTCTGTACCAGGATGGTGCGCTGCTCGTCGTTCACCTTCTCCAGCAGCTTCTGGATGAGGTAGTTGCCGAACGGATCGACCATCAACTCAATCACGTTGAGCTGGACCTCGTTGAAGATCTTAGTGGCTGCCTCGGGACCGCCGATTTCCAGCTGCCGCTGCAAAAACCGACACCCGTGCTGGTCCTTGCACAGAGAGTAAATGTCGTTGGCAAAGTCGTTGAGCGTGGCATTGAGAAACTTGGAGGCGTCCTCGCCGCGCCGCTTATTGGACGAGTGCTTTCTGTGCACGTTGGCCGTCGACATCGCCATTGGCGGCCGCTGGGTGTCTGGCTGGGGTTGCTTGGTGTAGCCATTGTAGTTCGACTTGTAGCCACCTCTGCCGTTGAATGGCAGCGAAATCTGCTGGTTGAAGTTGGAGATAAGATTGGAGCCCGGGAACGCTCCGCTGGAACCGCTATGGGAGATGCCCATGCCGATGGAGCCGCCCGCAACGGTGCCAGCGAGCATCTCGTTGGTCAAGGCCGGATGCAGGGCCGAGATCGAGGCTTCGGAGCCAGGAGACGTGACCGGGTAGGTGACACGCCGACAGGAGTCGGCCATGCCAATTGGGGGGCCAAACGAGGCGGTAGAGGAGGCCGATAGCGGGTCGAAGAGCTCGTCATTCTCCTGCGGCCGCGGTGCAGAGGTGTTGTCGGGGAGCACAAATTGCCCGACGTTGGAGGCTCCAAAGCCGATGCCGGCAGAGCTTGCCGAGGAGAACGGCGTCGCGTGGGTGCCGCTGAAGCTGGAGATCGGCGAGTGCATTTTCTGAGGGGTCATCGACAGGAACTGGTGGCCAAACTGCGAAGTCTGGGTGTTAGGTGTGGACGCGAGGTCGGGTAACACGTGAGACTGGAACGAGGTGAGGTTGGCAGAGTTGGACCAGTTGGGGGTTCTTGGCTGTGTCGCCGCGAAGGAGTGTTGGTTGGGCAAGAGCAGCGTCGAATTGGACGAATTGCCAGACGATGTCGGATCCGGCGGCGTCGAAGGGACATGTGTCTTGACCTGCTGGGCCAGCGGCGAGAACTGCGTGGAGAAGATGGACGAGTTCGTGCCGCGAGTGTCCAGGCTGTCCAGCCTATCCAGGTGGTCCATGTGGTCCATGCGCTCTGGCGTCTCTTCCAGATCCAGGTTCAGACGGTTGAGAACCTGGCTGATGTCGTCGAGCTCTGTGGGCTCGGATTGGGTCTTTTTCGCAAACGAAATCTCGCAGATTGGCGGCGTCGTGGTGGCAGTCACGTCCTGCGCCGTTGTCTCTTCGAGCGACGAGAGTGTGGTCTGGTCTGCCATTATAGTAGAAGCAGCACAAGAGTAAAAAATTTCGCCACTAGTATCGGAACACAACAAATCCCAGTACGGTGCACAATTGCGCCAAGTAGAGTACTGGCAAGCTTATGGAGTAGTGCAGAAAAGCTGTCTTGTGCAAGACGTTGTGAAGAAGCGAGATCTGACCAAAATGAGAGCACGGGGAAAACAAACTATCCGTGCTACCTGATGGCAGAAATACAACGTGTAAGTGCTGGGGGAACCTGAAGATATGCCAAGGCTATGCTATTGGCAGTAATAGTGTTTTGTTGAAAGTTGCAAACAAGTATGCTGTATTCTTTTGTCTCTGACGCTTTGGCAGAGTGGAAAAAAAAAGAAACCCGCAGGCCGGGTCAAAAAAATTTTCGCAGGGGGACGTTCGCGGCCACCGGGCGGTGGCACGGGAGGGACTGCGCGGGAGGCTGGCCGTCGATGTTACAGGTAATATTGGGGGTGCATGGCTGAGGAAGACACAAGCGCAGCGCCCGAGATGCTACAGTATGGGGGAGAGATTGACAGGGCTACGGTCTGGCTAGAGAAGTGCTGAATCCGGCCACCTTCAGGGTGCACAATGGTGTGAAACTCTTCGTGCCTGGTGGTCTGGTATGCATTACGTAAGCAGTGATATAACCGAATCAAAAAAAAATCAAAAAAATATTTACTTTTCGTCCCGGAAAAAATTACTCCAGATCAATTTCGTAATCCGTCAATTTACCCTTTTTGGAATAGTGGTGGAAACCTAAAAAGGAAATATCGGGTGCGAGGGTGTCACTGCTGGTGCGGAAACTGGGGCTTTAAAGGCGTGCGTCTAGTCTGCCAGCCGCCAGCACGCGCACTGCATGAACGATGGTGCTGAGGGCATCGATATCGTGGAAGCCAAACCCGACTGTGTGGACGATAGTGCGGCCGTCAACGGTGGTGGTTGCGTATATTTTCCCGTGTTGATTATCGAACCCAGGTTTGAAAATTACCTCGGAATCAAGAATTTGGGCCTGCGCCATTACGTGGGGGTAAAGTTGTCTGCACCTCCCCAGTAAGGTCTGTTCGTCGGAGTCGCGCGGAAGGGGATAGGCATCGTTGTGCTGGTGGGGCCCCGTTAGTACCACGACTCGTGGATCTTGGACTAGCGGAGTCAGCCGCGTGTACTGATTTTGCGCAGACTTATGTGTATATGCTGTGTCGAGCTCTTGGGGACAGTACAGTAGCACAGATTGTAGTCTGATGACGTCTGCTGTGGATTCCAAGTGACAGTTTATAATTGTGTGGACGGTGGGGAACATGTTGCAGCAATGGTCCAGGGAGTAAACTTGTGGGGGTAAGATGTGGTGGGCAAACAAGTGCGTATAGTTTGTCAGCCGGTGGTATGTATCGAGCAACAACTGGCGCGGATTAACGAGCACCGAGTGACGAATGGCCGAGGAGCCCTCCCCCAGCTCCACCGCCGTGATGCGTCTGGCAGTATGCTGGCCGCGCAAACACTCTACCACCAGCTCGTCCGCCCGGGCCTGGTCCACCACATGGGCCAGCTGCTCGCCGCTGGCAGCCTGCTCCGGCGTCTGCAACGACACTAGAATTACCCCTCGTCCCTGCTTCTCCACAATGTCGCTCGCGACACACACAGAAACGGCACTTAGCCCCCGGATCACTACGCTTGCCTGCATTGGACAAGTTAGCCGGCAAGCCTAATTTCTCGCCTCCTGTGTGTGCGGACACCCCTGCACCACCTCCCGCTCTCCTCACAACTGCGGGGATCTATCAACAAATTGCGAGCCAAGGGGTCTGACCGGACGGTCACTGCACCCCGCAATGTTACTCCGTGCATTTGCAAAGCATGAAGGGTTCCAGGAGCATAAAAACACAAGTTTCTGGAGTCTGCGCGGCCATGAGCTCGAAAAAGGACATCCTCAGCTCGCCAAAAGTGCTATCGGACATCAACCCGATCATCTTCCGCGGCAGGAACCACATAGCCTGTGTGCGGTGCAAGAACCAGAAGATCAAATGTTCTGGGGCGAAGCCAACCTGCGACAATTGCAAGCTCACGGGCAATGAGTGTGTGTATCCGTTCAAAGACCGCAAGATTATCATTTTGGAGTCGCAATTGCAGCTGCTGCAGGCGCGCATCAAGGAGCTGGAGGACTATATCAACGGCGAGACTGGCGATAACGGCAAGGCCAGCTCTCAGACCGACCACCGCGCTTTTCTGCCGCTCCAGTTCCATACCAACAACGAGCGCCTCGACAACGTCATCAACGTGTCCTTCGGCGACTCCGAGCAGCAAGAGCGCAGCGTCCAGCCGCCACACCCCTCCAGCATCAACTACCATGTGTCAGACCTCTATTTTGCCGCGACCGACGACTGCGTGCTCTCTCTGCCGGCGCGCGAGTACGCCGAGCCGCTCGTGAGCCTGTGTCTGGCGCATTTCCGCGACTCGCACTATCTCTACGAGGAAACAGAGTTTGTGGCCGAGTTCAACAGGGTCTACGACACAGGCGTGTGCTGCTCGCCACAGCTGCTGTCCAAGATCTTCATCACGCTCGCCATCGGCGAGCAGATCCTCTACTCCATCAAGTCGCACCAGCTGTCGCTCGCAGAGCTCGACCGCGAGCTGTCGTCCAAGCAGCATTTCGTCAACAAGACGCCCGGTCTCAAGTACTTCCTCGCGGGCGCTCGCATCTTCCCTGTCCACGTTGAGATGCCGACCCTGTCTGCGATCCAGACCGCGCTGCTCATCGGGTACTATTTGCAGTCGCTCAACCGCATCACCGGCTCGTACGTGTGGTTCGGCGTGGCCACCCGCTGGGCGCTCTCGCTCAACCTGCACCTGCGGCAGCCGTACCTGACGCCGCAGGAGATCTCGCGCCGCAAGCGCGTGTGGTGGACCGTCTTCACGCTGGACTCGCTCGCCACGTCGCGCATCCGGCTTCCCCAGAGCGTCAAGTTTAACGAGACCCAGATCGACCTCATCAGCGAGCACGACTGCGCCGAGTGGGGCGGGGCGCGGTTCCTGTACCTGCAGGTCTCGCTCATCAAGTTCACAGACGACATCCTCAACTCTGTGTACAACATGACGTCGCGCAGCGTGTACACGGGCGAGAAGACGGGGCTGGGCACAGACCTCGTGGCAAACACGGTGAAAATGGTGAGGGTGCTCGAGGACAACTTCGAAAAGGACGTGGCCCGCGACTTTGAGCAGCTGCGCAAAGAGATGTACGACAACAAGCTGTGCGAGCTGCACCAGCCGCTCATCCACGTGTATCTCAAGTCGAACCAGTACTTCATCACCGCCTGCCGGCCGCTCGCGCTTGCCGTGTTCAAAAAGTTCATTGCCACAGACGACGCCCGCATCGCACAGGTACTGCGCAAGTGCATCAACGCTGCCAAGGAAACCATCTCCGTGCTGCGCCACCTCAAGCTGCTCAAGCTGCTGATCACCTTCGACTACTGGCACACACACTTCCTCTTCAACTCGATCCTCATCCTGCTCATCACGCTCAACCTCGAAAACAACCACACGGCCCTCACGCGCGGCATCGACCTGCTCAAGTTCATGGCCCTTGCAGGCAACCACGTCTCCAAAGACTCGCTCAACAAGCTGATCCAGCTCGTGCGCATCTTCAACGACCTCGGCTTCAACCTCGACTTCGACCTCACACTGCCCAAGTTCGACACCTCCTACGTGCCACAAACGGTCGACAGCCCCGAGGACAGCGTCGATATCCAGCTAATCCACCCTGACACCAACCCCTTGGACCAGAACATCCAGGACCAGATCGACCAGACAAACTTCCAGCTGCAGCAGCAACAGCAGCAGCTACACCACCACACAGAACAGCTACCCTTCATGTTCCCAAACCCTGAAGACTTTGCAGGCAAGCAGCCATCCAACAGCTATCCGCATGACGAGCTGTTCAACTCCAACTCGAGCTTTTTTGACAACCTGCTCAACAACATGCAGACGTGGGATCTTGTGCCCAGCTTAACCGGTCCCGACAACAGAACGGAGGCAAATCCCTCTCTGCAGGACCCCATGTTCTCTGCGCCTCCCTTCGCTCCGCCCACCCAGGCTCGTGCAGAACGCTATCCGCTCAAGTCTAGACCGCTTACGTAACGCTCCTCCCCAGTTCGACACAACCCTCCTACATCGGAGAAACGAAATATCTTTGTGTCGGTGCGAAAAAGCAACCTGCAGCACCGGGGGCAAAATCTATTTTTCTCTTGGCGCACGCAAATGGCGAGGCCTTACCATTGGGACGGTAATCAGTAGATGGCCAAGTGCCAGCGTAGACACAAACTCGTCTGCAGAGGCCGGTATGTGCTGCTTTGCTGGAGCTTCTGCCCCCGCGCTGTCTCGCCGATCTCACTTTGCTCTCTGCGTGTTTGCTTCACTCGCATTTCTTCGATCTTGCCTCAATTACATTGCCTCTTTAGGAACGGTTTTTTAGTTTTTTCTTTTCCTGCAGGGTATCTACGTACGATGAAAAAAAAAACGATCAACGGCCTATATAAGCTTCCCAAGTAACACTCGTCTGGGCCAAGTCATTCATTCTTTACTGCTATAGACTCCACTCATTCGTTATGTTAGCAAACTTGTCAATCTTTTTCACTCTTGCTGTGCTTGCCACCTCTGCTCCCGTCGAGCACGTCCACCACGCGCACCAAAAGAGAGCAGCACAGTGTTCGTTCCCTACCGACAAGGGTCTCGTCAAAATCACCAACGTCAATGGTGGCGGCTGGGCCCAAGACAAGTCCTGCACCCCGGGCAACTACTGTCCTTACGCCTGTCCTCCGGGAAAGCTGATGGCACAGTGGAATCCAAAAGTCACCTCCTACAGCTACCCTGGCTCCCAGGAAGGAGGACTTTACTGCAACGACAATGGCGAGCTCGAGACGCCAATCTCTGACCACGACTACTGTGTCGATGGCAAGGGCACTGCCTCGGTGAAGAACTCTGCCTCGAAAAACGTTGCATTCTGCCAAACCGTCCTGCCTGGAAACGAGGAGATGTTGATTCCAACCAACGTCGACTCGTCTTCGTCGCAGACGCTTGCCGTGCCAGGCACTGATTACTGGGCTAGCACTGCCTCGCATTTCTACATCAACCCGCCAGGAGTTTCTACCGAAGAAGGATGTCAGTGGGGCTCCACCAGCAACCCGTACGGCAACTGGTCGCCATACGTTGCCGGCTTTAACATGGACGACAGCGGAAACACGTTCGCCAAGATCGGCTGGAATCCTGTTTACTTTGAGGACTCGTCGCCGTTCAAGAACGAGAAGCCGTCGTTTGGTGTTCGTTTGTCTTGCAACAACGGCGACAAGTGCAATGGTAACACCTGCGAGATCAACCCGCAGAAGCACGGCCTCAACAAGGTCAGCGGCAGCGACAACGAGAGCGACGGTGCAGCCTGGTGTGTGCTGACAGCCACGGACAACAGCGACGTTACCGTTGAGGTTTTTGATCTGTGATTTATTTTTTTGTATATATATATTTGGGATTTACTACGGATGGTTTTAGGATATTTAAATTTACGTGCTATTTATTGTTACACAAAATAGTTAGTACTGTGTTGGATTTTAAGTTGTTTTTTTTTTGCTTTTTTCATTAGTCCAATAATAACAAGAAATAGGCTAACGGGACTGAAATAGAACCCTTATTTTCTCTCTCAAAGCCATGTACTCCAAGAAAGAAATCAAGATCTTCACTCTGCTGGGGATCGACACCATCTTTTTCCTTTTGGAAATCATCGTCGGATACGCTGTCAACTCGCTTGCCCTGATTGCAGATTCTTTCCACATGCTGAATGATATCATCTCGCTGCTGGTGGCGCTTTGGGCCGTTAATGTTGCCAAGACCAAGGAGGCGGACGCTAAGTTCACCTACGGCTGGCAGCGTGCAGAAATCCTGGGAGCACTCATCAACGCCGTTTTCTTGCTTGCCTTGTGCTTCACCATCTTCATCGAGGCTGTCCAGAGGTTTATTGCACCCCAGGACATCACAAATGCGAAGCTTATATTGATAGTTGGTACCTGTGGACTTGTCTCCAACATCGCGGGGCTCTTCTTGTTCCACGAACACGGACACTCTCACGGAGACGTCGGTGGACACTCACACTCGCACCAAGATGAAGAACAAGCGGAGGACTCTGACATTGAGCATATGCTTCCGCAGGTCGTGGTCAACAACTGGGAATACGCCAGTCCAGACGGCCACAAGACACACAACCATGTGACCAACAAAAAGTCCAACAAGACCTCCAAATCGCTCAACATGCAGGGCGTGTTTTTGCACGTTATGGGGGATGCTCTTGGAAACATTGGCGTCATGGCCACCGCCTTATTCATCTGGCTCACGGACTATTCCTGGAGATTCTACGCTGATCCACTCATTTCCCTGATTATCACATGCATCATTTTCTCTTCTGCGCTGCCACTCTGCAAATCGTCGTCTAGAATCCTGTTGCAGGGCACTCCGCTGTCAATCGACTCTGAGCTCGTCATGGAAGATATTTTGAAGGTCCACGGCGTGATTTCCGTCCACGACTTCCACATCTGGAACCTGACCGAGAGATTGCTTATTTGTTCGCTCCACGTCGATCTCAGCGTCTCGCCAGAGGAGTTTTTGGACGTGGCAGCTACCATCAAGCAATGCCTGCATGCCTACGGTATCCACAGTGCCACGATCCAGCCGGAATTCTCGCAGTACTATGCCAAGATCAACAGGCTGCCTAAACGATTCTCGTCTGAGGCAGACCTGCACAACCTTGCCGACTCCGAGACAGCAGGATTACTGAGCCACGAGCACCGCTCGTACGGCTCTGCTGTGCCTGCTTCAAACGGCCAGATTGGCTGTATAGTGGACGCTGCTGTGAACTGCACAGCCGAGAATTGTGTGAAGCACTGAATAAAAAAAAATAAATTTCAACATTGGTTTTCTGATAAATTTCCCCATGGCCAAGTTCACCAGGCCGATCGCCATCCTTAGCATAATATTGGCTCTGGCTTATGTGTTCCAGGGTCAACTTTCTGTCAAATACACGTCGCCGACGGCTGTGGAGCCTGTTGCGCGCGAAAACGCCACGTTTTTCAGTCTCGTGCGCAACTCTGAGCTCCCCGGGATGCTGCAGAGCATCAAAAGCGTAGAAGAGCGGTTCAATAACAAACACCACTACCACTGGATTTTCGCCAATAATGAGCCGTTTACCGAAGATTTCAAGACAGCTGTTTCGGCAATGTGCTCGGGAACTGTCGAGTTCAGCCTCATTCCACCCGCGTACTGGGACTATCCAGAATGGATTGACCAAGCACAGGCGGCCGAGGTACGGCGTCAGATGGCACGAAAAGGCATCAAGTACGGCGATAACGAGTCGTATCGCCACATGTGCCGTTTTTTCTCGGGATTATTCTACAAGCTGGACGCGCTCAGGCCGTTCCGATATTACTGGCGAGTCGAGCCAAATGTCGAATTCCGCTGCAACATCGCATACGACCCGTTTGAGGTGATGCGCACACAGGAAAAAGTGTACGGGTTCACTCTCACGCCGCTGGAGCTGCACACCACGGTGACTACGCTGTGGAATGCCACACAGGAGTACATGCACCAGTACCCGGACCGTGTGGCTGCGAACAACAACATGGCGTTTCTGACGGACGACGAGGGTCAGAGCTTCAACATGTGCCATTTTTGGTCCAACTTTGAAATTGGCGACCTGGACTTTTTCCGCAGCGAGACGTATACGCATTTCTTCGACTATATGGACCGCAAGGGCGGGATTTTTTACGAACGGTGGGGAGACGCGCCGCTGCACACGATCGCGGTGTCTATGCTGCTTCCATACACCAAGCTGCAGTACTTTGCGGGCACCGGGTATTATCATGCGCCGAATCTGCAATGCGACGGGCCAAACTGGCTTCAGGAGCAGAACGAGTGTATCTGTTTTGCGGCCGATGATTTTGCATGGTCTGGTGCAAGCTGCTTGACGAAATTCTTTGATATTCACCAGCTGGAGCGGCCCGAGGCTGCTCCCACGACCCCGTACACGCCAATCCATAAGCCAAGCAAACCATAGAACTGTGCTACCATTCCAGCGAGCTGGCCCATGAGACGCGCTTGCGGTTGCGGTCCGAGTACGAGAACGTCTTTGGCCCGTGATTGGCGCTGCCTGGGCTCACGTTCTCCTGGTTTTCCTGTAGTTCTTGTAGCTCCTCCTTAAGCTTGTCGAGTGTTCGCTGGTGGCTGAGCGAGCCGGGCTTGTGCGGGCGTTTGTGGCTGTGCTTGAGTTGCAGAAAGCTCTGTCTTTCGGACTCTGTATAGAAGCCGACCTTTTTGGCCGTCTTTTCCGGTCGCCGCAGTGCAGTGGTTCTGGCAAGGACTGCGCGCACAATTGCGGCCTTTCGCACGCCGTCGACAGCGGGACCGGCCGTCGGAATCGTCACCAGCTCTGTGGTTTTTTCCGGGATCGGAATCCCCAAACAGTTCTGCGAATTGATCTCGGTGGCGTACTTGGTAGCATCCTCTATGCTACCGTCGGAGCTCTCCACAATGAGATTCAGCAAATTGTGGCACGGCTTGATGATGGGTTTCTGGATTGGCTGTTTTGTAGGGGTGCAAATCCGTAGCGGTGAGCTGTGCTTGTCTCGGGCGGCTGGCTGTGGCTCGTTGTCGTCGAATTCGAGCTCAAACTCGTCCTGGTAGATGTCCACGGCAAGATGGTTGTCGCTGGCGCGCAGGAATTTGCTGAGCTCTGCGCCAAAGTCCATGTCACCAATGTGCTCGTGCTCAGAAATCTCCGGCGCACAGCGCACCTGTGCGTCGACCTCGTCGATGGAGAGGTTGCCAATCATGCCGTCGATGTCGCTGATGGTGGTTTTTTCGACGCTCGAGAAGTCGAGGTCGGTCGTGCTCCGGTTGAACAGCTGTCCGTCGAGATCGACCGACCGCAGGTAACTGTCGAAGTCGAATAGTTGCGTGGAGCTTGCAAAAAGGTGGTCTGCGGGAGCCGCCGCGGGCCTGGGCAGCTCAATGATGTCGTCGAGCGTGGTGTTGCCGGAGGCGAAGTCGTCTAGCAAAGACGGTTTGTTCTTCTTCTCGGGCGAGCCCGGCGGGCTGGAGATCGGGCTGCTGTGTGCGGGAACGCTGGCCTCGAACGGGTTTGAAAAAATCGAGTGCAGCATGGAAAAGCAAAGACAGCGGTGCTGGGCTAGCGACGGGGAGGAAGAATAATAAAGCACAAATTTAAATGTCTGGGTTTCGTTAATATTTATGATTTTCCAGATTGGGAAGATGCATCAATAAATTTTGGCCTGCGTTCTGCACCGCCACAAAGGCTTGCTCGCGTTAAGCTGCTACCATTTATCCTTCCTCCCATGAGTCACCCTGCCGCTCCACAAACAACCAAAACCTACGCCCGAGTCCAGACGTATCCGATCGCCGCCTCGTGGATTCGCATCGGCGGCCATTTCCCGCTGCCCCACGTGCTGCAGCCACGCCTGTACGCCCTGGCGTATTCCCCAGCGTTCAAGGACTACACGGAGGTCCTGGACTCGTATTTCGACCACTGGCTCGAGGACGTCGAGAAAACCGTTCCCGAGATCAAGACTCTGAGAATGCGTGACTTCAGAGACTCGCTGACCCGGCCCGTCGTGGACGCCTCGCTGTTTGTGGACAGAAACATGCACGCTCTGGCGGTTGCAATGAACCAGCGCGTTCTCGAGCCCGCCAGGAAAACCGCCGGCGACATCAGGAAGGCGTACGCCCCGCTGTACGATACAGAGGGCCGGGCAGTGCTGCGGTCGCAGCTGGACCCGGTGTTCAGGCCGCTGAACGAGCGACTGGCCCGGCTTGTTGGCGACGACGCGGGAACAGAGTACTCGAGCGAGCTCTCGCACAGCCTCAGACTGCTAAGCGGTGTGGCTGAGCAGACGAGGCCCCGCATAGCCAACACTGTTGTGAGAGGCAGACAGCTGCCAAGCCAGGTCACCAGCCACCTCAATCAGGTGTACCAGACCAACAAGTCGAAGCGCGGCGAGGGCAGGCTGATAGTGATGATCGCGTCCATGGACACAGTGCGCGACCTGCTCAACGAGGGATACACCGTGGTCAGTCCGGGCCAGGAGCAGCCCGACCAACATTAACTATGTCATCTTAGTTTAAGTACGAATGGAGTGAAAGGATTAACTGGTAGCGACAGAAAATTACGTGAAAACCATACGAGTGAAAGGACACTAAACTGTATTCTCGCTACAAATTAACCCGGCGATTGTCATCCATCACCTCTCGTCGATCGTCTTGATCTCGTCCTGCAAAGCAACCAGCCGCTTGTGGATCTGCTCGATGTCCTTGTTGAACTTATCCTGTCTCTCGAACAGAGCACGCTTCCAGTCCTTGAACTTCTGGTTCTGCGCCTGCACAATCTCCGTGAACCGCTTCTTCATCGTCTTCTCGCTGTCCAGGTACGCAGGATTCATCTCCACCAGCTCCCGCTCGGTCTCGCGCAGGTTCAGCGTGTTGAGCATCTTGAGTACGCCCACGCTCGGCTTCGACTCGATTACCTGCTGAATGTTCGGGTGTGTCTGTCCATCTTCAACCTGCACAGTCTTCCAGCTGCCCTTGTTGTCCGGCACAATCGTCTCGCCGTTCTCGTTTTCGACGTTGAGAGCAGCCAGCTCCTCGGGGCTGATGGTCATCTCCATCGCCTTGCCCAGCCGGTACCGCATAAAGTCGCGCCTATAGTTTTCGTAGTAGTTCTCCGTGGACGAGATCAGGTCAGCCATGTTGGTGCCCATCAAAAACTCGCGCAGCTTCACAAAGTCGCAGTGTGCCGGGTTGTCCACCTCGGCAAGCCCCCAATTGTACTGCCGGCCGCGGACAAGCTGGCCCTTGGCGTTCGGAAACGAGCCCTGCGAGTTCAGCACGCAAAACGGCATCTCGCCAATCAGGTTAGCCGCACCAGTCTTGTCAAACAGCTCACAGATCGAGATTTCGTGCTCCTTGAGAGATTTCCTGACTCTCTGCTTAAAAGCGTTGATCTCGTCAACCGTGAACGCATCCGCCTTCGAAATAACAGGAACTAAGTTGACTCTGGTAGACAAATTCTTCATGGCCTCGATGTCGACCTGCGTCAGTCCCGTTGCAGAGGGAACAATAAAATACAGACACACGTGGACCTCCGAGTGGGAGGTTTTGGTTCTATCAGGCTGGTTCTCCTGGTAAACGGCCCGTCTGTACCGTTCGTCGATGTATCTGACTATGGGGTACCAGCAGTACCTATTGTCGATGTAGTCGCCAAAACCAGGCGTGTCGATCACGTTCAGCCTGAGCAGAAAGTTGTCCTCGACGAGCTCGATTTTGTGTGAGACTATCTCGGTGGTCTTGTTAGGGCTACCGCCCAGACGGGTGGTGGGCTCTGTGACAACCGTGTCGAACAGGGTGTTGATAAAAGAGGTTTTTCCCACGCCCGACTCACCAACCATCATGATGGTAAAATGAGCCCCCTTCTTGAGCGCATGGAGACGCTTCAGAACCGGCAGACACGCCAGACCAACGTCGCCAGGATACATGTTGGCTATGGCAGACTCCATGTTGTAATGGGTGGGGTACTCCTCATCCTTGAGCAGCGTGCTCGTGCTCGAGGTGCTGGGCGCGTTTCTGGGCTCCAAGGGAGCGCTGATGTCGCCGTTGGTGGCAGCCACGTCGATGTCGATGTTTTCGCCCGTCAGAGGGGCGCTGGGCGCAGAAAAAAGGTCGATCGAGCTGATCACACGCTTGTCGGTCAATTGGTCGACTTGGGCAGCCATTATTGGAATGAGAAAGAGGAAAAGATGATGTGCTTTTTCTCAAATACATGTCTCAGCGTCTACCGCGCGGGTGGGAAGGTGGACTAGAAAATGCTGCGTGCGGCGGCGCGGCAAATTTTTTATCTAGCTGGTAGCATTCCTCAAGGACAGAAAACAGTTCCACAGCACGCCGACGCCGCTGCTGAACGGCACCTGAAAGCTTTTCGGCATCACCAAAAAGTTCACAAACTGCACGGGGAACCACAGACAGAAGTTGCACGCCAACGTCGACAGATACACCCTGTACAGCTTCTCCTTAACGTCGTCGACACTGCCCTGCTCGATCACCAGCGTGCCGTACGTGAAGAAACAGGCAAGCGAAACGGGCGAAAAACACAGCTGGTCGGTCAGCACGCGTTCCAGCACGCTCACAAACGTCGGCACGTCTTTGTACATGGCATTCAGAAACGAATACCACACCACCTGGACAAACGACATCAGGAAGCCCCAGAACACAAAGCCTGCAAATCGGCGTACCTGGAACGTTGGTAAGGACGACTCTGTTGTCTCTTCGACCTGGTGCACGGAGATCTCGCCGTCCTCGCCGTAGTCAACAAAATAGTCCTCCGGCCTTCTCGGAACCAGTGTCTCTAGATAGGTGGCGATGTTGTACGGCAAATTGCGCTCCTGGAACGACGTCTGTTGACAGTACGCGGTGATGGATTGCGCCAATGTGTCTGCAATGCCGTACAGAACGATGTTGGTGGCCATAGTGGCGACAAGAGACGATTTGGTGTACAGCTGGTGGTATTTGGTAGTGAGCCTGGCGAGGAAATAGGCGAATATCACGAGAATCAGCAGGTTGGGCACGGGGACATTGCGTACTCGGGCAGTGAGTAAGCTCTGGAGCACAACAGGGAGTCGCAAAGACGCCCTGGACCCCGATGGACGCTCGTCTGTGGGCAGACTGATAGGCATGAGAGCAGATATTAATCTAGAAAAAGAAATAACACGTGACATAAACTAGGGCAGCCACACGCACACCGGACAAAACTTTTTACTCTGCCAAAATTCGGGTCACCATAGGTTACAAAATATTAGTGAAAAATTAAACTCACACCTTCATCAATACAGCATGTTAATTCCAAAGGAAGACAGAAAGAAGATCCACCAATACCTCTTCAAGGGTAAGTACTAGGCGGGCTGCGGCCGACCAGAGTTTGATTTCTAACCGTATCAGAGGGCGTCTTGGTCGCTAAAAAAGACTTCGAAATTCAACACGATGACATCGACACCAAGAACTTGTACGTCATCAAGGCCATGCAATCGTTGACTTCCAAGGGATACGTCAAAACTCAATTCTCGTGGCAATACTACTACTACACTTTGACCGACGAGGGAATCAACTACCTGAGAGAGTACCTTGCTTTGCCAGAGACCATTGTTCCAAACACCTTGGTTGCTGAGCCAATTCAGGAGAGACCACAAGCCAGACGTGGCCCAAGAAGAGACGATGGTGAGGGGTACAGAAGAAGATTCAGAGATTAGGTGTAATGAATATACGGGCGAGAGCCAAGAAGAATGGAAATTAGAATAAATATTGCGGCGGAAACCGACCAATCTGCCGGTGTTAGCGTAGCGAAGATCAGTCCCAGCACTCTCTTAGTCCATTTTGTCCGACATTCGTATTTGCTTTTCGTAGCTACTGATGTTGCAAATGCTTTGAATCTTTTTTTTCCTGATTACCTCATCACTTAATTATCCATGGTTTTTGGTAGACGCAAGAACAGATCCGTGGATCTGTCGTTGCAGGACAGCAATTACCAGCCCGTAAGTACTAGCTCAGCCCCATCTAATGCCAGTTCCCAAATCCCAACTCCCTAAAGCCACAACCGTCTACGGGAGGACAAAACACGCCAAAAAAAACACCGCCTTCCCTGCCGCCTCAATCGCGGCCGCGGCCTATTCCTCCTCCTCCAGCAGCCCAGAAGCCCACGATTATCAATAATTACTACTATGTATCGCCGCCACCACAACCAGGAAACGTTGCGCCTCCACAGCCCCAGCAAATCCCACATCCCTATTTGAGTCCTCGGTCTTCACTCACGAGGGCGTCCCTGGAAAACAGACCTTCGTCGCACTCCTCCCACGCGCAACGTCCGCCCTTGCTGGCAAAGGCCCCCAGCACGTCGTCTGAGGAGTCCGAGATCTATTCTTCGCCATCATTGGCCCGTCTCGACCTACATCCTCGGCTGCCCCACATCGACCTCGACGACCCAGTGCCCGACCCGCAAGTACCTAATCTGTTGAGCCTGCTCTCGCGCATGGGTCCAGACTCGATCTCTGTTCATAATCAGCAACTTTACGACGCATTCTCACGGTTTGACAAGGACTCCATTGATTACGAAGATTTGCGACAGCTGCTCATCAATCCAGAAGGAACATATTTCAGATCTGACAGTGCCAGACGTCTCTGTAACACGTTTGTGTCCACCACCTCTGAGTTGGAGTTTCGAGATTTCATCAGATTGTGCAAATTCCTCAAAGGATGCTACGATTCATTCAAATATCACGACTCGGATAAGTCATGCTATTTAGAGCCGGCAGAGTTCGCCAAGTCGCTCAGATACAACCAGATTTCGTGTCCGGACAGTCTGCTGCAGCAGATATACAGGAACTCGCCCAACCTGAACCTCGAAGCCTACGTTCTTGCAGTGATCCTGATCCGCAAGCACGAGCGCGAGCACCTCTACACCAGATAGCATAAAAAGTTTTCAGCTGCGAAAAAAAAACTTCACCTTTTCCATGAGTGTAAGTACTTTTTGAAAGCAGCATATGATGAATACCTGTTATTATTACTTTTCTTTCTGGCATCTCTAATGTTAGAGCTTCCGGCTCGATGAATATAACCCTTGACACCTATCTGAAGCTGCGTTTTCCAAAAGTTGACTAACATGTTAGAGCTACGGTTTCCACAACTTGCCAGATCCTCTGGGAGCAAACGTGATTTTCCTGTAATCCTGTGTTTTCACCATGCCCGGCTTTTCGTTCGCTGCTTTTGGCAGGTCGATGGAGGTTGGCTGTTCCAGAAACGCTTGCATCTGGTTCATGCTCAGTACTTTGAACCCGAAACACCGGAGCCATGTAGTAGTGATAGGGTCCTCGCAAACGAGCACCCAGTCGATTCTCGACTTGGGTTTCCGCTTCTTATTTTCGACGTACTGTTTTTGAATGCACGAGCGGATCAGGTACCTTAGTCGAGGAGGGACCTTGGCCTTTTCATGCTGATTGGTATTTTTTGTAATGTCCTCCTGCTGTTCGAACGCCGTGTTCAACGAGCGCATAGCCTTGTTCCGAGGCTCTTGATATAGTCCGTAGCCGCTAGCCACTGCCGGTATCTCTCGTACCAAGGGTGTGCGTTGTCTGTAGCTTGAAGCTTTTTTCCAGTCTGGGCCTGCTTCTTCTGGAGATTCCAGCAGAAACTGCGAATTACGCGGATTTTGGGTATCGGCGGGGTCTTCGGATATTGCCGCGTCAATCACTCTAATGCTTTCCCGGGCATTTCGGGCAACAACAGGATTGATCGAGCGTTTGAGGAAGTCAAGTTCTCTCAGTGTATAGTTGGGAACAAAAACCGTAAGGGAGTACTCTGTCTGCCACTTACTGAGTCTCGAGATTCCTCCGTACACCAACGAGCTTGGATCAACAATGATGTGGTGTCGTATTTGGTTGGTTAGCTTGTCATTGCTTGACATTCCACATCAAGTCGAGCAACAGATGAAAAAACCGTTGAAAAATTTGTGTATGCACAGCCGTGAGATTTATTATGTAGTCTATAGTCAGTTAAGTGTGATCCGTGTCAGCCTCCATGTAAATTTCAAGATCGGTGATTGGCTTGAAGGGCCAGCGGAAGTATAAATCGGATATATTAACAAGTTCCTCTATCGGGAGGTCACAGATCCTGCAGTCGAGAACCGAAGCAGGAAGTACCTGTTTGAAGTACTCGTCTGCTCCCGGCCCGAGGAAATGCAAGTTTTGGATCACTTTGTAGCTCGGCAACATGAAGAGCTTGTGCAAGACCAGCGTGAACTCGGTCATGTGCTCAATTGAGTATTTTTCGTGGTTCGATTGGAACTCAACCAGCATCAGGTCTTCTTGTTGAGGCACCTTAGGCAACTTGATAGCGTCAGAGAATTCGGACATGCACCTGGTGACACTTTTTTGCTTTTCGTAGTTGCTGTATGCAATGACTTTAACGTCGTTGAAGGCGGTTGCAACCACAGAATTGGTTTGTCTGAACCTCGAACCCATGATTCCAAGGTATTTCAGGGCATCTGCTGGACGCAGCCAAAAAAGTGACTTCACTTTTTGGTATTTGTACCAAGCGAGACACATCTGGTTGAAGTAGAGCATGCTTCTCACTTTCGACTTGTCAGAGGTGGTGATGTAGGAGCCGGTGATAAGCAGAGTTTGGTTCACTTTCTCGGCTGGGTTTCTGTCAAGCACAATTTTTCCACTATCGATGAGCTCTTCGGAATTATAGTGTCTAAGAGACCGTGGATCCTCTTCAAAAAGATAAAAGTTACGGCACATGGGATCCATCTCCTGGAGTCGTTTCCAGAACCTGTGCGTCGTTGCACTGTTAGGGATAAGGAGATGGAAGCGTGGACGTAGGTAATGATGTAGATCGTAAACGAAGCTGTTGAATCCGGTTTGGTAGTCGACTATGTGCAGTTTTTCGGATGGGTTTTTGTACTGGTTTTTAAGATCAAGCTTCTCGAAAATCTGGTGGTTGACCTCCTGTGAAAAGGGGATTTTAGCACTATTTCGACCAAAGTGTGGACTTTGATACGCCTGTTTGAAACTCTCAACCGAGTTTACAAACTGGGCTCTGGTTATCGTTTTGGACATGGGGCTGGGTCTAAAATGTTTAAGGTTTTTTTTTTTTTTTTTTTTGTTTTCATTATCTACCCATGCCTAAACTGAAAATAAAATTAAGCAACAAGGACGACGAAAAGCCAAAGATCAAGCTCAGGACATCTTCCGGAACAGATGAGTCGCTTCCCACGCTCAAGTTGAGCACAACGAAAAAAATGCCCACAATTAGGGTCAAGCCTACTAGAATGCCCGGGGACGGGTATGACTCTGAAGACCCCGACAGAGAAGACGACCCATTGATCGAAGAGGGTATCATTTTGAGAATGATACCAGATGAGTCGCTGGATTATCTGCGCAGATGCGTAGAGGACGGAGATATGAGTGGGATCACAATCAAGTGGAAGGACAAGAGACGGGCAATTTTGCGAATAAATGGAATGTTGTACGGAGGCAAGCTTGTCGAATTGCCGACCGTGGTAGAAGTCCACAAGTCTGTGGACAAAAAGAACATATTCAAGACGATCGACGTGTGCCAGATGCTGTTGATCGTGAAGCGCCTCGAGTCCGAAAAGGATATCAAGGACATAGACGTTGACATGGAGCATGGCGAGTCGTATCCGGACGGAATCACGCCGCCGCTGGAGAACGCAAAACAGCGCTTTAAGAGGCGTTACCAACAGAAAATTATGCAGAGCATCGAAGACAGGGTTCAGCAGCTCCTGGACCTGGACGACGAAGCCGAGTCTAGCACATACACATTTATTGATCCGTCGGAGGAGGCCAGCAGTTATTCCACTCCCGAGCCTATTGCATTCAAGAAAAAGACCCAGAAGGAACCAGAAGCCAAGACAGAGAACGAGCTGGACAGACTGATGGAGGCGGACGACAACGAGGACGAGCTGGACTTGGAGCTGGAGGCCGCATTCGAGGACGCCCCACGGGACGAGGAGGAGGAAGAGATTATTGAGGGTGCTTCTGCCGATGAGGAACGCGAGTCCTCCGATGACGAGGATGACGACGACGACGACGAAGAGGAGGACGAGGAAGAACACGCACGTCCTGTTGGGGAAGAGATGAACGAGACGCAGCAACACAACGCCATTTTACGTGAGGAGATCGGCGAACTGGAAAGCACGATCGAGCAGAAAACCCGCGACCTGGCGAAGGCCAATAATCCGATCATGCGGAACCGTATTACTGACGTTATTGGAAGACTCAAGCAGGAACTTGAGTTGAAACGCATGCAAATACAGGAGCAAGAGAGCACGAATGAACAGAATAAGGACGAAGATGACGAAGACGATCAGGAGGATAACGAGGAAGCAGGCGAGAACGAGGACGCGGAAGATAACGATGACGACCTAGCAGATTTATTCTGAAGCTGTTTCACTGCAGTGTCGAAAATTATTCTGTCTCTAAAATAGTGTAATTAGCAAAATAATTAATTTACCTGACTCACAATCAAATAAACAATCATGATGGCTTCGTCTCAAAATATAGACCTGGGAGGCCCAGGCCTGGCGAAAACGAAAAAAGGGGCCCGCAAGAAACCTGCAGATGCATTCATCCCGCCACGAGGAGTGCTTCCTGACGGAACTGCTGTGGATTTTGGCCACTCAGATAAAAACAAGTCCAAACAACAACCAACACAGAAAAAGTCTCAATCAGACAAGGCATCCAAGGGACTCAAACATAATGCAGCGGTGGAATCGACCACAAACAATTTAAAGGACTTGTTGCTGGACTCGTCCCAATCGCTGCCCGATGGCCAGAAACCAGATTTCGGCGGGCGTACGAAGAAGAAGACCCGCGATAACCACAAGCAGCTGTCTACTACATCCAATAGAAACTCAGGGGTTACGAATCTGCCATCTAGTGCCGACTCGTACCTGAAAAAATCTCCCCATTCCCAATGTTCGACGTCGATGTCCTCCGTTTCCTCCTCCACCCCGGTATACGCAGGCTCGTCCTTCCATAGTGCGCCTTCGACAGTCTCTCTCCCCAAACCCTCTTTCCTCAAGAAATGATCTTTACGCATGTACGCTAATCATGAAAAGGAGTTATGCAGTAGCCATCCATGCTGGACGTTTCAGACCTGCGCTGACGTAAACACACATATTTTTTTAATCTTTATTTTGTCGCTAGGGGGCTAAAAATCTTTATGCCTTCGCACAAAGACTCCTTTTCCTCGCTGTCGACCAGGCGGCGTGAGGCCTCACGAAATTGCGAATCTGCGTCGCTTGCATCCCGCCAGTTCCATGTGGATGAGAACGAGACCGAGATGTTCTCTGGAGCAGCGTCGCACGTAATTCCCTCATCGATCTCTTCGTTCCATCATAATCTACCGCAGCCGTTTCCCCAGCCCTCTAATTCCAGTGTCGCCCTACAAGACGATTTTGGCGAGCTCGAGGATTTTTCCTTGCACCCTGTGGACTCGAATGCAAGCACCGTTGAATTCCAGGAGCGGGCCAAGTTTAAGTTCTTCACTACGCAGCAGATCGAAGAGGCCAAGGGAGCGTCGTCCCAGCTGCACAATCCAGAAGGAATGCTGGTTGACTATGACACCAATTGGAATACCTATGACGACGAACTGCATCACAGAAGTATGTCAGTGCAGTACCCTGCTGCGTCCATCCATAGCAATACCGAGCTGGCTTCTATTCCAATAACCAACTACGGATCGATGCACACAAGCGAGGAGGAATTATTTCCGGACGAGTATCCGAACGAGGACGGCGATCTTTCCTCAGAGCATGACGAGTGGGATACCAAGTCTGGAGTTTGGGCGGATGTCAAACACCATGATAAACTGTTTGGGGCCAAATTTCCAGCCAAAAACACCAGCCAACGGTTCTACCTTGCGGAAGAAGACCTTGTGATTGGAATTGCAGGCTACTCCAACTCGTACTTGAAGCTAGCAGCATATTATCTATTTATTATTCTCACTTTAGGACTCGGGTATCTGGGGCTTCGCTGGTTCCCAAGATACCGCATTCAAATGATGGGCAACGCCACTCCGCTGGCCAAGGCGCAGTGGGTCGTTGTGGAGGATGAATTTGGTGTGCTGGACATCATCAATGTGAATAGACACTGGTACAACCGCTCGCTGTCGTCCTTTCTCACAACTTCCAAGTTCGATGACAAAGACGATTACGATCTGGACAACACTGACCCTGTGGTTCCAATTCTAATTTCGTTCGAGTATAGGTATATGAAATTCTTCTACGACCCGCTGGAAGACATCTACAAGCTGGCAAATAGCTGGATCGACCCAAAATGGAGCCATTTTCCAGAGAGCAAGACGGGCCTGTCCGAAGACCTGTATCAAAGCAGGTCCCTCATTTTTGGCGAAAACCTCATCGACATCAAGGACAAGTCGGTATTCCAGCTGCTGACCGACGAGATTCTTCATCCATTCTATGTGTTTCAGGCATTTTCCATCTTGCTATGGCTTGCTGACAGTTACTACTACTACGCATTCTGTATTTTCATTATATCCCTCTTCTCCATCGCGGAGTCGCTTATTGAAACAAAGACGACCATCGCGCGCATGCGTGCTATTTCGAGGTTTGAGTGCGACGTGCGAGTTTGGCGAAGTGGCTTTTGGAAGGAGATCAACTCTAAAGAATTGGTGCCAGGAGATGTTTACGAGGTTTCTGATGCGTCTCTTCATTACTTCCCCTGTGACGCAATTTTACTCTCGGGTGACTGCATCGTGAACGAGTCCATGCTGACAGGCGAGTCTGTTCCTGTGTCCAAGTTGCCAATTTCGCCAGAGACAGCAGCAGATCTGAGAAGTGAGTTTGCCAGCACCAAGTTCTCTCCTCAGTTAGCCAAGTCTTTTCTGTATTCGGGGACGAAGATCGTCAGATGCCGTTACGCCAGCAACGGGGACGAGCCAGCAATGGCCCTTGTTGTGAGAACTGGTTTCAACACCACTAAGGGCTCATTGGTGAGGTCAATGCTATTTCCCAAACCAAGCGACTTCAAGTTTTACCGGGACTCCTTCAAGTATATTGGTGTCATGACAGTTATTGCACTGATTGGTTTTGTGGTTTCTGCTATCAACTTCGTCAAGCTCGGGCTGGGATGGAAAACAATCACCCTGCGCGCATTGGACCTCATCACAATCGTTGTTCCGCCTGCCTTACCAGCCACATTGACAATCGGTACCAGCTTTGCGCTTTCGCGATTACGGCATAAAAGCGTGTTTTGCATTGCTCCTACGCGGATAAACGTCGGAGGGAAGCTGGACGTCATGTGCTTCGACAAGACGGGAACGTTGACAGAGGAAGGTTTAGACTTGATGGGAGTTCGTGTTTCAGAGCCTATCCGCGACCGCAAAGAGCGCTGTTTCTCCGATTTATACGCACATGTGGACCAGCTATTTGGTGCTGCGGCTAGTCCCCAGGCCTATGAGCTGTTTCTGACAATGCTTACTTGCCAATCCTTGAAAAAGGTCGAAGACGAGATTGTTGGAGATCCCTTAGATGCAAAGACATTCGAGTTCACTAACTGGGACATGATCGAGAATTCTGTGGACGACGCAGCCTTGAACGACTTTGTTGCTAGACACAAATTTAGCGGCAACGTGTCGCCTGTTCTTTTCCGCCCTAAGGACAGGCTCCAAAATAATACATTATTTGTGAAATTACGCGAGTTTGAATTTGTGTCGCAACTGAGACGGATGTCATCAATATGTCAGTCGCTAAACAATCCATCTCTGTTCAATGTTTTCGTGAAAGGTGCACCTGAAGTGATAGAGGACTTGTGTTTCCCAGAAACAATTCCAGCTAATTATCGAGAATTACTTCATGAATACACCCACAATGGCTTCCGTGTGATTGCTTGTGCTACCAAGACTATGAAAAAACCGAACGCAGCCAACTTGACCGACCTGGAGTTTCTGAATGAGCTTCCTCGTGAAAAGTGCGAATCGGAGCTGGAATTCATCGGCTTTTTGATTTTCGAAAACCGTCTGAAGAGTTCCACCAAAAGGTCTTTGAAACACCTTAAAGATGCCGAGCTGCGCACCATCATGTGCACCGGCGACAACGTTCTCACTGCAGTCAGCGTCTCTCGCGAGTGCGGCTTGGTCGAACCGGGCTGCAAAGTCTACATTCCTTCGTTTGAAGAGTTCGAGGACAATCAGAGGATACCGATTGTCTGGACTGAGGTCGATGACCCGGATTCTCAACTGGACCCCGTCAGTCTGATACCGCTGGATATCAATCGCACAGACGATTACTGCATAGCCGTTACAGGAGATGTGTTCAAGTACATTTTGACTGAATTGAGCGATCATGAACAGCTGATTGAGAAGATGTTGATGAAAGGCACCGTTTTTGCCAGAATGTCTCCCGATGAAAAGCATGAGCTCGTTGATCGGCTAAAATCGTTGGACTATACCGTGGGCTTTTGTGGAGACGGGGCTAATGATTGCGGAGCACTGAAGGCGGCAGATGTTGGAATCTCGTTGAGCGAAGCAGAAGCGTCCGTGGCAGCTCCGTTCACGTCGAGAATTTTTGAGATCTCGTGTGTTTTGGACGTCATCAAAGAGGGCCGAGCCTCTTTAGTGACTAGTTTCTCATGCTTTCAGTTCATGTCCTTGTACTCGGCCATTCAGTTCATTACGGTCACCATATTGTATAAGGAGGGCACTAACCTGGGAGATTTCCAGTTCTTGTATATCGACATGTTTCTGATCATCCCCCTTGCTGTGTTCATGGCCTGGAGCAAGCCTTTTGACAAGCTGTGTGCAAAACGGCCTACCGCAAACCTGATGTCGCCGAAAATACTGATTCCTTTGCTCGGAAACATTTGCGTTTTACTCAGTTTCCAGTTTTCTATATGGAGATCGCTCAAGAATGCCGACGACGACTGGTATATGCCTCCTGTTCCTGGTGACGACGATCAGGTCCAATGCTCTGACAACACCGTACTGTTTCTTTTTGCCAACTTCCAGTACATCATGGTTGCAATGCTGCTGACGGTCGGCCCTCCGTACAGACAGTCCGCTGCTAAAAATTACCCCTTCATGACCACGGTTCTCACGACTTCGATCTTATCTGCTGCCCTGATGTATCTTGATAACACCAGTTGGTTTGGAGATCTGATGGACATCACCTGGACACCAGAAAGCCTGAAAATAAGTCTGCTAGTGGCTGCCTGTGCCAACTACCTAATATTACTCGGTGCTAACAGATATTTATTTGGCCGGCTGTCAAAGCTCTACAAGCGCGTGTTTGGCCATCGCGCAAGCAAAAAACGGTTCAAGAACCTTCGAAAAGAGTTCAAAGTGCTATGTTGATTTCACCGAACAAATAAATAAATAAATAAGTCTCACCATTTCCGTCCTAGGTGCTTCTGAACGCAGTTCTTGTACATCTCGAATTCCTTCAGACAGATATCTTTGTTGATGTTCTCGTAATTACTAAGCACACATTTGCCATATTGTGCAGATTCGGCTGAGCATTGTACCGTGGCTGCCATCAGTTTGGTGAGCTGGGACGTTGGTTTCTTTGACATGAGGAGCGATTTTTTAAAAAAATAGAAACAATTTAATATTAGCATGAAGAAACTAAATTATCTCCCCGCCCTCGGGGATCTGAATACGCCGTTGCCAGAAGAACAACTGGCTGTGCTTGAACGCGAGGTGGAAGATCAGAGACCGGAGCCAACTGCTCAATCATTATTCAACCTGGGCTGGGCCCTCATAAAATCCAATAGCAAGCAAGATAACAGGGAGGGCGTCAACATACTCACGGAACTGTTTAAGAATGTGCCCGCAAGACGTCGCGAGTGTTTATACTACCTGGCAGCAGGCTGCTACAAGATTGGAGAGCTCAAAGAGAGCAAAAGATACATCGATGCGCTCATTCTCCACGAGCCTGACAACCTGCAAGCTGTGAATCTAAAAAAGGAGATCGAAAGTGAAATTTCCAAAGACGGCCTGATCGGGTTTGCCGTTCTGGGTGGTTTGACAGCCCTTGGAGTTGGCATAGCCAGTGCCCTTATTAAAACACAATCGAGAAAGAAATAACTACGTTATTCTGAGCTTTTATATATCTATAAAAATTCTTTCCCTAATCATTCCACCAAACCACCTTCTTTGCAAAGCGAGTAGAACAAGCTGTCCTTCTTCTTGAGCAGGTTTTGGGGAGTGTCGAACTCCGCCACCTCGCCCTTTTCCAGGACAATGATCCGGTCGCTGTCAATGATGGTGTTCAGACGGTGAGCAATGGTCAAAATGGTGCGTTCTTTGAATGCCGAACGGATGGTCTCCTGAACAATGGCATCGGTCTGGTAATCCACATTTGCAGTGGCCTCGTCCAAAATCAAAACCTTTGACTCCTTTTTGACTAGAGCTCTGGCAAGACACATCAACTGTCTTTGACCAGCAGACAAATTGGATCCGCCCTCGTTGATCCGAACTAGCAGAGGGTCCATTTTAATATCTTCCTTATTCGCCGACTCTTCATACATGGCCATCACATGGTTTTTGAGATGAGAGAGCTCCAAGGCTTGCCAAATCTCATCATCTGAGTACTGTTCGACAGGATCGATATTGGCTCTCAGGGTGCCCTCGAAAATCTGGGAATCCTGTGGAATAATTGAGAGCTTGGAACGGAGATCAAACAGGCCAATCTCGCTGGTGTTCAGGTCATCGATTTCAATATGTCCCGCGAAGGCCTCGATGATACGGAATATAGCCAGTGTCAGAGACGATTTGCCGGCTCCTGTACGGCCAACAATACCTATTTTCTCCTTTTCCTTAATGGACAGGTTGATGTTCTTGAGAACAAGGTCAAGGTCTGGTCTGTATCTGGTGCTGTAATTCTTAAAGTTGATGGTACCTTTGGATGGCCAATGACTAGGCGGCCTCTTATTTTCAATGATGGCAGGAGCTTCTGGCTCCAAAGCAGCGTATTCAAGCACTCTTTCGACGGAAACAATGTTAGTTTCAATTTCCACCGTCATTCTGACAATCCAATTGAGTGACTGCGTGGTCTGCAAGGCATACGAAATAGACAGACCCACAAGACCAGGAGTAACACGGCCAGATCTGAGAGTCGCGACAAGCAAACTCGAGGCACCAAGAATAATCAAAGAGCCCAAAAATTCCAGCCTGACAGCAAGCCACCTGTTGGCACTAACAGAAGGATGATACGCGCTCATATTCTCGTCCATCTTCTGCTGGTTCATGTACATAAACCGCTCCAGTTGGTCATAGGCTCTAACCGTAGCGACTCCACTAAGGGTTTCCTGGAAGTGAGCAAAAATTGGAGACTTGGAAACCGAATCCAGTCTACGCAGCTCTCTCGACGTGGCTAAGTAGTAGAGCTGGTAGAATCTGTAGAGAACAGCCAAAGGAACCACTAAAAACACAAATTGCCAGGTGGAGTAGATGATCACCAGCATGGTGAACGTGACCTTGATACTGTTGGTGAAGAACATGGCAAACACCCTTGCAAGTTGCTCGTCAATCTTGTATATATCTGGAGAGAACCTATTCAATATCCTTCCAATTGGAGTGGTTTCGAAAAATTGCATAGGAGCTCTAAGAACCCCGTCCAGCATGATCTGGTGCAAATACTTGGATCCCTGAATCGATACTGCAAGCCACTGCACCAGTGTCTGACACAACAGGAAGAAAGTACTGGCGACACATAGCCCAAAGTAGGTTCCCAGATATTTCCAAGGTTGCGGATTGTAGCCCAGTCTTGTGTTGATGTCAGACCAGTGTTTCAACCAGATATTAGCAAGAACAGAGGCACCCATCGAAAGAATCACTGTGACAAGGAAGAAAATGACGTTACGCACACCACACGCTTTGGCATAAGCACGATAAATGGCCGTCTTGACTTTACCCTGTTCATGCTTCTCCTCTCTGCCAGTCAAGGTCTCGTTTTTACGCGAGACGACTGCTTTGAAGTCTTCAAGCTCTGCTTTTGGAAGATCTTTAGATGCACACTTCTTAATATCCTCGTCCAGCTCACTGGACACTGATTGAGTATCCTCTGAGCTCTCTTTATCGATCACGGTTTCCGAAACATCTTCAGAAACTTCGTCGTCCTTCTTTTTAGCACCAGAGTCGTTGATTACGTTGTAAAGCTCAGACTTTTGAGCAGAAACGATATCGTCGTAATGACCACTTTCTGTTATTTTTCCGTTCTGCAGCAAGCTGATGTGGTCTGAGAATTTGAGCACGTTCAAGTTGTTTGTAGCAAGAATACGACACTTGGTGCTTAGAAGCCCGTCTGGACCAAGAACGTTGTTAATCAGATGCTTTCCGACATGCTCGTCAACGGCACTGAGAATATCGTCCAACAAATACAAGTCTGCTCTGGCATAGACGGCCCTAGCCAGCGAAAGTCTGGCTTTCTGTCCTCCAGACAAACTGATACCCTTTTCACCCACCTGGGTTGCATCTCCGTCCGTAAAAACGTTTAGGTCGTGCGTCAGGGCACAGGCCTTTATCGTTTTATCATAGAAGTCAGGATCGTACTTGCAACCAAACAAAATATTTTCCTTAATGGTTCCATTCATAATCCATGCGGTTTGCGGAACATATGCAACAGATCCGCGGACAATCACGCTTCCTGTTGGCTTGTGCAAGTCTCCCAGCAAAGATTGCAACAGCGCAGTCTTACCTGCACCAACACGTCCAATGATACAATTGAGCTGCCCTTTTTTTGCCGTGAAATTGATGTTTTCCAAAGCAACCTTATAAGGGTCCTTGGACCAGAGGAAATCTGCGTTCACAATGTTCACGACGTCTTGGCCTATTTCTGTGGGTGCTGGCAACCTTGTCACCGTAGAAGTGTCTAGTTCGTCACTTTCGAGGAAACCTGTAATTCTGGAGATGGCAACTTGTGCCTCAATGATGTTACCAATGGTCCATGGAAGCACGGCAAGAGGAAAGCCGAGCAAGTTGAACAGAGAAAGAGCAGTGAAAACAATGTCGGTACTCAAAGGAACTCCCTTGTAGGCAACAATGAATAGGGCAAAAGTAGAAGTACTCACCAAATACGGCGTTGTGTTGAAGATGAATTGACTGCATGCCTGGAAAATACCGATTTTTCTCAAATTGGACAGCTCCTTGTTATTTCTAACATGCATCAGTTTTTTCTTGTATGGGACTTCCCAGGCGTAAAGTTTGAGCGATTTGATGTTGTTGAGCATCTCAGAAATCAGCCCGGTTCTCTCATCTTTCACTTTCATCTGTGTTTTCTGCAATTTCTTCTGTTGTCCGAAGACCCAGGTGTTCATAGGAACAGAAATACAGAGGAACAAAACTCCCAGCCACATGGCATTTCCAAGCAAGTTGTAGAGCGAAACTAAACACAAAATGATCTGGAAGGGTCCAGACCAGATGATGTTCAAGTTTTGACAGAGATCCTGCAATCTTTGAGTATCCACAGACATCAGGTTGACAATGTCGCCCGAGGACTTTTTCTGTTTGGCTTCAATGGAAAGCGCAAGCGACTTTTTATAGATCAGAGAGGTGAGCGAGGACTTCACCTTGATACCGGTGTCGAAAACGCGGGTAAAGTACTGATGCAACGAAGCGGTTTGCAAAACCGAAAGAATGAACATAGAGGCCACGATCATGAATCCCTTAGTCAAAGGGATTGTGGGGTCCTCGTGGTATTCATTGACAAACCTAATCAGCTGCTTTAGCAATTGTGGCTGAATAAAGGCACAACAGTCCTGGACAACTTTGAACAACGCAGCCACCAAAAACGGACCACCAAAGGACTTTGTCAACGCAATCGCCAGACTTGGTTTTTTGGACCGGAGTTGCTTTGCCCAATGAAGTTCAAGTACTCCGGAAAGATGGTCACTTTTCAGGAAGGAAGGAAGAGCAGGGAGGTCAAACTGTGTCAAATACTTAGTAGAGCCTTTTTGCATCAACGGAGTCAACCAGGTGAACGTCACCTTGCCAAAAATGTTGGCGGAATCGTAAAGATTCTCAGTCTGGGTGGGGTCAATGGGGGCCTTTGGTGCAAAATATATTTCCATCACCAAAAGTATCAAGTTGTTGACCGTACTGAGAACGGTGAGTGGAAGTCTCGACGATCTGTCATTTCTCAGGCTAAGATTGACAATTTTCAGAAATCCAATGAACAGGTACAGTAGCCAGTATATTATGAGTGCGGCCTCTGAAACAAACGTCTTGAAATTCTCAATATATGAAAGAGCAAATGCAACACCCAAAGCGATAAAATTCAACCCCGAAGACAAAACCAGCACGTCGGACAATGGCGAAGGAGACATTCGAGCGGCTAAGATTGCCAGTGTCAGCTGGAACACTATTTGAACGGCAATCAAAGACAGCTTGAGCACAAACCACCACTCTACTTTGGAATTGACATTTCTAATTTTCCTGAGCTTACGCACTTGAACGAGTCCTCCGATGACAAAAGCAAGCGAGATCAGCAACCCAAAAACTCCGCTCACCAAGCACGGCGATGGATCTTGTAATTCCGAGGAAAACTTGTAGCCTTCGCCATCGAAACAACCACACCCAGATCCAGTTGAGTTGTTAAGCCCGATAGTATTAGAACCAGAGCTGGTTAAGTCCGTGACCAATTGTTCCCAGAAAGTAGAGACCCTCTGAAGATCATATATGGCCGATGGTTCGTAGAAATGGCCGTTGATATGGTATTCAGACATGTCGAAACGTCGTTGTGCAGAGTCTCAGCAACAAGGAATCTAATTCTATCAATTCTAAAATTATCTGACTAAGCTTTTTTTTTATTTTTTCATCGATAACAAGTAATAATTGTATTTCAGAGTGCGCCACGGCCCTTATGGCTGATGAATTAATCGAATTTGGAAATGATAAAAAAAAATAAAACGAACAAGACATCATGACTATTCCCACAACGGATAGTTTGTACGTCAAGAAAGAAGAACCTGATCTACCGCTGGACTCGATACGTGCTAAGGAAGAAGAGAGGCTTTATGATCTAAGTCGCAAAATCTCGCCGAATCCCAGGGTCACGAAACGGAGACGATCCAAGTATAGGCCCTTGAATGGTACAGTTCTCGACATTTCTAATATTCCCCTACACCCGAAAACCCTGAGTGATTGTCTCCAGCTTGAGGATGTTGGGTTTTTGTGTCAGAGCCTCGAAACATCGAAGAAAATAGTTGCTATTACCGGCGCGGGCATCTCGGTCGCCTCTGGTATTCCTGACTTTCGATCCGCCAATGGCCTGTTCCAAGGATTTGCCTCCAAGACTAATGGTTCGGGGAAAAACCTTTTTGACTACAATGTCTTCCGCTCGCCAGAATCGCTCAAAGAATTCGAAAAGATGATTCGTAAATTATACACACTGTCTGTTGAATGTGAACCTTCGCCTTTCCATCGGTTGCTTGACAGAATTTCGCAAGATGGTCGTCTTCTCAGACTTTACACACAAAACATAGATTGCCTAGACACACAGCTCCCCCATCTCGAGACGAGGGTTCCGTTGACTTTTCAGAAACCATATCCAAGGACAATACAACTACACGGAAATATCAAGCTTTTAAATTGCTCCAAATGTCATCATGTGAAAGAATTAGATGAATCCTATTTTAACGAAAACAGCATGCTGATCCGTGATTGTCCAGAGTGCGAGGAGCTAAACGCCGTGCGCGCGGTTGCTGGACGCAGGGTTCAGTCAGGAGGGGTTCTAAGACCCCGAATCGTGTTGTATAATGAGTTTCATCCTGACGGAGAGATAATAGGCAACATCACCGAGTCAGACTTAAAAACCCGCCCCGACTGTCTTCTCGTTGTGGGGACAACGCTAAAGATTCCAGGGGTGCGAAGACTGGTGAAGGAAATGGCCAAAGTGGTGCATTCGAAAAACGGAAGCGTTATATGGATAAATATTGAGGAGCCCACACAATCCATTGTGGACTATGTTGAGCATTTCGACCTTATAGTGACTGGCAGCTGTCAAGAGATCCCAGTTCTTTTGGATGCCTTCCACGATTTGAAATCCAAAAAGAAGCAAAGTAAGAAAATTTAGGTTATTCCCACTCAGCATCTTCCTCCGGCACCTCGATTTCGTCGTTGGGCTCTTTTGGTTCCTGGGCCTCGCTCCATTGTGTCACGTCATCAATGTAACTCAGAATCGATTTGACAGTCTCGTTCTTATCCTTGTCTGAGCAATCGAGGGGTAAGAATTGCACCATTCCAAAATCGTCGACGAGTTGAGCAATAGCTTTGTTCAACCGAGCATATTTGGGGTTTGTTGCGATGTAACCATCCTCCTGCTCGTTTGCTTGTTCCAAAAGCAGTGGGTCTGGATTCAGGAACTTTTTGAGTTGCGCTTTCGAGACAGTATCTCTGATCAAATCGGTCTTAGAAAGAATATTTATGTGCGGCAATTCCAGGAATATCATAGCAGCCATTGCCGTTAGTGCTCCCGAAAAGAACTTCGAATTGTCTATCACAAATGGCGCCTCTAATAGATATGTACAACAAAGGCTGAACCCCAGTTGTTGCTGCAAATGCTTAACTATCACCGGTAGAACAGGAACATGGCTGTAGAGTTCGATCTGGCCGGGACAGTCGAAAATAAGGTAGTCGTCGTTGTAATCTCCAATCTGCTCGTCCAGCCAGTCGAGATTATCCAGCAGAAACTCAAAACAGTACAACAGCGATCCATTTGGTCCCAAATGGAGTTCTTCCTGGACATCCTGGAGGGAAATCAGGTCTCTAATATCTATGCTGAACTCATATTCTGTGGGGTCAGCCGCGGGATCTAGATTCACAATATGGGCTGTCCGCCCAACAGTCTGCATATGGGCAACCAAAGAGTTGCAAAACGTACTTTTGCCAACGCCTGCTGGCCCCAAGGCAAGAACACCCACCTTTGACATAATAGAGAAAATAAAGTGAGAATAAAAAAATAAATTTCTTACACTCTGTGTCGCGCACGATATCTCTATACTTGTATAAAAAGGAGCGACGATAGTGTTACAGAGACATAGTCAGCCAATCCCAATTGTTGTTGCCACTTTGACCAGCATTAGTGCCTGAACTTTGGGAGGAGGGGTCTTCATTAGTGGGCTCGGTTTGTGGAGGCCGATGCTGAGGCTGTTGGCCAAGACTCAAGATCGAGTCGAAATCGAGAGACTTGAGTTCGTTCGGCGACTGCGATCCTTGATACAGGCTTCCGCCCAGTTCTGCATCCTCATTTGCGGAGCCCTCTGTCTCCTGGTGGCTTCTTGCCGAGTTTTCTCTTTTGGGAGGACTGCTTCCAGTCTTCACCTTATTCAGTACGATGGGAGTTGGGTTCAAGTCGTCTCCATCTGTTTTCTTTTTCGGTTTCTTCGTAGTGGTGCCCCGCTGGCGCTTTTTTATAACATCAGTCTTGAGTGAGAGAGGCCGGACAACACCGTGTAGTTTGAGGAACAGACCACACGCGTTGCAAAGAGGCTGTCCCTCGGGATTCCGACGCCACAACGGAGTGGTCTTTGTGTGACAGTTCGTACACGCAATACTGCCCTGTTCTGTGCCAGCAATCCCCATTGCCATATTGTTGTTACTGCCGCTACTCGAAGGAGGCGTGCCTGAAGGGGTGTTGGCGAACGAGCCGTTTTTCGGCAGCGAGCCCGGGGTGGGTGTGAGAGAGCTCATGTCGGTAACGCTCCTAGGATTCCGTTTGACTGGCGCCTTGCGTTTCGCAGCTGCCGACGACCGTCTCGCCGATTTGGGAGCCGAGTTGCTGAACTTGGTGCCCAGTTGCATCCCTGGTGTAGAGATGTTTGTAGGAGTGGTGGCCGCAGGCACCTGCGGCGAGTGGTCAAACATGTTCATGTCGCCGTCGACGTCAAAGCTGAAATCGTCCCTTGCAAACTGTCCCGGGGCCTTATCGAAGGAGAACGACTGGAATCGTGTTCGGGAGGTGATGGACGACTGCGACGGCGAATAGAGAGGATTGGCATTGGGGAGCGACTGGCCTAGGAAATCGTTGGTGACGTGATCGGTGTGTATATTGACCATGCTCGGATGGTGCTTCAGCGATGTGGGCACGCTTGTGGACACGGTGTCGAAGTTGACAGGCGACGGGGACCCCCCGTTTTCGAACGAGACGGTCTGCGGAAATGGCGCCTCACTCAAATCCAGCGGGTTGGCGTGCATGTATGGCTGTGTAGTAGAGTCGACGTGCAAATTTGGCAATGGAGAAGAGTTTAATTGGGGCAGCGGCGCATTCGAGTGGCCACCGATTGACTTAATGTGGTCCAGGTAGTCGAACTCGTTAGAATTAGGGTCGATCGGCTGCTGGTTGTTCGTCTCCAGAAAGTCGAGGTCTGGGAACTGAGGCCAGTTGCCATAGCTGTTGTTGGTCTCAGTACTGGTAGGTGCCGAGGGCCGTGCCGTTTGTGTAGCTGTTGCAGACGGCGGGGCCCGTTCGGCCGTCTTTTCTGGTGCGGACGACAGTGACTTGGCACGGTTCTTGTGGATATTGATGTACATAAGACGCCATGTGAGGTTCTCCATCCGCGACCGATATGGCAGACTGGCCTTAGCCTTGGAATACATCTTCCAAAGAGCAGTTGCTGAGCCTTCGTCAGCAGCCTTGGCCGGATGCGCAGCGTCCATATCCAGTGCATGATCGGGCTTGGAGTCAAACCCGAGGCCAGTATGAGGAGACTGGCTGCTCGAATACATGGTTCATAACAAGACTCACGGAGAAATAAGGAGAGCTATCAAAAAGTCTCGTCCAAGTGCTCGAATCTGCTTGCCACGGTACTTTGCTCTGATTGGTTGGATAACGCCGCCCTGCAGATGTTTTGCAGATGCTATCAGAGACAATGCTCGGCCATATTCATTTTTTTGGTTCCCGGTGCACGACGTGCCTTTTGCAGCCCGAAGCGCGAAGTACACATCAGGAAAGATTTATTTGCTTATATAAGCGCTTTAGCTATTTGGAAGGGCATATACTGCCTGCCAGACTCCCGCTGCTGGCAACGCTACCGTTCGACGCGTTCACACGGCTGAACGAGTCCACATCCCCGTACCTGCTCGTTGTGTTGCTGAACATATTTTTGACGTTGGCGTGCTCGATCACCGAACGCTGACTCCTCGAGAGCTCTTCTCCCGATTGGATCGTCGAGGTGGATGATTTTCTATACATCGAGTTCTTGATTGCGGACACTGTGTGCTGTCCTGGCACATTGCCACTGCTGTCTGGGCGAAACCTCGGGTGAATTGGCACAAGACTTGGATTTGCTGCGCCAAAGTTAGCTGGCCCAGCCACCATGGCATAGCCTGCGTATTGTTGCGCATACATCATTTGAGGCATGAACTGGGGCATTCCAGGCATCATCGGCATCTGTGTCGGTCCACTCGGTGTGCCCCCAAGACTGGGGCTCATCGTGCCCGGTCCTGTTTGCATCGGATATTGCTGATATTGTACCTGCTGTTGGGGCGGAGCGACCCCGTAGCCATTAGATTCCCGAACAGCTAATGTCCTTCTGTTTGCCCAGTCAAATACGTTTTGATCTTTCAACTTTTGGATCTCTGCAAAAAAGCTGAAAAGCATTTCCACATATGGCACTTTGAGATCGTGCTTTGTAGCCAGACCTATCGTTTGTTTCAATGACAGATTCACGCCCGTTTCGTGCCCGTAACTGAAGTTATGAACACATGTTGCGAGATCTAGCATCGGATCTTTCGACACTCCGTCAGTATAGTTCGAGGAGTTCGGGGTCTTAATCGCACTAGCAGGGTAGGATTGATTGAAGTCTCTAATCATGACATCGAGCATGCTTTTTGTCTTGGAGGAGTCTGTCGGATCTGGGAGGTCTGGGGCTCCATATTTGCGGCCCAGCGTGAGTAAGTCGCAGAAAACCCCTTTGAGAATTCCAAACTGAATTGCATCCAACGTGCTTAGCTTTGAATAAACAAGGCTCATGACTTCCAGACTAATAAATGGAATAATCCTTTTCCAAGCATAGCTGTTGAAAGTTGGATTTATGCCTTTGGGGATCAAGTAGCAGGGATAAACCTCTGTTTTCTTGAGCATTTCTGTCAGTTGTGTCAGTTTGGCCCCAAGATCTCCTTCTCCTTTGAGTAATCGCACAGTGTTTTGGTCCTCGGCAATTGCAGACCCAATAACTGCTGCCGTGCTATGGTTTTTATGATAATATTGGTATCCGTTTTGGGTCTTTACGACTCTAACGTCCGCATCACAAATCATCCCCAGGACCTTGCTTTTAGGGAGCGCCTTCTTCACCACCTCTTCTAATCCCAGACAGTATCTTGACTCCACCAGTATTATTGTTTGCGGGCCCACCAAGGATTTGATCTGCGTCGTTGTGTCTATCATATTCTCGTGGCTATCCGCTCCTAGGAGAACAAAATCTAAAGGTTTGAGGGATTCTAAATTTAATTCTGCGAGATCTTTTGCCGACCCCGTTGGGATGAAAGTTGTCTCTCCATACTTGACTGACTTCCATGTTATTATCTGATCATCTTCAAGAGTACAGCTGGACCCAATCACAAAAGTTCTGCAGTCGACCAAAGACAGCCGCCATACCAAGAAAGAACAAGAGGGTGTATCTCCAACTGATCAGTTAGTATCTTGCAACTCAGGCGCTCACACTTACAACTCAGCACGTTCAGTGGTTCCATTTTCGTACCTCCTAGCTGTATGGCATTCAACAGAGAAAAAAGGGATCAGTTTTTTTTCTACGCCCATAAGACTCCCAATCAATGTTCGTGAAGGATGCATGAGCACTGCCCAGATATATGTATAAAAAATAATAAATAGTATGTACATGATCAAGCCAGCTGGTCGCGGTCAATGTCAGCCTGAAGCCGATCTTTTTCCTTTCTGGAATTAAGCATTCTGAATGAGTCGAGCTGTGCTGCCATTCTCAGGCTTTCTCCAAACGTTTTCGGCTCACTATAAATTGCTTTTCGATATTCCTCTTTCATTTTCTTTTTGCGCAGCTTGGCATCGCGTTTGCGTTGCTTTCGTATCTCTTCCTCTCTCTTTTTCAACTTTTGGAAATAGAACTCATTCTCCTTCGTCGATTGGACTCTTGACTTTGCTCCTAAAGCCCACAGATCTCCCATTCCCATTTTACGCGCATCGTGGTATTCCTGGTCGCCAACGCTCTTTGAAATGTACCATTTTTCAACGTGACCAGAAGGGGCGCACATATCTGCAACAACTAGTCCTCGACGCTTAGTTGGCGGCGCTAGCACACGAGGCAGCTCCTCGGGAGTTTGAGGAACGTATCCAACGGATCTGCCACCAACTTCCTGCTTCCTCAGTTCTTCTAGTTCTTCGTTTGACTCCGCAGAACGTTGCACAATCAAATACGAATAGCTTGCCGTTTCGAAATCTTTGCCGTTCGGACGCCCGGTTCCAGCGTACGACATGAACTTTTTGGTCGGGTTGTCGTGCCACGCCGCAGCAAGTTTAGCCCCCCTTTTCAGCTCCATGACATATCTCGGCCGTTCGACATCAATCGTGTAGTTGCAGAACTTGAGCTGTCTTCCCACCTTGCCGTATTTGTAGTATTCGGGCTTGAAGAACTGCAACGGGCACTTGCCGTGGTGGGGGCACGGAGCGACGATTTTTAAATTTATCGGGTCGACCGACGCAGCTTCCTGGATGTCGTAATGTTGTAGCAATTCCGGCTCTACCGGCTCGTCGTCCTCCAAAGATAGCTCAGAAGCTTCTGCAGCAAGAACATCGCTATTCTTATATAGTCTTGGGACCTTCGAAGTGCGGTCTTCGTGGTTTTCAGGCCGCAGCATCACCTGCCGTGCTCGAGCAATCACCTCTGCCCCCAGAGGGTTTCCGCGCTCCAAAAGCACGAGATGGCCACCTGGCGCCAATCTTTTAATCAGGGGATCCAGTAGTTCATCCACCTCTAGCGGGAAATTTTTCTCGTCTCGCAAAAGCTGGTTCTGAGCAATAATTAGATCGTATTTCACGTTCTCTGGACGCAATTTCTCCAAAATAACAGACTTGATCTTCAGCAACTTGGTTTTCACCCTACCTATCACAGGCTGGTTAGGTTCATCATCCTCCAGGAAGTCAGAATCCTCCTCCCGCTCCTGTGTTGCTTCCTCAGTCTGGCTGGGTTCTCTTTGGTGCTGTTCGTTAGCTTGTCGACTCAATAAAACTTTAGCTCTTCTTTCCATGTGGAAAGATCCATTGACCACGACATCCTTGACCTCTGGGCTGAAATCATCGCCCATCACCTCGTTCAAAGCCACCATTCCTATACCTGGCCCATATCCGTAATCGAGTACCCGTTTTGGGCTCCAGTCTTTCCCGACACGACGTTTGAGCTCGTCCAACACTTGGTAACATGTAGCATAATTCTGAAGAAACGAGCTCGCTATGTAGACATCCGCCTCCTCCTCTGTGTTTGTTCTTGCATGCAAACTCGTGTCCTCAAGTTTCTTGTAGTAGCCTGCAACTTTATCCTTCAGTAGTTTTGGCTCATGCAAAAGCATCATGTTGTAGTTTATAGCATCAGCAATAAGTCTGGGTAACTGCACACGCTTTCTGTTCACTCGACCCGCCAAGGTTTGCGGATGAAGCCTTGCCTCCCTGCTAGTGGCAGCAGCAAGGAGTTCGCCAGTTTCTGTATTTCTGTACTTTGGATCAACGCCCTCAACAGCCTCCTCTGGTGTTACCACACGATGGTTATGAAGCGGGTCTCTGTCATGAAGCACCTCGTTGACCAGCTGGCCAAACGTCTCTCTGCCTGCTCGGTATGAAAAGAACAAACTCGATTTCTCGGTTCCCAGACTGCTAGATCGTGGAATTTCCTGGTATGTCTTGTCGTCATCGTGCTCAATCGTAATTTTGCACCGCGGAAGGCAACAGTTGAATCGCCGAGTCACGGCTAGCTGTCTCGTTCGTAACATCAAGAAGAATAAAATGTAGGAAAATTTTTAACGGCTGTGCTAACAAATAGAAAGATAAAAAAGTGTAATGAGGCAGGATGCCCAGGCGGAAACGGGTGTGCGTGTCACACGATTGAAATTCAAGCGACGGCCTAAACGCAGGCATATGGAGCTGGAGAACTCTCCAGATTCTCCGCCACGTCCACCAGGGTCGCCTCCGGCTCCCAAAAAAGAAGTGGACCCTGACACTCGACCGCATTACGAATTTGGGCCCTCGATAAACGGATACCGTTTTGTCACGCCAGACCCAGATCAGAAGCCATTTCCGAATGTGAATTATCACCGCCATATTAATGGGTACGCTGCAGAGCTGCCTGAGCTGCCCCAAAAAGAGGATCCATACAGGGTTCGTAGAAACGATTACGAAGAGTACGTCAGACGATGGCAGACGGTTGATCTGGAGCACGAACTACCGCCTATGCCTGTTAGTGGGGGAGAAGTGAGCACTCAGAGCGTGAGCCAATTCATCCCACGGAGTCAGCTTCGATTGGAAAGGATCCGATGGCACCCTGATAAAATCCTACGTCGTGTTAGTGAGAGCAGACGGCCTGTCCTTGCGGAGATGGTGACCAGAACATTCCAAGTGATCAACGAATTATACGAGAACGCATCCAAATAACGCCCTACATGTTTAATATTATAGCATAATTAATTTCATCAAATATAACTATTAGCGAGTCGGTCACTCTTTTTTTTCTGGCTCCTCGTCAGCCTCCTCCACCTCTTCAACTTCCTCCACCTCGTCCACCTCTTCAGCTTCTTCAGCCTCCTCGTCGGCCTCGTCGTCGTCGTCATCTTCCTCTACTTCTTCATCCTCGTCCTCCTCTTCTTCGTCTCCAACTGTCTCTTTGTCGTCCTCTTCCTCTTCCTCTAGCTCCTCGGGAGGATACTCCTCCTCCTCCTCGTTGTCCCACACGATGTTGAACCTCGTCACTCGCGGCTTCTCGGCCAGGATATTGCGCACAATATGCTCGACTTGGACTTTGGACGGAGGATTTTCGCGGAGCTCTTCAGAGTCGTACTCGTTATTCACGTAATATCCAACTCTCACAAACTCTCGCTCTCGGTATGAGCAGCTAAGCAAAATCACCGTCACAGACACGAGCTCGCTGGCAGGAATTAGCTCCGGCGACGGCGCATCTGCAGTGAGAATGAATTTGTTCACGCCTACCGGCACAGGACCCACCAGGATCGAGTCCAGCTCCTGGTCGTGTTCGAGCGATCGCGACGACCCCACGTAGGTCAGTTTCCACTCGAGATCCTCCTTCAGCGGCTCAAGACACTCGAAAGTGATCTCAAATTGGTACGGGTCTGTGAACCTAGCTGGGTTGTTCAGAACGTTGATTCCAAGCAGTGACACTATAGACATACGCGTTTTTCTAAAAAGTACACCGCCACACAATATTTTCTTAAATCTCAGCTCTCGGTGTGTGCACAGCCACGTATTTACCATTTTGCAGTGCAAAAAATGTTTTGATCATGTCTGCCTCCTTCATGAACACTCTCTTTGGCTCCAACTCAGACAAATGGCCTCACAACGAGGAGTCGCTTGTTTTGGCTCTTCAGACACGGATTCAGCAGGAGCGCACCAAACAGGAGTACTACAAAGTCGAGCAGCTGAATAAGACATTGGAGCTGGTGAAACTGGCTGCACAGATCAACGTTCCCCCTGAACTCATCCCCGTTCTCGTTCCCGAAAGGTCAGGAACGTTGCCCGCTCCAAGCAGGGCGGAACCTAACCCCATGGCCAGCTTCAAGTTTGGATCAGGCTCGGCTCAACGCAAAACAACTCTGAACCCTAGACACCAGCTGTCTCCGTCAAAAATCGGTGCCCACGCGGTCTCATCGTTGCTTAATGGCAAGCAACCAATTGCCGTCAACGACGTGCGACGCGGAAGACATCAAAGAACCATTTCGCTGCCGCCAGAGGTGTCGATTCCAGAAGATTTAGAGCACGACTCGCGAAGAAAACGTCATTCTCCTGCGCCAGAGATCGTCATTCCTGCGCTGGACACCACGCCAGAAAAAAAGCACAGTAGACAGCTCTCAGCAGACGTCTCACTAGTGTCGCCCGTTAACTAGAAGCCGCATTCGACTCGCTGTATGAGATCTCAGCGAGCTCTTCGATATCTGTGAGATTCACAAATTCCAGCTCCTCTGAGTCCTCGGCCAGAATTTTTTCAAAGACAATCTCCTGTTTCTTTATCTCGGCCACGGTTTTGCGCAACTCATGGCCCAAATTTCTCAGCACGGTGTCGCTTGCATTGTTCAATGTCCAGGAGCACAGGTCATCGAGCCAGATCTTGCAATATATGTAATAGATATCGTGGAATCTGAACAGTTCTCGACAAGCAAGCAGGGCTTTCAACACTGCTTTGCTGCCGCATCTTAATGTACAGTAGACATCTTCCCATACAGCTGTCACCAGCTCAAAATTGCGAATTAGTGGGTAGCAGAGACTGCGTCGGGCCATTGTGAGAGCTATCACTCGAAGCATATTTGTTTCGGTCTTATTATTCGACTGAATTAACTGAGCGTCCAAACAACATAATTGAGGCACAAGTTTACCCACGGTCCAGCTGCTTTCCACTGTCAACTCGCCCTCATTTTGTCGAAGCTCGTACAGATAACCATACAACAGACACACAATAGTGTAGTAAAGAGGTCGCACATTATCCACCAAATACGACTTTCGCGGGAGATCCATCATCCGCTCCTGCTCTTCTGTACTGAACTCGATCTCGCTGTGATTTTTGTGCTGTATGCGGATTGGATTTTCCCAGCAGAGAACCTGCTTGACATTGGACTCCTGCGGGAAATACTTCTGGGTCAAATATTCATTTGCGTAGTATTCCGGATCAAACTTTAGGTTTTCCTTGATCAATCGTTCATTAGTGCGCTCATCAGGGTCCATTTTGTCGGGATTCGAAAGCTCGTTGATGTCATTGCCGTTCGAAAGAGACACTTCCATCATGTTTGAGTACTGGTTATTGAAACCATAGAAAAATTGCGGAACAAGAGAGGCCTGCTGCTGTTCTACCTGCTCAACCTCCCAATCAAAGTCCTCTGCCTCCTGGGCCAATGAATTCAAATTGACTGTTTCGCCCACTTCCTCTATCATAGGACGCTTTTTTTCGGTGTTCTCAATTCTTGCAAGAAGTTTAGCAGGCAGATCAAGGTCCGAAAATACCTCTCCCTTGGTCAATTTTGGCATTCGAATCAGAATACTCTCCTCGTTTGGAACAAATTCTGCTTTGGCACGCTCATCGTCAACTATGCTACCAGAAAAACGGAGACGAAGGTAGTATGGCGGGAGCGAGAAAATAAACTTGTCGTCATCGGCGACCATCTCTACGGCCTTTGCGGAAAACCGAATGTTTGATATTCGCACTTTGATAATAACAAACTCATCGTTTTGTGATACTTCAAACCTTGGTGTAATCATCTGCGGCTCTAAAAATATTTAATCTTTTTTTTTTTTGCAAAAAAAAATATTTCTTAACATCATGTCGCCAGCAGTGGACACCACCCAAAGAAGGCGAAGGTTTGTAGGGTCACGTGAGCAAGATGAAAAGGGCGGCCGGTCAGCAGTGATTATACGTGCAAAGAAAGGAGCATCAAGGCTTATAAATCAAATTCCTCAGGAAATCTTGGACGATGAAGAGCTAAAAGAGGCAGCACGTCTTTTGCCTTCGAACTACAACTTTGAGATCCACAAAACCGTTTGGAACGTGCGAAAGAACAACGCTAAACGGGTATGTTTACAGATGCCGGAGGGGCTCCTGATTTATTCCATGGTGATAGCCGACATAATAGAGCAATTTTGCAATGCTGAGGTTTTGGTGATGGGAGACGTTTCCTATGGAGCCTGCTGCATAGACGATTATACCGCCAGAGCCTTAGACTGCGATATGATTGTTCACTATGCTCACTCGTGTCTAGTTCCTATCGATGTGACCAAAATCAAGGTCCTTTATGTGTTTGTGACCATCGTCATTGATGAAGGTCATCTGATAAGAACTCTGACTAAAAACTTTGAACATGGAACTCGATTGGCTGTATTTGGTACGATACAGTTCAACCCTACGATACATTCGATCAAGAACAAGTTGGAAGGCCCTGAGTCAGACAAGCTTCTCTATGTCACGCCGCCTCAAATATCTCCATTATCCAAGGGGGAAGTGCTTGGGTGCACATCCGCGCATTTAGATCCTAACCAGTTTGATGCTATGGTTTACGTTGGCGATGGAAGATTCCATCTGGAAAGTGCTATGATCCACAACCCTTCGGTTCCTGCTTATAGATATGACCCATACTCTCGCAAGTTCACAAGAGAGTACTACGCTCAGGAAGAAATGGTGCAAGTGAGATCAGATGCCGTGCGACGCGCGTCAGAGGCGAAAAAAATAGGACTGATACTGGGTGCGCTGGGACGACAAGGAAACCCGGTGACGGTGGAACGATTAGAGCAACAGCTCACTCGGGCAGGAAAAACTGTGATCAAGATCATACTATCAGAGATTTTCCCAGGAAAGCTCTCCATGTTCGATGATATCGACGCTTTTGTTCAAGTTGCGTGTCCTAGATTATCGATCGATTGGGGGTATGCCTTCCATAAGCCATTACTGACGCCATACGAGGCTATGGTGATGCTTGGAGAGGAACAGAAGTTTGAGAAAGACTTTTATCCTATGGATTATTACGCCAAAGATGGCTATGGAAGAGGTAAAAAGCCGGTCAGAGGCGATTAATTTATTTATTATGCATTGTCTAGTCGATTGTGTCTTGGTCACGTTCGTATGTTTCTTCTATGCCCAACAGTGTAGCAACATGCATATCGTCCCAGCGGAACACGTTGAGAGGTTGACCGTTATCATCCTTCAAATATTCACCCACGATAAGTAGCAGCTTGCGATAGAACTTGACGAATTTGAGGGTCGAGGTGATGAATATGGTATTGAGAATTGATGGAGAGAGTAGCTTGTTTAATTCGTTCGAGACCAGATATCCAATCAAGAACTCTTGGAGCCTCATATCTGCTTGCTGGAATGTAGCAACATTGAAGAGTTGGTTTTCTGTGATTGGTTCGTACAGAGACACGTCGAAGAAATCATCCTCAAGCTTGTAGATCATGTTCACAAGGTTGTAGATATCAAAAAGTCCTGAATTATCGAGCAACTGGTTGAACTCGTCAATTATAAGCGATTGAATTGTTTGGTCCAGTATTTCCTGAACGAATGTAGCTTGCGAAGATAAAACCGGGATCAGCTCAATCTTTGAATGCATGAAATCTAGACAATTAATCATAAAGATTTTCTTGGATTTTTTGGACAGCTTCAGCTTTTTTGAAATCGTGTTGAGCAACTCTAGTGGCTCATTTACCAACAGCCTGAACAGTTCCTTTTCCTCGGACCTCTCAACGTTCAAAAACGTTTTGTCTGAATTGTTGTGGTAATCAAATATGCCTAGAAATTCTGAGTAGAAATCCATGAGCCAGTCCGGCAGACCAAGAACCTCCTCGTCAATCTCTTCGACTTCTGACTCAACTTTGATCTCTTTTATTTTCAGAGATACGAGTATGAGCAGTTTTTTGAACGAGTCTTTCTGCAATTGTGACAAGCTTTCAATTAGACTATTGTCTTGAGTCAGCTTTTGGAACATATGCTTGTAAAGACCCAAAAGCTGATAGAGCTCAACAACAACTCCTGGCTTAGCTTCCTGTCTGAGGATGGTTTCGTAACTACTTTTCAATGGCCGGCTCAAAGAGCCAAGCACCTTGTTAACCACCGTGCGAATCACTGGTAAGAGGTCAGCCGGCACCTCTTGATCGAATGTGAACAAGCTCTCAACTATTTCAAGTTCATTTGCAATGACACTGTGGAGATAAGCCAGCACATCGCTCAAATATCTTTTCGAATCATAAGATGACATGATGAATGATTTGTTAGGCTTCGACCGAATCTCGTTCGAATAGCCGTTCAACTGGGACACGAACTCCTCACTAACAATCCGGGACCTGTTTTCTATTATGTCACTCACTATGGAGTCGAACTCATCTCTGTTTCTCGAAAGAACAGACACTAGTGCACGCTGGAAATTTGCAATAGAATCTGGGTTTTTTGCGAAATCGTTTTGAACATAAATCGAATTCAGGTTCTTGCGTAGAAAATTCGATATCCTCTCATTGGCCTGCTGAAGGTGACTTGACATTTGGTTCATAATGCTGATACCTAGCTTGTCATTGTTCATGCTGAGCAGGATATCACAATTGGAATAGATCTTCTCTACTTTCTGAACCACACTGAAGAACTCTTGATCAACATCCCCATTCTGTAGAACATGTTCCTCATACGCACTCAAAGTGAAAGTAGAGCGGAATGCCACCAACAAGCTCTTCTTGATCTTCACCAAGTCGCGTTTTTCAATCAAATCTTTCACTTCTTTTTTGTACTCTGCCGTGTCCTGCAAACTCTCGCTCAATCTGCCGTCAATTTCTTCATAACAAGAATTCAAGTCATTCAGGTCCTGTTTAATCACATTGAGTTTCTTGACGACCAGATGGAATTTCTTCAGAGATTGAAAATGCTGACGCAAAAGCTCACTTTCTACGTCGCCTCGTAATTTTCGGCGAGCAATCGATCCGAGCATGTTCGGACTGGTCAGATTCTTGTAATCGATATCTGCATCGGCTGATGCAGCATGCTCTTCTGTTCGCGATTGTAGCAACAATAGCGACTGACGGAAGTTTGAGTCAAAATTGGACTGATTCAGAACTCGACTTAAACGTCCGGCAAGCACATTCGAATCTGTAGTTTCCGCCGAAGGCTCCAAAGAAACCAGAGATGTGTTGCTTCCATTGAGCAGTTCTAGAGAAGTTTTGGCGTAGCGGAACGCGGTAGTATCTTCATTTTGGTGCTGGTCTTTGTTTTTTGGCTTTATGTGATTTAGAATACTCAAATTCGAGAATTTCCGAGTCAGGTCTCCTTGAAGCGGTATGTTGGGTATTTTAAGAGGCGCAGACGGCACAGGCAGCGAGCTGGCCTGAGAGTCACCGCTGTAGTCGTCATAGGCGTCAAAGACGAAATCCATCGTGCGAAAGAAAGAACACTAAAACAAAAATGTTTCGCTTAATTATACAACACCCGTACACAAGGTGGATCGTAATTCATTTGAAGTATCTATCTAGGACACTGAGCATCTTGCCATCCTCCTGCAACCGGCCACTATAGCGGAATTGAGTGTTCTGTTGGTCAGTGTTGGAGCGTGAAATCCTGTCCATGTTGGCTACGATGTTGGTTGACGAGAATGTGGGGCCCATGTCGACATTATTAATTGGTGGCAGATGTGCCGGGGGTACCAAGGTTTTCTGTTTGTCGTATGTGGTGTCGGAAGCCCTTCTAAGTGAGGGTGAATTATCCTGCTTTCTGTCGGACTCGTCTACCAGAAGGTTGTCAGGATACAAGCTCCGATCTATTTGTACATGCCTGAGTCTGGGGTCTTGTGTCGGCCTCAGTAGATATCTATTAGCCTCGTGGTCGCTGTTCATGTAGCTTATAAGATGTACTTTGCCTCCATTTTTCATGGTCACAGATAAAGACTGTTTGACGAGACCATTGCGTTTGTATACGTATGATGTGTTGGTGCTCTGGGAAGAGTCGAGCTCCCGGTATACAAGAAATGCTGCATTAACCCTGGAAGCGCTCCAGTTTCTGCTATCTGTCCATCTTTTCATGTTGGATTCGGATTCGTTCCAAATAAACACGGCTCCAGATTTTATTAGTATCATGCGCTCGTAGTCCGAGAGCCGTCTGTTCATTTTTGGGATAATGCTCTGTCTGGCGGCCTCCAAAAGCAAAATAGCGTCTGAGAGAGTAACTACGAGGCCATGGTAGGATTCCATATTTCGAAAACGAGCCAAAAACTTTCAAATCTCGTGCTAAGACATGACGTTCTATTATAAGGTGTCAAAAAAGTGTACACGGTGAAAAGAGAAAGGGGCAGTGCGGCGAATTAGCACTTGGGAAACATAGGCGCTGGTAGACGCAGTAGGCGCTTACATTCTGCGCCCAGTTAGGAAAGTGCCCTCTGTTTGCACTACAAAGCCTATTCCGCTCAAGAGTAGAAGACTAGTCTCGTACTGCTTTTTAGCTCAAGAGACGAAATTGTGTTTAGTGTTCCTCAAGACGCGGAAGTCTAGGCAAGGACCAAAAACAGGCCTGCAACGAATACTCTCTGGCCCAATGAAACATGCCTCTTCCTTTTATTTCGTCTATACATGCATGCATGAGACCAATTAAAATTTGCTGTTCATTATTGTTGGCTACCAGCGTTGCAGATTCTTCGCCAAAAAAAACAAGTCTGCAGAAGATTTTATTAATCGATCTTATGCGCATATCATGCGTCGATATCGTTCGCAAAACACAAACTGGAATTAATTTACATGCTATACAATTTGCAAGGCCCCCAGGGGCCTCCATAAAATAGGGATGGCTTCTAGTTTGCAAACTTAGAAAGTGCTGCGTCATCGTACCGCAGATATTTTCCATTCAGGTCCGCCGGAACTCCTTTCAGGGCGAGATTTGCATACAAAGCTGCAGGAACTTCAGGAGCCAGTAGCTCGTTCTGGAAATAAAGATCCGTAAATCGTTTTAATGCCTCTGATTTCATGTTTTGGCCAAACTTCTCCCGGATATCCTTCTGCATCTCGGTATTTACAACACCGGGGGCAATTGAAATAGTACGGATATTCGGCTCTTCTGCACTGACACTGAAACAAAAATGATTGATCACCGCCTTTGAGGACCCGTACGCACTCCATGCATCTGTGGCCTTCGTTGATGCACCTGATGACACAAAGAGATAGTTCCCCCCGGTTTTGCGCACATATGGTATAGTCTGTTTCACCAGATCCATCACGGAAAACACGTTCACGTCGTACAACCGTTTCACTTTATTGATATCCAGATCGCTGATGTGCTGGACTGGTTCCAAAACTCCCGCATTTAAAACAACAGAGTCAATCTTGCCGAAAGTGGAGACCGTCTTTTGCACTGCTGTTGCTATTAAATTTGTGTCCGTGACGTCTCCAGCTATGCTAAGAACCCGTGAGCCGTACCTGTCAGTCAGTTCCTGCAGTTTATCTTTCGATCGCGCAATGGCAACTATTTTAGCATTGCTGTCTTTCTGTAATATGAGCTTGCAGATGGCAGCACCTAGACCCCTGGAGGCACCTGTGACTATTGTAACTGACATGGCTCGATACGCAGTAGAATACGGTGGAAAATAATTTGATGAACCGCAGAAAGCTTTTATGTAATTCGCTGCTTGGCTAAAATCTTACATAAAATTAAACTTGTGTGAGTCTCGGGAGTCCTCCGGAATTTAGGCAATATACATGGGCTTCGTCTAAGGCACCGTTCTCCAATGTTGCTTTTATATGGGCTAGCATTGACACACTCCAGTTCCTTGGCCCAATCCGCTGAAAAATTATGTTTCTGTAGATCTTACCTGGATTATCTCTGCTGCCATTTCAATCCGGCCGTGATTAGATGTAGAAGGGTTTTAGAATATTTCAACCAAGGTTTTCAGACTACTGATGTCTGCGATGGTTTTCAAACGAAAATATACACAAGTAGACCTCTGGCTCGGAGCTTTGATCATAAGCATGGAGAATCGGCAGCCAAAATCACAGTTCACGGCAGTTTTTATTTGGGACTAGCTATCTTCTATAATGATGTTCTGCCTCTAACAGCATATTTTCATCTTTGTTATATGTTATCGGTTTGTATTTGCAGTGGCAGTTCTCTCCTTTAAATGCTTTAGAGAAAGACAATTGGAGTCCTTAATGCAATTGTGTTGCGTAGCCTATTGTTTTGCGTAGCAGCTGAGCAAATTTAAAAGACTTTGAAGCTGTTCTTGACGTTGTGGTTACTGAGTTCCGATCCATTGGGACCTTATTAGTTGGGAGAAGTGCCAAAAGAAAGCAAAGCTTTGAACGCTAGCTTGTATATATTTTGATAAACCGGATTTTGAGTCAATAAAGGACAAGCGGTAGCGTCTCGTGTATGACGATTTCATCACGGGCAAAGCACAGAGGAATGGTAGATTTCTTTTTTCATCTACCTAGAATAGCTTCTTTCATTTGCTTGTGGCTGTAATAACTGTATATCAGCAAAAAGCTACGATTAAATTATAGATAATGCTACAATGCACGGAATCTGATACGCTTGAAAAGAGTGTAAAAACACAAAAAGCTCAATACGGGGCAAATCGTGAACTAATAATCCGATAAACTTACTATTATGCTCCTCTCTCAACCGCTCAGCGCAATTGGTTCAGAATCGCCACAAGCCGCTCCGTAAGTATGATAGATCAGAGAGGTCGAAATGGACATTGTGGCAAGAGATTTTATGAGTGTATTATCTGGAAGTACTAGTCGCCTTTTGGTCGATGCATAATCAAGGCGAAGCTGGTCACGTGAATGATATGTCAATCTCTTACCTAATCCTTTGAACAAAAAACTTATCAAATAATAAAAACAACAGCCAACGTAATCTCTGAGCAATTTTCTCATACGTCTTCTCCCCAACATGAGCAACGGAGGCACTCAATACGAATGGGCCAAAACCATTCCGTGCAGAAACATAAAAATACATGGCTTTTGCAAATGGGAGAAAAAAGGCTGTTCCTTCAACCACGACGATCCCTCCAAGAAAAATGGAAGCGAGGTCAAATCCACTCCGCAGGCCGTGAAGCCAATATCAGAACCAATGTCTGCATCGACCACGCTATCCTCAGACAGCTTTTTGGGAGCCAAGGCCGGCGTCACGCCTTCCAAGCCGAGTATTCTTGGCTCCTCACCTTTGGCAGTGCAATCCGATACAGCGGATTCCGGGGCGCGCAAGAAGTTCAACATCGATACTCCTTCGTTCACGCCGACAGGATCGCTTGTAAACAAGTTTGCTGACCTATCGTCGAAGCTGGACGACATCCCCAGCTTCTCTCCATCGGCAAACGTTGCCGCTCCGGCTTCGGCAGGTGTTCCATTCGACCCTCAGTCTGCCCCGATTTTCACGCCCGGGATGCCAATTGGCGACCCAACGCACTCAGCTGCCGAGCAAGAGCCGTTTTACCAGCAAACGAACCCATTCCCGATCAACTACCATTTGTATGCTGGCCAGCCCCCTCCCCACATCCAGCACCACCTCAAGCCGCATGAAAGAACCGTTGCCGATCTTTTTATTCCAAACGACCTGAGAGAAGAGATACAGAAAAAGAATGAGGAATCGCTCAGAACCATTTCTGCTACACAATCTGGCCTTCCTATTCACGTTAACCAATACCACAGCCTCTGTCCCATAGACCAGAAATTTGAAACAAGCGCAAAATCGTTTGGATACATGTCGTCGGTTTATAAAGTCATGTCGAATCTAGATGGAAAACTGTACACTATGAGACGACTGGAAAACGTCCCTATTTCCTCTGAATCGTGTTTCCGTTCTGTGAACAAATGGCGATCTCTGAACTGCGCCAACGTGGTTAAGTTATACGAAGTGATGACTACGCGTGCATTTGGCGACAACTCTTTGATACTCATATACGATTACTATCCGATGTCGCGAAATTTGTTGGAGGCTCATTTCTTCAAAATAGGAGACAAGGATCCAGAGCTGATTACAGAACCATTATTATGGAACTACTTGGTGCAACTCACAAACGCAGTGAGCGAGGTTCATAAAGCAGGTTTGGCTGTGAGGGTGTTCGATCCAACAAAAATAATAGTGACCAACAAGGGCCGCATAAGGCTGTCTGCCTGCGGGGTGTACGATATATTAGAGGCCTCATCCAAAGAGGGCCCAACAGAAAGCTTCAAAGAACTTCAAGCGCGCGACATACAGGGAATGGGTATTTTGATTTACGATTTGGCAAAATCTCTTGTTTTCGCCAAAGTGCAGAACCTCAGTGCGGAAGAAGGGATTCCTAAACTAACGGTTTCTGACAAATTAAAGGATGTTCTCAAGAAGCTCATTGGAAACGAGGTCTCGCTTGACCAACTACAGCAGCTCATTGCTCCAGAAATACTCTCGGTTATGAATGGTGTGCAAGATTCTGCGGATTACATGGAGGCATGTCTATCGCGTGAAGTTGAAAATGCACGTCTCGTTCGTCTTTTCGCCAAATTAGATTTTATATGCGACCGTCCCGAGTTTGTGAAAGACGGGTCATGGTCTGAGACTGGCGAGCGCTACCCAATCAAGCTATTCCGTGACTACGTATTCCATCAAGTGGACGAAAATGGGAAGCCTGTATTAGATCTAACTCATGCGATCAATTGTCTGAATAAACTCGATGCCGGGAGCAAAGAGACTATTCTGCTGGTGTCACCGGATGAAATGAGTTGTCTCATTGTGAGCTATGAGACACTGAAGGAACTGGTGGAAAAAAGTTTTCGTCAGCTACGCTCCTAAAGCTAATTTTAACCGCCAAAATTTTCTTTTCTCTCATGTCCACTCACTATCATCTGTCACAGCTTCAATGCAAGCTGTTGGAGCTGAGAGTGCATTTCCACCATTGGTGGAATAGCGGGGGAGGAAGAAGAGACCCTGAGAAACATCCGAATATTCTTACCAGGCGGCTGAAAAACATGCCTTTGATATCTCTTCGAAATGCCGAGTTTGCCGCGTATTTGATCTCGTTAGGTATTGACAAAGATACTGGTCTACACCTTGGGGTTCCCATCAGTGAATTGGCCAAACGTCACGAACGATTAAGACAAACAATCAAGCTTCTGGGATTAGGTCGGAGTGAGCCGCATCAGAAACATAGCGAAACCAACGAGAAGCCCGAATCTTGGCGTCTGGATAACAGTTATTATCTACGAGTCGTCGAGAAGCTTGACGCTCCGCCAAAGAACGAGATAAATGAGACAGCGGATGCAGAATCTGACGAAGAGCTAGTTGATGAGCTTGCAACAGAAAAGCCTCACAACCTAGAGAGTACACCTGTTGACGAAGCACAACAAATGCGGGACCAGGAAGAAGGCATGGTAGCACAGCAGCAGCTTGATCCGCAAGGATTGGGCCATCCTCGAAGAGACCGATCATTTGCTAGATTTTTACCATTCAGAGCCAAACGAAAGAAGTTCATCAAGACTCCCCCACTTGAACAAGAAAATGAGCCGCCACCGCCACCGCCATCAACAAAACCTCCCAGAAAGGTCTCGATCTCACTGCCGACGCAGTATCTGCAGTATGATGAGCCCGATTCAGGGTCGGTGTTTGGGGAGTCGCTTTTGCGCGATATCGATAGACCCAGCATTGGCAGGCGGGCAATTTCGGACGTAACCAACGCTTCTACAACAGTTTTCCGGCCTTTCAAAGCCATTTTGAAACGAGAGCTAGTAGAGAACCCAAAGCCTTCATCCAGGTCGCTGCGCCCGACTTCAGAAAGGACCCCCAACTTTGCGCCAGGAAAAAAAAGTACCCTTCCTGGGTCACATCTTTTTACCACCATCATCAACGATATATCGCTTAACGCTGCACTTCAGGCCAACGGCCTGGCGCCGAGGCGTAGGATTCCGCGCGAAGTGAAACCGGATTTCACAAATTTGAACGATTACTCGTCGATAATGAACAACGAGAATAAGGCTCAGAAAGTAAACAGACAAGAGCGGCCGATGTCTCTGGATTCCTGTTTGAATCAAACCATCATAATAGAAGCAAAGCCGGAACTGATTGAGAAGTCGTCACCCCTAGCCTTGGTTCTGGAAAGTTCAGAGAATTACCCATATTCGACTTTGGGGTACGGGATGGACATTATTACCAACTACCAATATGCAGATGATACGCTTTCGAGACAGGACGAGAGCCAGCTTTGCCAAAAACTGATGCTGGACAAGGTGGACATGGTGAAACCGAACGATCCCACTATTCTCTTACCGCACCTACAACATTTGGAGTGATACCGAGACTAAGTAATGCTCAATAAAAAAATGGAATTAGAAAAAAATAACCACACGCTGGCTCTGCGGCTGACGCACAAATTTGTTTCAGAATCCAGGCTGCTTATTGTTAATGTTTCAGAGCTGGTGTAGTAAATAGGGAGACAGATTCAGGGAGAAAGTTCTCTGTCTGATATTTGCAAATGGGCTGCAATGCCAGCTCCTCCATCAACGAGAACGATCCAGAGTATCTGGAGAAGCTCCAAAACTCCAAAGTCGAGCAGATGCTCATGCAGAGCCAGCAGACAGAGAAGAACCAGGTCAAACTTTTGTTACTTGGAGCAGGAGAAAGCGGTAAGAGTACTGTTCTCAAGCAGATGAAACTGTTGCACAAAGGTGGATTCACAAGCCAGGAACGTATGCTCTACGCAAACGTGATCTGGGCCGACACCGTGGGGTCTATGCAGACTCTTATAATCCAAGCTAGAAAACTGGGCATTCCACTAAAATGCGACCTTCCAGGCACCGAGCTCAATCAGTTCAAAAAGAAAGTGCTAGCGTATAAAGCACTGGACAGTATTGATGCTTCGAAGGCTGGCGGAGTCTCATTTCTGAAGAATTACGTGCTCAAGTACAGCGAAAACGGAGCAGCCAAACGCAAGATGATGAGCACCGGTAAGGCCAATGCTGGATGGGAAGGAACAATCGAAATCGAAGGCGATCAAGAGGAATCCGAGGAGGTTATACCAGGACTATATGAGTTGTCGGGCAGAAACGAGATTGATTTCTCCAAGGCTGAAATTGCTGAGGCGATCCAAAAGCTGTGGCAGAACGACGACGGCATTCAGACGTGTTTTCAGAAAAACCATCTGTTCCAGCTCGAAGGATCCGCGGCCTACTATTTCGAACACGCCCACTTGTATGCGCAAGAGGATTATCTGTGCACGGACGAGGACATCTTGAAAGGGAGGATCAAAACCACAGGAATCACAGAGACTAACTTCTTACTGAACGATACCAAGTTCAAAATTCTGGACGCAGGTGGGCAGCGATCCGAGCGGAAAAAATGGATCCACTGCTTCCAGGATATTACGTGCGCACTTTTCGTTCTTGCCGTTAGCGAATACGACCAGATGCTGTTTGAGGACGAGCGGGTGAACAGAATGCACGAGGCAATAATGCTTTTTGAGAGTCTGTGCAACAGTAAGTGGTTTGCCAATACTCCGTTTATTCTCTTCCTGAACAAGGTAGACTTGCTTGAAGATAAACTGCGGCGTTCGCCTCTCCGCAAATACTTCCCCGATTATAAGGGTAAAACCAACGATCTGGAGGATGCCTTACAGTACTTCGAGAAGCTCTTTTTGAGTCTCAACCGGGCAAACAAGCCGATCTATGTCCACCGCACTTGCGCCACAGACACGGAGTCGATGAAGTTTGTGCTGACCGCAATCACAGACATGATTATTCAGCAGAATTTGAAGAAGAGTGGATTGATGTAAAAAATACTGGGGATCGGAAAAAATGGCTCAACATGTTTACTAATATTTTGATCGCATTATTTGCCATCTATTCATTCAAGTTGCTGTTTCGAAGATTTTTTTCTACTCCGATGTCTAAGGAAGCTATCGAAAAAGTTCAGAAACTCATTGCTTCTCACAAGGTCTTCGTTGCCTCCAAGACCTACTGTCCATACTGTTCGGCTGCCAAGAGGACTTTGAGCTCGATCGTCAAAAACGACCTGTTTATTATAGAGCTCAACACCATTGAAGATGGTGACGAAATGCAGGATGCTCTTCAGGAGATTACGGGACAAAGAACCGTGCCAAATATCTTCATTGGCGGCGAGCACATCGGAGGCAACTCCGAACTGCAATCTCTGGGCGAATCCAAGTTGAAGGAGAAGCTGAAAAAGGCTGGCGCTATTTAGATTGCCGTTGACTTTACAATATTCACAGTATATAGCTAGTTATATTATAATCTCCTGTTTTATTTTGGTGTAATTGTGGTGTCTCACATTAATTTCATTTTTTCCTTATCTCCTCATGGGCTTCCTGGACAACCATTCGTACACTGCCGTCACAACTCTGGCAAACAGAACCATTGAATTGTCTCCTTTGGATTCAGAGGATGCGTGCATGGAAATGGATCTTCCTGAACTGCTTGAAGCCATCCGTTTGCAGCGTAATTCTTTGGAGCCTGGTCCTGTAGAGGTGGCCAGGGCAATTCGCAAAAAATTGAAATACGGCTCATTCAAGGAACAGTACAATGCGTTGAAGCTTCTAGAACTTCTGGTCGCTAATGGTGGTACAGAATTGAACCAATTGTACCATGACTCAAAGCTGCTCGACCGCCTCAAGTACATCATTGTGACCCGTCCCGAAGTGTCAGGGGTCGACCCACGTATTCGCAAACGTGCCACACAGCTGGCTGTTGGTTGGCGAAACGAGCATGCCAGAACAGGGAACGCAGGAGGTCTTTTTTCGCTTGCCTCTTCCGCATCAGTGGCACGAGCTGTGAAACCTAAACGGAAAGTTCCAGACTTCATGAACGACGAGGCTGATGAAACCCCATTTGAGGAGGTTTATGAGACGCCTGAAAACGAGTCGGATGATAGTTCACATAGCAGACGTCACGGCTCTTCCAGAAGTGCTTCGCGGTTGGTGTCTTCATTGACAAATCGGGAACTTGATAAAAAGTACAGGATTCCGCAGATTAACTACGAAAAAGAGACTCCCAGGATATACCAGACGATTGCCGAAGCCAACGTTCTCTCAACAACGCTAACAAATACCCTCAAAACACTGGAACCCGATGAACTCTCTATCCACTCGGCCAAGGCGAACAGGGATTTCGACAACTGCAGAGCCATCAGAAGAAAGATTTTGAGATATTTGCAGCTAGTCAATAAAGAGGAGCTCCTAGGGGCTTTGCTCAAGTGTAATGATGACTTGGTGCGGGCCCTACAACTTTACGAAGAGATGGCTGAGCCGCGAGATGGCGGAGAGACTGACTCGCTTGCAGATTACGAGACCATCAACAGCGAGAGAAGAGAGTCGAGCGTTGCACCTGCCACAGGCACTTCTCAGTCATACCGGTCTGAGATTAACGAGTTCGACCCTTTCAGCGACCACAACGAAGTTGCTGTCCCTGCGGAATGGAAATAATATAGTTTCGAAATCACTGGCTGCTCGTGTTCAAATATTCGAAATCCTAGCACTCTCATTAGCTAAATTTTTTTTTGTGCCAACTCTCTAAATCATGATGCTTCCCATCAAATCGCAGTTTTCTCGCCCGCTCTCGTTCAAATTTCCGAGACTTCCGCGTGTGAAGCTTGAGGACTTGAAGCTCAAACCGCAGCCACCAGGAAATATTGTCGGAACCGTCAACGACGCTTACGTGCCGCCTGCTCCCAATGAATACCACGGCTCGTATCATTGGGCCTACGAAAGAATCGTGACATTGGGGATGGCTCCGCTGATGTTGGCGCCGTTTGTTGGTGGCGTGGAGTATCCACTTGTTGATGCAGGCATGGGGATGTTGCTTCTGTGGCATTGCAAAGCCGGCTTCCAAAGCTGTATTATTGACTACATTCCACTGAGAGTTTACGGTATATGGCACAAGCTAGCAATGGGGCTTCTGAGCGCAGGTACCTGGCTGGCCCTCTACGGACTATATGTGGTGGAGACGGAACAGAATGGACTGTGTAACATTATTTATAGCCTTTGGCAGGCCTGAAGATTCATTAATAAATATGAAACCGAATCTGGTTATTATTCCATTATTCGCTAGTTGCGCCATTCTAGCGGTCTTTCTCTTTCTGTGTGTCTATCTGGGTAATCATGATAATCATAGTCCCTTCTGTATGGAGCGTATCTATAGTCATAGTCTCTATAGCCTCTATAGCCGCCCCTTGCTCTGCTTCTGTAACCTCCCCTGCCTCTGTATCTTGAAGAAGATTTGTATCCAAAAGTCTTATTAGGATAATTGAGCATCTTATGAGTGGCAACGAGGAATTCTTGGCCTTCTTGCTGTTTGGAAGGCTGTTTTACGTATGAGACCTTCCACACAGCATCTCTAGGCCCTTTATTTTCCTGGTCAATCCAATGCTCTGTAGCCTTCACGGGAATAAAATCAATGTACAACGGGTGCCTAGCAACTCCGTCCTCTTGGTTTGTATCTTCTTTAGGAAATTTGGTTCCATTTAGATTCTTCTGGATCGAAACCGCACCAGCAACGTCCGATACTATCACGATGCAGTGGCTTCTGCGGTTATTGAGCCATGCGCGCTCTATAGTCGAGTTGGTTTTCGCTGCTTGTTCATTCAATAAATCCTGGAATTCTTGGTTGTCAAAAGGCTGCCTAAGGTTGGCGATTATCAGAGCCCGTGTCTCGTTGAATTGTGGTGTTTCACGGATCTCATAAATAACGTCGTCTTTGATCGAGCGATCGTAATCTTTGTCTTCTTGAGGCTCACTCATGGTTTCCAAAAGAAAAAAAAACAGAGAAAAATGGAAAAAAAAAGTATTTCTAGGCAGTGCAGAGGCGAAAAATCCACACCTTTGGTTTCTATATACAATCATAGCTTCAGGTAAGATCGGACAGCAATAGCTTGTTTGTGCAAAGAGATCTTCTTCTCAAGCAATTTCGAGTTTCCTCTGTAAACGTTCATGATTTCTTCGGCAAGACGCACAGGGAAGTCGTTTGAAGCACGGCTATCACTGGCCTCCAAAATCCATTTGAACCCAGTACGCATCCGCTGTCTAGGAGTCAAGGCGGCAGGAATAGAGTAGTTCTTGGCAAATCCAGTTTTCACAACGCGTGTCACCACCAATGGAGCCACAGTGTCTAGAACCTGCTTCAAAATTTCCACAGGGTTCTCCCTAGTTTCAAGATAAACCAGATATAGGGCTTGGTTTATGTATCTTCTTGCCCGCTGTCTTTTACCTCCGTGCATAATCATGTGAGCACAGAACCGGAGGGTGTCATCTTCAGCCTCGTATCTTCTTGAACGGTTTATTTTCTGAGCCTCGGCGAGCTGTTGGGGAGTTGGTTCACGGTCAAGAAGATGTGGTGCTTCCAGGTGTACTTTCGAGGAAAGTGGCTCATACTCATCATTTTTCAGCTCCTGCTCCAACTCGTGCATTGTTTGGATGAAAAGATCATAGTACTTGTTTATCTGAGCCACTTCGGGACTTAATTTAGACTGGTCTTCTTTGGCAAGGCTCCTGATCTCCTTAATTAGCGGATTCAGCACAACCTCTTTCTGGTATTTAATCCTTGCTTTGTTAACTTTGGCCTGCAGCCTCTGATATTGTTCGCTCTTGGTGTCTTCCAAAAAGTCCTTCAATGGTCCCTCGGTGGTCAATATGTCGTGCACTTCAGCAACGACTCTTTCGTCATTCTCGTTGTCGCGAGCTTTTTGCAGGAAAACACCCAGAGATTCGTCAATGGAATCGAATATCTCCAGATCCTCATCTTTCTCGGCAATACGCGCATATGCCACCAAGGTTTCTGCACCCAATGGCTCGAATTTTGCACGTTCGTCTTCAAGGACATTTTTGACAGCCTTGAATTCACGGCTGTCCAGGTCATTCAAAACTTTCCAAATTCCGGAGGTCTCGTCGGCAAGTAATCTGTTCAGTTGGATGTAACGTAATTTTCGTTCATCTCCCTCCGCAAGAGTCCGAACTTCTGCATAAAGTGTTCCAAATCTTGGATCAATTTCACGTAGGATTTCGTAGAGATCGCTTTGCTCAAAACTAGAATACCTATCCATAATGTCAAATATCTCGTTGATCGAGATGGGCTCGGTATCCTTCTTTTGTTTGTAGTTCACGAACTCGACGTATCTTTTTTTAATCAGCTCTTGCAATTGTCGTCTCTTGTCTTCTGACCAGGTTCCATGACTTAAGCGTGATTCCAGCTGTTTTTTCTGCTCTGCAGAAACACCACGCAACAGCTGAGAACGTAGATCCTGCGCCAAGGGAGCATCGGTTTTCACCAAAAATTGGTACACTGGGGAACTCTCCAGATCATCGGACTCGAATTGCAGCATTTTGAGCATATCACCAACAAGGTCCACTTTGAAGGGCAAGCTCATTTGTCTTTCAAAAGATGCAATGTTGTCATTTATAGCTTGCTGGGATTTCTGGGCCTGGCTAACCTGTGCTTGCACTCTCTCGTCTAATTGTTTACGCAGTTCCTCGACGTCTACTTCGTTCTGTTTCGCAAGAAGTCTCAATTTTAGGTCAATCAGACGTTCCTGCTCGGCGCGGACCTTCTGCATGTGCTGATAGAACTTCGAGTTCTGGAACGTTTTCTCGGTGTAGAAGCTATCCTTCAGAAGGAATCCATCATCATCATACCCAATCTGCTCGATGATATTTCCATATTCCTTTTCAATATCGAGGGGCGAGTCGCTGTACCAGCGGAGCTGTCTTTTGGGCAGGCTCCTAGTCCGCACTATCAATCTTAATGCTCTCGTTAACATGCTTGACTGGAAATACCACTAGTAAATCGAAAATTTTTTCGACATATATTCAACCGTACACCTTTACACCAACACATATCTATGAAGAGACATCCTTTACATTGGTCTTCAACCTGATGCTCTCGACTTCTTGCTCTAGGTCGGGGAACTCAGATTTGATTTTGGCACTCAAAATGTCTCGAAATTCTTGGAAAGCAATCGATTTTCCGTACAAATATTGGTTGATCTTTCGCACCACATCAACAAACTCTCGCGTGTATATGTCCGGATTGCGTCCGTCTTCAATGTAATTCACAATCTCTAATGGGATAGAAATATCCTGCAGATCCTTTTTCGACGAGATGGACTGCAGTTGACTAATGAGCTTGTTGATATTGTTCGAGAGCCCAATTTTGGCCTCCTCTGTGCCCTGGAAATCGTGCACTTGAACTCCGAGATGTATCAGTGTTTCAATTATTGAGGAGAGCTCGGCTTCCACTGCTGCCAGCGGCGATTCTATGATAGGATTGGCAAGTTCAGTAGTCATTAGCTAAATCAAATTGGTTTCTAGGAAAATCTGTCGATCGACGCGTCGCATCACATGACATCACCAATAAATATTATAAATCAAAAAAAAAAACTATCACTGGAAAATCAAGCTCAGCAGTACTATTACTAATGACGGAAGACATCGTAATCACAGAGTACCAGCTTCAGCATCTCAATAAGATGCTGGCAAAGCTCAAACCACAAGAAATCTTGCAATGGTCTATTGTCTCATTCCCCAACTTGTTCCAAACAACAGCCTTTGGTTTGACAGGACTTTGTATCCTCGATATGTTGGATAAATTGGATTTGGACCCTGTGGATTTGGTATTCATTGATACCCTATACCACTTTCCCCAAACTCACGATCTCATAGCAAAGGTCAGGGCTAAATACCCAAAATTCAAGCTTCATATATATAAACCTAAGGACTGCGATACCGCTGAGGAGTTCCAGCAAAAACACGGCGACGAGCTCTGGTCTAAGGACGAACTCAAGTACGATTTTCTGGCTAAGGTGGAACCTCTCCAGAGAGCATATAAAGAATTGAAGATCAAGGCCGTGTTCACCGGAAGAAGAAGGTCACAAGGAGGGGCACGTTCGCAACTACCCATCATTGAAATTGACACCAATCTTAATGTGATCAAAATCAGTCCTCTTGCAAGCTGGGATTTTAAGATGGTTGAAAGTTACATCAAGGAGCATAATGTGCCCTACAATGAGTTGCTAGATCTTGGGTACAAATCGATTGGAGATTGGCACTCGACAGAGCCGGTTGCCGATGGAGAGGATGAGCGTGCTGGAAGATGGAAGGGCAAAGCCAAGACCGAATGCGGAATTCATCAAACGTCAAAGTACCAGCAGTTTCTGAACGAGGTTAAGTAGGTGCTGCCAACATCCTTGCACGGAGTTGTACGGGGTTGGAATTTTTGGCACACGCCCTCCTATGTAAAAAGAAAAGAACTCGCGCAAACCATTTTCAGACTTTGTTTGCTTTAATTGTGAGTAAGAAGAGGTGAGTAGCATTCAGCGGGCGATCTACAAGCGTACGTTCCAGGAAGAGAGTGAGAACACAAAAGTTTTGCTCAATGGTGGCGGAGTTGTATGTCGCGAATACCGAGATTGTGAAAGGGGTTGATTTCAACAGATCTGTTTCTTTGCGTGTGTTGCACTAGAAGCAACAGTTCAGAGATCATGACACGCATGGCTACGAACTGGATCAAGCAGTCGATGTTTCGGGTGGACAGATCGGTGGACGGATCTAGTTGAGAATTTATAACGTGCACCACCCATTTCAGAATAAGCCATGTCATGCCGTGTAATAAAATGACAGCGTCACATGGAAAGTTGGAAATACAAACAAAAGATCGACAGCCACCAAAAAGAGTCTTTCCCCTTTGTGTTCATAATCCACCTGCCCGCAAAAAATATCATATACTAACGCGCACAAGATGGCCGGACTAGCAGAGATCAGGAAAAAGCTGGTTATCGTCGGTGACGGTGCCTGCGGTAAAACGTGTTTGTTGATCGTTTTTTCTAAAGGTGCTTTCCCAGAAGTTTACGTCCCAACGGTGTTTGAGAACTACGTTGCCGATGTCGAAGTTGATGGCAGAAGAGTTGAGCTGGCTCTTTGGGATACCGCCGGCCAAGAAGACTACGATCGTCTCAGACCACTCTCGTACCCAGATTCCAACGTCATTTTGATATGTTTTTCGGTGGACTCTCCAGACACTTTGGATAACGTTCAGGAGAAGTGGATTAGCGAAGTTTTGCACTTCTGCCAAGATGTTCCAATGATTCTTGTTGGATGCAAAATCGATTTGAGAAATGATCCAAGAACAATCGAGAGATTGGCACAGTTGAACCAGGCGCCTGTCTCTACCAGTGAGGGACAAGCCGTTGCTGAGAAGATTAAGGCCCTGACATACCTTGAGTGCTCCGCCAAGCTGAATCAAGGTGTGAGAGAAGTTTTTGAAACCGCCACCAGAGCCGCTCTGGAGACAAAGGAGAAGAGAGAGAGAAAGAAGAAGTGTGTCATTTTGTGATTACACTACATGGCCTTTGCGTGTTCTTGCGAAGCTACATGGTTCTCTGCTTTATATGTTTTGATCCATATTTTTTATAAGTTAATTGGGTCTACGAGCACAGCCAAATTAGATCTAAAAAAAATTATATTTCACACACATAGCCATGGTAAAATCAGTTCCAGTTCCCTTGGTGAACCTCGACTTTGGCACCGATCCCCTCTTCAGCTTTAGTGCACATCCAAGCAAAAATGCTCTTGTTGTTGGTTCCGGCACTGGACAAGTCAAGTTGCTGAAATATGACGTTGAAAAGTTGGAAAATCACATATTTCACTCTGCAGACAAAGGATGCGCACAGATCGATGTCAGAGCTAAGGAGCTTCAAGGATCAGACTGTGTCACTATTGGATGGCGCACAAAGCGTCACCAGGGTAGTTGCAGATCCATTATATTCGACACAAATGGTGAGTATGTGTACTCCGCTGGTCTCGACAAGCAGATAAAAAAAGCCAAAGCGGAAACAGGCGTGGTGGTCGCAAAGTCAGAAATCCTTGCTTCGAACATCACCAAGATCTTGACTGTTCCTAATAAAAATTTTCTGATAGTGGGAACGGAAGATGGTGACGTTCTCTGTCTTGACTCCAACACACTGAAGCAAACATACCAAATAAAAAAAGTTCACGAGGATGCAGTCAATTCTATAAGCCACTACGTGCCAAAATCTGATTATCAGTTTGTCACTACCGGGTCCACGACTCTCTCGCATATAGACATCAGGAAAGACCAACCTCTGCACCAAAGTGAAGACCAAGAAGACGAGCTCTTATGTTCTGCATGGTTGGATCCTACTAATCCCAATACCATGCTCTGTGGAATGGGAGAAGGTGTGGTCACTGTGTGGAGGCCTGAAATGAACGATTTTGCGGACCAAATCTCCAGAGTCCGCATCAGCAAGGAGCCTGTCGAGTCTCTTATTTCTGCGCTGGATAGCGAGGGTGATCATTTTTGGGTGGGTTCGTTTGACGGAACCGTCTCGAGGGTTAACATCAGATCGGGAAAGGTGGTTGAGAAAAGAGCGCACAGTGAGACTGACGAGGTGTCATATTTGGACCTGGATCATGAGTACAGATTGATAAGTGCGGGCATGGATAGATTAACTATATGGAGGGAAACTGGGGATGTCGACTCAAGCAGCGACGAGGAGGATGAGGAAGAGATCGACGAGACTGCTAAAAGTGAAGACCTCAGTTCAGAGGAGGAGGAGGAATGGACAGGTTTTGGTGATGACGAAGGGTCTGGCAACGAGCCTGACGTTTCGTCTGCGTCGTTTGAAGAAGAAATAGACTCAGATTCAGATTCAGACTCATCTTCAGAAAACTCCGACTCTAACGATGACAGGCCCATTGTGCCTTTGATCGAAATCAAGGAAAAGCTTCTTGCTCAGCTGGAAGACTCTGACGAGGAGCCGCCTAAAAAACGGAAAAAACAGATGAAAAAAGAGACCAAGAAGCAAAAAGCACACACGCAGGAGCATGGGATCAGGAAATTCGACGGTCTGTAATCATTGACGAGGCACTCCCAGCTCATAATATGCCTGTCTACAATCGCAGGCCAGTCGGCGAATTGATCGCTTTGGGTCATCCAGAACTTTGACAAGTCGCGTGATGATATCGTGTTTGTAAGGAACTAATAGATGCAAATCAAACTTTGTCAGTGAAAGCAAGCATTCCAGCGCGTTTCGTTTCACCGCTTCATTCTTGTGCTTGTTGACAATTTCCAGTAAATTCGGTATGACAGTCGATAAGTGACGAGAAACAGATTCGTCTGATTCGTTGACTGCTATGGTTAAGATGGATAACGATGCAGTTACAATGACGTTGGAATCGGTGCTCAGTGACCTCAAAACAAGTGGTAGTAGGGTCTCAACATGCGGAATAATAATTGACTTGTCGACATATTTGAGCATGAGTGACAATGCCAATAAATACGTCTGGTTCTTTGTGGACTCATATTTGGAGACCAGTAAGGGCAGCACTGTATTGAAAAGTTTCTGTTTGTAGAGCAAGCGCACATTCACATTGAAAACAGTAGGCTTATTGAAAGGGCCAGCTTTCTTAAACTGCTGGTAGCATTCCACGTCTGCAACCAGTATTTCGAGAATCTTGGGCGTAAACATGTGAAGCTCTTCACTGTCAAATAAAGAGAGAAGATACTCTTCGTATGCTTGAGCGCATGCGTGTTGTTTCATGATCAGAGCTTTTCCAACCCAAATGAGCACCTCCAAGGTGTTGGCTCGTTCCTTAACGGGGTTGGAAGAGTCAATCAAGGCTTTCTTAAAGTCTCCCAGGATTGCAGCCAGGTATTCGGAGTCGTCAACCCACTTATTGACAACAAGCGAGATGCATTGCAACACTGATAATCTTGAGAACTGCACCGTCGAATGGTTCGCCTTGAACAGTAGATCAAGGAAAGACGAGCTCTCAATTGGAAACTTCACATTTTTATCGACTGCCGAAATAATTTTAGTGAAAATAATGAAAGGCAGCTGGTTTCCGTTGATGATATCCAGCGGTTTCGATAACTGTTTGGCAACAAGAGGTGTAGGCTTGCCGTTAATAAACAAATCGATTGCGTCGCGCAAAATCTCCTCGTGCTGAGAGGTGTCTGTTTGCAGCAAAATCTTTTTAGCAACACGTCCTGTATATTCCAGAACCACTTCATCGGTATTAGTTTTGTCAGTGTCAAGAATGACATAAAAGAGCCGCGGGACTAGGCGTCTCATGTTGTCGTTCGTGGAATCCTTGGCATTCAATTTGTCAGAAATCTTGCATAAGGTCAATAACACTGATCGGACATAATTTTGGGACGCTGACTTGATCAAAATTTCGATCTTTCCAACAAGCCGCAACATAACAGAGTCGATAACCAGCTTTGACTCCGAAATGGAAACCAGTATATCAAGCACACGAGACTTGGTGTTTAATAGATCCAAATCCGTGTCGTCTTCTGGAAGGAACGAGAATAACTTTGGAACAGTTATCTCAAGCACGGCTGATGGGTAGCTTACGGATAACGACTTGAAGCACTGAAGTATTTGTTTTTCCGTCACACTGTTGTCATCTTCTAGGAGAACATCTGTCACAAGTTGAGTGATCAATTGAGCTTCCTGATCGGCAAGGAAGAAATTCAGTGAGACGACCTTGGCCACAAGTTTCACGGCTAAACATCTGAGTGACACCTCAACCTTCGATGTCGACAATAAAGCTTTATTGAATAGCATCAGAAGATCGTCTTTAAACTCATACATTGGATTGTTGGGGTGAATTGATTCTTCTTTCTCGTTGAAGAGAATATAATAGCTGTCAATCATGAAAGAGACGTTTGTCAATATTTGTCTTTGGGTTTTGATTGTCAAATCATCCGATACCAATAGAAGGGGCATCACTTGGGGAATAAGCAGATTGTAAACATTGATATTAGCCGCGCATATAGCAGCTAAAATTACCGTGGACTGCTTGGACTTATTATCATCGTGATTCTTGATATTCTTCGCCAGCTCGTCCATTATCACATAAAGATAATCCTTGATGTTTAGATCCTCGTCCACGTTTTGCAATTTCTTGCTCAACGATTGGAAGATCTTCAAGACTGCAGGAATGATCCGTTCATCTTCATTTTCTGAGTTCTCATAGTACGTGAACAACTGTGTCAGTGTCTCAACAGAAGCAAGCTCGTTATGTAAAATCTCGTATTTGAGGGAATTCCACAATGTGATCCAGTATTCTTCCACTGTTGCTGTTGAGTATTTCTCGACGCATTGATTAAGTGTCACAAGAACGTCAAGTTTGACAGTTGGAGAGGTAGCCGAGAGCTTCTCAAGTAGATTGGGAAACGCGTCTTTGGCATAGAGGTCGCTGGCACTGAGACAGTTGCGGAGTGTCTGTTTAAGCTGGTCTCCAGTGATTTTATACGGGTCGTTCGCTGGGGCCCTGAAAGAGATAGGGAAATAGCAGAACACGGCATCAAACATATCCTCAGAGAACTTACTGATGTCGAAATTCTGTGCAATCAGCGCTGACAACTTGAACGACAGCAGCAAATTTTTGGGGTCCTTTTCATTCTTGGAAACGTGCAAGTATGTTTTTATAATTTCATCGTTGTATTGTTTTGCCGCTGCCAAGTGGGCAGACAGCACAGAATCCAAAACCTCAAATCCAAAGTACCTTACGCTAGCTAACTTGCCCAATGGGGAGTATTTTTCCACCAGGAAGCCTAGTAGGTGAGGGATTAAGTTAGGATCGAATTGGCTCATCAAAACAAGCGAGCTCAGACCCTTGAGCACTTCTCTCAAGCAAGGCTCGTCATCAAGCTTCGACAAATAAAAATCCAGCAGCACCTGGACGTCTTTGGCATACATCTTTTTCCTGTTTAGGTTGCCCAAAACAGAACTGAGAAGGGTGATGGCTCTGGTCCTGATAACGTTGGAATCATCCGTGAGATGTGTACCTAGACCACGAATGAACTCTAGAAGCGTAACTTGATTGGTTTCGATGAGCTCACATATATTTCTCACTGCCTGTTGACAACCTGCCGTTTCGGTGTTGTCTGCAACCATGAACTGGTTGACAGGTGTCTGTAAAGGCATGATTAGTAAGATTCGAATATAGAAGAAAATATTTTCTCCGAAGTCTTCTTCTCCGAAATCTTTTTCATCTCCATGTTCACTAATCACACCTGTTTGCACGTTTCGAATTTGGCCAAGTCTGTTGGTTGGTACACCAACACTTTTGCCATGAAGGCAATCAAGCAATTGGAGACTGCAAAGTATACTTCAGTCTTTGTTGCGTTCGACAGCGTTGGCCACCCACATGCAGGCCAACCACTGGCCCAGAGAGACGGAGTGGTCGAGCTGCGTGAGCTTAAGAACTCCAATGCCAAGGTTTACGACGGAAACTCGGAACCATATAAAGGATTCGGCCATCTGTGTGTCTCGGTTAACAATATTGCCAAGGCCCAGGAAGATTTCCTTGCTAAGGGAGTGAACTTCAAAAAAAGGCTCCAAGATGGAAGACAAAAGAACATTGCTTTCATTTTGGATCCGGATGGATACTGGGTTGAGCTGATCGAGAACGCTCTGGACACGGCAACCACCATCAATCCAATTGCGTACAGAATGAACCATACCATGATCAGAGTCAAGGACCCCAAGGTATCTCTCAAATTCTACCGCGATCTGCTGGGAATGAAGATCTTCAGCACGAGAGACTTCCCAGAGGCTCAATTTACCTTGTATTTCCTTGGCTTCGAGGACGACTCGTATGTTGAGAACAAGGAGCAACCAATGCCACAATCTGCCAGACAGTCCATTATTGAACTCACTCACAACTATGGAACCGAATCCGACGACTCGTTCGCCGGCTACTATGTCTTTGACAAGGACACTGACAAGGTTGTTGGTTTTGATCACATTGCCGTCTCGTACAAGGATGTTAAATCTGTCATTGACAAAATTGGCGACAAGGCTAAATGGATCACAAAGTTTGGCGAAAACCCAGACTTGAAGGAGACTGCTCTGTTGACAGATCCGGACGGATACAAAATTCAGCTACAATCCTTTGACGCGTTGTCGTAAGTGTGAATTTTTTCTCCTTACTAATGATAGGCCTGATTCCAAGTTGTGATTAGACCTTATTTAGTATATATAGCGTCAGAATTAACATCGTCCTTGGGGTCGAATTTCAAACTAATGGAATTAACACAATGTCGTTCGTCCGTGGGAGTGTTGTAACCTTCTCCTTTGAATATATGTCCTAGGTGGCCACCGCAGGAAGCGCACATGATCTCGATTCTCTTCATGCCGTGAGAGTTGTCCTCCTCCGTGATCAGCGCGCCTGGAAGAGCCTGATAAAAAGCCGGCCATCCACAATGGCTGTCAAATTTGGTGCTTGATTCGTACAGTGGCGCATTGCAACCTGCACAATTGTAGATACCTTTGCCTTTAAAGTTTGTGTACTTGCCCACGTATGGTCTTTCTGTCCCTTTCTGGCGCAGAACAGCGAACTGCTCAGGATCAAGAATCGCGCGCCATTCCTGTTCAGATTTCTGTATTTTTGGCATGTTGGCTAAAGTCCTAATTGCTCTTGTGAACATAAATTGAATGTGAAAAACTAATTTATAGTATATATTTATTATATGGAGCCTCTACAACTAGCACCTGGTACGTATTGTTAATAAAATTGCTGACCAATAGAGCCGCTTCAGAATGCTCTAGGTCAGATTCTAGTTGACCAGGACTATAAGGAGGAGAACCAGAGCATACCATGGCCAGAAGTGGTCCCATTGATCGGGGCTCTTATAAAAGCCGTCGTAGTCGAGGTATACCATGCAGACGTCTCTTACGTGGCTCGCACTCCCTTTGACTCTACTGGCGAGTCAATTGAGAAGTTTATTGCTCGCTTGGAGAGTAGACTAGAGTCGGACTTCCCCACTTCTCCGCCTTTCACCATTCACCATCTCACAGAAACACTGCTTCTGAAATCACCAGGGTTCGAGCCAACGCGAGGCTTGAAGACGCGACTTCATGAGTTCAAAACAACCATTCGTAACACAGTGACCAATGACGAAACAGTCATTGAAGCAGATAACAATTATTATCAATCTGGAAACGTGTCGACAGAAACACACGAAAACGAGGTGAGTGCATTGAAATATTTGAGAGCTTTGGAGCGTAGCATACTTGTGCAAACATCCATTGAGGAGATCAACCAGCATTTAGCAGAGTATGGTTCCAGGAACACTACGGAATCAAACGCTGAGCTGCCTCCTGAGGAATCGAGTTCTATACAAATGAGTCCCATCGGCTGGATTGATGAAATGCGCGCTTTGGCAGCACAGGACGCGACTACGGAGGCATCTCCCAAACGGTTGGTTTCAGAGCCAGAGGACGACAGACTTGTCAAACGGACCAAGAACGAGCGCGACCAAGAAGATGAGAATACTAATGCAGAGACGGGAAAACAAAAAGACGACTCGGAGGGCGAGTCCGACATTTCGACTGGAGATATGAGTGTGGATTAGATAGAAAAAAAAATTCTTTGATTTTTTCGCGTGCATGGGGGAAGTGGTGATCCATGAACGACGATTCAATCACCCGTATACCCCTTATGATGTCCAGGTGAAGCTCATGGAGGCAATCTATGACAGTCTCACAGGAAATTATAAAGTCGGCATTTTCGAGAGCCCAACAGGAACGGGTAAGACTCTATCTATCATCTGTTCGACAATGACGTGGTTACGCGAGCTGAAGCAGCGGCAGAACGCCATCATCGACGATGATGACGATGACGAGCCTGAATGGGTTCGCCAGGCATACCGTGAGAAAATAGTTGGACGGATGGTTGCTGAGGCTCGCGAATACGAGCGTCATCTCGACGAGCTGGCCAAGACCCAAGGCAAAGCAATTGAGAATAAGATCAAAGAGAAAGTACCTACTCGCAAGCAAAGAAAGGTGATTAAGGAGGAAGATCTTGTTCCCGAGGATTATTTTGAGGACGAAACTTCAGAGGATAGAAACACAAAAATGGCTAACGAAATAAAGCAGCTCCTGGCTCAGGTGGAAGGCAGGCCGGATACAAGTGACAAAGCGTCGAAAATCAATCGTTGTGACAGCAAAATATTCTTTTCTTCGCGGACACATTCGCAGCTGAGCCAGTTTGGACAGCAATTGAGACTCACCCATTTTCCGTCCTCTTTGGAAAGTGTCGAGGAGAAAACAAAGTATCTGGCATTAGGGTCCAGAAAACAGCTCTGCATTAACGAAAAAGTGAGCTCTTTAAAAGACGTCCAGCAGATCAATGAAGCTTGTCTGGAGTTACAAAGGAAGAAAGACGGAGGGAAGGGGTGCAGCTATATGCCAAGGCCAGAAACCGAAGATCTCACCACTCAGTTTCGCGACCTCACCTTTTCTGAAATTCGAGACATTGAGGAGTTGCACGAGATAGGCTCTCACTACAGAGTGTGTCCTTATTACAGTTTGCGACGAGGCATGGAAATTGCCGAAATTGTGTCCATGCCGTACCAGCTCTTGCTTCAAAAATCGACCAGACAGGTTCTCGGGCTGGATTTGAAAAACAGCATTGTGGTAATAGATGAGGCCCATAATTTGCTGGATACGATATCTTCGCTCAACTCTGCAACTATCTCTCTTGACGAGTTGTTAAAGGTTCGCAAGGCGCTCAAGAGCTACACCACAAAGTTTGCTTCCCGATTGAATGCAGGAAACAGAATCAATCTTGCCAAGCTCAGTAAAATGATCACTATACTGGCCAAATTTTTGATGAAGGATGGCGAAAAGACATCAGGAACAGAAATCAACGTGACTTCCATCTTTGACGATACCACTGGCGATCTGCTGAATTTTCACTCCTTAGAGACGTATTTGACCAAGTCCAAAATCGCATATAAAATAGAGAGCTATATGGAAAAGATTAACGAAAATCACAAAGCTGGAACGCCGATACTCTTCAAGATTCGATCCTTTCTAGAGTGTCTCTCCAATCCCTCGAATAGTGGTAAATTGTTCTACGATAGGGATTCCTCTGACGGAATTGCCATGAAGTATCTTCTTTTGGATCCCAGCGAAGCATTTAGGGATATTGTTGAGGAGAGCAAGTGTGTGATACTTACAGGAGGAACAATGGAGCCAATTTCCGATTTTACCAATTTCCTAGTCCCCTACGTCGAATCCAAACAGATCAAGCATTTCAGCTGTGACCACATCATTCCGGCTTCAAATTTGGATGTTTATGTGGTGAAGAGGCGTCAGGAGGTGGAGTTTGAATTTTCGTTCGATAAGAGGAACGATAAGAAAATGATCAATGCACTTGGCGATACGATCTTGGAAATGGTTGCAGTCGTGCCTGATGGAATGGTTGTGTTTTTTCCCAGCTACAAGTACTTGGACCAGCTAGTAGAATTGTGGAAAAAGAGCGGGCACTATCACCGTATCAACCAGGTCAAAACTATTTATACAGAGTCAAGGGAGAACTCGGTGGATAAGGTGTTGCAAAACTATTCTCAGTGCATACTTGAGCGCAGGGGAGCTGTTTTGTTTGCCGTTGTGGGAGGAAAAATGTCGGAGGGGATCAATTTTTCGGACGAGCTCGCGCGTGCGGTGGCGATGGTGGGCCTCCCTTTTCCAAATTTAATGAGTGGTGATCTGATAGCCAAGAGAAAATACGTGGAGTCGAAAACGATCGAGATGGGAGGATCTCGCGAGGATGCACTAGCGCATGCGCGCGAGTTCTATGAGAACATCTGTATGAAGGCGGTGAATCAAAGTGTGGGGCGGGCTATCAGAAATATCAGAGATTACTCTGTGATTTACCTGATTGATGTCCGGTATGAACGACCATATATCCAGACGAAGCTATCTGGCTGGATCAAGAAACGCATTGAGCGTGACGGAGAATTGAGCGAGGTCGTCAAGCAAACGAAACGGTTTTTCATGAACAAATAATAATTGCATAATAAATACTCTTCAGTTTCTCGCTAAAAAAAATAAACTAAAGCTCAAAAATACAGTAATTTTTTATTCTTTAAATTTCCATAAATGTCTGATTTCGAAGTCGAACCAAGCCTTAAAGATATAGTGACCCACGAAAGTCTGAAATGGATTTTTGTCGGAGGAAAAGGAGGTGTCGGAAAAACGACGACGTCTTCGTCCATTGCCATCCAACTTGCCCTCCATAATCCAGCCAAGAACTACCTGCTTATTTCGACCGATCCTGCTCACAATTTGTCTGACGCGTTCGATCAAAAGTTTGGCAAGGACGCCAGAGTGGTGGAAGGGATCTCAAATTTGTCGTGCATGGAGATCGATCCATCGTCATCATTGGAGGAATTCATTGCCAACAACGGTTCTGGTATGGATCAGAACGACCCACTGAATGGCATGATGAGCGAAGTCACGGGCTCTATTCCAGGTATTGACGAGGCGTTCTCATTCATGGAGGTCCTGAAGCATATCAAGAATCAGAAAAATGAAGATTCGTCGGTGATCAAGTACGACACTATTGTTTTTGATACTGCTCCTACGGGACACACGTTGAGGTTCCTGCAATTGCCATCCACGTTGGAAAAATTACTGGGCAAATTTAATGAAATCAGTGGGAGATTAGGACCTCTACTCAACATGATGGGTGGGGACCAAAAGACGGAAATGTTCAACAAGCTAGCCGAGATCAAGACGCAGGTGACTGAGGTGAACAAGCAGTTCCAGGATCCTGACCTCACTACATTCGTCTGCGTGTGTATTTCGGAGTTTTTGTCGCTGTATGAGACTGAAAGACTCATTCAAGATTTGACCAAATACCATATGGATGTCAACTCGATTGTGGTGAACCAGTTGCTGTTCGCAGATGATGATCAATGCAAGCGTTGTCAGTCCAGATGGAAGATGCAACGCAAGTACCTCGACCAGATGGACGAGCTCTATGAAGACTACCATCTTGTCAAGATGCCTCTACTCGGAAACGAGATCCGTGGTGTTCATAATTTGAAGCTGTTTTCCAAGTTTCTGATCGAACCATACGACCCTAAGGCCCACAAGGATGTTGTTTTCTCGTTGGAGGAGAGATAGAAAAGATGTATAGATTGCTAATAAGAGTGCTACCATTTATCGGTCGGGAAAAAGACGGCTGTGCAATAACTTATTCGTTTATATGGCTCAGTATACATGTCAACGGTGCAAGCTCCCGTTGGTCATTGACGACTCTTTGCAAGGTCTGAGCAATGCACAAAAGCACTTGCTTACACTGAGCTATGGCCAACGGCCGAATGAAGACCATCCGAAGGATTTAAATGAGTATCCTATTCTTCCTGCAGAACGGGTCGCATTGTTTGAAGAGGCCTCAAAAACCAGTGGAAGTAAGCCACTCGTTTCCAGCAAGGGATCTGAAGCGTTGCACATTGACGATGGGTCGTTTGTGATTTTGGAAGATAAAGACCAGCCCTCAATGGATAAAGTGTCGGTCAGCGAGCGAGTGGCGTCCTTGGACAACATCTTCAACATTCTCTCATCCAAGTACGAGATTGACTATCCGGTCTGTACAGACTGTGCATCTACGTTGATAGAAGAGCTTAAGCAGCAATTTGAGCAGATGACAAAGGAAAAAGACACGTACGTGCAATTTCTCAAGAAACTCACAGCACAGAGCGGCCCAAATAGAAAGAAGGCCCAAGACTCGTTGAGCGAACTGGCACTCCTAAAGGAAGAGGAGACTAAACTTCTTGAAGAGCTGGAAAAGGCAGAGAGGGAACAGGAAGAATTAACACAGCAATTAGTAGAAGTTGAACAGGAACTGGAGGATCTAGAGAACCAGGAAAAGGAATTCTGTCTACAAAAGAACGCATACGATCTCGAACTGATAGAATTTGTGAACGAGCGAGAGCGAATCAAAGCTTCATACGAGTATAATCTCAACCGATTAGACTCCTTGCGGAAAACCAACGTGTTCAACGACGTTTTCATGATTTCGCATGACGATCAGTTTGGCACCATAAACGGCCTGCGACTTGGAAACCTCGATAACGTCAAGGTATCCTGGCACGAGATCAACGCGGCTTTGGGCCAGCTTGCGCTTTTGTTGGCCACGGTAGTGCGCATATTGGATTTCCAGTTGGACGGATACCGTATTATTCCAATGGGATCCACGTCGCGGATTGAAAAATACAGGAAAGACCGAAACGGATCAATATCTAAGCAAACACTGGACTTGTTTAGCAGCGGAGAGTTTTCCATTGGGAAGATTTTCACCCATAACCAGCTGGATGCAGGAATGGTTGCCCTGGTAGACATAGTCTCACAAATTGGGCGCAAGCTTAAACAGCTAGACGAGTCAAATGACCTGCCCTACAAAATGACGGAAGACAAAGTTGCCGGGTATCCCATCAAGCCATCTGCGCGCAGTTCCAATGAGGAGTGGACCTCTGCATGTCGCTATCTTCTCACCAACGCCAAGTGGATACTGACATATTGTATAGCTCGTACCTAATAATGATATGGTGTACGGATGTAGTGTGTGTTTTTTTTCATTATTTTAGTTCCACTCGTATGCTTGAAGAAGTAATCATATTAGGTGCATATTTTTTTCGTTAGAAAACATTTAAAGGGCAAAGAGCATTGTTTTATCCTGCACATGGGTCGAAAGCTATGACAGCAGACACCAAGACCATCGTTAAAGACTCAAAGAGTGGGAAGGAGTCTGTTTTTAGCAGAGACACACTGCGAAATTACTTGTTGTCCCTTGCACAAGGACTAAATACCGAGTTTGTCAGCATTGATGTGATTCTTGATAAGGTCGTCAGTGGTCTTCCCGATCGTCTCACTGTTCAAGAACTGCTCGACTTGACAGCGGAAGTGAGCGCTTCCCTGACTACTGTGCACTACGATCATTCCTACCTGGCAGCAAGAGTGCTAGCTCGTCACTTGCAAAAGCAAGTATGTGGTAGTTTTTCAGAAAATGTGAACCGAATGAGACAATATCGTCCTTCGAAGTATCGAAATTTCAAATCTCTCATTGCTGCAGATGTTCATGATATTGTGAACAAACATGCTGATGTATTGAATAAAGCCATCGCACCTGAAAGAGACTTGGAGATGGATTACCTTGGTTTCAGAACAATGGAAAGATCATATTTGCTAAAAATGGATGGAAGACCTTGCGAGACTCCTCAGTATTTGTTTATGAGAGTGGCCATTGGGATACACAAAGGTAATATAGACCGCGTTCTCGAAACATACAGACTTATGTCCGAAAAATACTTCATCCATGCTTCGCCTACGCTGTTCAACGCCGGTACCGAAACGCCTAATTTATCCTCCTGTTTTCTTCTTGCAATGGATGGGGACTCTATAAATGGCATTTTCAGAACGATTCACAAGTCCGCCCTGATTTCTAAAGCGGCTGGCGGAATTGGCATACACGTTTCAAACATCCGAGCTGCCGGCTCTTACATTTCTGGAACTAATGGTACATCCAACGGACTTGTGCCTATGATTCAAGTCTTTAACAGCACCGCAAAGTACGTGGATCAAGGTGGAAATAAAAGACCAGGCGCTTTTTGCATGTATTTAGAGCCGTGGCATGCAGACGTGTTTGAGTTCCTGGACTTGAGGAAAAACCATGGAAAGGAAGAAACTCGCGCTAGAGATTTATTTTATGCTCTTTGGATACCAGATTTGTTTATGGAGAAAGTCGAGAAAGATCAAGAGTGGTGCCTTTTTTCCGAGGATCAATCTCCTGGACTCAGTGACACTTATGGAGATGAATTTGTCAAGCTTTACAACAGGTATGAACGTGAGGGTCGCTATATCCGTAAAGTGAAAGCCCAGAAACTGTGGCATGCGATACTAGTTTCTCAGACGGAAACAGGGACCCCTTTCCTGCTCTACAAAGACGCCTGCAATAAAAAGTCTAACCAGCAAAATTTGGGTACCATCAAGTCATCCAATCTCTGTTGTGAAATCGTTGAATATTCATCTAATGAGGAAACAGCAGTCTGCAATCTAGGCTCTTTGGCACTTCCTTCTTTTGTCCACGATGTCAATGGAGAACGGAAGTTTGATTTCAAATTGCTCCATGATGTCTGTAAGACTCTCGCTCTCAATTTGGATACGGTGATTGATGTGGGGTCTTATCCTTTGCCGGAAGCCGAGGTTTCAAACAAAAGACACAGGCCAATTGCTATTGGTGTGCAGGGTCTGGCTGATGTATTTTTCAAGCTGCGAATGCCGTTTGGCTCTCCAGAGAGCCGGAAACTAAACGTTCTCATACATGAAACAATCTACCATGCAGCTTTAGAATCCTCAACAGAGCTGGCCGAGATCTACGGACCGTACGATTCCTATTCCGGATCTCCAATCTCAAAAGGAATCTTGCAGTACGATTTTTGGAATGTTAAACCAAGTGATATGTGGGACTGGGAAGGTTTGAAAGCTAAAATTCATCGGAATGGTGTCAGAAACTCCTTATTGGTTGCCCTAATGCCTACCGCCTCCACATCGCAGATATTTGGCTTTACAGAGTGTTTCGAGCCGATCACCTCTAACACGTATTCGAGAAGAGTCTTATCGGGAGAGTTCCAGGTTGTGAATAGGTATTTGGTCGACGATCTCGTGAATTTGAATCTGTGGGGCCCAGAAATGAAAAACGAAATTGTTCGAATGGAAGGATCCGTCCAAGCCATCGAAAGCATTCCTGCCGACATCAAGGAAATATATAAAACGGTTTGGGAAATTCAGCAACGAGCACTTATAGATATGGCTGCAGACCGTGCTCCGTTCATTGACCAGTCCCAGAGCATGAACCTATTCATGCGGAATCCGACCATGTCCAAACTGACCAGCATGCACTTTTATGCATGGAAGAGAGGGTTGAAAACAGGCATCTATTATTTGCGAACCCAAGCTGCTGCATCTGCTATCAAATTCACTCTCACGCCCTCTGGATTCAAAAGAAGTATCCCAGAGTCTGAGGATACTACCAAAAGACGCAAATCGAACGGGAGCGAGGTTGCCGAAAATTACAACATCTATGACAAAGATAATGTTCTTGCTTGCAAGGTTGGAGATCCAGAGACTTGCGACGCTTGTTCGAGTTAATATTGTAAATATTCATAAATTAGATGCCAAAATGGCTCACATAGGCAGCGAACTTGCGGGCGGTAGAGCCGGAAGGTGGTTCGATCTTGGAAATGCTTAGCACACTGAGGGCCGCGAGGGTCGTGTTAAAGAATATTACACCGTACGCATTCTTGCGGGCTCTTCGACTAAACCACCGCAGATAATGCAGTGTTCCAGCGAGAATGTGGTAAGATGTTACCCCCACCAAGGTAAGGAGTCCCGTGGCTCTAATGAACGGGCTTTGTGCGACGGCCCAAGCAATGTAGGATAGATCCACCATGGACGAGTCTCCATCGACTGCTAAGGGCCCAATTCGTTGGTGAAAAACGTGTAGCGTCATCAATGGAAGTAATAAATAGCCAGAGAACCGCAGAGGCGTCAGTCCTAGCATCCTGAAGCTTAACGAAGGTCTAGGTCCGAGACCCAGTAAATATGTGATTCCTCCAAGCCCGCTGCTCTTATCAATCTCCGCTTCTTTCGCGGACAAACTTGTCGGAGACGTTTTCTTGCGCAACCTGCCGTACTTCACATAGTTGTCCCATTTTTTGGCGAATTGCAGAGCTATGCCACTCAGGACATGGACACAAGCAGACGCAAGCAGAATAGCTTCTGAATATCCCGTTTGGTATAGTTCACGGCCCATGGATATCACCTGTTCGGCAACATCAACTCCAGCAATAGGTGGAGCAAGAACGACGCCTGACAGATGCACCACTGTAAAGAGGCCCATTGGAATAGTAGAGTACTTCTGGAACACAGCTAGAGTCCGCACGACTTTGAGACTTAGTCTGTTGGATGAGGGAGTCACCGGTATTCCTATCGGGATTTCGTCCCCGGAGACGGGTTCTGGAGACACCGGACGTAGCGAAGACATGTCAAATTTGCAGATCAGCAATAATTCCTGATTATCTCTTTTGCTTACTATGTATAAAATCTATTGGATAATTTTTTTACCTGATCTCGAAAATCAGGTTAAAGTTGACATCTAGACGAGAGCCAGACATAATAGGGACGGCGACGTTCAGACGCGGCACCCTGTCAGCAGACCATCCTGATCGGCCTCCATATGTGACATATCCCGAGGATGAGTCGTAGTCGAATTGTACAGGGGTGGCTCCTCGACCACAAGCAAAGTAGCCGTCGGCATCGATACCACAGACGCCCTTTGACGATCTGAACTGGTAGCCACCGAAACTTGCCTTGTACAGCCTAAACGTGGCGCATGTACCTGAGACAAACCATTTGCCGCTGCTGATCAGACAACCAGCCTGATTCTCGAGTTTGAGGTAGCCCCCGTTGCCGGTCGGTGTGGCCGTGCTAGTGGCTGAGGTTTCGGTTCCTGTGGCGGTGGTAGTAGATGTAGACGGGGTCTTCTTCAGAGGAAACTTGATGCCGAAGGACGGGCAGTTCGAGGAGATAAGAGCATCAATTGGAACGTATTTTCCGTGGGGGATGGAGCCACGTAAGTGATGGAAATACCACACTTCGTTTAGCGCATGGTTACTGTCACATTTGAAATAGACCTCCCCACCAAACCTGGACCTGAGTGCCTCGTCGATCTGCTGTTTGGTGTAAGTGTGGGAGTCCGAAGGCGTGATTCCAGCAGCCTCGAGCCATCTGTAGGTGGGCAATCCTTCAAACAGCTCAACTGCCTTCCGGAAATAATCAACCACTTCTCTGCCGGTCTCGAAGTTCTGGTAGCAAGAGGGTTTGATAGTGCTCAAACAGGTGCCGTGCTTGTTAAATTCGTGGACCCATAAATTATTGTCGTTGTTCCAAACCTCGCGCATTCGTTCTAGTAGTTGTTCCTCGCCAAATGAGGTCAGGACTTCCTCAGCATTGGAGATCTGCAGCGAGCTGTCGCAAAATTGGTTGTATGTGCCATCACAATTGTCGGGCCACAGACCATGCAAAGTAAACATATCGTCTGGGCCTGTGGGGTAATCGTAGTCCCAGAACTGCGTTTGCAGCAAAATTCCCCCGGGATATTCAAAACAACAGGTATCTGGTATTTGCGAGGTATTTGTGCACGATAACGGGATATCAGAAGGACACGAAGACATGTCTGCCTTAAATGCCGAGCTGTAATGTGCAGCGGTGGTGGACACGATGGCCACCAGATACCTCAGAACTACGTGAGATAACATGCCCGTGATTATTATTTTCCCTAATTAGTTTATCTTTTTCTTGGCTGTTATCTAATTCAAGCATTATTTTTAGGTCTATCAGTCTCGTAAAACTAACAAATGTGGCCGGCTGCCAACATGGAAAAATATTTATTCTTCCTCTTCAGACTCCACGTCGACCTCTTCAGAACCACTCATGTCACTTCCGCCGCTTCCTCCATCTGCATCGCTCTCAAGAGATTCGCGCAAAGCCTTTTCACGGGTCTCTTTCACCTCACGCTGCACGGCAACGTATGCTCCCAATGGTGTCTTTTGCCAATCAACTTCGTGTAAGAACATGCCAGCCTCAACTTTATTGTTAGGTCCGAACTCAACGCTTGATCTCTCTTTCTCGATATATTTGGCGTTGGAGTTGAGCTTCTCCACCAGGGCGCCCAGCTGTTTCACAAGCTTGATGTTGGTGGATCTCTTCATGTAGCGTCTCAAATAGATCACAGGTGGGGTGATCAGCTCTGGAAAAGCGATGCTCTTGCAGTACAGAACAAAGAACTCGGCCGCCAGCTCAACAACCTGCTCAATGAGTCCCTCTTGGTATACTCTGCTCCCAAGGTACTGCTTAGGAACCTTGATGACGTAATCAAACGCGACGGCTTGGAGGTGAACATGTTTTGGTTTCTTGGTTACAGCCGAGGAATTGAGCACTTCTGAAACTAGTGGAAAGAGTGGGATGTACACGCCCGTGTTTTGGGATAATCTAATTAACGATCTGATGAGGTAGAAGCGCAAGGGGAAAAACTGGGCTGTTGGTAGCAGTCTGATAGCTCCCAAAGTGACCTGGACCAGAGGATAGATTAGCTGCCGCAAAGGAGTCTCTTTCTTATTAGCTGGATGACAATGGGCGGAAATCATTCTAGACCAGAAATCTAGCGAGTGACAGTACTGCCAGTTATAGATTGCCTTGTAGCTGTCCTTAGTGGTGTTGTTGACGCTGTTTCTCAAATGGATAGCCAGCTGGCGAATATATTCAAATCCAACCTGGAAGCTGAGCGTTTGGTCAATTCCAAAAAGCTCCACGGCAGAGTTTTTCTGGAAGTTGATCATAGGCATTGTGTGGACGTTGGTCTTTCTGCATTTTTTTATGAAACTGGAGTAAGTACTTTTCAGAACCAGCTCGAGAATGGCTTTCGGATATTCTCTGCTGCAATTATTGAGGAATGCAAATGCCGCTATTTGCGTTTCGACGTCTTGAGAAGAGCTCCAAACATTCACCACCGCGTTCATCATTTCCTTGATGAGCTTTCTGTGAGAAACGTAGTACGGAAGCAGCTCTTGAACAGACTTCAGCACCAAGGTGGCCGTCTCCGTGTTGGTGATATCGTTGAGGAGCAATATCAGAGACCCAGCATGTGACTTCAGAAGAGTGCTGATCTGAGCGACTTTCTTGTTCGAAGGTAAGTTTCTTGTCCCGTGAGACGAAACTTTGTATGGCACTAGTTTCTGAACACTTAGTGTCAGTTCTTGCAAAGCGAGAAACATCAGTTTGTGGAAAGCTTTTTCGTCTGTAACGCTATATTTATACGTTCCTGAGGATCCAGTGTGAACTGCGGCTTTGAAAGCAATGACAACTGTTTTGAGAGTTTTGATCGTAGGCTGGTCTGACCTCAAGTTGGCCTCCCATTGTTTGATCATATCCACTGTCACTTCAATAGTGTTGTCTTCTTTATCCTCCTCTAGCTCGGCCTTTTCTTCTTGTTCCGCGTCTTCATCATCTTCGTCATCGCTCATTGCCTCAAGTGGATTTATTGGCTTGAAATCCAACAGATCCTTGTCATTTTCCTGCAGGTACTTGTAAAACTCGGGATCGTCTTTTTCCAGGTCCTTCAGATCTTGCTCGTCCAATTCTGCCTCACTGCCGCTGGAGCTGCTATCATCCTCGCTCTCTTCGTCTTTTTGTTTCTTTAATGTTGGCTGTTTAGGGACCTCTATGTCGGCATCGAAAAACTCTTCGACATCCATATCTTCAAAAATCTTTTTATCTCTCTTGTCCTCAGCTTGGGGAGCAGGGCCAGAAGAGCCTTTCTTTTTATGAAGCTTATTGTACTTCTGTACCTTCTTCCGCTGCTCTATGGCGTTCTTCAGGTTCTTCGCCTGGAACTTTTTTGTGGACTTCTTCGCCTTAGCCATAGTGAAGATAGATTTTTTTTTCCAAAAAAATTTAAAAAAAATTTTAGATCACATAATTTTCAGATTATTTACCCCGTCTAGAAAACATCAGACATTTTCAGTCTTGGTGCGATATTCATCGAAATCAGCTCTTGGAATAACAACTTCGCAGCGTATGGAATCGTCATCTTAACCACTCCCTCGCTTGTCTTACAAGAAGGACACCAATTGTTGTATCCCATCAGTCCACAAGAGTTGCAAACATCGACGTCAAATGCATCGGAGCTCAACATCAACCGTTCCAGTAGCAACTGCGATGCGCCATACGCAATCACACAATCTCTCTCCATCTCTCCCAAACGTAAACCACCATCTCTGGAACGGCCCTCCGTAGGTTGTCTTGTCAGCACAGCGCGGGGACCTCTGGCTCTAGCGTGCATTTTATCCAGCACCATGTGCTTCAGTTTCTGGTAATAAATCGGACCAAAGAAAATATACGCCTGCAACGCTTCTCCTGTGATCCCGCTGTAAAGCATGTCTTTTCCGCTGTAGTTGAATCCTTTGTCGATGAGTATCTGCGACATGTCCTCCAGCTTAGATCCACCAAAGCAGGTTCCGTATTGCAAAGATCCATCCAAAACACCTGCTTTGCCAGAGACTAGTTCCAGCATCTTTCCAACCGTCATTCTCGACGGGAAACCATGTGGATTCATGATAATATCTGGACTGATACCGTCATCGTTGAATGGCATGTCCTCCTGCTGTACAATGATACCACACACACCCTTTTGGCCGTGGCGAGAAGAAAACTTGTCACCCAGCTCAGGACGTCTGGTCTGTCTGAGCAACACCTTAATTAGGGCCTGATCATTGTCGCTCACAGACATCATCACCTGATCAACAACACTCGACACAGGCGCACGGTAGTTGACAGGAGTTTCTCTATGCTGTTGCTGTTGGTTGATGGTAGGTTGCCCTCCAACAACGCTCTCGGTGGCATTTGTTGGAACGCATTTATTGATGTATGTTTGTCCGCTCTGCACTTCAACGCCGACTTCTGCCAATCCGTCAGGACCTAAAGCTTCATGTTGGAAAATTGGCTTTCCGTCTTCCTTCACCCTCATTCCTGCCAAAATATCCTTTGAGTGGTTAGGGTACCGCTTCAGCACCGCTGTTGTCTTCCGCAGCACCTGGCAACGGCCGAATCCTCTATCAATCGAAGCCTTATTGAGCACCAATGCGTCCTCAATATCGTAACCCGAGTAAGACATAACAGCAACGGTGGCATTTTGGCCAGCAGGCAGCTTGTCGTAGTCAATCAATTCGATCGTCTTGGTTTTCACCATTGGCTGTTGGGGATAGCACATCAAATACAACAAGGTATCAATCCGACGGAACTGGTTATAGGCGATGGCTCCTATAGCCTGCTTACCCATCGCACATTGGTATGTATTTCTTGGTGATTGATTATGGTGAGGGTATGGAATCAAGCCTGCAACAGCACCAAGGACAGTGAAAGGCTCGATCTCTAAATGTGTAGTGCCGCTAGTTATATCTTTCTCGTAAATCGCGATAAGAGAGTCGTTTTCTTCGTTAACATCCAGGTATTCAACAAGCCCATTGGTGAGGAAATCATCAAAGGACCACTCCCCATCGCGAAGGCGTTCAAGATGCTCTGCGGTGACTTTCGCTTTGCCGTTTTCCACGATGATGAGTGGTCTGCAAATTCTGCCACCGTCAGCCGCAATATGAACCGCGGACTGATGGACGTTGGTGAAGATGGAAACAAAGGCAGAAAGCTTGCCAGTTCTTCTCAAATGTCTGAATTTGGAAACAAACATGCTGGGGAATCTGGTAGTACCAATGAGAGTACCGTTCAAATGCACACCAAAAGTCCCGTTGCTATGCAGGGTAGAGCTATCTATGACCGATATATCTTCAGCACCCAGGATGTAACAAAGTTTCTTGATGGGGTCCTCCTCATCATCAGTGGTGATGTGAGTCATCAGTGCCAGGTTCTTGACCAATCCACAGGCCTCTCCTTCAGGAGTATCAGAGGTGCAGAGCATACCAAACTGAGATGGCTGCAAAGCACGCGGTCCAGACACTTTTCTGGACTTTTCGAATTGAGACGAGATTCGTGTCATCATACCGAGAGCTGAAATATATGACAAGCGACTCAAAACATGGGTGACTCCAGCCCTTTCCATCTTGAATCTCTTGAGGGACCAGTTACCTGTAGAAATGGCCCTATTCAAACCTGTGGTAATGTTACTTGAGTGGATATTGATATGGAGCAAAGCGTCAAACTCAGAAACTCGGCTTGGTTTCTTGAGGATTTTATCCAGATTGGCCTTAAAATCGTTATTGAACTTTTTGAATAAATCCTCAAACAACAAAGACATCAATTGGCCGGCCAGCTCTAGCCGCTTGTTACCCACATAATCTCTATCATCAACCAACTTTGGATTGTGCATCGCCATTATCACTCTGCGCGTCATGATGGCTATATACAGGGCTTTTTCTTTGAAATCAAGATTCTCAACAGTGATGTGCGCGATGACGGTGGTGGCAATAGCCTCGATACCCTCTTGGAGAATGCTGAGCTTGGGAGCATTAAGTCTTCTGATGGTTTTCACTTTGCGTCCAATGTACTCAAGAGCTTCTTTCTGAGAATAAATTCCAAGCTTCGCCGCCTCTTCAAAATTCACAGCGAAGAGATCCTGGTAGATTGAATCCTTACCGCACACCAGCTGCAAAATCTCCAGGTCTGAGACAAGACCAGCAGCCTTCAGCACAATCACAATTGGTATTTCCTCGCTAATGGAGTTGTGTTTGAGGTATATTTTATCGTTCTTCGTAACCACATATGTTTTGGATTTTCTCTCGTGTGTAGAGGAGGTGACCGAAGCCTGCACAATATTCTTCTTTTCGTCGGCTTCTACGATGATTCTGTTCTTGCTCAATTGCTCCTGAACCAAAATGACCTTTTCTGTACCGTTGACAATAAAATATCCTCCGGGATCCAAAGGGCATTCGTTTAGGTACGCCATCTGGGCCTCATTTTTGCCGTTCAAAATGCACTTATTTGACCTCAGCATTATGGGCATGCGGCCAATTTCAAGATCTCTATGAATAATGATTTTCCGACCTCTGGTATATTCAACGTCCACATAGATGGGAGCACTATAAGTCAAATCACGGAGTCTGCATTCGTGAGGCGGAAGTAAAACTTCGGTCTCATTCGGATTTCCTCCGCTCTTGTATCCAACTCTAATATCTAGATATTTCAGATAAAACTCCGGATCAACATCACTCAACACCTTTTCGTTGGCTTGAATGATCTTCTTCAGATCTGTGTCCACAAAGAAATTGAACGAGTCCAAATGCTGTTTTACCAACCCTTTCACCTGGAGAAAGGCTGGAAGCAAGTTCCATTTATCCTCGGCGGTGTTGATTGGGTCCGTCAGAGATTTCCCCTTGTAGGACGGTTGAAGCAGATCCTCGAAGGACATGTACTATCAAATAAAAAATTTTTGAATTATTTTTTGGGCTATATATTTTTCTGCAGAAGCGATTTTTTTCCTGATCCATCTTCAACATGTCTGAGCCGTCCGCGTCATCAGGCCAGTCAGAGCTCTTTAAATCCACAATTAATGAGTATCTTGACAACTTACCTGAGACCGTTCATTTACAGCTTTACAGGTCGCCTGAAACTTGTCTCGCCGTGTTCCGATTGTTACCATCGCTCGCAAAATTTTACATCATGACCATGTTGTTCCAAGACGCTGCAATTCCCTCTACTGATTTGAACCGGTGGATCAAGTCTAGTTCTTTTAATGGCTCGCGCAACTTGAGCAAAATCTATCAAAATGACTCGCTGAAGCGACTCAAAGCACTGAACTTGCTCAAGGAAACAAGACGTATATTCACTCATCCGCAAACTGGCCAGACAACGCAATTGCCCTTTGTCTCGCTGAACCCAACCTTTAGACAAAGCTTCAGAAATGCATTGACAGGAAGTCGAGATGCAAATGAGGTTGTGGAAGATAACAATCTGGAAAGCATAGAAACGATAAGCGTTGAGTTTCTGGACACATATTGCTTGCACAGGTGGGAGAGCATATTGCATTTTATGGTCGGCTCGGAAACTAAAGAGCTACCTAGTGTGGGTGTCTTAACTTTGCTTAGATACAGCGGGTTGATGGAGCTCCCATCGGACAGAGAACAAAGAGAGCATTTAGGCGATGACTACGAATTTCAGCCCAAATTACAACAGTCAACTTCCATTCAAACACTGAAAAACTTGCTCATTACCCAGAACGGGTTTCAATTTCTTCTGCAAGATATCAACTCTCAGATTTGGACACTATTACTGCAATACTTAAAAATGTCTGAAAAACTTATGATGAACCCAGTCGAGGTACTGAACTTTATCTTCATGCTGGGCTCCTTGGAGCTTGGACAGGGATATCCGGTGGATCCTTTGAGTGATACGCAGAAGATAATGCTGGACGATCTCATTGATTATGGACTCATTTACACTCCTTCAAAAACAAATAAAAAGATATTCTATCCCACGCGATTGGCAACGACGCTTACTTCCGAACACACCAACTTCAAAACTTCAGCCGCAGTAATCGACCAAGAAATTGCCAACTCGAAAAACAGCAACAACCAAGGCACTATCGTGGTGGAAACAAATTTCAAAATATACTGCTACACATCTTCACCGTTGCAGATTGCCATCTTGAATCTGTTTGTCCATCTCAAAGCCCGATTTGCAAACATGGTTACAGGGGTCATCACTAGAGAATCCGTTCGTCGCGCTCTGATTAACGGAATCACAGCAGACCAGATGATCAACTATTTGAGCTCTCATGCTCATCCTTGGATGGTGAAGCAAGCCGAAGACAAATTAGCACGCAAATTGGAACTCGAAAGCTCCATTGGTAATGCTGCGGGTCAACGACAAGTAGACCTTGAAATTCTACCACCGACAGTAGTGGATCAAATTAAACTTTGGCAATTGGAGCTGGATCGTATCCAATCATTTAAAGGCTATCTTTACAAAGATTTCTCCACCGACCTGGAGTTTGAAAAGCTGCTTACTTACGGTGAAGAAATTGGCGTGATTGTTTGGAAAGACCGCACTAGAAAGCGGTTCTTTGTTACCCAGGAAGGTAACGGACAATTACTCGATTACGCAAATAGGATCATACGGGGTAATAGCTAATGACATTCGACCACATCTATTTTTTCTTCTCTTCCTCCTCCACATCAGTATCTGTATCTATATCGGTCCAGTCAATTTCTCCCTCGTCCTCTTCCTCAGACTCGTCGTCAGAGCTGCTGTACTCATCCTCAATTTTACGCACGCTCTCGCCACGCATCTGGGCCAAAGCACCAGCAAGAGAGTCTTCTTCTGGATCCTCAATTTCGTACAGATCTTTCTTGGTCGTCTCAATCGGCTTATTTTCGACTTCCATTACCAAAGGAATTTCCAAATCTGAGCCAAAATAGACCAAATGCCTTAAGGCAAGGCGGAACTGGAATTTTCCTTCCTCATTAGGTGTAGGAGCAGTAAGAGGGAATTTGAATGTGGAAACAATGGCTTTGGACTCCAAAAATTCTTCTTGAGTCAATTGGAGATTCGAAAGGTCGACTCTGGAAACATACTGTGGGTTCTCTCCTAGCTTCCCATCCCTCTGGATAATCAAAAATGCAATCCATCCGTTGTTTTCTTTCAGGTATTCTGGATCAGGGAAGTAAACAGGAGCCGTAGAAAGCTTGATCGCCGGCTGGTCCTCTAAGATTTTCATTGGATTTCTTAATGTTTCCAGAGTTTCCTGCTCTTTGAGCTGCGTCTCCTGCACCTCTTCGCTCAACTTTGAAATTTCTGGTTTGGATTTATGGGCCGGAGACTTCACCAGGAATTTTAGACTTATGTGCACCGTAGAATTAGGAGGAACGTACGACTCGCCGGTGACTTTGAACTTGCATTCCAGAGGCTCGATTAGTGGGATTTGGGAGGCGAGCCTAAGGACCTCATCTGTGTTTGCACAGTTCAAAAATTTTTCCGGCTCCACACTTGGGCTTTTCAGCAGCTTTCCTAAAGTGTAGATTGGCTGTTTGGTATCCAAAGCATCCAACTCGACACCGGGAAGCTGCAAAATTTGTCTGTATTTGTAAGCAGTGGCGTTGTTTTCAATATTGAGGGCCTGAATAATGCATCTGTGTGCCTCCACGAGTTTCAAGCAGATATCAGTATTCCTGAAATTCGAGGCGATGTCAATGAACCCGGTAATCAATTTCGGAGTTATAGACACAACTTCTAGTTTCAGCTGTTCGTCCTTGGGGTCGAGAGCTTTCCTCTCCAGATGAGAGAGAAGCAGCTCCAAAACCTTTTCGGGTGTGAGAGACTTGTCAATGGATTTGTATTCGGTAGAGGCACTGAGGTACTCCAACACCGTCTCGATCTGGTATAGTTTGGCAGGATTGTAGTTGATCAGAACATCTAGGAAGTGGGCAGCGGTGTCAACGTGAAGTCCTTGTTTAGTGTATGATCTGACACCGTTCCACCACGAGCCAACAACGCTGGGCAAGATAATAGCAATAAGAAGAACGTAAGATATCACAAGTAGAGGTGAAATTTTGCCCTCAATTAGGAACTTCGGCAATGCTATTCCGTGTTTGATGTCTCCTGGACCGTCAGGATTACCGTATTTAAGGAAATTCTCCCGGACAGCGTCGTCCGTCAACGCCTTGTAGGCCTTGTTGATCAACACGTAAGCAGAATCGACCGCCTCAATCTCCTTCGGGGTCATCTTGGACGTGTCGACCTTGTCTGGATGGAATTTTAGAGACAGTTTCCGGTAGGCGGCCTTGATGACCTTTTCAGAGGCAGATTCGTCGATTTGAAGGATTTTCCAAGGATCGAAGTTACTTTCTCCGATGACCACTTCCTGTCCCATGATCTGGTACATTATACCTGCGACAAGCAGCCAGCCCAACGCAACAAGAACAAATTTTCGTGAAAAGATGCTCTTGGTCCGCTTTTTGCTCTTGTACAGTTTTTGCGCAGATTCGTTGTATGGTCTGAACCATGACACGGGGCGTAATTCGCCCTCATCTTTCGAGCCACGAGTCAGGATTTCCCTCACCAACGACCACGTGGTTGGCACAAGAGGCACAAGCACGCTTGTTAGCGCAAAATACGGCCACGTTTCCGAGTTTTCGTCGTAGTCGTATCTGGATTGCGACATGGAAAAATAGGAAATTGAAATAAATTACGATTTTTTTAAAGAGTTAAGGGTACACGAAACTGGTAGCAAGAGAGTGGATTTTAAATTTTTAATTGTACTGCTATGATTTGAGCCTAATCGGGTCCCATTCAAATTCGCTAAAGCTCTTGAAACTGGCAAGAGATGTGCCATTGAGGATGACAGTGGGGCGCGGCCGTTGAATTGATACCATTGACATTCAACTGCTATATAATTTCAGTACGTGACGTCCTCAGCGCAATAAGCTTCGCACTGAAGTGGTCAAATACGACAAGTTCAGCTGTAATTTCATACATATAAGTTCCACTTCACCGAAACAACTTTATCTTATGAGGTACTCTGCTCCACCCGTGTTAACGTCCTCAATCTCGATCTCATCTAATGGACTGTATCTGAAACGAGCAGACAGAAAATTCCTGCTCTCAAACGGAACTGGACCAACAATTGGGGTACTCTGAGTGCTGGAAGCTGTGGACGATCCTGCTTTGGCTGGCATCAACTGGTTTGGAGCACAGGGGTGTGGGCCCGGAGGGGCGGGTTTTTCTGACGTTAGATCTCATCGTATGGATACTTACTGGTTATCACATGGGGACCTCCCACAAACTTAATACTAGGGATATATTTGGCTAGCGTTGGAACTGACACTCTCATGATGAATGATGTAAATTATTTATTCTTTGTGCGGATTTCGAGTCCGAGTCGATCATCCTCAATCTTGCGTCGGTCGGCCCAGATATCGTCCTGTTCAAAAAAAATCAATCGAGAATTATTTTGCCACTCAATCATGAATCACGATCCTTTCCATTGGGGAAAACCATTGGATTCTGTCTATGGTCCGTACAACACCCAAATTGCACAGGCCAGCAACCAGCGCCCAGAAAACGTTCGCACCAATGCCGAATTCCCTTCCATGCATACTCAACAACCGATGATCACAGGTACCTCGGTCATTGCTGTCCGCTATAAGGATGGTGTCGTCATGGCTGCAGATAACATGGGTGCCTATGGATCCCTGATGAAGTTAGACGATGTGGAGAGAATTATTAGAGTCGGATCTGAGACAATTGTTGGAATTTCTGGTGATATTAGTGACTTGCAGTATTTGGAGAGAATTCTAGACGACCTCGCAGTGGAAGACTCCTACGACATGGAGCAAGATAATTTGAAAGCCAGTCACGTTCATGAATACCTCACTAGAGTGTTGTACAATCGTCGGTCTAAGATGGATCCGCTGTGGAACGCATGTATCGTTGCTGGTTTCGACGAAGAAGGCGAACCATTTATGAAATACGTTGACCTTTTGGGCGTGTCCTACGCTTCCCCATCTTTAGCAACAGGGTTTGGAGCACATTTGGCAATTCCTTTGCTTCGGAAAAAAGCAGATACCATGAAAGATGTTGAGAAGCTCACCAAAGAAGACGCCGTGAGCTTGGTGAAAGACTGTATGAAGATCTTGTTTTATAGAGACGCAAGGTCCTTGGACAAGTACACTTTATGCGTGGTGGAAAAGACGACAAAGAGTATTGAGTTCCACAAAAATGTCAAATGCGAGGATATGAAGTGGGATTTTGCCAAGCATATCACGGGCTACGGGTTACCACAATTATAGGTCGTTTCGTCCTTTATATGAAATAACTAATCCCGGGCATACAAATAGTGAAATTTATCCGCAAATCATGTTTCTGATTCAATCTTCTTAGACTCTCAAGTACCTGCTTTCGAGGGTCGCCAAGATGGTCGAAAGCCTCCTTAACGTGTATTATCAGCACATTGAGACCGGCCAAAGGGTGTTTGGTAGCTTTTTTCTCAAGACAAATATTTTGTAAATTCAGCAGTTCATTGATCAGGTTGGTGGGCGTCATATGGCCAAAGAGAGGCTGTCCCGGTTTTTTGTCCACAGACGAGCATTCAATTACAATGGCTTTGAGTTTTTTTGAGAGAATGTGATCGGCAACTGTTAGCCATATGTGTTGATTGTATTTGGTGTTTGACGATAAGTCGCTCTCTACGTCACCGAAAAACAGCAGCTTACCCTTATCATTTGTTTCGGTGAACAGAAACGCCGAGCTCTTATATAACTCTTTGGGCGACGTGAACCCGTGGCTCACTTGGAACGTTTCCACCGCGATAGATTCTGTGATATTAAAGTTTTCAGTATAAGGCTGTAAATAGTTGAAGGTCAAATACGACAATGGTGGCCAAACTTTGCCATTGAAAATGTGGTCCTTCAAGTTGTCTATTGTTTGCTGAGTCCCATAGATTGGTGTTTGTCGCGTGAAACAGGGTGAATTTATCACGAGTCCCAAGACGTGATCAAGGTGGGGATGTGTTATAATATAGGCAGACATGCAGTTCAGTATCTCCTTTGCAAGCTGTAGACTGGAATTGGCAGGATCCTTTGAGACGTCTTCAAAAGGCTGAGTCTTTATCAAGTCGTTGTTGTCGCTATAGTAGCTTGGATCCTCGGCGTTGCTGTATAATTGACTAAAGTATGATGAGACCGAAGACGTGTTTTTTCGGCAATCTGATATCATCTCGGCAATGGTCTCGATACCTGCGCCCGCCTCCAGCGCCAGAATGCAATCTAGTTCATTCTCAAGAGCTTCCTGGAATGATATGGAGGAAGGCTTCAATAGAAAGGCGCAAGTTTTCCCTGCTACAGGGCCCCCTGAACACCCAAGCACAGTTAATTCGAACGTGCTATTATTCACGCCCATTGCCGGATTGTCCGTGAGCTGTGTATCAACAAAGCCGTGTTTTCTGGCTTTCAATGGCCTCCCGTATGAGGCAACCTAGTCACAAGATTTATGGTGTTTGTTTTTTTCAGCACACCAATTTTTTCCAAGCAGCACAACGTCACTTGCTGCTGCATGGAAAGTATGAAGCGATATCAATCGCTACCGTAGAAGCCTAGAAAAATTAATGACAAGAGTTTAAAGAAATCTGCTCTTACTTGTTGCACAGCAGTGGCATTACAACCGAAACTATCCTATTGAGGACACGAACTCCACTATTAATCCCAATGCCATGTCTGTGGCTCCCGGTGAGCTGTCAGGGCCCAAATTATGGGATGCGCCTGGCACCACTGTGCTCAAAGGGGACCACCATTTAGGGTCAGTCGCAGCCTTGAACTTTTCCATAACCGTCTCTTTGTCCACATTTGTGGGAACTGTCTCGTCGTTCCCGCTGTAGAGAACAAGCAGCGGCCGATTTACCTTACCAAACGTGTTCCTATGGTCCTCGAGCCCCAGGTAGCTGGAGAAAAAGTCGTCGTCCCCACGTTCTGAAGCCAATGAGTTCCACCTGTAAGCATTGATCGGAGACTCGAATACATCCGGACATATCTCGTACGGCATGAACTGCTTTCCGTTCCCTTTATCAATTAGATCTTTAGCCATTTTGATGCTGTTCTCCATCACCACCGGGTCCATGAATTGCAATAGTGCTTCTCTATCAGAAGTGCAAGCTTGCAGAATTCCAAAGTCAATGCTCGTCTCAGCACTTTGTTCATATTTAGAAAGGTAGTAAAGGGTGTCTTGACTTCCGGTAGAATGGCCCAAAACACCTACTTTTTTCCTGTTTCCATTTTCAGAGTCAGGACTTCTGAGTAAGGCTACCAATTTCGAGATCTCCTCGGCATCCTGTGCCAGCGAGCTGGCTCCATAGCCGGTATAGGAGCTCGAAAGCAATATTTGGATCACCGACCAGTGGCACATAGCCAGCTTTTCAGCAAGCGTCGAAACATAGGATACCGTCAGAAACCCATCTGTCAGGCCGCCTACGAATATCAACACGTTGGGATGTCGCACATTTCCAAACTCAAATGCTGTGAGACGCGAGTGGTACTCGAACAAACGGCCGTTAACGGAGATCATGAAGATTTAATTTTCCAAGATAATTATTTCCAGAGTCTATTTAATTGTCGGACAATTTGCCCCGGGCAACCTCAAACGCGCGTTTTTCGAACGACCGAAACATCAAGTTTGCAACCTTGGTGGCAAAGAAGGAACTCAACTGATTGTATAGCTCATTTTTGAATTCGTAGCGTAAATTCAGCACAGCCTTGCAGTGCTCGTCGTCCAAAGTGTGCACTGTCCACCTGGTTTCTAAGAACTTAAACAACGAATGTGTGATAGAACGAGCTACAATCAGTTCAGGTTGTTTGCATTGTAGGTCACATGTAAACTCTTCGTCAAATTGCTGGAATCCCACACGTAGCCCGGCCACCAATGGCTGTCCGTGGTCGTCGCGCGCTCGCACAAAGGACTCAGTGCAATACGGAATGAATTCGTGGTATTTGTCAACTTGCGATATCAACTGGTACATAAGAAACTGGGGATGATTGAACTTCTTGGTGAGAGTGTACGACTGCTCTGATTGCCGCAACAGGCCAGAGAGATGGAGTGCACGCGGTCTTCCAGCAGATTTGAGCATTTATGAAAAAATGGACGATCGACGTTTTTGTTAAATTTAAAAAAATACACTAAAATTGGATATCGTCTAATCTGGCTCAATGTACAATCCTTTCCAATTGGCAATTGCCAAGTTTTCGGGTTTGTCCGGGCTTGACGAAGGATCATGTAAGATCCTGACGTGCCTATTTTTGTCGTTTCCTCTAAGTGCGATCTTCAAACGAATTCCAGATCAAAAAATACACTTCAAGAATTATTACATTATAGCGGTCAGTGCCGTGTATATCTTTCTCATACTTGAGATTTGGTCAGGTTTTTTTGTGCTTCTGTTTAATGCGTTGTTCACATTCGTCCTCGTTAAGTATTACAAGTCAAGACTTATGCCGTGGGTCAATTTGATTGCGTTGATGCTTTTTCTCTGCGTGAACCATCTGAAAGCGCAGTTTTTCGCTCCCGATTATGATCCATCGGTGATCGACATTACTGGAGCCCAGATGGTTTTGGTTATGAAGCTCAGCTCCTTCGGATGGTCTGTTAGCGACGGTCGACTCTATCACAAAGACATCGACAAGTTCAATCACCTCAACACATACCAGAAATCTAGAGCAATTCTGAAATACCCACCAATTCTTTACTACCTTGGATACGTGTTTTTCTATGGATCTCTGGTGACTGGTCCTTCTTTTGACTATAGCGACTACGAGAAATTCATTCTGACCGATATTTTCAATGATGTTCCTCTTGAGAAAAGACCAGGACGTTTTTCCAAACGCAAAATTCCGCGCAGTGGACGTGTTGCCTTGAGGAGAGTCGCACAGGGCGCTTTCTGGGCCATTTTGTGGATCTACGTCAAACCAATAATTACGTTGGATTATGCCTTGTCTTTTGAATTTACCCAACATTCAATTCTCTACAAAATCATCTTCTTATGGATCTTGGGCATTGTCCACAGGATGAAATACTATTCTGTTTGGTCCATTAGTGAAGCTGGCTGTATTGTTGCAGGTCTGGGCTACAATGGGTATGACCCCAAGACTGGCAAGATGTATTGGAACAGAGTTCAAAACATTGATCCGTATGCTTTCGAAACTGGTCAGAATGTTCACGACTGTCTCGAGGCATGGAACATGAATACGAACAAATGGTTAAAGAATTATATTTATCTCAGGACATGCAAACGAGACCCCAAAAGCGGTCAATTGAAACCCGGAATGCTACCGACCTTCCTTACGTTCTTTACATCTGCTTTCTGGCACGGAACAATGCCTGGATACTATATGACCTTCATCATCGGCGCGTTCATGCAAACAGTCGGCAAAATCTTCCGCAGAAACTTGCGTCCTCTTTTCTGTTCTAAAGATGGCTCTAATGTGTCAAAGTACAAATTCCTGTATGACATAATTGGCTGGTTTGTTACTCAGTCAGCGTTTGGATACATTGTGCAACCATTTATGATTTTGAGATTTGTTCCCTCTTTCAACTTGTGGAAAACATGCTATTTTTGGGTCCACATTAGTTGTGTTGCAACCATTGTTTTCTTCGATAGTCCTTTGGGAAAGCAAGCTTCCAAGAAATTACAAAGTTACCATTTGCAACCAATCAAGTCTACAAAAATCCAGGACAAAAATGTTTCGCTTGCTCGGCTTAGAGAACATTACAATTCGGCCACCGATCTCCAAGACATCGTGCGCAAATTACCAGAATTCGACAACCAGGAAGAGCTGCAAGTTGAAAATGTCGTGGTTCCTGATATCCAGGAAATAAAGGATAATTATGACAAATTGGCCAAAGAGGTTGACGACTGGGTCAAAGCTAACGAGAATGCTGCTGTCGACAAAGAGGAAATTGACGCTGTTCACTCTGCGTTGGCAAATATCGAAAAAGATGTGCGCTCTTACTTGGAGAATAAGAAAGCCGACTGAAGGCTCAATCGTCGTCACTTTCATCGAAAAGATCAATGCCAGCCATAATTGCGGCCGCGTCCTTCTTTTCAGGGCTCGCAGAGGTTTTGAAACTGTTACGACGTTCAGGGACAAATTCATCATCGTCTTCAACTGCTTGTTTCTGTGTTTCCTCAGTATCTTTCATTTGGATATCATCTTCGTCATCAGGTTCACCATTTTCGTGCCTCACGATTTTCTCTGGCATTAGAGACGCTGTCGCGAGCATTCCTCGTCTCATATTGTCATCACCGGGCCAGATAAAGTTATTTGGCAAGAGGAAACCATCAAATGTGCGCGGAATTTTGGAAAATTTAGCGAGTTTCATGGCATATGCCACAAGTTCCTTTACGGCATTCAGCTTCGGTTTCCGGGTTTCCGCCGAATCCTCCAGCTGCAATTGCTCATGAGTACTTAGCTTGGGTAAATCATTTAAATCCTTTCGACATTCTATCAGTGATGTGAGTATATTTCTCATTCCATCGTTCAGTCGTAGATTTTCTTTGCTCTGTTCAAATACTTGGTTTCGCTTTAATTCATGCAGTCTTTCAAGCTGGGTTAATTCTTGGTTAATCGTGTCCATAGTGGCTACCAGTTTGGCAGCAACCTCAACGCTTGGCTCATACTGCTGAATTGAGTTTGTGAGTTCCCTGAGCTGGCCTTCAAAAGCATCAACCTGCTGGTATATAAAAGTATTCTTGTAGGAGGCTGAAGTCATAAACGAGTGAATTTATTTTTGTGCGAGAGTTGACCGATCGCATATAAAAATATTCCTTTAAAAGCGAACAGATTAATCAAAGCCTTGTTTTCATTTTATGTCAGAAAACAGTTTTGGAGCAGCGGATCTATTAATGGACAAAGACCCATGGGCATCGCCTGCCGCAAATGGCATTCAGAATCTTCAGTCATCTGTTTTGGAAGATAATAACTGGAGTTCATACAACTCCAACGACATCCTTGCCAGTAACTTCTCTGCAATGACTATTGATCGTCGCCAAGAGAATGGCAGTGAGCTGTATCATGAACAATCTGCGGCTCCATCAGACCCGCTAGCAAATCCAGAGTCTTTAGACACCGAAAACCAGGAAGAAGTGGATTTGAAAGAAACCTCCGTTTGGTCGGAAGAGCTGGTTGCTTCTTTCAATCCCTTGGGATACCATAACACAGAAGATAAAACCATAATTCGAGTCAAGGAAATCCCCGAAAAAGAGGGTCTTGTTTTCAAACACATCAATTACCTCATTAGCCATAATCTTCGTTTTCCTTCCGAGTTGTATCAAAACGACAAGCCTGCCGGATCAGAAACAAAAATTATCAGAAGATACAGTGATTTCGCCTGGCTTCTTGAAGTGCTGTGGCGCAAATACCCTTACAGACTAATCCCAGAGTTGCCACCCAAGAAGTTGTGTAAGTATTTCCTACCTGCCTTCCCTGTTGGACATTACTAACGATACGATCTAGTAGCATCTTCCACTGATTCTATTTTTCTGCAGAAGCGAAGGCGCAGTTTACAGCGATTCCTTTACCAGCTGAGCAAGCACCCGATACTTTCTAAAGAGAATTTGGTGATCATGTTCTTGACAGTCCCTAACGATTTTTCAAATTGGAAGAAATTCGCAAATATTGAGCTTACTGACGAATTCGAATCAATTAAGATCAACATTCCCAAGCGGTTCAAATTGAACTTTGACCAGGTACTGAGAGGTCTGAACGACCAAGACCCTGAACTCGAGGAACAAACGCAAGTGCCCGAGCAAACAGTCAATAATGATAGCATAGTCAACAATATCACGCAGATTTGGAACGAAAACCCTGTTGACCATTCAAAACTTGACTTCATGGAGAACTTGCAGACGGTCAACGTGAGCTTAAGCACTTTCGCGGACATTTGGTCCAAATTGTGCATTCTGGTGGAACGTATGGAGAAAAGAGAGTTGGCGTTGCACCAAGATCACCAGCGCTTCTCATACTACTTGGGACAATTTACCTCAAACAGTGGAAATCTTTATGGTATTGAGAACATGGTGATTTCTGAAGCACAGCCAGAAGAAAGCCAAAACATGTCTATCATCAACACCATCCTGAAGCAGGTCATGAAATATTTCACCACAACAAAGCAACTCAAAGATGATGAGTTGACAAGCTTGAGTTCGGATACACTCGAAAATTTCCGGAAGCTACAAGATTATTTGGCCTCACTGCACTTCCTTATTGAAAGGATTGGCAATTTCAAGAACGCATCTGAAAAACAAATTCACGTTCTTTTGAACCGCATCATGAAAACGAATGAACGACTCTTCCAAATAAAAATCAAATCGGACATTAGAGGGTCTGAGGTGGACAAACTTGTCAAGCTCTTGACCGAATCGGCGGAAGAACTGAACAATCTTCTCTCTTACATTATTCTTGTAAAATCCACATTCCTGACCGAATTCAGGCTGTTTCAAAAAACGAAATACCTTGTTTCGGAAACATTTCAAGACTGGTTCCTTGAAAAAGTCAAGTACGGGGAATTACAGCAAGATTCTTTACAAAGAGTGTTTAATGATCTTCAGGATATGCCATTAAAATAACAACAAGAGCTTATGCGATCTTCTTGGATGCGTTTATGAACCCAATACCTTTGACGGTTGCGTACATCGAGTTTTGGAACTCGTCGCTTTGCTTGAAATAAAATTGGGTACCGAAAACCGTTTTGATGTCTCTCAAGAAAACGACCAATTGCTCGTCGAATTGAGCTTTGTTTATGAGTAATCGTCCAATGTCCTCCTTACCAATGACCATATACAAAAAGGCCAACTCGAGCTGATTCCGTCCTAGACATCCGCTGGTATCAATTTGTTCCAATAAACTCAATGCAACACGTTCTCCAACGTCTTCTGGTGTTTCGCCTCCTGTGCCTATATCCTCCACCACATATCTGAAAGGTATCTTTTTGGACTCGGTGAACAAGGTGAGTCCGAATCCTGGCGATTTTCCCGCAATCTCTCCACGGCAAACATCTGTGGTAATATTCACCTCGCAACCTGTGGCCTTGAGCACACTTCGAGCAGAATCTACCAGTCTATTAGCCACAGAAGGCGAAACTCTCGTGCAATAGGCGATGCCTCTAATTGCTGATATTTTTGGATAATCAAGGACATGAATGGTGACAGGTTGAGGAATAAGCGAATTGACAATTAAATGTACTTCACCACCTCCCAGCGGAGGGGAACCACGTTTGAGAGTGTGCAGTTCAACTTCACGAACTCCGAATTTTTCCATCACTGGCAGAAGTCCCCATTTAATGAAATCCACGCCAACATGCTCCTTGGAAGCAGTAAGTCCCTTGAATAAAATAGAAAATTTGTTCTTGGAAAATGGTGCAAGACATAACATTGGCTCGATAAAATATCCGCATGCAACCCCATCTGGACACTGGTGGACAAAGTCACCGCCTATTATGAGACCGGGCCTGTAGACGACCGTGGTACCAGTATATGAGATTTCTATCACAGATCCGTTTGTGACGTTTTCTATTAATCTAAGAAGCGAGATTTCGTAGTCTTTTAGACCAGGGTTGAGGTCATTAGATCTGATTTTTTCAATTTTTATTGTTTTTCCACTAAGTGTAGCGAACACTAAACGGTTCCGGAAGTTATTATGTCCTTGGAACGTAATGATCTTGGATCGAGAGGACATGGTAGACTTTGAAATACTTGAAATAATTTTTTTTTAACACAGCCAATTTTTTAGTTGTTTTCCAAGGTTACCCGGTGAGTATTATTAGAATAATTGCCACAAATATTTGGTACACTCAATTCATTATGGAAGAAGGCGGATCCACTTCTGGAAGCAGGACCAGCACTCCCCAAATTGCTACACCAGGAGGTGAAGCCGACGGCGGCGCTGGGGTGGCAATCTCCACAGTCGGATCGCCTACTATGGATTACATCAACGATATAATGGATCAGACTGGTGATAGTCAACGAAACAGGCCAAAACAGGAACCAACACAGCAAATACGTCGTGCACCAGGAAGACAAAAAGGATCAGGACGATTTGGTGAGCAAAATCCCGAAGAGCTTGCAGACGCAGTGGCAGCAGCAGGAGTCAATCTTCGTGCCGAAGAAGAAGCTATGATGGGCGGATTACAGGTTTCGAGGCGTCAACTCAGTCCCAACGACTTTCTTCGTCCAGGACAGGTTGCCTGGTTTATGAACAGAACAATGGAAGAACAAGGAATGAGACGAATGGAGTTTGATGAGGAGCTGATAAATCTCATGTCGAGTGCCTGTGAGGAGTACATGTCTAGTCTAGTGACGGATCTGCTTGTGGTCTCGAGACACAGACGGCGCGGATTACGGACAAAGCAGAAACAATCATCGGGCGGTACAAAGTCAGAAATATCCAAAGCGCTTAGAGACATTGCCACCAAACAGAAAGAAAGAGAAGAGAAACGGCTAAAACGAAGGATGGCCTTGGGTCTCGATGAGGATAAAAAGGATGGAGATCTGATTGCAGAACACAAACAGACCAATATTACAGCTTCATTGATGATGAGTGGGTCCAAGAAGAAGTATTCCTGGATGCAGTCTTCAGCAAAATCCGATTCTGTGACCGTTCGCGGAGACAATGGTATACGGTACAGAGAAGCTCGTGAGGAACAATCTGTGGTTCTCAGAGATTTACTGTTAGCCTTGGAGAGACGTCGCGTGGGTGTCAGTAATGCCATGGTTAAGGGCTACGCCAAGTTGAAAGATTAAGCCCGTGTATATTAGTGTACAAAAAATAGCGAGTCAACTACACCTTGACTTTTTTCCGTATTCCCAAAGATGATTTCTTTCGTTTTATCGTAACCGTCTCGTCGTCTGACGATGAATAACCTGATAGCAGCGAAATCTGATTGCCCTCCTGTGTGGGATTCTCCGTTAGCAACTTGGATTGCGACTTTGCTTTGAAAGCCAGCTTTGCCTCTTTTTCGTCCAGCAACTCTTGATCATCCAGGATTCTGGGCTTAGCCCTTTCTAGACGTCGGTGTCTCTCTTGGAGTTCCTCGATCTCTTCCGTCGCCTCCTGTTCCTTCTGTTGTTCATTAAGTCGTCTCTCAAGCTGTTCCATAGCAGTTTCTTCGTTCTCTTTTTTTCCTTCTTTCGCCAGCATTTCTCTGTATTCTTCTTCTTCTAGCCGTTTCACAATATCGTCCATAGTCTCATCTGCTGCGATTTTCCCCTCTTTTCGCTCGTAATTTCGCCTACAACCCGAGACACACTCGAAATCTCCGTTTTTGGGGTCGGTTCGAAAGACCAAATCAGAGAAGCACTGTGGACATCGGAAATGGAAATTGAAAATGCGAATCCCTAAGTAGTCTTCCCTAGTGCTCTCTTTTTTAGCGTTGAATTTTTTTGATTTTCCAATATATTCACCACAGTTGAGACATTTCATGGAAAAGGGTATCATCAATCGCACAGTCGGCCATCCTGCGGGACCGGGCTTTCGCACCTTTTTCAACTTCTCCTCCTTCAAGGGATCATAGTCTGGAGGGTAGTACTTGTTGATCACCTTTCTTTCAGACATTTGAAATAAAAATGATTTAATTCTGTCAAATTTTTTGGGTGTACCCTGCCTGACTTAAAACAAAAACATAAACAACGCGATTTATTTTATTGTGAATATATCATGGAAGTTGATTTTAACTTGTCGCAAACACTGACATCGTTTGCTGACAACATCGATACCTTTGAGATTGATGAGAATAGGAATCCCGAAGACTTTTTGGAAGCTGTCACACAGGAGCTCGCCGTTAGAAGCGATGCGATCTTGTACGAGGAATTCTGGGATCCTCTGATGAATCTGACACATTGCTATCCACAACTCGAGAATCGCCTTCAATACAAGCTAGCATACTTGATATCCAGTACCTTGTCACACCACACTATCCAGACACACCAAATAGTCAACTCCGGAGACATTGACTTGTTCGCTACACATCGCAAGATTTTGGAATTGTATGGGTACTTGATCCACGTTCTTCTCGTATACCTAGGAAGGGAAGAAACAAGTATAAAGACTTCCGAGGGGAAGTATCACTGGAATAAGACAAACAGCGTAATTGAAAACATCCTCGTCTCCATCATCGATGTATTCAAACTCAAACTCAATTTGTTGTTCGAAACAACCCCGGAGCGCAATTTATTCGTTGGCACCCTATTTCTGAACCCGGTCAACGCCCTACTGGAGAGCCCCGAAAGAGCAAAAATTGTCACCGTTAAGATGCACGCTTTCAAAGCTATCTGCATGGCGATCAAACTCCATGGTCAAACATCACACGTCCAAAACGCTATTCTGCAACATTTGACCTACTTCCAGCATTCCAGTACCGTGATGGCAGAACTTCTTGACACTTTGAGTAGGCATTACGATCACCATAATTTGACAGACGAAATCTTGAAAGAAGTGAGCGGGCGTCAATTCAATGAAAATGACACTAATGGCCCTAAAGCTATCAGCACTTTCATCATCAAGCTTTCAGAACTCAGTCCAAAGATTGTTATGCGTCAAATATCTTTGGTGGCTCAGCTCCTTGATAACAACTCGTTTACCTTGAGGTGTGCAGTTGTCGAAGCAGTCGGAAACATAATTACAACTCTGTCAAAGTCGCAAGAGGAGTATGATGAACACAAAACACAAGCAGATAGTTTTCTAGAGCTTTTGGAGGACCGCTTTCTTGACATCAACCCATACGTTCGTTCAAGGGCAATACAGGCGATTACAAAGTTGACAGAGATGACTGTAAAGTTTGTTGATCGAAGACTAAGATGGACTAAGCTGGCTGTGAGGCATTTAGAGGACCGGTCAGGAATTGTGCGCAGAAATTGTATCAAGCTGCTGACTTCGTTAATACTGACTCATCCCTATAATGTTATGCATGGTGATAGGCTTGAACTAACTGTCTGGGAAAAACGTTTGGAGGAAACCAAGGAAAAGCTCAGAGAGTTACAACCTGACTTATTTGACGATGACGAAAATCAAGAAGAAAAAGAAGAGCAGAATGAGAGCGATGCAGACCGCAGTGACGACGACCAAATGGATATCGATGACGAGGACATCGAGGAAGGGGATGAAACTGATAAAGAAAAGTCTGAAAAGTCCGAAGCAGAAACTAATATAGATCCCGAATCAGAAAAAAAGGCAGAGACATCGATCATTACCTCGCTGGCCAATGTCGACCCTGCTGTCGTGAACAAGGTTTCTCTCACCTATCAATATTATGCTGATGCTGTTGAATTCATTAAGCTAATTCATAAGGCTACAACATTGTGTTGCGAGTTACTGTATTCCAGGTCCAAAAATGAGGTTATCGAAACCATGGGATTCTTTGTTCTTGCAGACGCCTACGGAATCGAGAACTGCCAAATAGGTATCAAAAGGATGCTGCACTTGATCTGGATGAAAGGAAGCAACGAGGATGGTAATATGGTTGTCGACAAACTAGTGGAATGCTATAAAAGTCTCTATTTGACTGCCCCCGAAAAGTCTTCAATGGTACAAAGATCATCTTATCTTGCGTCAAACCTTATCAAACTCACATTCAACTCCTCTGTTGCCGATCTGGCGTCCCTTGAAAAGCTCCTAGGCGAGTTGTATACCAAGAGCTACATTGACCATCATGTTGTTCAGGTGTTGTGGCAATTTTTCAGCAGCGATACTTCCACGAAAAGGCAAAAGAGAGGCGCAATAATAATACTTGGCATGCTTTCTGTTGCAGACCATGAAATTGCACTAAAGGGGCTTGATCTAATTTTGAATGTCGGTCTCAAATATGAAAACACGGATTGGATTCTCTGTCGATTTTCGTGCATAGCACTGAGAAGAATCGTGCCGTCTAAGGCCTCTATAAACGGTTATAGAATGACCAAAGAGGACGAGGCCATTCAGAAACTTTCAGCAGTCTTATTGCAGTATACCGCAGATGGCAACTGGTTTGGGATGGCAGAAGAGGCCCTCAACTCCATATATGTCATATCATCGTGTCCGGACGTGGTCTGCTCCAATATTCTGAAATCCAAAGCCAACGAAGTATTTTCTTCCGAATCTGATGAGTCCCACGACAAGGTGGTGTCTCTTTCGCAGCTCTTGTTTCTCATTGGCCACGTTGGGCTGAAAACCATCATTCATCTAGAAAAATGTGAGACTGAATTCAAGAATAGAAAGATAGCATCTGAAAACAAGAAAACCGAGCAGCAGAACGAACTGGACATGATCGGAGGTACCACCGAAGATGATTTTACAGATGCCGTGCAAGTGGTGAAGGAGAAGGAGCTGCTTTACAGCGGGACTGGTGTGTTGGCTCAATTTGTTCCTCTCCTTAAAGAGATTGTCACACATCCAGAAGACTACCGCGACAGCAGATTACAAAGACAGGCAATCCTTTGTTTATCCAAACTAATGTGCATCTCCTCGAGGTTTTGTGAAGAGAATCTTGCTCTATTTCTCAAGATAATGGAAACATCTGAGGATCCCGTTGTTCGGAGTAACGCAGTTCTTGGGCTGGGTGATATGGCCGTCTGTTTTAACAACGTCATTGACACGAGCAAAGACTTCTTGTATGGCCGTCTTCAGGATAAAGATATTATGGTCCAAAGGACGTGTTTGATGACGGTGACTTTCCTTATTCTTGCTGGTCAGGTTAAGGTCAAAGGTCAACTGGCACAAATGGCAAAATTGTATGTGAACGAGGATCCCGGAATTGTTGATATGTGCAAGTTGTTTTTCACTGAGCTTGCTACCAAAGACAACGCAATATACAATGGGTTCATTGACATGTTCAGCGGGCTTGCGGCCGATGTCGAGCTCTCGAGGAAATCGTTTAAGGAGATTATCAAGTTTGTTGTTCCGTTCTTAGACAAGGATAAGCACAAGCAACAGCTGGTTGGCAAACTTTATCAACGGTTGGTCAAGGTAGACGACGAAGAGCAGTGGAACGACCTTGTTTTTGTGATAAAAGAGATAATCCCGAAGCAGGAATCCACGAGGAGGGAGAAAGACGCGCCCAAAACAAAAGTCTACGACGAGGTGCTAACCTTTATAGAGCAAGGTTTCAAAAGGCCGGGACAGAAAGAATAGCTAAATATAATTCAAAGCTTGTGATATATACAGTAGAATTACCTTTTTTCGCCAAACAGTTCTGATGGGTGCTTGAAAACATTCTTAGCACCGGCGCTTCCAAGGATATAATCCAGAGGCAGTTGCTTGGAGTAGCGTTCGTTCTGTTTCAAGTGGTCTTTCACCAGTTCGACCAACCCATCAATGAAAACAGGATCTCCATTCAGCGACTCGCATCTGATCATCTTGTAAGGAGCGTCGAGTTCTTCCTTCAGCTCAATATCAATCTCATGCAGAGTCTCGATATGGTCGGAAGTGAAGGCAACCGGGATAATGACCACGCCAGGAGCTTGCGAGTCGTCAACCTCATCCACCAGCTTCTTGGTAATTTTTGCCGTCTGAGCTCCAAGCCAAGGCTTAGGTCCGACTTGAGATTGCCAAACAAGCCTGTAGGGATTCGAAAAATTCAACTTTTCCATCACCGAGTACACAGTGGCTGCTACTTCTGCTGGGTAAGAGTCTCCCCTGTTAACAATTTCCATTGGCAAGGAGTGAGCGCTGAACAGAAGAACCACCTTGTCCCTGGTCTCTGCAGGGAACTCGTTCAAGGAAGCTTTGATGTGATTGGCGAAAGCCGTGGTCAAACCGTCGTTCTTTGGCCATCTATCAATCACGGACCACTCAATCCGTCTTTCAGGGTCGACTTGCTTGGACACGCGATACAGGTCATTGAGCGAAGAACCGGAGGTCGAGTAACTGAACTGGGGGTACTGGGAAAACGCCACAGCTCTTGTGATTCCATCTTTAAGCATCTGCTTGTAGGTTTCCTCGGTTAGAGGCTTGGCATATCTGAAGGCAACATACGGCTTATGCGGTGCGGTCTCAGGCGACTCGACATCCAGCTTCTCGCACACCTTTTGAGCCTGATACTCAGACCATTTCCTGATAGGCGAGCCGCCCCCGATTTCCCTGTAATGGGACTCGATTTTCGGAGTTCTGCGCTTTGCAATGATTTTAGCAATGAAGTTTTGGAATCTTCCTAATGGAATCAAATCTCCGTCGGAAAATAGTCTATAAAGGAAGTCATAAGTCTCTGGGATAGTGGATGGACCTCCCATGTTCATGAACATGACGCCGACACCTTTGCCTTGTTTCCCAGTCGACTGGAACCGGACAAATTGTCTCACGATTGAAGATCTCAGCATTGCAAATGTACGAGAAAAAATAACACACGGAAAATTATTATTTATAACCATGTCATTCGATATTGACTGGGAGAGTATCGCGAATGATAGCAACATAAATTCCCAATTATTGCATTTTCTGAATGATAAATTCTCATCAATTGTGCTTCCTGATTATCTAAGTGGCCTCAAGGTGGTTAAGTTCTCCTTGGGACACAAATCTCCCGAGCTCACAATCAGAGATATAGATCAGCCGTTTGAGGAGTTCTATTCCGAAATTGAGCCAATCGCGCCGCCTAAGCCCAAGCCAGTACCGGTTACACCTCTAAAAGCATCTTCTAAAGCTCAGTTCGATGTTTCTCGAAGCCCTTCTCCAGCTAGTGTGCTGGTTGGGGGTCTTTCCAGCCCGGTGGGAACTCCTCGCGGGTCTCTTTTGCTCCCACGAACTAATTCCTATGGTCTGGGTTTGGGAGCATTTGGTTTACGGGAAATCCACGAGGAGCCCGAATCGAATCCTGTTCCGGAGCCAGAAAAGAAAGACACCCGGAGATCAGACAACGATATACAGTTTAGCCTTGATTTCAAACTTGACTCCAACATATACATCGAGGTGGTTTGTAACCTACTAATCAACTATCCTACCCACGAGTTTATCAAGCTCCCCGTTCGCCTGAAGATCACTGACCTCCAAATTCACTCTCTAGCAGTGGTGGCATACGTACAGAAGCATGTGTTTATTACCTTTTTGTGCGACATCGACGATGAGGACACTGCCCATCAATCAGCTGAGGAGGGGCGTCAGGATTCGCGTAAATCGTCGGTGTCCGAAATACCACACACAGTCCTCTCATCGCGCGACAGGATAGACATAATTCGAAATCTAAAAATTGAAGGAGAACTCGGAAGTCATCAAGACACTCCTTCTCTAAATCAGGGCTCTATCTTAAGAAATATTGGAAAGATCGAGAAATTCCTTGTTGGCGCAATAAGAAATATCCTCATAGAGGAGCTGGCCTGGCCAAGCTGGATCGAGCTGGACTTAACCGAGGATTCTTAATAAAAGCGTTCTATTGTGCTTCTATTGTTAAATCGTCGCGACTGAATAATTTATTTATCGGAATTAGCACCAAGAGGGGAAAAGAAATATTTGTCCGTCCATTGAAGACCAAGTATAAGTTCAATGTGAAATCCTAATATGCATCATATGGTTCTTGATGTCAGTCCTGGCCTTACATTGAGGCCCTTGGTACCTCATTTGAAAGTTTGTGCGTTTGTTCGTCACAATCATATCAACCATTATAGTAACCTGAACCTTAAATCAAGGGATGCCTCTGTTTCAGAAATCAAATCGAACTTTCGCAAATTAAGCTTGAAATATCATCCGGACATGCTAAAGTCACAGAATTTGAGTCCAGAAGAGATCGAGAACAAGAATCAGAGATACCTGCAGATAAAGAAGTCTTATGAGATTCTCATAGATCCTAGCAAAAGAGCGTCTTATGACACATCTGTGCCGTCAGAGTCTGCCTCTCCTAGACCTATGCATAATTTCAAGCCGTCACATAGACGAGCACCTTTTGCAGCACATGGGTACTCCCCGCGAAACTCGAATTCAGATGACGTTCCTCACTTTGATTTTAATAAGCATCTCAAACGTAACATTCGTAACGAGAAACGGATGCACGAAAATCGAATGATGCAATCTGGCTACCCAACGCCATACAACGTCCGCTACTCAAACTTCAGAGGAGGAGTTTACGACCCGGCCCAACAAAGACATTACAGTACCACGATACCAGCCCAAGGCCCTGTTATTGGGCTCGTTGGTCTGTTGGTTGCTTTTTATGCGCTAGGGTCAATAATGGGGTCTGATGAGATTACCCAAATTCCCCGCAAAAAGCAAACTAATGGCCAGAACGCTCCTGAGGTGTCTACCCGCGGACAAAATGACTACTCCTCACGGCTGGTTTCCAGCGCAATTACACAATCGAAATAGCTAGACGCCTCTGAATAATATTACTCTCTCAAATGATGTTATTAATGTACGCTGGTAAATGACATTAGGAAAAGAACATTGGATGGCTTCACTTCTTGTCTTGCTCAACGACCGTCGAGGCCGCTTGGATGAGCTCGCTCAGACCCTCTGTTCCTGCCAGTCCTGGTTTTGATGCGACGGTAGGACGAAGTGGATTTGGTAGCTGCCTATTGCTCTGGTTAATTGGGGGCAGCAGAATCCGATCATCGTCTTTATTTATCAAAATAGGGTTTGTGCCCGGAGGCGACAACGATCCTTGTAAATGATGACCGACAAATGACGGAAGCTTTTGCTGACCATAGAGATCTGAATGCTGTTGATAATAGCCGGCATCGTTGGAAGTTGACTGCAGGGCTCTTTGCCCAAATGTAGTTATAGGTGACCCATAAAACTGAGCTTCAGGGTTTGGTTGCGAGTGACTGGAAATAAGATTGAATACGTCCAGATTATGAGGGCTGCCACCAGCCTTCTGATTTTGAAATCTTAGATAAATGTCATTTTCCAACACCTTGCCGAGTACGTTAATGAATTGTTCCAATTGAGTGAAGTCAGATCTGTAAAGTTTCAGCCAGCACAGAAAACTTGAGTGAACATTTTTCATGATGTTTTGAAATTTGATATCGCTAGTAATCTGCGCTTTCAGGGAATCTTCTGGTTTGTCAGAACCATGTTTGTTTTCCTTGGAGCCCATCATCTTTTTCATTTTCTCGTTATTGTTGCTGAATTCACCAATGGATATGCTATTTGCTCGGCGCCGTTTGCCTGCAACAGGCGGAGTGTACCTATATTTTCTGCCTAATTCGTTGATCACGTAGAATATGACAGATAAAATGATGCTTTCATCTTCTTCCTCATCTCCTTGCTCTTCATCTTCAGAAGTGTTAGCATTGTTGGATGCATCCGGCTGATTACTTGTGTTTCTTGAAATCCAACTTTTCTCCAAAGGATTTGACAGATCAATGAAATATCTTTTTCGATAGAAATTCAAAATCCTTATCAGCATCAAAAAATTTCCGATAATAAACTCCACCATGATAAGATTGTTCACTGGCAAATTTAGAGATTTCCGGTGATACATCAAGCTATTCTCGTTGAGGATTAGCGCAAGAAGAAGACAGGGTAGTAAAGTGATTCCGAGGTTGTTATTTATAAGGAAATTGTAGTTGAATGGTGTAGATATGAAATTGTGGATGTTCTTGTATATTTCCTCATCAGTCAGCTCAGGGGTTGCGTTTGAATTGCTAGCTTCAATACCTAGCAAGTTTATCATTTTTGACAAATCAAACTCAATGATTGGCTTGTCATTGTTGAGAAAGTTCTTATCATTAATCAATGATTCAGTCTCAAAAATGAACTCCTTCAACGTGAGAGCCAAAAGAGTCCAATTGTACTCACTTTTGGGTATGATCAGGTAGTTTGAGAGTAAATCAGTAAATTTCAATGGGCAATTGATGAGTAGCTTTCTCTTCACTATAGATAGAAGTCGAATGAACTCGTCGTCACAGTTGGAAGCAAGCTTTCCAGAGACGTTGAAATTTTTATTTGCTAATATGATAGCGTTGTGTAAAAAATTCTTGTTATCCTTGAATAGTCCTTGTTGTAATATGACATGCTTGCTCAGTTTGTTGGTCTCATTAAATTTAACCATCTGAAGTTCATTCATTAAACCGCATATGATTGCTTTCTCTTTCAGCGTTAGATCATCATGGTTCACAAAGTTTTGAAGCGAGCCTGAAATCACAGATAGATTGATAATTAGTTGACCGAGAGTTTCGTCACTACCGGATTGATCTGTTAGCTGCTCCTCTGGAAGACATTTGTTAAGAAGGTATAAGTGCAGCGAGGATGGCGACTTGTTGAAAATAAAAGAATAGTGCGAGAGAAGTAAATATGCATTCCAATAAAAAGGTTCTAGCCCACGTCTAGAACCGCGGTCTGCATTATCGCTGGGAAGTTTACTTGAAGCAGAAGTCCCCTGTGGTTGTCCATCTCTATTGGTCATATGCGTGCTGATAATATTATTGAGATACTCGAATAATACGTCAATTGGAATTGCGATCTTTTTGTATAGCTGCTCATAACTATGCTTCGAACTGTTGGAAAGATTGATGAAGTAATTGAGGTAAATGTAACCAAGAATTATCAAATTATCAACAAACCTGATGAAGATCTCGCCCGAGTTATAGTTGATCTTGGAGTTGCTGATCTTATCGATAATGATTTCCCAGCTTTTGTTGAACATTGTAATGGCATCCTCAAACTCATTTATTTGGCATGCCCCTAGGCAAACCACCAAGTAGAGCATCTCGTCTAGTTCGTTGATGGCTAATAACTTGTTAATGTTGGTTGAGGGAAGATCTTCTTGCCATTTTTTGCTGCTGCCAAAAACTATGATATAGTTGGTAATTGAGTTCTCGAGCTCCATGTTGAGGTGTCTAAACCGATTGGACAGCGTGAGGAGCGATACAACGGTTTTTTCTGCCAGAATAGCGGCGTTGTCTTCCACCTGATCTAAGTCACTTGGCGACGTGGGCAGAGCCGAAAACTGTAGATTGGTGGAAACTATATCACCTGGCCCCCCGTTGGCAGCAGATGGCGACTTTAGCAGATCATCGTTGGTTGAAATGTTTCCGTCAATACTGTGTTTCAACACCAAACCGTGAACTGTCCGAAGGTGTCGCTGCAGCAGGTCCCGCCTGACAAACCCATTTTTGCAGATTGAGCATTGGAATGGCTTCTCCTTGGTGTGTGATCGCTCGTGTCGAAGCTTGTGCTCCGACCTGGAGAACGAGCGGGCACAGAATTGACAGATGTATCGCTTGGTCATTTATTTCAGATAAGGAAAACCGGGTACAAAATTCTTCTTATATATCTAGATTCAACTAGTTCGATAAAGGCTCCCCGCGATTTTTAGCCGTCAAATGCCACATACAAAAACCAGACGATACGAATTACGTTACCCCTCATGAACAAATGTTTTTATATTCATGTTTTTATTGCCGTGCGGGGAGCAGGCTGGTGAAAAATTACGAGGAAAAGGGACATTTTTTTTTGGTAGCAAATCTCTAATTTATATCATTATACTCGGAGTCCGGTTTATAATCGTATACTTAGTCTTTCTCGCTTAATGCGCACAATGCAGCGCCCACAGATGAGCCGTCTTTGGCAATGTTAATGTGCAGTCTTCTCTCTCCTTTGGCACCTATCTGCGTCTGCGCAATGGCGTCTCTCATCATAGTTCTGAATCCAGGGTAGAACTCAACCACAGACCCGTCTGCTCCAACGTCCACCTCAACGTTGTGGCCCTTAAAAGACTCGGTCATGTGTAGAATAGCAGCAATAGGAATAGCAGCAAGATAGGCAGATCTCTTGGCCACAGCACGAGTAAGTTTTTGAATAGCAAGTCTCTCCTCAGTAGTAGTTGGCAGTCTCAATGCCTGTTTCAAAGACAGCTCAGTGGCCTGCAAATTGGTGGAGTCGTCGATCTCAATCAGTGAGAGAACCTCAGAGTCCAGATCCCACGGCGTCCTCAATCTGTGGGGCAGGGATTCGTAGCTGGCGTACTGAGTAAATAGCACTCCCTTAGAGTGAAGGTCGACCAAAATATGTCTCAGAATCTCACCCAAGAACATTCCGGAAACACGCTTTTCAAACATGTGGAAGCCCTTATTGCCGGTAAGTTCGTCAACTTGAGCGTCATACTTCGTATTTGGCAAAACCTTGAGCTGGTTATCGAAGGAACCCCATTCAGTATTAATGACCATGTGGGTGACACCTTGAGCCTTCAGCTTCTCTCTCACCTCGGCCGGAAGCTTCTTGATATTCTCGAGCTTCTCGTTGTAAGCACCGTTTGTTCCCGTTCCGAAGATGCATCCTAGAACAGTAGTGCCCTCCTTATTGGAACCCGTGTAGGATCTTGCAAGAAGGGTTCCCACAGTATCGTTGGACAGGGCAGACACAGTAACAGGAATTTCCTGGGCGTCTAAATGCATTTGGAATAGAGAAACAACCTCTTGACCAACAGTATCCGGAATATTGAATCCCTTGGTCCATCTTAGCAAAGTACCGGCGTTTAAGGCGGTCTGCGAGACAGGGAAACTGAAAGTGAAACCCATCTTGAATTTCTGGCTTCCTGTAGAAGTAACAGCCCCTTCATGATGAGTCTCTAAGAAATTCTTGACCTTGCTTGCAAGATACGAAAACAATTCGTCCGAGGTGGAGGTCATCAGTTCGGCAGGAATATGTGACTTCTGCTGGATCAGTTTGAAAGTGTGATCTCCGTTCAAGGCAACAGAGCAAACTCTGAAATTGGTTCCTCCCAAGTCTGCGGCAAAAAGAATGCCCTTCTCTTTACCGGTTGGGATGGAGGTAACAAAAGTTGGGATCATTGGCAGACCATACTTGTCCTCATCACTATTCAGTCCGGCAGTTGCAAGCTCAATGAAACGCTCCACACCCTTTTGGAGTGTCTCCTGGGTGACGGCAAACTCCGACACAATCTTATCGACTTCAGTATCCAAACTCATATTTATTCTAGCAGATTATGTATTTTCACGGACTTTGGTGGTGTTAAATATCACGGAAGGATGTCAAACGATTAGCGGGCGCACGACTTGGGATGGGATGATCTTTCTAATTATGGGGAGACCGGGGAAATGCGGAGCTGCATTGCATATGTGGGTTCTATTTCCCCTTCAATGACTATGTGAATAATCCGTTCCGGAACGGTACATTCAGTTCGGAGGTATTCACACGTCGGCTGATCCTCGTCTCAAATTCTTTTAGACCTGCGTATTTTTCCGAAATCTTTCCCGGTAGCACACCTCTGCACCGCATAAACTTTTTTTTTATTTTCTGACTTGAATAAATAAATAATATAAGGTTAATTAATTCTTATCTTGACATGTCACCAGCAAAAACCATTCTGGCCTCCAAGATTGCCAAACGCTTCACTGATGAAATTCAGGCAAAGGCAGCTTTGTTGGCTAGACGTCCTAAGCTTGTAGGCTTGCTTGCCAACCCAGATCCTGCTGCCAAACAGTATGCTGAATGGACCGGTAAGACGAGCGAGTCACTGGGATTCGATTACCAGTTGATCCAGGTTGAAAAGGAACAGCTGGAAGACCAAATCTATAAATGCAACGAAGATTCCTCGGTTAATGGTATTATGGTTTACTTCCCGGTTTATGGAGACGGTCAGGATCGCTATTTGCAACAGTGTGTTGCTGTGGAAAAGGACGTTGAAGGCTTGAATTTCCGTTATGTGTCCAACATGTATCACAATATCCGCTATTTGGATGAGAAACAGGAGAAGAAGTCCATTCTTCCGTGCACTCCTTTGGCGGTCGTGAAGATCTTGGAGCATTTGGGTGTCTATAATCCTTTATTGAACTATGGAGACAGGCTATATGGAAAGACCATTACTGTGGTCAATCGATCGGAAATTGTGGGAAGACCTTTGGCTGCTCTGCTCGCCAACGATGGTGCTACCGTTTACTCGGTTGATATTAATAGCATACAGATCTACGAGCGTGGTGATGGCCTGAGACTCAAAAAACACGTGGTTTTAGACTGTGACAAGAGTCTGAAAGAATGTGCGTTGTCTTCTGATGTCATCATTACCGGAGTTCCTTCAGAGTCGTACAAGTTTCCTACCGAATATGTTAAACGCGGTGCTGTGGCCATCAACTTTGCAAGCCACAAAAACTTTAACGACGACGTGAAAGACGTCGCCTCCCTTTATGTTCCGTCCATTGGAAAAGTCACTATTGCCATGCTATTACGCAATTTGCTGAGGCTGATAGAGAACAATGCTAAATAGAGATTCCCTTATATATCCGACGCGTCTATCGACGCAATTCAAGAATAGTTCGTATAAATTTTTTTCAGATCCGTTTAGAAAGTTGACTCAGTCTGGGGAGAACCTTTTACCTGAATATCAATATCGCATAAAAATGACAGTGCCAAATATTCGGATATTCAAGTGCATTGCTGATCTCCGCAAGTTTCGGAAAGATTGCTGGATCAAGGATTTGTCTGTTGGATTTGTTCCTACGATGGGATATCTTCACGAGGGACATCTTTCTCTGGTCCGCCAATCGCTCGAGCAAAATGACGTTACCTTGGTATCCATTTTTGTGAATCCATCGCAATTCGCACCCCATGAAGATCTGGATGCCTATCCGCGCAACATTGAGCGCGACCTTCAACTTCTGGAGTCCGTCGTTTCCAAGGACAGGGCCCGTAAGGTAGCCGGGGTTTTCACTCCGTCCGTTAAAGAGATGTATCCAAGTGGCATTCCTCTTGAGACTAGCCAGCAGAAAGGAGCCTTTGTGAGCGTGTACGGAGTTTCCGAACAACTAGAAGGCCGCGCTAGACCTCAGTTTTTCAGAGGTGTGGCTACCGTTGTCACTAAACTGTTCAATATTGTGGAGCCCACAAATGCATATTTTGGACAGAAGGACGCCCAGCAGTCTATTGTTATCAAAAGAATGGTGTCAGACTTGTTGTTCAACGTCCAAATCCATGTTGTTGATACTGTGCGTGACAAGACGGGTTTGGCCCTGAGCTCGAGAAACTCCTATTTGAGTGATGAAGTGAGAAAACAGGCCAGTGTATTGTACCGCTCCATGACAGATGCTCGCTCACAGTACGCAGCCAACGGCAATTTGACCGCTGGAGAGCTGAAAGCCAGCATCGAAAAGACCATTGTTGGTGAAAACGACAAGTTCGAAATCGATTACGTCGCATTCAATTACGCGGACACCCTCGAATATGTTCCTGAAGATGCCACCATCGACAAGGACCGAGAATGTCTTTTGAGTCTGGCCGTGAGAGTTCCGAACAGCAACACCGCAAACAGCGGAACAACCCGTCTTATTGACAACATCGTGTTCACGAAATGAGTTTGCGTTGCTCCTCGATGAGCCTTGCGAAGTCACGTTCTCTGCGGGCCTGATTCTCTCTGGATGTGATGCCTTTCTCCTTAGCAGCATAAAATATCTCGCCGAACTCGCACAACCACTCTCCATCAACTGCCGTTACGTAGTTCATGTATTCGCGACCGGTTAATAAGAGCTCATGGTAAATGACATATTTGGGCAAGTCGCCCATGCCGTAAAGAGAAGCCGTCGGGTGCAGCTTCATCTGCAGTCCGGTCCGCAAATTGACGTACTCACCATGCTTTTTAAACTGAGCAGCTTGGTGAAAAAAGGAAGCACACAAACACTTCCTGATCACATCCCAGTCGGGATTGCTCAGAATGGCCAGTTTCTGCGATTTCATGATCTGGCTCAACTGCGAATGAATCTCGATTGCGCGTCGGAGCGACTTGTACTGTAGAAAGTTTTTGGAACACCAGCTTTCTTTGCAACCATTCGACTTGAACAGGTTAAAAATATTAACCAACGTCAAATGGTCGCTTTCGGCAACCTGAAACTTCTCTCGGATGGAGTCTGAACGTCTCTGCAACGCTGCATCATGCGTAGGTCTTACAAAGATAGGTGGAATCGAAAGCATGGCCACGATGGTAATCACTTCTTTAGAGCATTGGAATTGCTTGAAGGATGAAATAATCAGGAGTCTTGAGAGAGCCGGATCGATTGGGAAGTTCGACATCTTTTTTCCCAATGCAGTCAGCCTCCCAAAGTTGTCCAAGGCGCCCAGACACCAAAGATCGTACTGGGCGGTGTTTATGGTCTCAATCGGAGGCCGGTCCAGGAAGGGAAATTTTGACAAATCTTCCACCTGCAAATACTTGAGAAGCAGGATGGTATTGCTCAAGTTGGTACGCTGTATTTCGGGAATTGGCTCAGCAAACATCTCGTTTGCAGCTGCGTACTGAGTGTAGAGCCGGTAGCACAGTCCCGGACCTGTTCTACCAGCTCTTCCAGACCTCTGGTTCGCCTGTGCAAGTGATATTGGCGTAATTTGCAGCGTGTCCATACCTAACTTCGGGTTATAAACCTTCAGCTTCATCAGCCCTGTGTCCACAACAAACCGTATACCGTCAACAGTCAAGGACGTTTCGGCAATGTTGGTGGCCACCACGCATTTTCTGAATTTTGATTTTCTGAAGATTTTTGCCTGCAGATCGGCCGGAAGAGTGGAGTATATGGGCAAGATCTCCAGCGGCTGGAGCGTATCATCGGATTTCATAAGATCCATGAGCTGTTTTTCGAGCTCCTCGCAGGTGGTCTCGATATCCTCCTGACCAGTCATGAAACATAAGATATCACCAGGTTCGCTACGGAGGTGCACTCTGATTATCTGTTTCACGGCACTGGCAACGTAGTCCTGCACGGCAATAGCCGAAAACATCACCTCAACAGGATACGTTCTTCCTGGAATGGTGAACTGCTCTGCATTACCGAAGAATTTGGAAAATTTGAAAGCATTCATGGTGGCCGAGGTGATGATTAATTTGAGATCTCTGCGGCGAGTGAGTATTCGCTTAAACAGACCAAGCAGTATATCTGTGTTTAACGACCGTTCATGAGCTTCATCCATCACAATGCACGAGTATTTGTCGAGCTCCGAGTCCACCAGTGCTTCTCGAAGCAAGATACCGTCGGTCATAAATTTAATGCGTGTATGAGAAGAGGTGCGGTCCTCGAACCGGATCGAGTATCCAACCTCTTTTCCTAACTTCACTCCCATCTCCTCGCTCACCCTTTTGGACACAGAAAGTGCAGCCACTCGTCGAGGCTGTGTGACGCCAATGAGTCCGCCGTACTTACAGTAGCCTTCGTCGTACAGAAACTGCGGGATCTGTGTCGTTTTTCCAGACCCAGTTTCTCCAATCACCACAATGACCTGGTTCTCGGAAATCACCTTCATCAGCTCGGAACGAGCCTGATATGCTGGTAGTCTTTTTCTCTGTTGCAATATTGCTTGACGGCCGTACGTGTGCTGGTCCAGAAATTTACCACCTTCTTTGGGCTCAGGGTCTTCCGTGGCGTCTTCCTTTGCGCCCAGAATCTTTCCCAGACGAGAGTTGTTCATGCTTGCAGCATCTGTGGCACCTTTTTTCCTATCTTTGTTGGCTCGCCGCTCATTGACTATTGTGGATCCCAATTTGCTATACTTATACAAGTCTCCTGTTTTGTCTCGAACAGTCTCGATGACTTCTAGCTTTTTAGTCATGATGGTTGCAGAGTCTAAGAACGGCGGCGTTAGACGATGGACGACGAGATCAATGTCAGGAGCCCCTTCTTCGTCGTATCGAGAACGGCCTGCCGACGAGTCAACGGTTCTGCGCTTAAAAGTAGGTCTTATCTCGTGCTCCATCAGATCGTAGTCCTCGTATTCCATAATAGGGTGCGAGACTGTCTCGTCTTGGGTATACCACTCGCGATCGTTCTCAACATCAGACTCTTCCTCTATGTCAGCTGAAGGAGACAAGTCGGCCTTCATCTCGCGTTCCTTAGCAGCCATGCTGGCCAGAGATGGTTGTTGAGTTGACTGTGGTATCTTTTGTGGCTGTTTTGAGGGCTCCGCGTCTCCATGAGGATCATCCTGCTGGTCCTGCCTGCTTTCACGTTCTTTTAGTCGAGTCGCATCTGCCTTGGTGATTTTTTTGAAAGTCACTTTGGGCTTCTTGGGTACACTTCGCTCTCCCAGATCCTCCTCCTCGTCGGAAAAATGCAGATCCAGCTGCGGCTTGCGTCGTTTCCCGTCCATAAGCACTAATTACCTTGATTTCAGGTATTTACAAATGTACATCCTTACACTAACCGTTACCACACCTCGCGCCACGTTGGTTGATTTTTCGCAGAGACCTGATTTTTCATCCGTTCCAAGAAACTCAACTTCATTATCGTTCGCTCAACTTTACTTGCCAGTGCAACTTGATCAAATCACTATCGCTATTTTTGTCAGCTGCTTATTGATCGAAAGATTCAAAATTGGCTAAGGTTCCTTTTTGCCCATTTTGGATTGATTGCCTCTGCTTCGAATATGAGAGTGACGAAAAAGGGCAGAAAAGAGGAGGTGGTGGCGATCAAACAAGATCCAGAGCTTGTTGATGGGTCTGGGCTGGCGTCTCCCGCAGTTTCTTACGATAGTTCTTCTTCGGCATCGTTTGGTAAGCTCCCTAACTTGGAGCAGATGAATTCTGAGATCGGTTCGGTGAGAACCCGCGATAGCAGCATCGAGCTGGAGTCCTCATTTCTGGTGATGCCGGTGAATCGGAACTCACAGATGGCATCCAAGGGCCCGCCTTCCTACGCTAAAAAGATCTGGAAGATAAATAAGTTTAAGACGGACGATGCCGAAAAGCAGTCGAAAATAATACAGGATGCCCAAAACCTCGTATTAAACGACTCTTCCGCCAAGACGAACAAGCATGGATTCAGGAAAACCAACGTCAAGCCCAAAGTCAGCAAGGAGGGCACTCCAAAGGAGTTTTTATTCGTGAACTGTACGCCGACTGCTGCTGCAGAATCTCCGGCAGATGAGCACGAAAAAAAAGCTACAGCCGGGCCTCGCAGAGTTTCGCGGCTTTTCGGAAGTCGCTCATTGAAAAAGGACAAGGACAGCAAGGAAGCGGACTCTCAGCCCCAGACAGTCAAAACGGAAGCTCAGGAGCAAAACCCGAACGGGCGCATGCCGTTTTCGAATTCTTCGTCGTCAGTGTTTGTGGGGCCAGAATCGTCAAAAAGATCGTCTCTACGAAAATTTTGCAGCCGCAAACCAAAAGGCGAGGTCCACCAACCGGTTGACTCGTCCTCCGCAGCGACTCCCTCAGAGTACTCCTTGACTCCCAAGAGCGCCACAGGCAACCCGAATGCGCCCTACACGCCGATAACGCCAATTCTGTCCACAAGCTCTTCCATGACCTCGATGGTCTCTAGTGCCACTCCACAGCCGGAAAACTCTGCTTGGTTTGGACAATATTCGACGCCGTTCACGATGTCAGCTACCGTGGGTGCTCGTGACCGCTCGGACTCGCTGCAAAATAAACAGCTACTGCAGTCGCCAATGGTCAACACGCCATCGCAGCACGGAGACAACGAGTCTGGAACTCCGTACGACGAATTGGTCGAGGTATCTCCGGTTAGTACCTCTGTTACTAAGAAAATGAAGACTCTCAGACGGTCAAACTCCATAATCTCGGTGATTTCTGTCTCATCCCAGTCCCAGTATCCTCCGTCATCCCTTTCTTCTGGTGGTTTTTCCGGCCTCGGAGCAGCATTCTCGCCATCAAACCCTGGATCGGCTTTTTCCAGCAACAGAGTTGCACCAAGAACTCGTTCGGCAAGCAACACAGTACCCAACACGGCCCAGAAAAATCCGTTGATCAAGACTCTAAGCCATCAGAGTATGCAGTATGTTTATCCGACAGTTCCAAAAAATGCCCCTCCCGGCGTCAATCAGCCTCTCGTGGATCCGCAGTTCATAAACCACAACGAGTACTCCCCATTCGCCCAACAGCAACAACTAGATACCTATTTCGAGGCCTCTCCGTCCTTTCAAGAAACATCTTATCCGTACGCTTTGACTATGGAAGAGCTCAAAAAACAGCATGACGACCTTATACAACAGCATCAGTCGTTGTTCTATTCGTTTGGCCCGATGGAACAGGAGCAGATACCAGTAGCCAACTACGGCACTCCTGTCACAAGTTTGTATTCTTCAACTCCATTGGGCCACTCGAACAGCACGTTCACTACCAATTCTGCCCAAGACCCGTCACAAACTCAAACTGGTCTGGATCAAGAGAGTTTTGACCTGCACTCCTTTATTGAAGGGAACCGTCATTGCAACTAAAGAGACTGGATCTCAGATTGCAACCCATCCTCACACCGAGTAAATGAAAAATTCTTCTTAGATAGCTTGAATTCACGAAAAATATTTCTCATTACTGTATGGGCAGTCGCTCAAGGTTGTTATCACTGAACTTCCCCCGATTCCTCCACATGAACCCCCAAATCGACGCTTCAAAGTACAAGGTCCTCACTGAGGGCTCTGCATCTGTTCTTTTCCCGCCAGATCAAGTTTTTTACAACCCTGTCCAGCAATACAACAGAGACCTGAGCTCGCTAGCTATTCGGGCATTCTCCGAGATATATTACGAAGAGAAGCTCGCAAGAAAACGCAAACATGACAAAGAATCTCCTGATCCGAAAGATTGCGAGCCGCAGCCGTACGTAAGAATTTTGGAAGCTCTCTCTGCTACAGGTCTTCGTGCTATTCGTTATGGTAAGGAGATTCCACTCGTTTCCAAGGTGGTAGCAAACGATCTTTCTACAGATGCTGTCAACGCAATTAATCTCAACATCGAATACAACAGAATACAAGACAAAGTGGAGGCCAATGAGGGGGACGCTATCCGGGTGATGGCTGATTCGAAGGACCAATTCCATGTTGTCGATCTGGATCCCTATGGAACTGCAGCTCCCTTTGTCGACTCGGCTCTGAATTCACTCAAGGACGGGGGTCTTTTGCTGGTCACTTGCACGGACCTTGGCGTGCTAGCTGGAGCTGGCTATCCTGAGAAATGTTTTGCATTATACGGAGGAAGTCCATTGCATGGAGACGTTACTCATGAATCTGCTCTTAGACTCGTCTTGCACATGATCTCAACGACTGCTGCTAAATACAAAAAATGGATCGAGCCGCAGCTCTGTTTATCTATTGACTTCTACGTCCGTCTGTTCATACGGGTCAGGACATCTCCTATCAAGGTTAAAGAGCTTGCGTCCAATCAGATGATATGCTACAAATGTTCTGGATGCTACACTATTTACAATCAGCCTCTCGGGCGATGGACGGAGAATCCAAATGCAACCGCTAAACAAAACAGTAAGAAGTACGGCCTGAGTAAAGGGCCGCCTGTTGGTCCAGAGTGCACATTCTGCGGCTTTACAAATCACCTTTGTGGTCCAATGTGGAGAGGACCTCTGCACAATCCTGCATTTATTGACCGCGTTCTTGGCCTTGAAGAGTCGGCAGATGAGTCTATATTCAAGACTCGTCCTCGAATCAAGGGTATGCTGACGATGGCCAAAAATGAGCTGGTTGACGTTCCCTTCCATGTCAAGACAACGACACTTTCTGCAATTCTGAAAGGACCAAGCCCATCGCTCGATACATTTGCGGCTGCACTGTCAAATCTTGGGTACCGGGTCTCGCTCTGCCATTCGGCCCCCGGTGCAATCAAGACTGACGCTCCATATGAGGTTATCTGGTATGTCGGCAAGCTGTGGACAGAGAAGAATGGAGTGACGGCCGACAAACTGAACCCAAACACTGCCGGACACAGAATCATGACGGATAACTCAATTGGCAAGAACATTGATCTTTCGTCGCTTAACAAGGATAAGAAAGTCGACGATATAACCTGGTTGTTCCAGCCCAACGGGGAAAGCAAAAAGCTAAAGGAATTGCGCAAGATAAAGATTGTCAGATACCAGGAAAACCCAACGGCCAATTGGGGTCCTAAAGCCAGACCTCACTAATTTTTGTATAATGAATCGATCGAACGCACCAACTATAGAGAGTCTATTTGAGCTTCCTGATGTGTAAAGTGGTAGCTTTTGACATCTTTCCAGAAGTACTTGTTGTTCCTTGAATCCCAAAACATCCAGCTTTGGTTAATTCGAGAATAAAAGTCTGGGTGCTGTTTTATGGCCGTCTAGCACCACCTGCAACGCTCTGGTTACAGGATGAACATATTTTCAGAGGCTCCAGAAGCATGGCATATGTCGTATTTGTCGATAACAAATGCCCTCGAGCTTTGTGCCACGTCAACCCTTACAGAAAGTGCGTGCACTAGTGGCACATTTCTTCTATCTCTACTCTGCATCAAGCAGATCGAGCATCAAATCGGGCGGTGTACAGTGTGGTGTAAAGATTTTCGAAAGCACAATACTATCATGTCCCTGGCCACAGAAATCGCCGTGCTCAGCGAGCTGGTCGACGTCCTTATGTCCCCGGAATCGTTCAACATAAGTGCCGAGGACTTGTTCACTCACCTCAACTCGACCTCACGACAGCCGGCCGGCTCCGACGTCACCGTCCGTACCATTGATTTCCACAGCTTTCTAGAACTTGGGTACAAGCTTACAGATACAAACATGACCGTCGAGAACCTCATCACATTGTTGTCATCCAATGTGTACATCAACAACTTGTCGGAGGTCCCGATAAAACGGTCAGACGAGTATCTGCCCGACCTGAGATTTGTGATCAAAAACACCTTTTTACTATTCATTACGTTCTTCAAACGCGTCGGCCAGCCTAATCCATCCGTTGCAGGCCTTGTTATGCTGCTAAATGTTTCGATCGTCAACAAACTAATCAAGATCCTCAAAGCTCTCAACCCGAACATCAGGCTCAAGAGTGAGGGCCTCCTACTCAAACTAATGCTGTATCAACGTTAATATGTACACGCTCACGAATAAATACGACTAGCGATCTTCATCCACACGTAGTTGGCAAACCGTCGCCCAAGCACCTTCCCGATGACAGGCAACAGCACGAAGTTCAACAGAGTCTTCAACTGCACAAGGTTCTCCTCCCACTCCTTCTGCGGGTCGTGGTACACAAGATCTGTCTCGTAAGTGTACTCTGAGTCATCGTCGCTAGAATCAAACTCCCGGTCATCCGTGTCGTGCAGAGCAAGATTCTCTGCGCTCAGCTCCATAAACCAAATAGAAATACGAAATATTTCAACTCTTTCACGGCTGCTTAGCTAATCACATAGCTGGGGCAGCGGGAGCAGGTGGCTCGCGAGCACAGGGTAAGGAGATGCCATATGAGGACGTTATGGACCACATCAGCGGATTTGAGTTGTGTGCTTTGTGAGCTTCTCCTGCTTTCACGTGACTGTCTGGCGTGAATATTTTAATTTATGAAATTACTCGGTACCAATCCGTCAAGGACCAGTTTGTATGAGCATGCGACGAATTTCCGCTGGGACAATACTCTGCGAAGCGACGAGTTTGCGCCGATGTCGTTTGTGTCTTCGCGAAACCAGCGACTGAATTTCGATCGGCTCAACGACCGTTCGTCCACTCTCGAGAACATTAAAGACTCCACCGATGAACTTTATCTGGGTGACCAGCAATTTGGTGCGATGGACAATCTGCGGATCAGCCTCGATACTCTGCGGCTGAAACTTCCCTTTTTGGACCAGATAAAGCGCAGAACGACAACAAAAGTGCAGCCGAGAGGACCTAGAAAAAGACAGGTCCAGCTCAGCTATTACGGTGAAGAGGCTGACGACGACGCCGATTCGCGTCCCCTGTTTATGAAACAGACGAACGTGAAATACAGAAAGAAAGCAAGGTCCATCAGTGACAAGAAAACAGCAGGTTCTGTTGTACAGTATGAAAGTGCAAAATTTCTAGAGTATCCGCAGCTTTCGATTCCGCAACCCCCTGCAAACTACGTGTCTACCAACTTTGTCGATAAGCTTGAGGGCGAGCTTTCAAACAGGCTGTCATCGCATGATTACCGGTTGATTTTAAACAACTACAGCTACGTTCCTCTGGAAGATGTTGAACGCAAATTTGCGCTGTATCTGTACGTACAGAGCCGGCTCCACGACGCAGATACGCTTATCGACACTGAAAACGAACGCCTGCTGCAAAACTACCTCAACTCCTTAAAGAATAATAAATTTGTCGAGTCCGCTGACGACACAGACGAAGCAGCCAGCGAGATGGTGCGACGCAAAAACCAGCGGGTGCGACGCATAGAGCGCCACATCGAGCTGGACGAGCGAGTCGCTCGCAGACTCGGTCTCCATAAATAGTATAATTATTCCAGCGCAAGGTCGCCTAGCTGCTCGCGCAGTTTTCTTTCTCGTGCTTCTCGTATCTTTTGGTCCTTTTTAATACTGCTTAGGCGTCCTGTTTCTGACTTCCACGCTTTATCGTGTTCCTGGTACTCCTCGTCCGCTGATATGTATTGGGCAGCCTCGTTATCCGGCGGGGCCAGCAGGCTGCGCACCTCTCTGGAAGAAATATAGTGCACGTTCAGCTCGGAGCCAAAAATATATCTGAGATGCAATAGTCGGATGTATTCGAACCAGCTGGTGATTGGCAGCGTCTTAGACCCGCTGAGCCTGAATCTCGACAACACTTCTGTCTCGTCGTTTTCTTCGTGCTCCTGTTTCTCGATACTCCGCAGAACGTCTCTGAATATTGACCGAGACTCTTTTTTATCCTTCTTGCTCACTTTCTTCGAGGAATATCTCACCAGCTGCGTCAGAATACCCTTCAGGTCGTCTATATCGTGGTAAGGTTCCTCCTCCTCCTCATAGTCAAACACCTCGTACATCAGCGCAATCACAACAGCGGCTGTTTTCTGTACCTTCTTGGTGAACTCCTCAGCCAGGAAATTCATCAAAAGCGGAATGTTGTCCTGTATGGTGGCGTTGACCTCGCGTCCGGCTTTATAAAGCAGACTCACCACAACACCAACTGCATTGAGAGCATTCACAACAATATCCTCGTCATTTTCGGTTAGACTGCCGGAACCAAACCCTTCCGCCAGCTCCATCAGAGTCTCGACGCTATTTTCCAGGCCGTAGCAATGCGACTCGTTGTAGATCACTAAAAGCAAGCTCGCATATGCAATTAAACAGCTCGAACGAACGCCCTCGAAGGTCTCCTCTGTGCTGTAGATTTTATCAAGCAGAACAGGAAACAAACTCTCCACAGCTACCGTAGCCACCTCGTCTGGGTCGCTGGCTATGTAAGCGACCGCCGAGCGCAGAGAAAACACAAATTCGAGCCCAGAACGCGCCGTCTTGACAAACGAGATCAACGACTCCAGGTCCGTCTCATTGACCACCTTTCCGTTGGAGCCCAAGGGCTTTTTCACAATCATACGATACAGTTCGCCAAGCAAAAATTCTCGCGACGACGAGTTGATTTTGCTTCTGGATTGGCCCAGCGCCGTTATCACGTCCGAAACAGTGTATATTTTCACCACGCCCCCGTCGTCGCCGGCCTCGCCAGTGTCTTCCTCGCTGTCGATGATGGACCCGATCAGCGAGTTTGCCCTGCTCTCCTGTCGGCTCATCGGTGACCCGGCCACCGCCACAGTGGACGACAGGGACTCCGTGCTTTGTATTTTTTGGCGCAGCAGGTCGTCCAGCCTCATGAAGCTCATGTCCATCAGGCTGTCGTCAAACTCGTTGTATTCGGCGTCCATATTGGGGCTCTTCAGACTAGGACTGCGTAGTCCAGACTTAGACGACGCCCTACCGTCCGAACGCGACACGTTACGGTGAGATGATCGCATCTCGCGGTGTAATTGAGACATGGCTTGATTAATAAATAAAGGTAAATTATTTGCTCTATCTGTGTGCGGCTCATTATTTATTTCTGTATACTAAGTGAGCTACACATTTTCATTTACTCGTGGCGGTCGTTTGCGTCCACGTGGAATGGACTGATACTCTCCTGGCTGTGTGGACCGCCACTTAATCTCTCAAGCTCCTGTTTTAAAGCTGCCACCTGCTGCTGCAGACCCTTGTTCTCTTTCTGAAGAATCTGGATGTACTTGGACGACAGCTCCACTGTGGTGGCTTTGGACGGCACTGCGACCTCGTTCTTGAGTGCATCTGGAATGATTTTTTCAAGGTCCTGGATGGCCACGTTCATCCTGTTCCGTCTGCCTTGCTCCGCAAGTTTGTGGGTCATTTTCCTGTCTGTCTGGGAAGATTTTGAGGACCCGCCCGAGTTGCTGCGGGCCTTAGTGTAGTACAAGCCTTCGGGGCTCTGGCTGGGCTGTGTGTCGTCGTTGTTCTGGATGACTGGTGACGTCTTGAGAGACGACGATCTGGAAGACGATTTCGAGGCTCCGTTTATGTGCAAGGGAGGCACAGTCGCTGATGGCAGGTGCTGGTTGTCCTGGAGCAAGAAAGAGCTGGACGACGGCAAGATCACTGGCGATGACTGGGCGGATGTGGCGTTGTGGTTGGGGTTCTTCAAAACGTTATCTTTTGCAATAATTCTCGGTGAGTTCTTAGCAGACAGTTTGGCCAGCGCGAATGACATCATGGCGGCCGGCGTGGCTGCAGACGGGTTGGCCGTGTCCATATTGACCGGTTTGTTATCTGGCTCACCTTGTTGTGAGTACGACCTGGATGGCAGCTCCATGGCACTGAAGTCTTCCTCCTTTGTGGGCGCATTAGAAGGCGGAAGCATAAGATCGTTGGATGTGGCAGACTCGGGCAGCATGTCGAAAAAGTTCTGAGACTGGCTGCTGTAAGACTTGTTTCTAGATCCGTACGACCGGCGGGCGCCAGAAACAACAGGCGACGATGGTTTCACGGACGGCGACTGTTTGATGCGTGCAGAGGGGCCCGACTGTTGCTGCTGGAACCCATTTGGATTGGCCGGCCCAAAAAGCGGCGTCCCGTTGGGAGTTTTCGATCGTTTGTACGACGTTCTTCTTGCGCCGTCGTCGCCTGGCACTGGCGACGACATATTGGAGGTGTTTTCGTCGCGTCTTTTTTGTCTGAAGCCGGTCGCGCTGTTTACCTGGCTGGGGAAACGCGAGCTCTGGAACTCCAGAGCCGGCGACGTGAGCGGGCTGAAACCCACTTTCTTGTGCACGTTTTCGTCCTGAACCGCCTGCTGGTAGCCCGTGCCGTATGGAGGGTTAACGGCGTGTTCCAGCGGAGTCACTGCGGGCGAAACAAGCGGCGTGAACACGTCGTTCGGGCGTACTGCCGCGGCAGGGGCAGTTTCGGTACGCTGAAACATCTGCGGAGGCTGCTGGTAATCATTAGGGTCTGTGACTTGTTCGTGGTCAGTCTTCTGGGACGCAAAAGACGAGTAGTTGTCGTGTCGATGCGGCGAGTCGTTGTCTGGATGGGCTTGAGCAGCATGCTGTTGGTGTATCATGTGGTCCAGGTGCTGGATCTCGTGTAAATTCGTGAACTCCGACCACTGTAAGTCCATACTTTCGAAATTCATCTCCGACAAGTCTGAGTGCTCCAGCGATTCCTGATGGCCCTGGGTGTCGAGGCTATTATTTCCTGCGTTTGGGGGATGCGAGTTCGACAGATGGGACTCATCTGCTGGCGAGTCTGTGTAGATACTCTGTTTGGACATAGCCGAAGCAGACATCAGGCTCGTCATTCCCTGCTGGATTATTTAAAGAAAGACGTTGATGCTTAGTAGCTAACTCTTGAGACCTAACAAATATTTTATAAAACTGGATTTGCTCTGAGAAGCCCCTACGAAATATAACAATGCGGTGCTCGTAAACGGCAAACGGAAATGCAAGCTAGGTTCTCTAAAGGGAAGCAGGACGTGCGGGAACGTTGCCTGCCGGGTGCATCGTTGCCCATTCCACCGTCGAGCGATCATTGATAGCCGGGTAACAGCCACGTGGGGTGCATTTCGCTCACACGAGCCGTCTAACACAAACGACAATTTTGTCGATAAGTGAAGCGGTGCAAGGGTGCTGACGTTTACACAGAGTGCTTGAATGATAAATAAATAGTGGCTACGTCTGACAGACACAGCGCCCTCATCCATGAGTGGCCTTGTGGTATGCGCTTTCGCTTGCAGGGTGAGGCGCCAACGGCTCGTAAATCTGGTTGCCTGGCTTGAAAACCTCTCTATTCCCGTCATCCGGAATGCGTTTCTGCAGGTTCAGGTTCTTGAACACGCAATTGTTGAGAAGCCACTCAGCTTTTCTACAGTTTTTGAGCTCCATGTTGGAATAGTTCAAACACTGGAAATGCAGCTCGAACTCCTTCTTGCAATGGGTGTTCAGATCGCGGATCACGCTGGCCGCGCATCTCGTCACTCTGCGGCCCTCTGTCAAGCAGTTGATGGTACCATTCTTGCCATTTTCCTGGTGGCACTTCATAAAGTCGTCATTGTACTCTTTGCATCTGTCGCCGATGAAAAACGAGGCACTGACCAGAGGTCCCGTGGTGGCTCCTATCTCCTTCACGTGGGGGATTTCCTTTGGGAGAGGGGCATTTTCCAGCACGTACTGAGTGTCTCTTAACTTGTCTGTGACCTTAGACGTGGAAATGGAGTCAAAAGTGTTGGTTGACGACATCGGGAATAGAAGCTATTTGGCTTGGATATTACTCCTCAAATGGCTCCGGGTAAGCTTTTTTCGAATCCCTAAAAAAAAATATACATTTTTGATTCTTCTTGGTACACCATGTTTGAGTTTGTGTCATTGGCACCGCCAAAACAGATTGCCGAGCCTGTGGATGAACCCGATGAAGATTCGTACGACCCCTTTGAAGATCAAGACGTGAAGGATGAGGACGAAGACGACAAGAAAGTTTTGCAGCTTGAACAGCTGAAAAACACCTCCAAGACACAAGCCAGACTTCTCACTTTTGACGGCCAAATCAATATCCTGGCCGACCCTGGATGGGACGGAGTGAGCGATCTATCGTATTTGGAGCCGCACATCCCCAACATCCATCTAATCATTCTCTCGCAAACGACCACCGAGTACCTCGGAGCCTTTGCGTATCTTCTGTACAAATACCCGATTCTTCGCAAAGTGAAGACGTACGCGACGCTTCCTGTTTCCAAACTCGGACGATTGGCAGCCATAGAGCTCTATAGATCGGCTGGGCTGGTTGGCCCGCTGAAGGGTGCCGTTTTAGACGTGGAAGACGTGGAAAACTACTTCAACTCCATCATCACAGTCAACTACTCCCAATCCGTGTCTTTGACAGGCAACTTGTCGGGAATCACCATCACAGCGTTCAATTCTGGCCATACACTAGGAGGATCGTTCTGGCTGCTCAACAAGGATGCTGAGAAGATTGTGTACGCTCCCACATGGAACCACTCCAAGGACTACTTTCTGAAACCGGGCCGCTTGAACTTGCCAAATCTTCTCCGTGCCACCACTTTGATCAGCGGGTCTGATTTAGGGTCCTCGTTGTCGCACAAGATGCGAATCAGCAAGTTCATGGAGCTAGTGAAACTCACGTTGATGAACGGGACGTCCATTTTGCTCCCGACCTCTGTCACCGGCAGATTGCTGGAGCTGCTTCCTTTGCTTGACCAGAATGTGCCGATAGATATCAACTTCTACCTTGTCTCTTTCACAGGCAAGAAATCGTTGGAATTTTCGGGCAACATGCTGGAGTGGATGTCGCCGGATATCACCAAGAACTGGGAGAATCAGAACCGAACGCCGTTCGAGTCGAACAGACTGAAACTCATATCATTGCGGGATCTTGCCTCGCTTGACCACAGGCCAAAGATAATCTTTGTGGACGGCACAGATCTCAACGAAGGGTCTCTTTCTAGAGATTGTTTCGTAGAGCTTTGTTCCAAGCACAACACCGCGCTGATCATGACTGAGAGGCCGGAAGTGAACACCACAGCATATGATGTGTACAAGGAGTGGGAGAGCAAGGTAAAAAGCGATAATAATCTGAAAGACGGCGCACTGACCATTCTTGAAAAACAGATGTCTCTGTCCGTAACCAGGGAGGAAAAACTGCGTGGCTCGGAACTGAATGCCTACAAAAAAACTGTTGAGGAGCGTAGGCAGCGCCGCAAGGAGCAGGAGGTGCAAGAAAGACTGAACAACGACCTTCTGGACACGCTGATCGGCGAGGACGAAGACGATGATGACGACGATTCGGAACTTTCTGACGGAGAAGACGCTGGTGCCGACGCCGAAAATGGAGAGAACGACGAAGTCAAGACCACAACAACGTCCACCGCGCTGATTCAGTCCACACATTCAGCAAAGGACGAAGAGGAGCATATCACTGTCGACCAAATTTTGCAGATGCCTATGGACTTTGACGTGCGGAATGCCAAAGGAAGAAACAGGATGTTTCCCTTCATTGTCAAAAAAGTCTCCGTCGACGACTACGGGGAAGTGATCACACACAGCGATTTTATGAGAGAAGAGGAAAAGTTTCCTCTCAACAAGCCCGCCTACGAAGAAGAGGTGGAGGAAGTTGTGGAAGAATATCTGGAGAACGGGAAGAGAAAAAGACGCACGGTGAAGAGGCAGGTCAAAAAAAGTAGAAAAGCAACTGTCGTTGAACAGGCGAAGGAAAAAGACACCGTCTACAACCTGGACGCGCTGGCAGATCCGAAAGTGCGCAGCATCAAACCCATTTCTGTGGAAGTCCGGTGCGGTCTCGCGTTTGTGGACCTGTCTGGATTGGCGGATCTGAGATCCATGAGAATCACCTTCAACTCGGTGAAACCTCGTAAGGTCATCTTGCTTCCAAACACCACACAGGCCTATATGGGGGGCGCGTTGGACGTGATGGGCGCGGTCATGGCCCAGCAGAAATCCAAGATGCTGGCCATTTACCAGGCTGACGACGCATCTGGCATTCTAGGCACAGATTACATTCTTTCCAAGTTCAACGAAAAAATCGACCTCGGCAACGTCGTCACTTCGTATGACCTCGTCATCTCCAACGAGCTCAACAACACGCTCAACTGGCAGGCAATCACGGGCGGATACTCGATCGCGCACGTTTACGGAGAAGTGGTGCCAGTGACGCCCGGAGACAAGCATTTGAAGCTTGTCCCACCCACCAACGCTAACGTAATGCCTGTTTCCAACTCTATTAGTATTGGAGACATCAAATTAACAGAGCTGCGTCGCAAGCTGACGGAGCTCAACCATGCAGTCGAGTTCCGCGGGGACGGTACGCTCGTGGTCAACAACCAGCTTGCCGTCCGAAAAGTCACCGACGGTAACCTGGTGATTGACGGTGCGATGGGCCAGCTTTTCTACCAGGTTCGCAGCCTTGTCCAGGATATGCTCGCGTACGTTTGATAGAGGATAGATATATGCTGATTATGTAATATCTCCAGTAGATAAGCCTCGATAACAATTTCCTGACATCTGTCGGATGGGTATATTTACACAGATAAGGGACAGTTTACACTTCAAGCGGAGGTTTGAGCTGGGAGGTAAGCGGTTATTGTGCTGTACTAATTTTTGGATGTGCTGGGTGCTGGGTCCTTTGGGTATGTGAGACGGGCAGTTGATCAGCAGTCTGGACGGGAGGTGGCCATCAAGGTGATGAGCAAGAAGGCATTGGGAGAGCGCGTTTCCATGGTAGAAAACGAGGTGGTTTTGCTCAAGACGCTTGATCATCCAAACGTGGTGCGATTCATAGACTACTATGAATCTCCAAGCTCATTTTATCTCGTTACAGAGCTTGCTACAGGTGGAGAGCTGTTTGACCGGATAGTGGAGAAGGTTGTTTTTACGGAAAAAGACGCCAAAGCCGTTGTGTTGCAGCTGGTGGGGGCCCTTAATTACCTCCATGAAAACAACATTGTGCACCGTGACATCAAGCCCGAGAACATTCTGTACAGGACCCAGGACCCTGACAGCGATGTTGTTTTGGCGGATTTCGGGATAGCGAAAAAGCTCAGCCATTCCGAGCCGTATATCCGCGATCATGCCGGTTCTTTTCTATACGCGGCACCAGAGACTTATACGCACGAAATGTACGGCTACAAAGCAGATATATGGTCCCTTGGGGTGGTATGCTATATATTGATGTGCGGCTATAGTCCGTACGATGCCAACACTGTGGACGACTTTCTGCGGGTAGTGGAGGAGCCGTTGAATTTTGACGACAGTAGCTGGGACAATGTGGGCGAAGAAGCCAAGGAGTTTGTCCTCTGTTGTCTGGACACGCGCCAGGAAACGCGATTTCCAGCTTGGCGACTTCTGCAACATCCGTGGCTGACGAGCGACAACACCCAGAAAGAGATCAATCTGATTTCGAACCTCCGGGACGGCTACTCTGCCAAGAAGAAGCTGAAGGCTGTGATCCACATGGTGCTGATCCGGAAAAGGTTCCAACAGTTGCGAAGCCTGACTGGCGAGGAAGAATTCGAGCTGGAAGAGCCGTATCTATCAGACCCTGACAAATCGCGGTTGCTGGGCGATGCGTTCCGCAACCTTGTTTATGCCGCCAAGGACAACAAGGAGAAGGTCATCAAATACCAAATGGACGATGCAGGCCGATGACGATCAAAATATAATTCTGTAGAGAATGAAGAGAATGAAGAGCGAGATCAGAATTACGGGGGCGTATTGTTTGAGCAAGAGCTGGAAGTTGATTTTTTCGGCATATTTCTTGTATTTCTGGGACTGGTTCTTCAAATTGGCGGAAAGGTCCTGGAGTTTGTCCAGCGAGTCACCCCTGTAGAGCAAATCCTCAATGTTTTTGTTCATAATCATTTTCACGTCGACCAGCTCGGTATTAAGTTTGTCCAGATTGGACTGAGCTCTGGAGTCGCCGTAGATTTTCTTCGTCTTGCTGATAAATGAGTCAAACTGGATAAATTGGTACGGCTTCAAGTCGGGTCTGGACAGCTCGCTAGCGTACACGTGACTGAACTCGTTAGATATCTCGGCAAGATAGGAAAAAACAAGCTTTTTTGGGAAACTGCTGGTGGTAATACACACATAGATAATGGTGTCCACAATCAAATAGTGCAACGTGTGGCTTCCTGACTCAATGGATGCTCTGGGCTCTGAATTCTGCGGGTTGAGCTTTAAAATGATCAATTTGCACTTTTTTTTGAGCTCCGCCAAGCTGGGGTTTTTCTCGTCATCTATGGAGCCTGAAAGTGGCAAACCTGACTATTAGATGTCGTTAAATAGATACATACCATCAGAAAGCCGATAAATTAGTGTTGACTCCATGTCTCTTTTGTTGCCAATTTTCTTTTTCTTGAAAATTATTTTATTCGACGCGTCGACTATATCGTCTATTTAGCCAGCTTGTTGACCACCTCCTTATCGTTCTCAATTAAGTCATACAGGAATTGTATACCCTGCTGCTGCTTGGACAAAATGCTGACAAGCTTGCTGATCACCTGCTCGTCGTTCGAAACATGCGACTTCGACACAGTGCTGTTGGTAGCAACCGCCATCGACGCATCAATGTTCTCCAAGCTGATGTTCAGGTTGATGAGTCTCTGCTTCAAGTTGCTGAGTCTAGCCCACAGCTCATTTGATCTGTTGAGACCTATTGGGTCGTCCACTAACTTGACCAGCTCTTTAAATTGCGATATTAATTTCTCTTCATCGTTGGTCAGCTGGTAGCCTTTATATTTCAGCACCGTCAGATTGATGGCAATTCTCAGCAGTTTGAGATCGAGCTGTTTCTGCTTAATCTTGCACCGCGTCAGTCTGTTTAACGAGTCCATATCATGTTTGTCGCCAAGATTCACCAGGTTCGAGTTGATGCTATTGAGAAGAATCCTCGACTTGCGGATATGTTCTATTTGTAAATTAGATCTGTTCAGTAGGTCCTCAAATCCCTTGATTCTAACTGGCAGCGTGTTGTAGCCGCGCGGACGCAATTTCATCGCGTTCTCCCAGTCCTCAGCAGACTCATCGGCAGGCCGCTCGTAGTTGTTATACTCCTGCGGCACTTTGTTGTACACAAACGTCTTCATCAGACATTGATTTGAGTTGGCATCCCATGAGTTCTTCACTTTGGTGAGCTGGTCCGCAATTGTCGGCGTGTACCCGTTCTGCTGTTGATTTTGCTGCTGGTTGACTTTCTGTGCCTCAACAACCATCGGGTGCAAACTTTGCTGCTGGGATTGCTGAGTGGACCATGCAAAGGACGGCTGAGAATTAAATGCGGGCTGGCTCTGCGAGGGCTGCGTGTTCTGAGTCTGTTGTGCAGGCTGAGAACTACCACCAAACAAAGAAGTACCTCCAGTGGTGGCAGTATTGGACCCTGTGTTGCCTCCAAACGAGAATCCGCCACCCGTAGATCCGCTTTGGTTATTTGTGCTAAAGAGACTCGTTCCTGTTGTGGACTGTGCTTTGCTGTTGTTACCAAATAAGCTCTGGCCTGTGCCAGAACTGTTTGTGTTGCCAAAAAGACCGCCTTGCGTGCTTGGCGCTGCTGTCCCGGTGTTGGTGTTGGAAGTGTTCCCAAACAGAAAACCTGTGTTTCCAGCGGAGCCTGTGGCCCCCGAGGCGGCGTTCTGCGCGGTGTTTCCGCCTAATGAAAAACCACCCGTGTTGCCAAACCCAGTCGACGCATTGTTTCCGAACGAAAACCCGCCACCGGCGTTACCCGTGTTGTTGCTCGTATTAGCGTTGTTATTTCCAAACGAAAACCCGCCGCTCGGCGCCGAAGACTGTCCCCCGAAACTGAATCCAGACATGGGTGTTTACAATATTTTGTCTACATTTTTTCCAGGTGCAAGGTGTCTTGTGAACTCGGCCGTACATTAATCTAATTAGAGCCCCCTCTGAGCGACAGCACCAGGTGCAGGTCCGAGCCAGCGCTTATGCCACACTCCTCAAGCGTTTTGTCGTCGTCCCTGACAGTTAGAAAAATCTTCAAGTCCACTTACAATTGCTTTCCAGAGAACAAGAACTTCTGTTGGTGCGGAGGGATCCCCTCCTTCACCTCGATGGTTTCTTTGAGGTCGCTCACCTGCCATGTTAGCATTCGCTCTGCCAGCAACTTACTTTGTCGTGAAGATCAACGTCGATGCGGATCTGATGTTAGCCAAACTGTCGCCTTGTACTCACCATTCTTCCTGTCAAGCTCTGCCGGTTAGCTGTGTCTGTGTGTTCTAGCGTTCTACTCACTCTCACTTTGATCTCGACGGTTTCTCCCATGGTGCAATATATGTGTGTCAAGGGATAAACTAAAAAATATTGTATTTATTGAATTAATCTTATTTATTTTATGCTCTCTACGCCGCTGATTGCGAAAACAGACTACGACAAAATATACGAGCCGGCCGAGGACTCTTTTTTGCTCCTGGATCTGTTTGAAGAGATCGGGGCGACAGTCGCTAATAATAAGCCCCGACTCGTGGTGGAGCTCGGAACAGGTTCAGGAATAGTGTCTACATTTCTGAACCAGCATATACTGAAAAATGCATTTCTTATAGCGACGGATATAAACCCGCATTGCTGCCATGCCGCGATCGCCACAAATGCGAAAAATGCAGCCACGGTGAACTTCGACTCCATCCAAGGCGACCTCACGTCCAGTCTGAGACCAGCGTCGGTCGACCTGCTCATCTTTAATCCGCCATACGTGCCATCTCCGTTTGTTCCTACCGTGCCTGAGTCAGCAGAGGACCAGACGTGGCTCGATCTCGCGCTGGACGGCGGAAACGATGGCATGGCCGTTACAAATAGACTGTTGCAGAGTCTTGGGAAAATTCTCGCTCCCAAGGGCCAGGCGTACATTCTTTTCTGTGCGCGCAATAACCCTTCAATGGTGGCAGAACAGTTCCTCAAAGACCACCCGTCGTTCCGCGTCGAGAAGATGATTGAGCGAAAGGCCGGCTGGGAGGTCCTCAGCGTATACCTGTTCCAAAACACAGCTAGCCAAAAAGATCGCTAAGAATGTCCTTTTCGATAGCATCTGCATCAGCGTCCAATAGAGCGTACTCACTTTCGTAGTTCTGAATAGAGAGAGTCTCAAAAAATTCACGCAGGTCGTATATGGACTCCACTCTGCTGTGTCCCGCCAAAAGCGGTCTCTTCAACTTATCCACGCGACTCTCAATCTTGTCGTGAAGCTCTTTGGTCCGCATCTGTTTCAAGTTACTAATTTTGTCGACCAGAGACAGCACCGGAACGCTCGAATCACGATACACGGCGTCAATCGTGTCTGAGACAAACAGCCACTCAGTCAGCTGGAACTGCTCAGGCTTCAGAACCAGCAGGACGTCCAGCAGTTTGCATGCCTGTAAGACCAGCTCATTGTCAAACTCTAGCTGAGCGTCTGTAATTCTGTCTCCCTCCGCTGGATTTTCAAGTCTCACCCATAGCTGGTGTAGAACATATTGCAGCTCTGTGTAGACTGTTGGCCAGAGCGTGCTCAGATGAGGGTCAGAATATTTGAAGGTAATTACCCGAAGAAGGAGGAAAATGACAGGCTTCAGTGACTGGTTTGAGGAGTTCTTGAGCATGTCGGTCACCCTAAATTGCAAGTCGCTCACATTGTTCAGTAGGCTGTCCTTTGGAGAAATCAGCAGCAAATAGGCCATCCGTTTCAAGTTGAGTCGTTTGTTTGACATCTCAGAATCATTCCAGTTGAATAGAGTTGAAGAGCCGTGGTACGGAACCAGCCTCGTGACCAGCTCGTCCAGCTTTTCCTTATCTTCTTTAATCCAGCTGTACAATATGCCATTCCAGCGCGAACTGACTGGAGTGTCGAAGAATTTAGCGTCCATAATGATGTCGGAGCACAGATTTTTCCACAGTTTCAGCTGCAGACATTGGTTCATGTTAGATAAAGCCTCGATTAGATTCACCCCATACTCTGGAACCTGACCTGCATTTTTGTTTTTAAGGAGCGGAATCAGCGTGTTGTTGATGATCGTTGTGTAGCAGCTCACCACCTTGTCGCTGTCTTGGACGATGACAGGCACTTTTGGAACAACAAAAACCATAGAAGTGCACAGCTCCTCCTTCGCCGTCTCTTTTTCCAATGGAACAGTGTCTCTGACTGGCGACGCTCCCTTCATGGTTGGGACTGACGGACTTTTGAGGTTCTCCACACCCGTCTCTATCTTTGCAGGTGACTCTGGGTTCAGTTCCGATGAAGTTGGCGAATCATGGCTGTCTGTCCCAGGCAGGATATTAATAGGATTCAAGATAGACGCAATTGACTGGTCCTCAGAAGTCGCGTTCTTGACATTGGTGGCCATGGTGAGAATCTTGATGAACGAGTCCGTCATGTCCTTGCGCACTTTTCTCTGCTCGCCAAAACTGGTTTGCGACAGCTTTACTCCAACAATGGAGCTGAATTTGAGGATGTCTGATAGAAGTAGTCTATAGTGCGACATGTTGGTTTGGACATCTTTTAGAAAGCTTATCACTTGCGTCCATATTTCCTCTACCGAGTCGCTGCTCAACGAGTCCATATACTCCGTCAAGAAAGTGGAAATATCCTTATCATTAAGCTCATTAATCATGGACGACCGTTTGGATTGTTCTAAAGACGCCACGTTCACTCTCGACATGAGCGAGTTCAGCGCCAGAGGAATGATTTTCTCTGATTTGGCTCCATCTAAGAGATGGATTACTTTGAATGTAGAATATCTGTCTGAGCGGCTATCCTGGTTCCTCTGTGAGCTCATCAGCGTCTCCAGCGTCTCCAACGGCTCTAATACAAAGATGCTCTCCAGAATCCTTTTGGTTCTGTATTTTAGACGCGAAGCATTGTAGTTGATGGTTTTCGTAAAGGACAGAAATGACGGCTTCTCCTCGTCGATGAGTCTTGTGCTGGTCGTGTTGATGCCTATCATGGAACTCATTCGGGTGACCAACGGCGACGAGGGTGCCACGTTGATGGCATTGGCCTTGACTTTCGAATTCTCGTCCGACCACAGCCAGATTCGGTAGCATGTTTCCACTGCGAGCTTGAGAGCCTTCAGTATCTCTATCCGTCTTAGATAATCCTCACCTTTTTCGTCAGGAGCTTCTACCTGGAAAACACCCTGCATGACGGATCCAAAGAAACTGGACTCCTTCCCAGAGGCAGAATTATTAGCAAATAGTCTGGATTTCGTGGCTAGAAGGTATCTGTGGTTGACATTCAGCAGTTCCTGCAGACCGTTGATCAGCTCTAAAATGGCTTCGTCGGAGTCGCCCTCAGGCTCTGTTTGGCTGAAACGGGTCTTGATGGTGAAAAACTCGTCCAGCTTCTCACAAATACAGGCAGTGACGTTGAAACTGCTCCTGAAAAGCAGTTCCGGAGCGTAACTGGCGACACTTAAGATGAGACTATTCCAGGACGCCAATACCAGCGACGACCGCGAATTCAGAATTCCGCCCGAAACGATCTCGGCGAACTTTGGAGGCATACCGTCATTTTCGTAGTCGAACAGCTCCATTGCTATTTTTGAGTCGTAAGCAAGTCTCATAAATTTCGATATGGTGGACAAGTAGAACGTGGTAATCGAGTCGTCAAATAGACTTGCCTTCTTGCACAGTTTTGTCAAAGACGTGACGATCTCTGTAAATTCGTGCTCTGTTGCGTCTATCAGCATTTCCAAAAGACTCAAACAGGCCCTGACACAGCCACAGTACTGTTCAACAACTGTTCTATCAGACTGTGGAGCCTCCATGGACAGAAACCTCGAAATGACTGTGACAAGAAGGGACTTGTATGTGGTCACGTCCCAGCGGTGTCTAGAAATTATGGTGACATCGGCCTCGTTGTTGAGCGTGCAGGGTTCGCTTTTGAACAACGAAACCAGCTGCGGATCTGTGCGCAAAAGATTCATAATGGTGGCTAGCTGATAGTGGAAAAGCGCAAAATCTTCGTCTTCCTCATTTTTCAACTTGCCAGCGTTGACGAAACTGTTCTTGGAAAGCAGACCAGAACACAGGATCTTGAACATCTTATTGATCGATCCGGTGCCAATAGTCGACTTTATCCACCGAGAGACTATCAGCTTGTTCGTTTCGTTCTCGCTGGTGAGATCGTCCAACAGCAGTTTCAGGGGACGAACAAGAATGTTCTCTGTCTCATTCAATGCCAGGGTGTGTGTCCATAGAGCATTGAACGCTTTCATGCGCGTGAGCCTATCGGAGCCAAGAAAAAGAGACGAGAGCGCAGCCTCAATGTAGTGTGAGTCAACGCTCATTTCCAGTTGGCATATCATCTTCACCGTCTCGGCCTGATACTTCCCGCTCGGATGGACCAAACAGCTCCAGAGCAGATCCATGACCGTTTTCAGAGTCTGCAACAACTGCGCGCCGGAAGTCTGTTTAGCTAGGGTTTTGAAGAGAAGCGAAATGCCAAACGCAATCGGAACTGAGTCCTCGGTGAAATCGCCCGATTGGTAGCCGTTGACGGCCTTCAGCAACGTCAGGTCTTTCCACTGGTTTGCTCCATTGGGGATCTTTTCCAACAGCTCGTTGAGGATCTCGGAAAACTCGTAAAATAATGCCGCCTGCCGCGTTTCCAGCTGGACCGTGGTGATATGGGTCGTCAATGTGAGCAGTATGGCGCTCAGGTCAGCAGTGGTGTACGGTTTTTCCCCGGGGGCCTCCAACTGGGCCTCCTCAGAGGTGAAATTGTAGTACTGTTCCAGTTTGGCAACGATCTCGCTCTTGAATGTGGCCTTATCAACGGTTTCTATTTGGACGTACTTTTCCTCGGCATGTTCGATCGGCAAGAACGCTCTCTGTGGTATCAGTGACAGCAGAGTTCTAAGCAGCTCTATCCATTTTTTGCTGCCGTCAAACTGGGCCAGCGATGCCAACAGGGCCAATGGAAGATGCAGTACCACCATGTCTTCCTCCTCCACACGGAAATGCCTGAGTATGAACAATACAAGGTCAATATCCCTGTCTTTGATGAGCCGTAGCACGTCCGACCATATATTGATGGTCTCGACACTGTCGAAAAACGCATTCGCGTTTTTCACTAGCTCGTCAGAAATCTCCATCCTCTCCGTCTCGTGTGTCTCTTTGGTGCACCTGATTATTGGTATGAGGATTTTGGGGACAATGTACTGTCCGATCTCCCATTTATCCATGAGAGCCACCGCAATCTTGCACGCCTCAATGCACTGCTGGTATCTTGGCTGTGAGCTGGTGGAGCCCTCGAGCAGCGCGGCAATTGCCTGTGTCAGATGCTCCAGCCCGTACGAACGGAAATACTGCGATCTTGTTTCCGCCGTGACGGGCCGCTCAGTCTTGCCAGCTGCGCGCACTTGTTCTGTGTTGGACGGTCCAAGCAACCAGTTCCAGAGTCTCCTGTTTAACGACATGTCTTTGCGCAGAACAGTCCCCGTGGCTCTCAGCACCAACAGCTGTTTGTCTGCGTTGGAAACGAGAACCTGGAGAATCGGCGAGTGCAGCTGCAGCCGGCCGATCAACAAGTCAAAGAAGCCTCTTTGCACCAGCAGGTTCTCGTCGATTAGCCCCTCTCCAAACGCCTTTATCAGCAGTCCTGGCTCCGGAGTGACGCAGGCCCTGGTCTCGTCGTCAACGGCTTCCAACACGGCCTCTTTTCGCAGCTCCGGCTCCCCGTTGATCTTGAACAAAGGCATCCGGCGCACAAGCCATTCAAGAGCCCCTAGCCTCTTGTCGGGAGACGTAATGATGCACAGAAAAAGACACTGCCAGAAATGCGGATCGTTGTTTAAGTGCGCCCTGAAAGTGTCAATCAGCCCAAGAACAGCATCGAACGACTCGGACGTTGTGTCGTCCAACGCTGGCAAAAGACTAAGCAGAATTCCACGGAAGACAGCCCGCAGAATCAACGGCTCGATCGGCACCACATACGTTTTTAACAGCTCAATCAATTGCGGCTTCACACTGATGCTGGCGTATGACATCAGCGGAAGCAGCCCGGGCAGCCATGTACTGATGTGCAGCCCCAGCTCGTCAACACCCAGAATCTCAAAAATCTGTGTGTACACCTCCAGGGCCTTTCGATGCACTCCGCTGGGAAGCTTGGGCGACAGACATTTGGACAACGTCTTGGAAATATCGAACTCGCCGGGAATCCAATGGTTCGCCTGTGGCTCAGGGTTCGTCTTTAGTGCCCGCTGGAGCTTGCTCAGGTACGAAATGTAATCTGCCCACTCCTCGACAGAATCAAAGACCGTCAGGGCTTTGTCGATGTTGGATACGTATTTTCTCTCTTTGGAGCTCAATTGCTTGCTCCCGCTCTGCAGATCCGAGTTCCGGCCATACAACAGCGGCAACGGCGACATCGAGCGCAAGAACGCGCCGCCTTTGGATTGTGAAGCAGACATGGTGTAGACTCTATGTGGCTAAGTATTTTGTTTATCATAAACGTATGTCGCGGTGCAGAGGTGCCAAACATAGATCCCCAACTGGGCACAAAAAACCCTTCATTCCAAAGATACGCCATGTCTATACTGAAAACCGTGTGGTATCCCTTCAGAGTATGTAAACCTTTGGCAATGGGCTGACTTCAGGGCATTTACTATTTCACCTTCCATTTTGAGTGCTGGAGATACCTCAAGATGAACATTGTCAGCCTCGTGCTTGTCAGCGTGTTGATCTACGGGGCAGCGTTGTGTTTTTATCTTGCCTCTCTCTTTTTCACAGGAGGCATCTTCTCCTTCATTGGTCCAACAACGTTCCAGCTCATGACCTTCATCATCAACCTCATCAACGCACTCCTTCTTCTCCCGAGACCCCTCAAGTACACGTTTGATTACGTAATCAACACCGAGCTGGAGCTCGGGTACAACCATCTCTACCGCGGGCTTCTGGACAACCGGCTCAACGAGCACTATCGCGAGACGTTGTTTGGCAGGCTCTATCGCAACTGCAGGCAGCTGTTTGGTCCTGGGCGCTTTGTTTTGCGGGAGCTGCTATACCTAATGCTCAACATGATCCCGATTTTGGGTCCCATCATTGTGATTCTATTAAAGGCCTCCCGGGCCGGGTATTCGCGACATGTCCGCTACTTCCAGCTTAAAGGCTACACCAGGGCCCAAACGTATTTTTTGTGGCGCCAAAACAGGCATCTCTACTTTGCGTTTGGGCTTGTCTCGCTGTGCTTGGAGCAGCTGCCAATTATTAATATCTACTTTGCCTTTACCAACCACACGGGAGCGGCCCTGTGGGCGGTCGAGATTGAAAGAGCTTCGCGAGAGCTAGAAAAAGCTCGCTAGATCACTGTGGGATCGTTTTGCCCAAAAACCGCATGAGGTCTGCCATCTCCTCAGGCGACGAAGAGTGCTCCATTCCTTTGTACTCTTTGAACTCGATGTTCTGCAGACCTGCCTTTCTGTACACATCGACAGCATGACGGGCTGCTGCAATTGGTACCACAGGGTCTCTGTCTCCGTGTCCAAAGAAGACTGGAGTATTGAGGTTGGTGGTCTGGACTTTATCCTTGAGCGACTTCTCCACGGGGCAGAATCCAGACAACGCCACAATACCGGCAAGTGTGCGGTTGCAGGTTGCGCCAACTGCAAGGCTCAATGCTGCACCTTGTGAAAATCCGCCCACAACAATGCGGTTGCTAGGAATGCCATTTTTCACCTCAGTCTCGACCAATTGCTTTATCTCGTCAACACTCTTCCAGAACGTGACCGGATCCTCCTCCACTGTGTGGTCGATCGGGAACCTGGTCAGATCAAACCATGAACTCGTTGGCATTCCGTTGCAAACAGTCACGGGAATGACAGGGGCATTTGGCAGAATCACGTTGATGTGTCTAAACTGCTCCTGTCTGTGCAAAAGATCTGCAAAAAACTTCCAGCCGTCGGACGAGTCGCCCAGTCCGTGGATTATTATCATTGACGCTGTCGGCTTTAAAGCGGAGACCCTAGAAACAGACATGATGCTGGAAATGCTACAAATTAATTTTGAGAAATATTAGTTAAGTGAAGCTGGGAATATTATAAAATAAGTGAGTTCTTTTTACAATGTTGCCCAATGTCCCACCCAAGCCACTGATGGAGCAAGTTTTGGATCACGATAAGCTGGAATACCCACTTGTGCCTACAAGTGTGACACAGAAGCTGAAGTTTCCTTCAGAACTGCCTGAGTATTTTAACGAGCTGAGCACGTCTAAACTCCAGGAACTGGCCAGGTCGCCTGAGTTGCTTCAGAGCTATCTATACAAAACATCCAATTTTGACCAACTGGGCACAGAGATTGTGGAAGCGCTGCAAAAACAGATAGAGTACTCCACCAAACTGCTGAAAAACGTGAAAGAGGATATTGTGCCACAGACACACCAGATCGACAAACAGTTGGAGCAGTTTCACGAGAAGCTGAAGAAATTCGGCCAATTGCAGGTCCGCATGTACGACCTGCTGAATAGGTACTCGAGAGAGTCTATCATACGGGCTGTGGAGCGCAGCGTTAACGAGAAAGACAGGGAAACCAAGTCTCTTGTGGACCAGATCCGTTCGTCACCAGCTGAGATCGACGAAGCACAACTGGCGTCCTTCATGAGCACATACACTACAGAGCGTCAAGAGTACTATCTGAAATTAGAAAAATTGCATAGACTATACGAAGAGAGGGTTGGCGGGCTGGAAACACCTTAGGCGGAGTCCAGAAGAAAGTTTGTGGCAAGGTCCAACTGCCAGCTGTTCTTCTGCAGCGCGTCCACTGCCATCTTCTCGTCAAATCCCATTCCCTTCAGCTCCTCAATGGCTAATTGCTGGCTCTGGCTATAGATGGAGTCGCTAGGCACAGGCTCTGGATTGGACGGCTGTTCGGTGAAGCCGTCGCCAGGCTCGTATGGAGGCAGGCTTTCGAAATGTTCTGTGGCGGGCTGCAGACTTGGGTCGTTTCCAAAACCGGCAAACACCTGTTCCCAGTCGTCGTTGACCGCGCCTGCTCCAGCGCCGGCCTCAACAGCGTTCTGGGCGGATGGCCCAGAAAAGGAGAACCCGTGGGTGCCGGCATCAAAGCTGTTGAACTCGTCGAACTGCGGAGCGTTGAAAGAGTCCTCTGGACGGGCCTCCTCAAGCCCCAGGTCGTCGAACATGTTGTCGCTCTTCTGTGCTGTAAATGGATTGAACGACTTGTCGCCAGATTGCGCCTGGGCCGCATCCTCCTGTAGCTTCACAGGGCTTGAAATACTATCGTGGAACTCCTCGTCGTCGCTGCTCTCGTCTGGCTTAGGTTTGCCGGGAGCTGAAGTCTCGTGAGAAACTGATGGCTCCTCAGAGTCCTTTTCCGTGGCAAGCTGGGCCGGCTTAGTAGCTGGTGAATACAAATCGTCCTCCTCTGCGTCTTGGTCCTCCGCTTCGTTTTTTGTAGTGTCTGGGGTTTCTGTAGTGGTGTTGGACTCTGGCTCTTTCTCTGCGATCTGTGCAAACTCGCCCGGCAAACTTCCCGGCATCGTGTAGTGAGGAGCCAAGTCCTTGGCATCGTCATGGTTCACCATCTCGAACGACTCGCCGTTCTCGTTCGATGATATAGGCTCCGGAACTTCCTCTGTTCCTTCCGGCAGGATCTGAGAGCTCAGCACGGGCGGAGCAGACTCCTCTTCGATGGTGGAAGTGGGCGAGTCCGGCAGGTCAAAGTCGCCCCTGACAGACTGGGACGGATTGTTCTGAATGGAGGACGTTTCCGAGTGAGGAATGCCGAACGGAAGCGAGAACTGCTGCTGCGTTTGGGACCCGTCGTCCAGCTGCGACGTCTGGGAAGTGGCTGGCTCCGAACGAGACTTGGTCGACGAGTCAAAACCAGTGGTGTTCGAGACAGACTCGGTGGCCTCTCTTCTCAAGCCCTGTGCGCTGGGCACAGAGAATTCGGTCTCGTCGAAATTCTGCAGTGTAGACGTTGGCACCTCCTGCTCCTCAGACTCCTCGTTGTCTTGCTCGTCGCCGGACTTCTCGTGCTGGGCAGCAAGGTAACCGGCACCGGAAGCAAGAGCAGTACTAAAGCTGAGGTTTTTCTCTGCAAACTGGGCGCTGTAGTCGCCGTGTTTCTCGTGGAGGTCGTACTTTTCATCTTCCAGCTCTGCAGATCTAGTGAGCAGCTGCGAATGTTTCATCTCGATCTCGCTGATCGACTGGATCACAGAGTCAATTTTCGATCTAAGCTGGTTGTTTTCTTCTTCCTGTGTGGCCACTTGTTGCGTTGTCACCGCAAGCATCTTCTGCGACTGCGTCAGTTTCTGTGACAGCGACTCGATCTGCTGGTTCAGGTCAATCGACTCAGCGTTTAGCACGCCCAGCCGCTCCTTCATCGTCTGGTTACCCTTCTGTGTCTCCTCAACCTCCAGCTGCAATTTCTGGAGCTTGGACTGTTCCGAGTGATAGTTGGCCTCGGCGAGAGCCAATTCCTGTTTCAAAGAGTCCGACTCGTTGCGTGATTTGATTAACACCTCCTCCACCTCTTGCACCTGCTGCACCTCGCGCTCGTAGAGCGTCTTCAGCTGCGAGAGTTTCGACTCAATGCCCTCCTTCACCTTCATGATTCTGGCTAGTTCTTTCTGCGCCTTGTCTCTCTTGGCGTTCACGTTTGTGGTTTGTATTGTCAGGGAGTTTATCTGGTTGGAAAAGTTTGCAATGTCCACAGACGCCTGCGAAAGCTGATTGGAAACGTCTCTGTCTGTCGACGAGGTGCTTGCCGGTGGCTGCGGTTGGTTGGTGAACTGCGCCGGCGACGGAGCTGGAGAGGCGTCTTTGGACTCGATAACTGGGCTGGCCACGCTTCTCAGGGCTTCGTAATTAGCAGTAGGCTGTTTTGGAAGAGAAGGTGGCTGAGAGTCTGATTCGTCGAAATGGGGCTTCTGAGCACGGCCCGGGATGGCTGGCGGAATCGGTCTGGAGGGCCGATGGTCCAAGTCTTCTGGACCTTCGTCGTCGTCAGAGGACTCATCCGCGGCCGTTTGCTGGCTTTGCAGCTGGCGGCCAAAGTCCGACGTCGGAACAAAACCACCGTGGCCCGCGCTGTTGGGCTCGGCATGGGCAGAGCGGGGCGCCGGGACAGGAGGCACGGCCGTCTTCGAGGCCACACGTGCAGGCTGGCCAAAAACGTCCAGCAGGTCGTCCATGTGCGACTTGGAAGGGCTGGCGGTCTGCTGAGGAGCAGACGGAGAAGCAGGGAGTGGAGGTGGCACTTGGGAAGCAGAATGGATCTGGGGGCTGTCTGTGGCCTTGCTGGTCTGGATTAGCGAGACCGGAGTCTCCTGTGGGAGTTCAAAACCGGCCAGTTTCTTCTGCACCAGGTACATCGCAATGGAGAACTCCTGCTTGTTGAATGAGTCGGAGCCATCCAAATTGGCAAGCTCCCAGATGGTGGCCAGCGTATCGTTTGGCAGCTTTGACGTCATGAGGAACTTGGCAACCTCGTCGCCGGAAACCTTGCCCTGCTTGGATTTGTCCAGATTGTCAAAGACGGCGCCGTATTGCTGTTTCTGCTGCGGAGACATGGTCCAGGCGCTGAAGTTGGCAGAGCCCGAGCCAATAGAGCCGCCAGAAGCCTGCTGCAAAAGAGGTGACTGCGGCTGCGACGGGTTCGAGGCCACGGCCCAAACCGGCTCTGGAATGACCGCAGGGAGAATGGTCATGGACTTGTTGAGAAAACTCTGAATGAGGTGCATGGCCACAATGAACTGCGGTCTGCCAAGCTGACCCGTCTGCTTCTGATCGACCAGGTTCCATATTTTCTCCAAAATCTGTGTAGGCAGTCTGGCTTTGAGAAAGATGTCTCTGGCCTGGACTCCGGGTAGAACACCACCGGGAGCAGCTTTGTCAAACATGGCACCGAAACTAGCAGCCTGGTGGGGCGTCAGAACAGGAACAACCACCTGCTGCGAGTCCACGGACGAGGCCGACGAGACCCGCGACCCAGTGGCGTTCACAGGCAGACTGCCGCCCGTGGTGTTGACTGGGATCGAATTGAATTTGGCCAGCTGAGGTGGCACGTTCTGCGCAAGCTCTGGACTGAGCACCGCGCCGTTCTGAATGTGTCCAATAAGTCTCATTGCCACACAGAACCCAAACTGGTCCAGCGACCCTTTGTTGTCCGGGTCTGCAATGTTCCATATTTCTCCCAGTACTGGCGGACTAAGATTGGACGCCTCCAACAAAGGCTTCACAGACAGCCCGGAAAGCAGGCCCGTGTGCTTGAGATCGAGCGTTTTGAAGATTTGGCTGTAAAATTTCTTCTCGTCAGCGGTGAGAGGCTGCTTGAGATTGCCACCGGTGACTGGGCCGTTAGCGGACGGAGAAGAAGCGTACATACCCGACATAGTGATTGGAGCGGAAAAAGGCACAAAAGAGTTCGAATAGCGGCCGTGCTGGTGGAACGGTTCTGATCGTATTTGATAAACAATTTATTTCTGGCTAGTGTCCGGTTATGAGCGACGAACAATACGTGGGCGAGAAACAGACGAAACGATAACGGGAGGATCGGGGCTCCTAGTGTCGACAAGATTGGCGTAGGAATGCTCCGGCAGCTGGGTGCCAGAGGTGCCCTGTTCTACAGACTTAGTTGATACTGGCACGGCGTTGGTGGCAAAAAAAAACTAAAACTGCCCCCACTCAGATTTGAACTGAGGATCTCCACATTACTAGTGTGGCGCCTTACCAACTTGGCCATAAGGGCGATGTTCAATTCGAATTCCGAATGTCCACACATGGACAACCTCTGACTTCTTAGAATGAGTCCAATGCCACCCATCCTGGCTACGTTCCGGTGTTCAACGTTTATATTTATTATGCTACAAAGCATTCTTCCGCGTCAGATACTCAAACCGGCTGAAGGTGTATCCAATGAACGGAAGATCCTCCTTGGTGTCTGCCCCACCAACAACACTGCCCTTCATCTGCTCCCGCTGCTTGGCAGCTTGGGCCAGAGCAGGTGAGTCCGGCACGTTTTCTAACTCGTCGGTCGGGAAGAAGCGGGTGTCTGTGACGGACCTGAGTTTTGGGATGAACGGGGCCTCCACGTTGCGGATCTCGTCCCAGTTGACTCCACGGAAAAATGGGTGTGCTTTGATTTCGTTGGCGCCGCCGTTGCGGCCCAGTCGGTGGTCCGCGTCCGTCAGAAGCCTGAGGATCAGGTCCTCTGCCTCGGGACTCAGGTGAATATCCTCAGGAAATTGTAATGTCTCTCTCCAGTTGAGAATCTTGCAATACGTCTCTTTGGGGGTCTCGGAACAGAAAGGCGGCCAGCCCACCAGACACTCAAACATAATGGCGCCGAGCGACCACCAATCGCACGTCTGACCATACCCCTGGTTCAGAAAAATCTCTGGAGCAATGTAGTCGGGAGTTCCGACGGTAGAGTACGCCATGAGCCGTCTGGATTTGCGCCACGTCTGCATCTGCTGCCGATTCGACATGGTGAGGTTGATCGGGTCGACAAGCACGGAGTTTCGCCCCGTGTTGGAGCCACCCGCGCTATTGGCGTTGTCCTGGTCCAGCAACTTTCTGTAGTAGTTGGAATCGTGTGTCTTGTGGAACCCGGTCGACAGGCCAAAATCCGAGAGCTTGATGTGGCCGCGCATATCGATGAGAATGTTG